CGATGCTCTCACACGACCTGGCTTACACGACAAAGCCAGCCAGCACACCGTCTCCTCTGATTTGACTGCTATTTCTGGATTGAGCGCTGACAAGTGAGGAGTGAAAAAAAGAAAAGGGAACAAATGAACCAAGTACAAGTGTTGCTGCCGATGGTAGGAGTAATAGCTGTGGTTTACGCTGGCGATATTGTTCTCTATCCAAAACAGGCAGGTGTACAAACTTCAAGCACAGTCACATCACTCCATCACGATCAATTTGAATCCCCTCGTTTTTGTTGCCCAGTTACGTCATATGGTGTCTGTCATCAATAGCTCAGCAGTCGCAGCTAGTATATGAAGATGATACCAGCATCTATCTTGCTTACTATATACGACAGCGTGGACTATGGCGGCTACAGCATGTGAGGCTGAGCTATCCTCAGCTACTAACCCTGCATAGGTAGCGAGGACAGATGCCGAAACCGTTCAACCTAGCCGAAGAGAGAAGAGGATGTGACCATAGCTAGCCATCAGCCACATGTATGAGGGCAGCTTTTTATTTGCCTGGTCCTGGCAGGCTTTGGGTGACTTTATTGGCCTTGTTTTCCAAGCAAGAAGGAAGCAAAGCGGCTAAAATCTCGCTGCGAGCATAAGACTTGGATGCATTGGGCCGTTTCGTATACACGATATCTGAGTGATAAAAGGGGTTGCCTTGCTAAGGCTAGACAAGGACAAGGACAAGACACGACAAACAAGACAACTCAGAGCAAGACGAAGCAGGCTTGGCCGTGAGTGGCTCGAAAAGAGTGTCGTGAGCTGGCACGTCTTATGCAGGTACGAGTTGCACGAAAGGAGAGCTCTCGAGTGGACCGCGGAAATTCCTGGTCAATATTTTGATAGGTCCCGCTTTTTGCGCATCGAGATTGCTGCACGGGTAAGACCAGCTCGGAGTTCTAGACCTGAGCTTTTCCGTCGAGTCAGGCCCACGATCTTGGGAGCAGTTTGTGCAGGATCGGGTGGCGCTTTCGGAGGGAGCTTTCGGAGACTCCCTTGAGAAGCTGGCGATGTGCCAACGTTGTCTGCCTGCCCGTGGTGCGCTCTGCAGGGAGTATGCAAAGACAAGGTATGCATCATATATGCATTTCGCGGTTGTGAAAGCGAAGTGACAAGATGCTCTAGCTACGCATACCCGAGTGCTGAGGGAAGAGGATCCCCGGCATTTGACGTGACTGCCTTACATTGAACGGAGGGCTCCAGCTTGCTTGTGGCATGGTAGTCTTGGTAGTACAACACTAAGATGAAGCTATCAATCAATCACTGCGGGCTTTTGCACACCACACTGCCAGTTGCGTTGCTAGCAAGTCCCACGCCCAGAGCTGCTGTGGAGAAAGGGTTGCACGGCTACCACCCTGCTGGCGTCTATCCCAGAAGAATATGCACTCTATTCCGACTTGATAGCCGCCTGGGCAAGATTCAGCACACACACACACACACACTCTGAGGATTGGACTGGGGTCATGACCCCGTCTTTGTCTGTTTCTTGCCTCTTTCTCCGTCCCTCTTATCTGTGTCTGCTGCGGCGTAAAGCATGAGAGTTTATAGCCGAGAATGCAGAGAAGAAGAAAGAAAAGGATAAGTGAGTGAGTGACAAAGACTGAGTGGCAAGAAGAAGCAAGATTGAAGTCAACAACATCTGCGGAGTGTTAGCTCCAGTGAAGCTCCCGCATCTTTGTGGAGGCCCCTAATAAGCGGGCAGCCGCGTTCTCCCAGCGGCCATGGTTAGCGATATTGGGACAATGTACCGGTACATCGAGCTCCTTGAACATTGAAATCTTCAAGAGGCTAGTCGTGGCTGCATGGCATCTGTAGCATGGCATGGCGAGCGCAACGGGCTTGGGAACGCATGGCTGACCACAAGGGCGTTTATGATGCATCATATTTGTATGTTGCAAGTGCTTGTACAGGTACGAGGATGCTCGCCCGTTCATGCTGGATGTCAGCCACCATGCTGTCTCTCCATGGAGTATCCCCAGCGGGACATATACGTCGATACATGGCGATACATGGCGGTCCACGTTGCAGCAGATGCCGCCGGCCAATGCGAGGATACAGCTGATAAACCGGATCCAAGTTACCGAGCACGCACCTCTCTGCTGAATGCATAACGACAGCCCGGACAGAGCCAACAGCTTCACGCGCGGGCTCATTTTGTCGTACGATGCCTGCAGCTATAGCCAGTGATGGCCCGTGGTGGCCCGTGGTGGCCCGTGATGTGGGAGGATCAAACGCCCGTGAGCCGTGGCGCCTGCTGTGAGACTCACACGGCCATTTTTATGTGTGAAGAGGGGTACCACAGGCATGTGTATTGTATATATGATATCCATGTACAGCGAGGCATGGACACCCCGAGCTGGGCCCTTCTTCAGAGCGATTCCAAAGGTGGCGATGCTTGATGGCTGGGACTTGCTTGGAAGCGAGTTGGCAGCAACATACAATCACAGATGACTGGAGCCCCAAGAACCATCCCGGCAGTTGACGGGATTTTGTCAGGCAAACGACAAAAAGGCAGATCCATCGTCCATTCCCCTCCTTTTGATCGCATAGGTATGTGTGCTGCAACGGGAGTAGCTACATACCTGCCTTCCTGGCTTCAACATCAAAGTACCGATACCCACCACGCATGATGGATAAGAAACGCCACCGGCGAAGCGGCGCCTGCCATTGGAGAACCGCCCCCCATCCTTTGGCTTTTGTGTGTGTGTGTGTGCGAGCAGGAAGCTGGATGGCTGTTTCACCAGCGACGTTTCTCATATCTGATGGCCCGTATCTGCTGGCAAACTCATGCATAAATAAGCTTTCAATTGGAAACATTTCGGCTTTTGTGCAGCCTCAAACAAGAAACAAGAACAACCCCCTGATGGACATCCAAGGCCCGGCAAAGGGCAAAACAGTATCGAGATTCCACGTTGTTATGCGTGAAACCGGATGTTTGACAGACATGGGTTGAGAAACAAAACCAGATTGACGCCAAAAAGCCGGCGAAAAAAAAACCAGCTGCGGAGCTTCCCCTCCAAGATTCAAGCTCTCTGGTTCCCCCCCCTCTTTCTCTGGTCTGTGCAAATCCCTGGCTGCAGGCGGGTGATTGCCCCCGGCGCATCCGCCTAGAGCGCCCAGCAAGGGATCCTCGTCAGCCTCAACTGGCTCGCCGGCCTTGCTGCTGTGGCCCCTGTGCCGCTCCCCTGTGCAGACGCAGCATCTGGCTTGCACAAGGCATCGTGAATAGCTTCAGCAGATGTGCAACAAAGGGGTCATGCGCAGGCTACAAGTACATATTGTATGTGATATACAGGGTCTACTAGAGGATGATTGGCCTGATTGGACAACAGCATTAGCTTGCTTGAATCCAATCTCACTTCATCTCCCTCCACGGGATCAAGCCATGTACTGTATGCACGAAATACGGAGCAGCTAAGCTGCCCAGTTTATGGAGTGCCGCTGCTATTGCTAGCACTTTAGCATCTGGCGAGCGTGGAGCTCTGCCTCTCTAGTGCGGGCAGACTCGAGGGGGGATCGAGAAGAGAGATGGAGATCACTGAATGAGATACCTACAGGAGAGAGAGAGAGAGAGAGAGAGAGAGAGAGAGAGACAAAAGGGTCGTGCCATGCCGCCCAATGCGAGTCAAAGGCCAACTGGCCGCTCCCCTACCGGGACTTCAGGCAAAGCCGCCCATTCGCTTGGCCGTTTGCCCAGGGTCCGTCCATCCCAGTGGCTGCCACGCCGCCAATATCTTCAGTCTCTTCAGTCCCAGGTACCGTGGCGTCCAGGTTGCCAACTAAATCTGCTGGCACAGCTACCGAGCGGTACTAGTGCTGCTGCCACCGCCGAAGCCACCGAGCTATCTGGATCCGTCCATCCATCCACGGCCACCCATGCCTGCGCGGCCATCCTGCTGGTGTCCCCCCTGGCTTGTACCGGTACAGGTGCAGCGCAACCACTGCAGTACGTCGAAATACAGTGAGGCGTGCAGTTACTGCCGCTGCTAGAGCTCGAGCTGCTGTGCTAAAAGAACAAGGGCCTGCCTGCACGGCGTTGGACCCCGAGAAAGAGGAGGCTGCATCCCATCTGGTTCTGCTTCTGTTTCTAGCACAAGCACCAGCTTCCAGGCATAGCAAGGCGAGGCAGGAGTGAAGCGAAGGAAAAGCGAAGCGAAGCGAGGCCCAGAGAGGAGCAACGAGGCATCAGAGACGGTGCAGCGGTTCAAGCACAGCTCCAGCTCCAGCTCCAGCTCCAGCACCCGTTGTTGTGGTTTCTGGTACCACCCAAGTACCTGCCCTTCCGCGCGGCCAAACGCCTGGAGCCCATCACTCGCATAACAATTCATTGAAGTGATTCATCCCATTCTTCTTCGCCTCTTCTCTCGCTTCACCTCGCCTACGAACATCCGCCAGCAGCAGCGGGAGAGAGTCCAAGCGCCCAGAGACTGCATGCGACTGATCATGCGAGCTGCATGCGCTGTTGTGATGCCCTAACGGCCTCGGCGACTTCCAGGTCTCCTCCTCCTCTCGTTTTCTCTGCCTGCCTGCCTCGACTCCGTCTTCCTTCTCTCTCGCACACACTTTTCTCTCAACTTCTGGGGAATCCCACTTCCTCTCCCACCTCCTCTCTTAATCCTCTCCTTATCCTCCTCCTCTGTTATTATTTGCCCTCTATTGTCTCGTCCCTCGTTCACCACCCGGGCCTGGCTGGTCACGCCAGCCGCCTGTTTTTTCCCTCTTCAACCTGACTCGTTTTTTCCTATTCTGTTCTCTCTTTTCAGCCAACCTGGTAGCCCCCCTTGCACTCTGTGCCTTCTCGGATAATCACCAGAACAGATCAGATCCCGCGGTTCCAATCTCCGGCCCCTCGCCATCTCTCTCTCTCTGGTCCCCTAGTCTCTCTTGCATGGCACACGTCCCGGCAACGCCATTTCCAAGTCCTGCTTCTACTCCTGCTCCAGGGCAGCAGACGAGGCTGAAAGAGGATGGCGCCAGACATTGCTAACAAGCTCAAAAATACGCTGTTTCGGCGGCGGGGACGCCAGTCCTCAGTGTCAACTGATGACCTTGAGTCGATGTCACCCCCGACAACTCCTGGTGTCGCCACAAGCTCGCGGAGACCCTCGTTTCCATTTCCACGTGAGCCCTCGTTTCAGTCTCTGTCATTCTCTCAGGAGCTGATGACGGAAGATGCAGGAATTGGAATAGGAGGCTGCGGTGGGAGTGACGATCTCAGCGACGCTGGTGACTCTGCTCAGACAAGCAACGACGCCGACCAGCAGCAGCAGCGTCCAAAACAGCACAAGCATCATCATCTTTGGAAAGGGAGACGGTGGTCCAGGCAGGGAGTCGATGCTGAGAAGCGACACAGCGTCCCCGAAGACGGCGCTGTCGACGAAGACATGCCGCTGGCATCTCCAGACATACCGGTATCACCAACATCAGAAGTGCCGCCAACAGTAAAAGCACTCTCGCCGCTCCAGGAAGACCAAGACTTTGACATCAAACCCGTTGAGAGCGAGAAAGAGGCCAAGGACGAGCACGGCAACGGCAACGGCAACGGCAACGGCGGCGACAATAGTGCCAGCAATGAGAACGTTATGAGCAGCGGCAACAGCATTAGCCACGGTGACAGCAACGACAAGGACAACGGCAGTGAGCAGCAACAGCAAGATATCAACCGCCCCAGCCCGGCAGCCACTACAGACATGGAGACGGCCTCTGTTTCTGCAGCTTCGGCAGCATCTGTTCTCACCACTGCCTCTGTCACCTCTGCTTCGACTTCTGCCGTTCTGCAGCAAGCCATCAAAGCAGGAGAGCAGCAGCCACAGGTATTGTTGCCAGCACTAGACCAGCAGCAGCTACAGCGCCCGCACCCGCTCCCGCCTCTGGCAGGGGGTCGCGCTGAGGACCAGACGCCGAGCCGAAGCCTAGACGGCCACGAAGCGAGCCGCCATCAGCACCGGAGCCAGAGCCTGGACCAGACCCAGCTCGACGGACCAGGTTTGTCGGTTATTAACAGCGACCAGGGAACCTCATCCCAAGCTGGCACTACAATCGCTGCCACGGCCGCTGCAGGCGCTAATGCTGGCGCTGATGCTGCTCGTATTACGGCGGCCTCTGCTGCTGCCGATGCCCCAAGTACAGGTACCACCAGCCCTGGCAGCGACGCCAGCGCCAGCACCATTGTCTCTCCTGGCCCCGTTTCTGGCGATCTGCAGCTACAGAGACAGCAGCAGAAACAAGCGCAAAAGCGCCCAGTGCCACCGTTTCCGCCCTCAACAACGCCGCCTCCTCTTTCACAAGCGCTTCCGGGTCCGGCACACAGCTTCTCTGCTCTTGCACCCCCCACGCCGAGTCTCGACAGCATCGACGAGGACGAGTCGCAATCGCATTCGCAGCAATCGCCCGCGCAGTCGCCGTCGCAGTCACCGTTGCAGCGACCGCCTCCATCGCAATCGCAATCTCATTCGCCACCGCTGCAGTCGCCCAGGTCCGAGACTCAGTCTCAATCGCAGTCGCAGTCGCCATTCCAGACGCGGCAGGAGCAACTGGTACCAGCCGAATCAGAACAACAACAGCAGCAACAAACTGCTCTGCCGTCAACTGCAGCAGGAATCCTAGAAGCCCAGCATCTCGCCTCAGCAGCAGTTTCTGGTCGCGGCTCCCACGCTCCGTCCTCGCCTGACGCCGGTCATGGCCCGCTGAATCTGAATCCCGCATCGCCATTGCCGCCCATCGACGCTCAGCAATTGCCGTTTCAGTCGCCCGTCACACCCTCGACAGCGCCCGAACCTCTCTCTGCGGCTGCAATTTCCGCGACTTCGGTCTCGAATCCAGCTGCTTCGACATCTGCTGAAAAATCTTCTGCCCTCATCACAAACGCATCCGCGCGACCTTCTGCACCGCCCCGTCGACCGAGTCGTGATCCAAATCTCGTCGTCACCTTTGACGAATCTGTGCAGCAGTCCCCGTCTGCTAGGAAGAGAAGCATCAGCAAGCAGTACACAATCCTCAGCAACCGCGACGATACTACAAAGTTTGCCGTTCCCTCGTCTGCCAACGCGCCTAGAACGCCAGGCACCGAAACCCCAGTTGCAGTCATCGTCACCCCAAGCTATCTCACGCCTCCCGTTGTTTCTGCCAACGCGCCTTTGCACCCCTCGCATCTCATCGAGGTGGAAACTACGTCATCACTAGGCGACGACTTCGAGAACGGCAGCATGGCCGAAGCTGCTGCGCGCAAGATTTGGGTCACGAGGCCCAATGCCTCTGCCACGCTTGTCACCATCAACCCCAACGATCTCGTTGACGATGCACGCGACATGATTCTGCGAAAATATGCAAATTCCCTGGGCAAGACGTATGACTCGCCTGATCTTACTCTTCGCCTCAATACCCGCACCGGCGTCGTTCGTATGATGGGCCCTGAGGAGCACATGGGCACCGTGATGGAGGAGTTCTTCCCCAACGGACAGTCTGTTGACGAGGCCTTCATCATCGACATTCCTCCCCGCCGCACTGGCACAACGCCCAGGCCCTCTCCACGGGCGCCGCTTCCTCCCATTTCTGGTTCTGCTGCAGCCGCGTACTATGCCGACGACGTGCGTCCGTCCGAGTCTGGCGAGGGATATTTTCCTCCAGTGGTCGGCACCGCGACGTCGCCCCGTCTTCCCACGAAGCACTCCAACGCATCTCTCCCGCATTCCATGGCCGTTATCAGCTCTGGCCACCTTCCTAACATTCCGTCTCCTGGCAGCACCAGGCCTCGCGCGCATAGGGAGCGCGACTCGCAGCGCCACGATCGCCAAGACCACTCGCGAAGCGCTGGAAGAAATCATACTCCTTCGCCGATCGTGCACAATGGCGGCGTTGTTCCCAACTCCGCCGCGTACCATCCTACGCGGCATACCCACTCGCGAACGCATTCAAGCTCGTCTGAGCACATTGCGGCGCATCCGAGTGGCACCTTGCCCAGATCGCCGGGCCATGAAATCATCGCTGCGGCACGAATGGGTGCAGGTACTCCTCCCTCGCCTCCCCAGCGGCTGGTGTCTCCTCACCTGCCCGCTGCGCGCCCCAAGAAGAGCAAGAGAAGCCAGACGCAGCAGCAGGAATATATACAAAACCCTCCTCAGCCCGCGTTGAATGCCAAAGTACCCCCCATCAGTGTCCTTATTGTGGAAGACAACCCTATCAATTTGAAGCTGCTTGAAGCGTTTGTCAAAAGACTTAAGGTGCGATGGCAAACGGCCATGAATGGTCGTGAAGCGGTCAAAAAATGGAGGAGCGGCGGCTTCCATTTGGTCCTTATGGACATCCAGCTGCCTGGCATGAATGGATTAGAAGCCACAAGAGAGATCCGCCGACTGGAGCGCATCAACGGCATTGGCGTCTTTTCCAACACGCCTGCCGAAGCCACACCCCCCGAAGAGCCGACCGAAGAGGATCGCCTGGAGGGCCTGGCCAAGTTCAAGAGTCCCGTTATTATCGTGGCTCTGACGGCCAGCTCTCTCCAAAGCGATCGACATGAAGCTCTGGCGGCGGGTTGCAACGACTTTCTGACCAAGGTATGTGCTCTTTCATTCAACTTTATCCTCGCCCATCTTGTCCCACTCCTCTCACCACTCAGAGCACAAACTAACACTTCGTCTCTCAGCCCGTCAACTTTGTCTGGCTCGAGCGCAAGGTCATGGAATGGGGCTGCATGCAGGCACTCATCGACTATCAAGGCTGGCGAGAGTGGAAACAATACTCCGCCAAGGCAGAAGCGATGGAGGCTGCCAACAAGCGAGCGCAGGCGTTTAAGAAACAGTCGAAAAAGAATCGCACTCAAATGTCGGAATCGTGAAGATTCAGTGGTTTATACCGGAGTCTAGGACTTTCTTTTTCTCTTTCTTTTTCCTTTCTTCATACTGGACGAGGGGCAACCCGCGGGAAGAGGATTTTATTAAAATGCATGGTCAAAAAAAGGAAGGCTCACAGGAGGGATGGATCTGCGCTGAATTTGCTAGCCCTTTGCTAATTCTTATTTTTCTTTGTTCTGGACTGGACGGATGACGACAAACATTTCATACTTTTTTTAACATTTCATATTCTTCTCTTACGGTCGGCATGGCCTTGCCCATCAGCAATGATGGTGTAGCGGCAAAGCACCCTGAGTGCCAGATACACACAGTTACTTTTTTCTTTTTTTTCTTGGCGTCGTTGCACCAGAGTGGCGGCGAGTATAATATACGGGAATACTTTTGTCTCCCTCTCTCTTCTTCTCCTTTCTGCGGCCTATTGTCCCATCTTATAGACTACGTGTGACCCCAGCTCTCTTGCGCTCCTGAACGGCGATGACTGCCTAGAGGATCAAAACGCCTACCGAGTTGCCTGCAGCCTACCGCTAGTTTGGCCCAGACATAATGCAGCCGGCCGTCGATACGGAGCCCAGAGGATTTGTCTCGATCGTGTCGTCCCCTCTTTTCTTGTCTTACAATGTCATCATCAATCTGTGCCCATGTCTCGTTGCATACAAAGTGTCCAATAGTGCCGTTTCATCACAACTTTCCAGCCGCGGCTGACAAGAGAGAGCCAGTACCTACCTTCTACAGGTAACAGTAGTGCTTAGGCTTAGGTAATGGCTTCAATTCCCCTTGCATTGCTGCTGCAAGTTTCCAATCTCAAGCTGCAGCTGCCCCTCCTCTTTCGGAAGCGGGGGAACAAGACGCCGGGGCCGCAAAATTTGGCTGAGCTAAATCATTTAGCCATCAAAGCTTTGCTTTTTCTGGTTCTTGATATTTCCGCATACTCTCTTGAAATCATACGACGAGACCTTTTTTGCTGTCTTTGAGCCATTGATCTGATTCAGTTCGGCCTTCAATAAGCAATTGGCTGATTTAGCTGAAAGCGTCGCAGAATCCATCCCTCTCTTCCCCCATCTCTAGATACCCCTCACAGCCTCAAGAAATCAAATGCCCCCCAGATTATCGGCGGCGGCTGTGCCGCTGACCCCCGTGGTCGATGCGTGCGTCCTCCCCTCGTGCAAATCAGCGCCGTTCGTGCGGTCTTTTAGCTCGACGCCGTGCAAGCAGAAGATGAGCCGGGCCCGGCAGCAGATGTACCAGTGGCTCAAGGGCCGGGAAGGCTCCGAGCTGGCAGAGGCCAAGGGCGGGCCGCGGTACTTGGGACCGCTGCAGGACCAGCCTTTTCCGCTGAACCCGCTGTTTCGGAGCCAGCCTGTGCTGGACGAGACGACGAGGGAGCTGATTTGGGATAAAGTCATAATGAGGGGCGAGGCGCTGAAGGCGGTGTCGGCGGAGATGGGCGTTGATGTGAGGAGGGTTGCGGCTGTGGTGAGGCTGAAGGAGGTGGAGAAGCAGTGGGAGAGAGAGGTAAGCTTGATATTTCCTATTCTTTTTTTTTTGTTCTGATTTGATTTGCTTGCGTTGCTTTGAGAGAGTTTGTGTGTTTTTGCGTGATGAGACAAATTTCCAAAATTCGATTAGTCTTGAAGACTCTATTCATGGTTAGAAAAGATTTACCTGGTCTGATATTACACACCAACCTCACCTGTTATTACCTTTTAATCTGGCGGTATCTTGAGTCGGGATACAGCTTTGCTGACTCTTTTTCACGAAACAGGGCAAGAAACTGGCAGTACCCTATGCCAAGGCCGTCATGAACATGCTGCCCAAGACGTCATACCGCGAGGGCGAGAAGAACCTGCCGCATGAGCCCGTAAACGAGATCCACGTCCACAAGCTGACGATGCAACAACTCTTCGTGCCCGTGTCCGAGTCACGGCACTTTACCCGACAAGACGCCGCAAAGGCCTTCCACGACACCATGCTCTCCGTCGATGCGCGATCACCGCAACCAGAGCTCATCAAGATGGAGCGCGAGATATTACAGGGCAAGTCTCGGCAGGACAGTCTCGCCAAGTTTAAAGAGGCGACGCAGAAGGAGGAAGACCGAGTGGCACAGCGCATTGCGCGCGAGGCGCTGAAAGAAGAGGAGGCGACAACGAGGGTGGCTACGGACCGGTATGAGTTTCGGTTCAAGGAGATTAATGCTGATGATGTGGGCCGTACTGGACGGTCGAGAAAGGGCACTGGTTGGAGGTATGGTGCGCCGTTTGATGACCGCAAGCGCGGGCTGGTCAAGATTCCTACGTCTGTGCCGTAAGGGCGCTTGCTGGCCGCTGCTACAGGCTTGTACAACATGAGGAGAAGAGAAGGAAGCGTGACGTGGGAGTCGAAAATAAAAGAGAGAGGTCGACACGAAGCTGTATTACTACATACCTATACATATCATGCATATACAACCCGCCAAAAGAAGTCATGTACAACTAGCTGATGTATATATATATATCTTGCATCACACAAATCCTGCCCGTTTATCAATGCACAGATGCACTCTGCTGAAAGGGAATTGCATCATACACATACAAATACACATACACAAAAAAACGTTTTCTACAATGCATGCTGGGACATCTAACATCTATGGACTCTAGTTGCTGACAAGAAGCTTCTGTCGAACGCGGGTGATAGTCTCGGGCGAGACCTTGCCCTCCTTGAGGAAGAAGCCCTCGGCGGAGCCCCATTCCTTGCGGATCATGGCGAGTGTAGCTACCATGGACTCGGGTCTGTGGTTGTATCACCATTGTCAGCATTCAACCACGAGCATTAGAAAGAAGCAAGGAAACGAAAGAGAGAAACCTACTTTGAGCTCAGCATCCTCTCGGCGCCCGCCTCGTCTCCAGCAAACGCCGGCGTCGCAACCAGGTACTTGATCAGCCCGGGCTTCGCCGCCGCCATGCCCTGCGTCGTGAGCCCATACTCCTCCGCCACCGCCTCGTCCGGCACGTTGCACAGGCTCAGTATCAGGGCGCACAAGACGCCCGTGCGGTCCTTGCCGGCCGTGCAGTGCACCAGGATCGGCTTCTGGGCCGCGGGGTCGAAGTCGTCCGAGGCAATGTGGTTGAGCACCGTGGCAAACGCCGGCGCGCCCGCCACGGCAATGTCCCTGTACGCCGTGACGAAGCCCTCGGTCGGGTGCGAGTCTGCGTATTTGCGGAACCGCACGGCCACGGCCTCGGGACCGTAGTCGGCGCCCTCGAAGACGGGGACGTGCACGCGGCGAGGGCCGCCGGGCCACTGCTCGGGGGACTCTGGGTTGCCGAGGTCGCCGGAGGAGTTGGGGCGCGCAGCCTCGAGGGTTGAGCGCAGGTCGAAGACGGTGCTGATGTTGAGGGCTTCGAGGTCCGGGCTGGAGACTGTAGGAGGGGCGGCTGAGCGGAGGATGAGGTTGGGGCGGACGAGGGAGAGGGAGCCGCCGGCGAGGTCTCGGAGGTTGGGGATGGGTGGTTTGGAGTCTGTGGCAGACATGGTTGTGGTTGGTGGTTGATGTATGGTTTTGTCTAATTCGCTGCCGTGGATTGGGATTGGTTGATTGCCGTTATTAGCTTGGCTTTGGCTTTGGCTGAGTGTGTCTTGAGTGGCTTGATGCAGAACAGACTACTGAGAATGTCCCGCGGATTTTATAGGCGCTGTGGATGTTAATGCCCCTCGCGACTGGGCCCCTACAAGGTGCATGTGTCATTTTTGACAGGTGCAGTTGTATATTCCGCGGACAAGTTTACAGTTTTTTATTCTTCTCCCAGTTGTGGTTATCTTTTTGTCAGCAATTACCAAAAAGTGAAAGTTAACAGCTAGTACTACATAACAATGCATTGCGGGTGACTTTATATCCGTACTAATGCCTCGATTTGTAATACCCTGATGATACCGTACGTGCTCTCGCGTGTGGTAACCCTCTATATAAACCGAAATAAAATGGTGTGGGCGTTAGCTCTATTTTACTGCTCTCTCTTCCCTCTTTTCCAAAATCTTTCTCTGTAAATTAAGCGGTCGGGAAGGAGTCAAGGAGGGTCCCCGCTGGACTTGTCAGCTGTTTCAATACACTTCTAACAAAAATCTGCTCTCCTTGTTTTGTTTTCTTCTCTTCTCTTTTCTCACTCCACTAAAGCCTTTTATGCGTCCCCCGCAATTCCAATTCGACGCCACCGGCGCTTGAGCAAATCGCCAATAAATGTGCCGAGCATGGGTGGAGAGCAAGGGGGGGGAGGGGGGTGGTCACTTTCGGGATGTTTTGAGTCAGCGTCAGAGCCATTCAACGGCTTTAAACGGGAGCCTAAATTAAACAAGACATGTGAATCCTGGGTATGCTCTCTATCTTCTTTCGAGCTTATTTGCTGGCTTGGTTAGCTTCACACAGCTCATTTCCCCATTTATTGTCAGTTTTTCATGTGCCCTATTTTTTTTTTTTTGGAGTTTGAAAATCTTCCCCTGACTAACGATCGTCATCCTAGGAGTGGCTCTCTACCTCATACAAGCTATTTCGAAAACCATATTTTACCCCCCTCTTCGACGATAGAGCCCTATGGTAATGGGCCGATGGGTTGTTTATTCGGCCCTTTGTCGGCCGGGGCATGCGTGTTTGACATGTTGAAGCTTGGGCAGATCTGGGATCGGCGTCACGGGATGCCTATAACAGGAGGTCTGTAAGTGGTCTTTCCGTTGCTGTTTGGCCGCGGGATGTTTTATTGCCGGAGCGAATATGGCGTCTCAATGCGCTACGGGATCTTGTTTTAGTCTGTTTAGTTCCGTCTAAGCAAAGGGGGTATAATGCGATATATATGCCCTCAGGTATATATATATGGCTTGAGGATAGCTTGTTCTGGCTTGCTTTTCTCTCTTCCTTAGATCAGCTTGCTGACCACGGACCTCTTGCAGACGCAGCCTGAACTCCAGCATCCCACAGCCGAGAGAGAAGAGGAAAAGACAAGCCACAAGATGAAGCTTCGATCTGCTGTCCCGCTGCTGTTGCAGCTTTCTCTCCCGGCCGTCCTTGGCGCTGACACGGTAGACTGGAGGTCTCGTACCATCTATTTTGCCCTGACAGACCGAATTGCTCGCAGCTCAAGCGACACGGGAGGCTCTGCTTGTACAAATCTGAACGACTACTGCGGTGGCACGTTCCAGGGCTTGGAGAGCAAGTTGGACTACATTAAGGGCATGGGATTTGATGCCATCTGGATCAACCCCGTCGTTACCAGTGAGTTGCCCATTTATCTCCAGATACCAACTGTCCTCTTGGTTGGTAGCTAATATCTCTTTATAGACAGTGATTTCGGCTTCCATGGCTACTGGGCACTAGACTTAAACACTATTAATTCTCACTATGGTACTGCGGATGATTTAAAGAGTCTCGTTGATGCTGCACACAGCAAGGTATGTTTACACCACTGTCCCAATTTGATTTGTCCGTGTTTAACAAATGAAAAACAGGGCTTCTACATGATGGTCGACGTTGTAGCCAACCACATGGGAAACGCAAACATTACAGACGACTCTCCCGCTCCTCTGAACCAACAATCCTCATACCACACAAAGTGTGATATTGACTACAACAACCAGACTAGCGTCGAAAACTGTTGGCTCGCCGGCCTCCCAGACGTCGACACCCAGGACCCTACCATCAGAAGCCTATACCAGGACTGGGTGTCCAACCTCGTATCTACATATGGCTTCGACGGCGTCCGCATCGATACCGTCAGGCACGTCGAGCAGGACTACTGGCCCGGCTTCGTCAACGCCACCGGCGTGTACTGCATTGGCGAAGTCTTCAACGGAGACCCAGACTTTATACAACCCTACCAATCCCTCATGCCCGGCCTGCTCAACTATGCCATCTTCTACCCCCTGAACGCCTTTTATCAACAAACAGGCTCCTCTCAAGACTTGGTCGACATGCACGACCGCCTTAGCTCGTTCCCAGACCCGACGGCGCTGGGCACCTTTGTCGATAACCACGACAACCCCCGCTTCCTCAGCGTCAAGAACGACACGTCTCTCTTCAAGAACGCCCTGACCTACACCATTCTCGGCCGAGGCATCCCCATCGTCTACTACGGCTCCGAGCAAGCCTTTTCCGGAAGCAACGACCCCGCCAACAGAGAAGACCTCTGGCGCAGCGGCTACAACACCGAGACGGACATGTATAATGCCATCTCCAAGCTCACCTTTGCCAAGCACACCGCCGGCGGCCTTGCCGACAACGACCACAAGCACTTGTACGTCGAGCCCACGGCATACGCCTGGAGCCGTGCCGGCGGAAAGCTGGTGGCCTTTACGACCAACAGCGGCAGCGGCAGCTCGGCCCAGTTCTGCTTCGGCACGCAGGTCCCCAACGGCAGCTGGACGAATGTGTTTGATGGCGGCAATGGCCCGACGTACACTGCTGGTGGCAATGGACAGCTCTGCTTGAACACGACGAATGGTGAGCCGATTGTGCTGCTGTCGTCGTAAAGCAATGTAGCGGCAAATATATACATGTATATTAGTACATACTTGAGTGGGCCCTTGTACCTACGCAGAGAGAGCTTGCTACTTTCAAGCTGTTGTTTTTTCTTATGTGGACATACTGTACGATCATGAAGGGCACATATTTTAGTCATAACAAAATCAGGCATTTGCTACCTAGTCTAGACTGTTTGTTGTTGTTGTTGTTGTTGTTGTTGTTGTTGTTGATGTTGTTGATGTTGTTGGTCATGTTAATTAGAGCAAGCGATAAACCATGCTATGATTTCCTTCATCTCCCAGACCCGTGTTTGAATTGCCTGTGGATAAATGTGCATGAAATATCTGCCATGTGCTCAAAATAACTGTACTGGATAGACCGTCCCAAAAAATTAACTGCAATGCCGAGATATCTGTTGTTCTGTCAGGCCTGTTCAACCTGCGTGGATAGATAAATCTCCATGTGCTCATGAATGCATAAATACCGCATCGAATCCTCCCCCTCCAAAGAAAAGAAGCAATATTATAAAAAGCAAAGTCGTCATGTCGTCAAATAGCCTTCATAGTCCCGTGTATGCTTGTTCGTTGTCGTTAGCCTGTATTACTCGCATGCGTGTATCATCGATAGCCTTGTGTTTCTCGTATCGCGCGATTTGCTCTTGGTATTAACCACATTCTTTCGGTAGTCAGAGCAGATATATACCGTCGTGGTGGGTGATGGAATTTTTTTTTGAGAGTTTTATATTTTGTGCTTGCTCACCCATGCATGCCAGAGCTGTTGGCTCTGTCGGATGCGGGAGATGAAAACAGTATAAAGAAACAGATAGAAAAGAAAGGGAAAAAAAGCTTCCGGAACCCCGATTCCCTTTTGTGTTCAGCCTGCGTGGCTTGTAATCCTTTGTCTTTGTCCATGGCACTCCTGAAATAAAATTTCCTTTTGTATGCCGGAAAATAAGATACGCAATAGTAAAGAAATCAACAATGAAGAACGAAAAAAAAAAAAAGATGCCGTCTCAATATCTGCAGGTTGCAGTGCACTAGCTCTCACCATAGAGATTCAATTGGCGTGCTGTGTGCTTTTTTTTTTTTTTTCCTTTTTTTTAAAAAAAAATTCTGATTTGGCCATTCTGTGGCAATCACGCGGCTCTTTTAGCAAAGTGCGAGCCCAAATGTTGAAAATCATGCGTGCTGATTTGCAGGACGAAATGTGAACTAGAACGTAGCATGAAAATGCGATCTGATGTGCAGAGTAAAAAACCTTTGGCAGAGTGAAGCTGGTAAGAAATGGAAGATAAAAATGGAAATGCAGATCAAAGAACAGAGACTTGAATCAATGTAAAAAGAAGATGCAAGTATGGGTATCATATGAGTGAATATTAGGCAAGGTGTGTGCCATTCTTGGTCACCACAACCAGAGGCTCTTCAGGAAGCAGTCCTCTGGATCGAAGAATTGCGCCCAGCTCCTTAAGCTTGACGGGCTTGGTTAGGAATAGATCCACGCCGCTGCCAAAGGCTTCTTGCTGAGCGCTCTCTGATGCCAGGCCTGTGAGTGCAAATATGATACAGGGCTTGAGCTGATGTTCTCGCTCGTAGGCACGGATGCAACGCGTGGCCTCGAAGCCGTCCATAACTGGCATCGAGACGTCCATGAAGATGTATTTGCAGTGGTTTGGATTCGCTTTGTAGGCTTCAACGGCCAAAGAGCCGTTGGTGGCGGTGTGATAGGCCCGGCCAAGCTTCTTCATGTAGATGGCTAGAATGTCGAGATTGATGCTGTTGTCTTCTACGAGCAGAAACTCAGGCTCAGGTGTTTCCTCGTCTTCCTTTGCCGTCTCAAGCGTTGGCTCGCTCGTCTCTTCCCGCACTGCAGACTTGGTATCGTTCTTGTCAACACAAAGATTCTGCGTGGGCAGGACACTGGGAATTGGTACTGGGAGCTGCGTCTTAACGTCGCTTAGAAGCTCTGGGACAGCGGGGGCGAATTCTTGGCTTGGGCTGACAGGAGTGATGGGAATTGACTTCATCTCGTTGCCGCGTCTAAATGCCATGGCAACTGCTTTGGCGAGCTTGCGGGGGCCGACACTAGATTGGAAGAAGCAAAAGGTTAGTCTCAATGTATGATGGGAGATCAACGAGCAAAGGATTTCAAACTTACGGCTGAGCAATAAATTCAAAGATCCGGTGCGCCTTGACGCGTTCAAACTGCGCTGCGCTCTTGAAAGCAACCAGTGTGTTTCTGCAAAGGACAACACAAGGAGGGCCATGCATGATCTCTTCCAACGGAGAGGCGGCAAGAGTATCCTCGACCCAGATGACGCAGTCGGGAGCCTTCTCGTTGGCCTCGGCTTCGGTAATGACCTTCAGACCAAGCCACTCGCGACAGTTGCGATCAACCTCAACCTGGAGATCAGTGTAGGATCCGTCCAACATACGCCGCCTGCCTCTTCTGCCAATGTCGAAGCCCATCAGGCTGACACGCAGACCCGCTGCCTCCGAAACGTGCTTGTCAAATTCGCCTTCGTTCTCAGCAACAGGCGGAGTGCCATCAGGTGGAGTCACCGTCTGCATAAGAGGTAAAGAAACACGAACGATTGTACCCAAGCTGACTCGGCTCTCAACATGAACGCGCCCTCTAAGCTGCGACGTGATTTGCTTTACAAAACTAAGGCCCAACCCAGTTCCCGGGGCGAGATGATCTTCCTGAGAGAATGGCTTGTACAGGTCATTGCGCAGGTAGTCTTCTCCAATGCCCTTTCCGGTGTCAGACACGACAATATTGACAAGAGCATCAGCCGAGGACTTTCTCTTCGGCTTGGATTGGCTGAGGAGCACTTTGATGGAGCCCTTTTGCGTGTATTTGAGCGAGTTGCCAAGCAGATTCATGACAATGCGTCGAATTGCACCAGGCTGCGTGTAGAACCGCCAGTTGCAGGCGTGGTCAATTTCAAGGAAGACAGTCACCTCTCCGAGCGCAATCTTGCCGTTGGAGCCAAGCTCTTCCATAGCTTGCATGGCGTCGAGACGGCGCATTGCAGTAAAATCTGTGGAGTGGGCAGAAGTTTTGTGCTTGGCGAGCTGCAGGGCCATGTGCATAAAATTGAAACCCGCATAGACGCCATCCATTACTTCTTCAACAATACCATCAAGCCGAATGTGCTTGTACAAGCTCAGCATTCCCTCCTCCACCGATCGTGCAGTGCTTGGTCGTAGTCCTCTAGGCTCCGATGTCTGACCACCCGATTTTCTAGCTTGGATAAATTTATTCACTTTGGAATAATCAAGGAGATGGTCGACTGTGTCCACCAGCGTGCGGCAGCAAATTTCAATGGTATGAGCAATGTTGCCCTGGAAGACGGTTAGCTCAGTGTCACGAAGCAGCTCGATGCCGAGAACAGCACCATGCAGAGGTGATCGCAGTTCGTGGGATAGAGAGCTCAACGCATCCGACTTGGCCTGGTTTGCAGCAAAAGTCTTGAGGCGAAGCGTCTCCGCAATGGCCAGGATACTGACGGCCTTGAGGAAATTCAACTCTGCGCCCACTGTGAAGATTCTGGTCGGAGTCAGCGTATAGATAAAAGCTCCAGCGCACCACCGCTGCTTTCTGGGATCCCAGACGGGGACAAAAGCCACGCTACGGGCCTTTGGAAACATCTCTTGGATGATTCGTCCTTCGTTGGGGCGTGCCCAAGGACGCCTATGGCGCTTAGTCTGAGAGGCGTCGTCTGGCACTGGCTGTTGTGGTGCTGGCTGAGCAGGCTTGTCCGAGTCTTTGGGGGGATCCGTCATCCAGCCGTCGTCGTCTGACGAGTCGCTGGACTGCAGTTCTCCATTGATTCCAAAGTTGAAGATGTGGCCCTTTGGATACCGCTGAAGGAGCTTGGCAAGGAATGGCTGTGCCATGTTGATTCTCTGTAGCGAGCCATCTTCCAAGTCCCTGCTACGGCTTTCCGTTGTTGAATAGCCCAGCACTTGGCAGGATGGCCACTTCTTGGCTTCAGACTCAGTAGATGTACCATTAGCAGCATGAGCGCTGACGTCGTCACCACCGGGCTGCAAATGCACGTCTTCTTCCTCATCAAGGTCACTTCCGCTGTCGTCATCCTCATCCTCGCTGCTGCTCTCATCATCCCGAGACGACGCATTGGCAGCGCGGCTCTTGCGTGACCTCTTGGAACGACCGCTATATTCGCCAAAGGACCCCAGAGAGGAGTCTAGGAAAAGGCAGCCATCTGTCTCAAGAGACTCGCGGATTGTTTGTGCAGCCTCAGAGAATGTGTCTACCATTGGGTTGGGACCAGGAACAAAGTTATCGGCCCATTTTGTCTCTGCTGCGGGCTTGGCAGGCTGACGATCTTTGTTGGGATTTGTTTCGGGCTGTTTGCCCTCTGCTCTTTTGCCCTCTGCTTGCTTGCCCTCTGCTTGCTTGCCCTCAGGCTGTTTGCCATCTGGCGAAAGAGATCGTTCAGTATTTGGGGTATTGTGAGCAGTCACTTCTGAGAGAGGCTGCTTGCTGGGGGTTTCTCCCTCTTTCAATAGAGCTTGCCGGGCCAGGCGTAACGCATCTGGAGTTTCTGTAAAGGTCTCCCGGCCAGCAACAGGATTCCGAGACGACGCTGTGGCTTTGCCTTCAACGAAGAAGCCCAGGCCTCGAATCATGCGCTCGCTACGCACATTGGCTATCTTTGAGGATTTGGCCTCCAAATGGTCCATGACGGCTAGAGAGAGTCTGCGCATCAGCGTCGAGAACTGGCTGTTCCATCTGCAGTTTGGCATGGAGCTGACAACGCAGAGAGCGCCAATATTGATGCCTCGCTGAGTGCGGATGGGAACAGAAGCATAGAAATGATTGCCACCCTCGGGCTGGCAATAGGGCTTTTCCTTGAAACGAGCATCCGTTGCTAGGTCTTTGACCACAAGAACTGGTAGTTGATCACCTGCATCTTCACAGTGATCGAATTGAGTGGCATCTCTCTCCAGAGAGGTACTTCCCTGCGACCGCTCGAGGCGGTGAGACTCTAGAAGAGTATACTCACAAGTGCTGTGGGCGCGAGGGATGGCAGTGCCACACATCCAGAGGCCGAGGCTGCTATCCTCTGCCGCTATAGGAAGCTCTCTGGTAGCTTCAGCGATGAAATACTGGTGCTCCACGTCAAAGAGCGAAATGAAAGCCCGCTCAGTGCCAGTTTGAAATAGGGCCAATTGAGCCAGGCCGGTCAAGACCAGGTCGTGGGAAGGCGTCAGCTCATGGCTTGGGCGAAGCTGGCCACTGTCGTTTACTTTGCTTGTAGACAGCAAAGTCGGATCATATCTGTTGCCATGCATTTTTGTCAGCAGGTTTCTCTCTCTAGCCTGCATATCGACCCAATGGTGGTTTTTTCCTACCCCAACGTTTATGCGTCGAAGAAAGAGGGGAGGGAATAGAGTAGAGTAGCGAGAGCAAAGGGGCAAAGGGCAAAGGGCAAAGAGCAGAAACAATAAGAAATCCCATGAACAAACTGACTTGAAAGTCTCGCGCTGCCGCGTTGCTTCGGACACAGCCCGATAGGGCGGCACGGGACGCCCATCCATTGTCTGGCGCTGCACCTATCCGATGCGGTGATGGTGTTGTGAGAAGAAGACAAGAGAGAGAAAAGAGGCAAGGATGTATCTTGGGGTTGGTTGTACGGGCTCTGTGCCGCGGTTAGTCATTGATTGAGAGCGCGCAGTCAGGTTTACTGCTTACGAAAGTTCACCGAGTGGATGCAAGGTTCAAATGGGCCTGCAAATACTGCTGCAGCCGCTAGGTCGAGGTCGGGATTCACCACCAAACAAAATCAAAGATGATGTTTTTTTGACAGTGCCCGACCTAGACGATGCTTTGCAAACTGGCAGTGTTGACAGGTTGGATGCTGGGCAAGAGATGCAGATGGATCACGGAAATGGAAGAGCGGAAGCGTATCGAAGAGCAAGGGTTGATGGCGGAGAGTTGGATGGATGAGGATGAGGTTCGAGAGATGGAGAGGTTGAGATGCAGTTGCCGAGAGAAGATGCGAGAAAGTGAAAAAGTGCAGGAGGATAGAGGGCAAGGGTCAGGCGAGGTTGACGGAGCGGCAACTCAGAGCCAGTCAGTTGCGAGGGGACCAGCCGCTGTAGCAGGTCCCGCTAATCCGGGCGGACAGCACCTGCAGTCGCTAAAAAGCTTCCAACGATGGACTGCAGCGTTCGTGAGCAGGGGCAGAGGGGAAAATTCACGGTTGGTAGGCAGGGGGGAAGAAAGTTGGAACATTTGGAAATCAAAGGGCCGGGCTTCTAGCGGCCGCAAGGGCCTAGAAGATGAAAAATCGTCTTCTTCAGAGCAAGCAGACAAGCAAACAGCAAACAAGCGGCTGCTACGGGTAGCGTGGACACTTGACTGCATCGTGGCGTTGATGCCTTAGTCCACGGTCTGCCGCTACTACGGGACTCTCACGGGGAGTGGATGCTTTGTCTTGGGCCTCTGGGGAGGGGACCCTGAAAAAAAGACCAGCCGAGAACGAAAAAGAAAAAAAAAAGGTAGCACAGGCAGATTAAAATCCGAGGACCCTGAACAAGGCTGTGGTGGAGAGACAGACCCTTTGGCCTGGGCTCATGACAAGGCATCGTCGAATCAGAAGCCCACTGATGCTGGTAAGACCTAAAGTGCGGAGACGGCAGAGTGGCTAGCGATGCCACCACGGGCAGCCATAGCCATGCTGGCCCAGTCCGAGGTACTCGCTCGTACAGAGCTCGTATAGAGGCGGTTTCGAAGGCTTGAGTCTGCTGCTGGGACTCGTAGAAGAGCACGACACGCACCTGAGGTAGATACTCGATATATACATGTACAAGAAACAACGTGAGACACGCCCCCTCCCTTGTATGCAAAGCAGTTCAATCTCGCCATCTTTGGATAGCCAAGACAGACAGTAGTGCGTAGAGCAGCACAGGCTATTGGTTGGCGGCTGGAGCCCATGCCGAGCCGGTGTAAGTTGTCGGGTGCTTTGATATGCAAGGCGGCCTATTACGATGCGCTCAGCCTGCTCCACGTCAAAACAAAATCAAAATCCAAAAGCTGTGCCTGTACGACTTGTGCCTGAGAGCGGTTTTGTGTCTCGCAGCTCCCTGGTGGAAGAGAAAGGCAGAGCAGCAGCTGGTACTGGTACTGATACTGGTACACGCTCAGAGCTCAAAAACGCCGCGCCAGCCGCAGCAAATGCCGAGCAGCCAGCCCGTCTGCGGGCGCCAGAGAGTCTCTGAGGTCTCGACCCGAGACAAGATCTGCCAAATTACCGGGTAGGATCCGGACGGCCAGTGCTTGGCTCAACGTGCCATGTAACATTTTGAAGGATTCACATTGACAGGTACCCAGCATTATGTACCTGCGAGCACCACAATCCTGGATTCTCGGCACTCATCCGATATTGGTGCGCAAGAGCTGACAGCTTACCAGGTGTGAGAAATGCTCCTTACTCGTAACATTTTGGAGAAGGAACAACAACAGCAAGATGCATATCACTTTACGCTAGTAAGATGGAATATGCAAGGGCCGATGTGATCTGCTCCCACTTGCTCTCTGTTTTGTGGTTCTTTCTTTTTTGCCTCCAGCCCAGCCTTTGGGCATGCGACACAACTAGGCCAGCAGAGGGGACCGTGAGCTCTGCTGCATGCATGTTTTATCGGCATATGCTCCGTAAAACCCTTTTGCCATCAGCTGATACAATGTGCGAGTAATATTGCATGCTGGCATCAGGCAGTGGAGCAAGATCTGGACACTACTGGCAGCAATCTGAGAGCACGTTCGGAGCTTTGCGAGTGCGGAGTCTCTAGATTTCTATGGGGCATCTCCAGCACTCCATCACCCGTTGAAGGGCACTGAAGGACCGGTGAGATCTCTGGATAGGACCCAAGGCTCCAGCAGACCGTTCTATCCGCACGCCCTAAAGCCCCCGTAGGAGATGCCCTCGTCGACCCTATTCACAGCACACCTGCCTCGTCTTCCCTCCTCGCTAACGTGTGCCGAGGACGAGACGAGGGCAGCTCTTGCCATGTTCAACTCTCCTTTGTCTCGTGACCCATGGGCACAAAGCACAAATTTCAAACCCAGAAAACCAAACTCGGTCTTCTCTCCCCAGTCCTCACAGCTTTTTCGACTCAAGTCAAGATCTTCACCCACTCACACAATCCTAGTGACTCCAGTTTCTCGAATCCAGAATCCACCACAAGCTTCACTGATCCACCCAGAACACAAGGGCGGACAAGACACATTGCCACACTAAAGCAACCTGTAAGCGCTCGGTCTGCCCCGCCAGCCATTCCGCACCCGCCCCTCCCAACCCATTCTGTCGATCTCACTAACTCACTAGTCGTAGCTGTTCATCCACTCAGCGTTCAGGATGCCTGACATGGAGCAGCTCTTCAACCAATGGGCTCGTCAAGCCCAGGAGCCCGAGAACGAGGACGATGAGCGTGAGCGTGTGGAGCGCTTCAACTTCAACCACTGGGCTCGAGGCCCCTGGGACCCTGAGGATAGTGAGGATGATAACTCTGATTCTGAATTTGGCTGGGGCGACTGTGACGGCAATCACCCTGATGCCGAGCATTGCGAGATTTGTGCGTCCTCCTTTGACTGTTATTGCTATAACTGCTACGCCAACGGCGCTGGCGATGATAGCTTCCACTACTACTACCGCCTGTTCTACTGGTACTACTACTATTTCTACATGGAGTACTATGCTGTTCATTACGCTGAGCGAGTCACTCGGGGATCTCAGTCTCGCCACGACCGCGATGACTACTTGTAGTCGCCCAGGCACTTTCGACGCACACGGGAGACCCAACGTTGCACCAGGTGATTTTGGTACGTTTGATCATGACGGAATCTGGACCGCAACATGGATGAGAAATGTCAGCTACGAAGGAATGAATGAATGTATGTAAAGATGGAAGTCCAAATAGTATCGACTCATCTGATAATCATTGATCAATTGCCGGGCAAACGCCCTTGACTACACTGCAGAAAAGTTTGTTGCTTGCTTCTCGGTCTTTCTTTAGTCTTGTGCCTCAGATTCCATGTCGAGCGTCAGCGATTCGCTCAATACTCCACCCCTCCTCTCCCGCTCTTGGGGCAAAAACCCATCTCGCAGCAATCAAAAAAAATTACCGGGTACCAACTGGGGTTTCACACTAATGGAACACAAAACATGGAGAAGGGTTGGGACAGAGCGGGAAGATCACGGGGTAAAGTCTAACATTAGCTGTCGTATACGGGTTACAGACCTTTACAGTATGTCTCTGTACGGAAGTGCCACAAGAATCCCGAGCCCACGTAAGGAGAAGGCAAAAAAAAAAAAAGAGACAAACACACACACACGCATTTCAAAAGAAGAACCATGCTAACACTATTCCAGAGTCCTATGCAGTGTACCAATTTGCCCTTGCCAAAATTCTAAGGAGATGAAAAAGAAAAGAAATCAAGATCGACCTTCACTATTCGCTCAGTTCAGTGGTATGCTCCGTGTACCATTGGATTCAACCCAACCATATCAGCAAAGTTGACAATGGTGTACTGCTGCTGAAGCCCGTCCAGTCTCTCTCGCAGATAATCTCGCTGCTCCCGCTCCGCTCGCTCGAAACTAAACAGGAAACGCACCAGAAAGACAAAATCGTGTATACGCCGCCTCACGTCTTCTTCGGTCTGGCCATAGCTGAGCGGCAGCGCCAGCACGTCCGCCATGGTGCTGGTGATTTCAAAGACCTTGTGCACCAGGCCGATGCTGTATGTGACGACGGTGGAGATGCTCTCGAGCTGGCTCACCAGGCTCCGCAGCTGCGCGGAGAGCCGATATACCTGCAGATGGATGGCTAGGTCCTCGCGCTGCGGCGCCGAGCGGAAGAGCCGGTGCATCAAGCCGTACTGCCAAAGCAGCGAGCGCATCCAGAGCCGGGTCACCAGCAGATCGACGTGCTGCAGCTCCGTAAAGGTGCCCCGGCCGCTGTCAATCAGGCCCTGCTCGGCCTCTGACGCGCCGGCCTCGTCTTGATCCAGCTGGGCCTGCTTGCCCTCGATCCACTGAAGGGTCACGCCAGCCACGGGCTGCGCCGGGTTCTGCTGGGCGCTCCAGTACAGCAGCAGAGGCCCGTCCAGGAGCTGGAACAGGCGGATCAGACGGTTGAAGCCAACGTCGATGTGGGCGGGGATGGCCGGGTCCCGCGCTGGCAGGCCCGTGGGCAGCGGCGTCATGATGCTTGGATAGCCGGCGAGGATCGTCAGGAAGCGCTCGTGGATGAAGACCTGCCAGTATATCCGGTGGAACTTGGGCACGTCGCGCGGCTCCAGGGGCACGGCGCTGTGCGAGCACTGCTGGACCTGGATCATCTGCACCATCGTCAGGGCCTCGCGCAGCATGGCGAAGCAGCGGTCGAGGCGGCCAAAGGCCATCATGGCCACGGCCAGGAAGACGCACGTCATGATGCGGCGGAACGTGGTCCGCACGTCCATCGGCCGGGCATTGTGGACGTCGTCAACCACCGCCTGTGCCCGCCTGTACGCACTGAGACTCAGTCGGATCAGCTCCGTCATCTTGGCACCGGCCTCGCCCTGCACCGTGGGCGTCGTCAGATGGATGGTCACTGCTCCCACCGCATAGACAAAGGCGGCGTCGTCGAGGTCGGCGTGCATGCTGCCAATGGACTGGCGGACCTCGTAGCTGGTGATGATGGGGCTGGCAGGATACACCTGCTCCTCGTACTTGGCCAGCATGCCGATGAAGAAGCCCGTGGTAAAGGTGCGGGCGTCCCATGCCGGAGGAGGAGGCGGCGTCTCTGCACCAACACCAACACCAGCTCCAACACCCATACCAGTGCCCAACGCATACCCACCATTGCCAGCAGCACCAGCAGCAGCAATGGCTATAGCAGCAATGCCGGCAGAGGCCACACCATCTTGATCCGGGTTCACGATGCCGGCGATGGACGTGACCGATGGGCCCGGCCTCTCGGGATAGTCAGACGGCGAAGCGGCAATGTTCAGGCCATGGCCCGAGGCCGCTATGTTGGACTTGTTGCGGAGCTGCGTGACCAGCCGGTTGCGCACGCTGGGCTTGCGCTTGGTCGACGGCGAGTAGATGCACCCGAGGCCCAGATGCGAGCACTGAGAGCACGGCTGCGTGCTATTGCATTTCACCTTTCGCACCCTGCATCCGTCGCAAGCTTGTGCTGCTCTGTTACTCATGGATGGAAAGCGGCATGGGGCGAGAATCAGTCCTGGTCTGGTCTCCTTGACGTGCACTTTTGGGCGCTGCGGCACTCTCTAGCTCATGGCGTCACTAATACCGAGACTAAAGGCACAAATGGATCCAACAAGCACAGCGTCTTAGGGCCCGTCGGATGCGAGAACAGACTGGAAAGGTATAAGGGGAAAATCTCACGAACAAAAATAGTAGTAACAAGGGGGGGGGGGAGACACAACTTTCTGAAACCCCGCCGGAGATATCGTTTAAACAAGAATTGAAAAACAAAAAAAGAGAAGAAGAGAGAGGCTGTGTGTGGGGAACCGGATTGGGAATCGGACGCATAAACACGCATACAGGCACAGCAGAAGAGAAAACGCAACGGCAGTCGGATCGAAAAGGGACAAAGAATGAAACGAAGCAGCAAACAAACAGTAGTAATGGCGATCGATCAAAGAAAAGGTCAAGGATCCGTCGGTCTGTCTCCGGGAATTTGGTATTTAACCCCCCCTCCCGCCACCGGCTATCCCGCTCTACCGTGCTCGAAACGAAGGCATGGCAATTGTACTTGTGGTTTTCCAAAGTTGGAATAGTAATTAGCCGCCAAAAAGTCGATATACGAAGCAGTCCAAGTTTGTGCGTATCTGCTTGCGTGTTTCTGCTGCAGTCTCCACATCAGACCTGAGCTGATAGGTTTTGATAACCCCAGGGCTATCATCGAATAGGCCGTGTGGCTCAATGGCAGAGCGTCTGACTACGATTAAGTAAATCAGGAGGTTGCAGGTTCGACCCCTGTCTCGGTCAATTTTTTGCTTCTCTCCTCATTGTGAGGATTCTTTTTGCTAGACCGATGTGATGTTGTCAGATTATGACCATTTTGGATAGTAGGACGGCTTTTACTTTTACCTACAAGGATCTGGCAGGTTGTGGAAGCAAACTCTGCTAACACCCAGTTTTTAGGCACCTAGGCTTGGGTTCTGTTTTGCCCAGCCTCGATTCGCACTTTACCGCCGTTCCGAGTTTCGGTGTTTCGCGACGCGCACGGGCAAAAGTATCACAGTGACCGTACGAGGTGATCATAAGGGACGGCTACAATGCCGAGCCAATACGGAAATATATCACGAGGAGTGGTCTCTGCAAATAGATCAACACTAGTCAGCGACCCAAAATAGCAACTCGATCTTGCCTGATTCTCTATCCTGGTTCCATTATACGACGATCTCCTCTACTCACCGTACACATGGACTTTAGGTATCAATTGAACGACAACATCCAATTGAGCCATCCGAAACTTCAATCGAGGAGTTAGCGAAGCTGCGAGAGCAGTACAAACAAGGATAAAGCCGTCCATCGAGTTGACGTTGGTGCATGATTTCGGCAGCAAGAGTTACAGCCGGATATCTCTCAGCGCATTTAGCCTTTTCGGTCAGTTTCGCTTAGCTCTACGGTGACGGCGGAAACAGCCAAGTAATCGATCTTTATCTAGCTGTAAAAGGCGATGGGATCGATTGTCGTCTTGGGTTTACCCAAGTCTCTTGATCCCTTCTTGCTGTGCCTTTTCCACTATTTCTCGTATTTTGAGACTGCATGAAGTGATCACTAATCTGCTGGACTTGAAGAGACACTGATTGGGGAGGTGCAAATTGAGATCGTCACTACGCCTGGGATCATTTCTATGCTTACATCTAACCATGGGCATAAAAGGGCGGAAAGGGTGTACACCTCGATGGTATATATAAAGTAGTGAGACCACCACCTTCCGAAACATCTTTAGAAGTCCATTAACAGCTTACAGCAGCCAAACAGAGATTCTGGTTAAACGGGCAAGTTCGCCATTCCTCGCCGCAGGTCCATTGCCACATACTCAGCCACTATGAAGCTCTTCACCTCATTCCTCGCCATCGGTCTCTTCACCGGCGTGTCCATCGCCCAAAACAGCACCGTTCAAATCGCCCACGTCACTCTTCGCTCCGAGGGCGACGACCATTCTTTTCCCATGAGCGTCCCAGCCGACGGCAAGCCCGTCTACACATACAGCACGCTTCCCGTACAAAAGATTGACGCTCCCGACTTTGACGTGCTCCAGGCATGTGTGATTGATACCGTCGGCCCGGCGAATCTGAGCAGCACGATTGCGTCGGACAATGTGACGCAGCAAGTTGTGATTGATCCGCCGCAGACGGTCACGAGTATTACCTGTTCGGGCACTTGTATCGAGACTTGGAGTGAGTTTATCTTTGTTTGACGACACGTTGGATTATAAGAAGCGAGATGCTAAGATTGAGACAAATTAGGTGCCTGTGTTGACGATGCAACCGCCCAGTCACTTGGGCCTTGCTGTAATGGTCTTTGCATTGCTAATCGCTGCAGACCTTTTAACCAGCCATGAGACAGTCGGGTCATGTAAAGCGATTGACATGAACTCTTGATTATACGCGGTCACGATTTGGAACATGATAAAGAGCATATATATATATATGGAATAAGAGCAAACAAATTATTTCTCGCGCGGAGAGTCCAGTTAGTAATACAGCATCAAGATTTGGGTTCTACTGGAAATGGAAACGAAGCAACACTTGAGATACTTATACTGAACGACAAAAAAGAACAAGAAAAAAAGAATGAGAATCTCATCTCAAAACAAATCATCAAAAAATAATCAATTCTCATTATATGACACCTGAGGGATTCGAACCCTCGCCTATTTCTAGACCGCGAATAGATTGCATGGCAGAACCAAGCTAAACCTGAACACGGCGCCTTAGACCGCTCGGCCAAAGTGCCTTGGCGAATTGATGTTCAAAGTAGCACGAGTTGTGGCTCAAGAACTCTGAGAGGCACCAACGGCCGAGATTGCAAGCAAATATTGTTTGCAAGCAAATATTGAACTTGGCCTAGGATCAATGTCCAGCATACATGCATACCATCTATCTACTACTATCTACTACTATCTACTGTTGTCGTGAAATAACCAGTCGTCTTCGCACAAATTAGGAAACAGCCAATTCATCATCGTCACAAAAAGAGAATTGCCGGGAAAAAATCATGTGAGAGGAAGCACCCCCAAAATATGTGCCGTCATTATCCAACTCTATCGCTGTATCAAAAAGAAAACGTCCATCCCAGTATACTGTCTTCTCCAACGCCAGAAGCTCGCCAAATCATACAAGTAAGGTACACACAGCGGATCCAATCCGTCATTTCCGTAGAACCAATGAAAAAGAAATAAGAGGAAGGGAAGAAAACAGTAACCGTAAAAGCAGAAAAATCCGCACGTTCCGCTATTAGGAAAATCAAGCCAGGAGTGCCGTCATATCATCATCGTATCTATGAGAAAGGAAAAGAAGAAGAAGAGAGGAGACAAGCAGAGAAGGAGGAGAATAGTTGCCCATTATCGATATGCCGTGACTTTACAGTGCATTCATCTCCTCTTCTTGTCCTTTTTAGAGTTGAATCCATCGGCCAAAGCAGCACTCATAGCGGCACCAACCACTTTGGCGCCCTTTGGGCCCACCCAGGAACCTTCACCTTTGCGATGCTGCATGAAGGCTTGCGCCGCGGCTAGAAGGGCCGTTTGACCTATAGCCTGAACTTGAGGATTCTTCCAAAGGGGAGTTTTGGCTCGGTTGCTTGAACTTTCGGGGTTTGTGCTCCGGCGCTTCAGGTGGCCGCCATCAGCAGGTGCACGGTCCCGGCCACTGCGTCGGTCTTTGTCGCGACTTCGGTCTTGGTCACGGCTTCGATCTTTGTCATGGCTTCGATCTTTGTCACGTCGTCGGTCTTCATCACGTCGACGGTCTTCATCACGGCGTCGGTCATGGTTTCGACGTCTATCTCTCTCATCATCGCTTGCATAAGCCGGGGCGCCGCGGGATCGATGAGAGGGATAACGGTCACGATCACGATCACCAGCTGGGATGTTCCGAGAAGATCCATATCTGGGGTCGGGGGAAGCGTTTCGATAACGTGAATATTGTCCTCCATATGGTTCTCGATTTGAAGACTTGTGACGGCGCTCACGTGGCTCCGGAGGGTAGTCATAGTCCCGTGGGCGCCGGTCATCGTCTCGGTGGTGAGAGTTTCTCGGCGCATCTCTTTGCGAGCCTCTCCGGGAGTCCCTCGGCGCGTCTCTGGGCGGACGTTTGTCATAATAAGGGTCATTTGATCGATACTCGCGAGGCATGTTGCTGTGGCCTGGAGAAGGATCACGATGGCTGCTGCGTCGAGATTTGTTGTCGTCGCCGGGAGGTGAGTCTCGCCGACTCTTTTCAGGTTTTGACCGGCGGGATGAGGAAGATTCTTGAGAGTTGATATCGAGCGGTTCCTCTGGATTGTAGTAGGAGTGGTTGAGGCCCTGCGGCGCTTCAGGTTCTGAGCGTCGAGGCATGATGGCTACGCCGTGTCTGATTTATAGGTAAAGGTCGTGGCCAGCGAGTGCTTGATCGACAAGTCGAAAACGAGAATCAAAAACGAAACAGCAAATGAATAACATCAGAACGTTGAACACACAGGGAACAGCATATCAGAAACGAGAGAACAGCGTTCAAGACAGTGTTTGCGGCACGTTCAAGGTTTAAGTATAAGCTGAGCTGATGGGCGAAGCATCGAGTCCATCGCCGTCATTGGCCGCCGCCCCGCTGACGCCTGGAGAGGGGCCGCATCTGCAAGTCAGGAGGGGCGGCCTCTGACTTACAGCGATGCGCCAACGGGCCTACAGCGTGCGCAACGCCCTAATCTTGCAGCGATCCCAGCGGCCATGGCAGCGATCCGGAAAGGCGTTCGGCGCGCTGCAGGGAATCCGCGGTCTCCTGACGTCACACGAGCCAATAGGCGGTTCCGCCCGGGCATCTGGTGAGAGCAGCTCTGGGCTGGAGAGTCGCCTGACGTCAAACAGAGGTATCAAGTGGCGGTGCAGCAAGTTGAACAATCAGCAGCCACTTGTTGGACAGAGAGAGAAGAGGCTGTTGTGAAAAAATCTTTAAATTGAGCAGGGATATGGGCTCGGAGTGTTGATCATCAGGGCTTGCGGCAGATGCGCTCAGTCACCAGGCAACGGTGCTGTTGGACTATGACTGTCTACTGTCTTCTCAGTGTTGGTTGAGTTCAGTGGTAAAGTGTAAAATAATCAAGGCACTGCAGCTGCCTACAGTACCTAGCTTTTGCTGTACATCATCGTGTGCTAACATGAATTCCGCGTTGACAATCTGCGAGAAGCCGCCGAAGACACTCCAAAAGACGCCGGTCCATAGTGAGCTGACTGTGTACATGTATCATCCGCCAGAGGGATCTTCAGGAGTCGCCGAGTCGCGGAAGAAAATCCCACGGAGCTTTTTCGATGCTACGAATTCAAACTGTGCAGGTCTGTGTGACGGCGTCCGGCTACAGACGATCCCGGCCAAGCCATGCCGAGAGTTAAAAGGACGCCGCCACCCGCGACCCGCGATCCGAGCCGTTCCTTCGGGGGTTGAAAATTGCACATTCGATGGTGGTCGCCAACTGGAACATGAGAAAAGGGTTGTTGAATTTGATGGCACAGCATTTTGCTCCGCCACTTGGTAATGCAGAAGTCATATACGGAGTGACACCGACGGAAACATGCTGTAAAAGGAATGCTGCATGTACTATACATGTACCTACATTTTGCCAGCATGCCTCCGATATATCATCGTTCGCTGCTTTGCCCTCAAGCTTTCAGTAACGCCATCGCATATCGCTCCTGATATCAACATTTCTCCCTTCATAGGCATGCCTGGATGTCACTGGCAGTCTGCACTGACGTGTGGCAATACTCGTAATGTTGCGATGCGGGTCCTGTTGGCAGCTACCCGGTATTTTTCTTGATATCCTGCGAGACTGTTTCACAGCGCGGATGCATTATTACGTCGCCTTTTGCGCATTTTCCAACATTGCCAACAGCTCAATTGGAACTTTAATTCTTAATGATGAAAGACTGAAAGAAGCTTTTTTGACGTGGCGGTCGATCATCAAGGCTACTACTGCCTCCTCTTGGAAGAGATGGATCTCGCATGCTTCTTATTGGAGAGACTCATGGGCAATGATGCTTATGCGCATCAACGTATTACACTTGCTGAGTAAACCAAGACACAACGGCACTTAGCCTGCTTTTCAGAGTAGGCAAGCAAGCTTGTATGCAGACAATCAATCTATAGAAGGAAATCAATCTATGGTAGGATTGATGCCGTGCTGTATTATGACATGACATCTATAGCGCCAGAGCCATCCAGCCATTACTACGGCAGCTCTAATCGCAAGTCCTAGCAAATATCGTGAAGCGATGCGTACCCGCAAGATCCACACCTCTCTGGAGCTGTGCGCAAGGGCTTAAAGCCTTGTCAAGGCATCCTTGTCAATGATTGATATACCGGTTCTTCGGCGTGTGATGCGGGCCCAGCGACGGCCAGATCTCGATTCTCGGTTTGAAGCCAGCAAGTGTCTGTGCTTGGTTTGGCTTTGGCAGCCCTTATTTACCTCTTCATCATATCATTTTCATTGTATCGAGCATAATACCTGTATTTCGTGTTACATGTGTGCTGAAGATGGCAACCACTGGCAATCGGCCGCCAAGCAGATGCGCCGCTGGCCGCAATCTATCTACTAGAATCTACTCATGATGTATCAATCTGTTATCCAATCGCCGAAATATCCCAACACCCATCATCAACAACAAGTAATACACTTCCAAGCCCGCCCGTTGTCAACCCCCATATGCCGGATAATCAGTGTATCCGACAATCGGGTCCTCAACCGGCCCGTAGAAGCGAGACCGATTGTACTTTGCCAGTGGCCAGCCATTCCGCAGTCTCTCCACCAAGTCTGGATTGCTAACAAAATACCGCCCATACAGCAAAGCGTCGTATTTGCCACTCTCGATGACTCCCCACGAGTTCGTGTCGTCGAATCCACCGGCAGAGAAGAATGGCGTGTCTCCCCAAATCTCGCGGAAGACAGACAAGTCGACGTGGGGGAGACCCCATGACTTGAGAAACCTTGCCTTTTCGGCCTCGGAGAAGATTTGCTCGTATCTTGGCTCGATGAAGCTCACATACGACAGCTTGGGGTGACGGCTCTTGAGTTCCCGGGAGAGGTGGCCCCAAGTCTCAATGCGCTGCTCGCTACGAGCCTGGTTAAAAACGCCAAAGGGACTCAGTCGAATAGCCAAGTTTTCTTCTCCCACGGTTTTGGCCAGCTCGTCCATCAGCTCAAGCACAAATCTGCAGCGCTTCTCTGGCGTGCCTCCATACTCGTCTGTCCGTTTGTTGATGTTGGAGCTCAGGAACTGCTCTGGCAGATAACCGTTTGCTCCATGGATCTCTATACCGTCAAAGCCAACATCCATAGCTGCTTTCGCAGCAGTGCAGTGATCTCGAATCGTCTGCTTGATGTGGTCGACCGTCAATTCGATGGGCGGGTGCTCACTCAGCTTGACTGGCGTCGTCGAGTGCGGCGGAGGATATGCATAGCACTCGTTTGGGTCGTCAAAAGGGATACTTGACGGCGCAACTGTTGCAGTACCGGTGATCTGTGGAAGAGTGACACGACCGGCGTGCCAGACTTGTGCATATATATAAGCGCCTTTGGCATGGACTGCGTCGACAACTTTCTTCCAACTCTCTACTTGCTCTTCTAGAAAGAGCCCTGGAGCACCGGGCAGACCGTTGGCCTAAGAAAGACTTGATGTTAGTCATGTCATATAGTTATGCTCTCAACTGGCTCTACACGCTTCACCTCGGATGAAGGCGGAGTTGCTTCTGTGATGAGCAGTCCACCCTTTGTTGCTCGCTGAGCATAGTACTCGGCAATAAGGTCATTGGCAATCCAGTCACGGTTTGGATTCTCAGCTGTGGAAGTGGCATGAAGGGGTGTACCGCGGTTTCTGCTCATGGGAGCATGGATGATGCGGTGTTGGAGAGTGATTTTGCCGCCCGCAATGGTTAGTGGCTCGAATAAGCCGGAATCAGCTCCGACCTTGAATTGAGAACCCATTTTGACTTGATACAGGTGGAAGGTTTATGACACAACAATAATCGGTCACACGCCGACAGAAGGACTTTAAAGCTATTCTGAAGTAGAAGAGACAGAGAGAGAAGCTCTTTTATACCACAAGAGTGAGCAATTGCGACACTGATTCCAGCATTACGACAAACAACAACCGCACGATTTGATCGCATCAATCGGCTGAACATTGAAGAAAACACGAATCTGTGAGTCTTTAACTCCAGACACTCCACTCAATTCCGCACGCATGCCCGTGATGACCCCACAGAGGTGGCATCGAAAGCCAGTGCCAAGCAGTGCCTTTCCCAGAGTGCCCGTTGGGAAGATGATGTTTATGGTGGCGGGTTTAGGCTATAAGGATTATCTACCGGCGTTGCTGTCAAGTGATGTGGCTCAGCAATAAATGGGCTCCAATTGTCTGTGTATGCCACGAGAATGGCATCTGTCAAAGTGGCTTTGGTTTGAGCAGATACTACCCGGAGAGAACCTGCTGTTAACCCCGATATTGGCGTGTCATGTTAAATAATGTTGACACAGTTCCCGGCAAACTGCGGACTTGTATGGAGAATGCTTTCTTCTTTGTTCGTCGCACCGCTTGACGTTCTTTAGCAGCTCCATTCTTATCCCAGCTCGTGCTTGATTTTGACGGACGTGTCCACAACAGCTCCCATTCTTGCTTGGTCTGGCCCACTTGGATGTCATGTTCAGCAAGCTTGCTGCAGTGGATGATCTCAAGAGAACCTTAATGCCATAAGGCTGGATGGTAACCAGAGGAAGGAAAGTGAGATCTAATCCAGCAGACACCTGCCAGACACCTGCCTTGAACTTTCGAAGAAGGATATTTGGTGAACTCGTACCCAAGTGAAACCTGCTCCGGGTTCAAACGAAATTTGATGCCTTAAGGTAGGTCTTTCATCTGGCTTTCTATTTGTAGAGGACTGAGAATAGCCAAAAGCTTTCATCAGGCCATCCAAAAGTGAGAAGAAACCTCAAATCCATGTTGCCGGTTTGAACAACGAATTATTATTTCCAGAGAAGCGGCGGTTTGAGACCGACTTGGTTTGCCGATGCGTGAAGACACAAAGAGCTGTTTAGCAGGTCATTATACTCCAGCACCTGTTCAGCTACAAAATTAAAAAAAATCATGACTGGCCATCATGCACCATTAGTCAAAGAAGTATATGAGAGCAATGTAGAGACATGCTGGTCGAAACTCCACAGAGAGATAGAGAAGAAGAAAACACAAAACAAGCGCCAGACGATACAATAGAAAGATGAAGAGCAATTTTCCGCTTGCCTGGGGAATGCTCTAGTCGCAAAAGCCAACAGTCTCTGGTGCTACACCGTTTTATTAAAAATGTATATGCATCAATTCTAAGGTAAGCGAGCTTTATATCTTCTCCTCCTCAACCCTTCCATTAGAAATACTCATGTTTCTCGCAGAGTCTTTCATAATACTACGATCCCAAGTCTCCAGAGCTGCGACTGACAAGCTATTCGCTGTGGCTGTAAACCCGTTCTAATCGATCTTTTTATTAATTTATTCTCCGCGTTACTATGCTCAGCGTGGATATTCTGTTTTACTGATTGACCAATGCATCTTGTCAAGAGCGTACCACCAACCGGGCGGAACAAGATACTGACACGATAATTTCGTCAGCGCGGCTACCTATTCATCCTACTTCTGCTCGCATTTAATACACTACTGCTCTGGCTGCTCGTTTAACGAGATTGTACTTTATAAGCTTGCTGTCTGCCAGGAGATATCGCCACAAGGCTTGAATTGAAGAGACACGATGGGACCAAAGAAAGGCCCTCAAAAACCCCTAGGCATCGAATAAGGCCAACGTGATCGAGGATCCTGGTACTATTCCTTCTTAGAGTCCGCGAAATTTAGGGATATGCGAATGTTGATGCTGTTTGACCTACGATCCAACCAAGGCGTCTTTAAAATGAAGCAGAACGCCAGTTGATTGTCCATACCGTCTGAATCCGTCAACATGATTCATCTGTGTGCAAAGCTTCCAAAGCTCATACCTAAGGCTTTGGTAGAGTGGCATTTATGAGCAGCTGTTCTCTCGAATCTGGTTGTCATTGTGCTAGCTTATTGGCATGACTCTTGATGCCGGCAGTTGAGTCGATGACGGTCGAAAATAGGCAGGCTGACTATTTTCCAGCTTGAATAAGCGGCGAATAAGCAGCGCTGTTTATACCATTGTCACTCGATTCGCCAGCTCCTGCGCAACAGTACAAGCACACCATTGCAACACTGGCTGCATCATCAGCGAGCGACGCACGTGAGAGTCCAACAATGCATGCGCACCAAGCTGTGTCACCATCCCTTTGTTAATAGGTCGGATGGATGCCTGGCCGGCTATCCTTTGATTTGGCTAAAGGCGAGTTGCCTCCGCGCTCGGACTTATATGCTGTTACAGAGCTGATACACGACGTGAGCACACGGCGTTGGCTGTCCAAGCTGTTTACGAATGCTGAGTAACTCAAAGTCGATGCACCACCTCGGGCCAAAGTCCTATTTCAGAATGATAAATCGTCAATAGCGCCCGTTGATGGAGGTCGCCGATCTCACGTCTTGGAGCGGCACAGCTGCCTACAGTATTATTTAGAAATGATATGTCGTGTGAACACACGGACCAGAAGTTCTCCCTGCAATGAGAAGTAAGCGTTTATGCTTATGGCCTCGGCCTTTCAAGCGCGAGTTTGCCGTCGATAGGCTGCCGATCTGAATCGCGGGGGTAAGCTCAAATCGAAGGCTGCGGCGGCGTTTCACTGACTCTCCGTGGACCGTACTCGTACGTAAGAGGACATCTGATAAGCTATCGCGGCCGGCAGTTGACGACATCGTCCCCGGATAGGATCGAATGCTACATAGTATCTCCAACTTACAAGAGTATCACAGAAAGCATCTCCCCATGCAACGGGGGTCGCCGCTCTCCATCTCGCAGGTTCCCGGAAACTGGGGAGATGGCGATCTTATGCTGCGGAGGATGATGCTAGCGAGATGTAAGTTGCGATAACGATGCAGGTACGATGAGCGTTATCTTGGACGAGTTGTACAAGCTTGGAGGAAGCATACACGAAGGAAGCTATGTATGGAGACTGATAAGAAACAAGAGGCCCGATAGCGTTACGACGGCGACCCCGGACAAGCTGGAGCTGCGGAATCAAACAAGTGCGGAATCGAAGCAAAGGGCTGCCCTGGGGCCTTGGCTTATCTATGTGGAGCGATTGGTTGGACAGCTGCTGTCTGAAATTTTCTTTTGGCTCGTGGCGTGGCGCCGCGCCGTTTTAGCCCGTCTTCCATGATGGAATTGTTCGAGCTGGAACCTTTCCTGATGGGGGCAAATAAGACGGGTATTGTGCCTTTTTGAGGCTTGACTCGCGTGGGCTGATGGCAGAAAATTGGAAATATGTGTTCCCGCAAAACAAAGATAAGGAATGGAAGTAAGGGTCTGGTAAGCCGAGATATATTCTAGGGTCTTTTTTTATGGGCTCAAGAGCTGCGAAATAGGACGAATGAGAGGAGCAATTTGTGGATTTTGGAGATACTATTGATGGGAGTCATTCTTACGGTACAGCTTGTGTGCAACATCAACCTTTTCTTGTGTCTGTCTCAGCCAACCTTTGGGCAACCTTGATGAGTTGTGCTGAAACAACGACAAGGATCTGCAAAGATAGAAACACGACATCCATCCAGAACAAAAAAAGAAGCATTCCATTCACATCGACAACGAGGCGGTCAAGACAAACATCCATCTCAAGCTCGGGACGCATAAAGTTCTACACATGCTTAGCTGCAACAAAAACCTGTGCGCTGCGCTAGCCGACGGTCCGAGGGAAATTGATGAACCTCCATCTTCAGCGAATTGATAGGACAGGCAGCCCGTCTTTTTTTGGGGGTCCAAGTCCAAGTGCTCCAAAGAAATGGCCGCTAAATTTCATTCTAGCCCGCCAACCCGCATCCGCCGATAGAAGCAGCTCCGGCGATGCGCTTCTCTGCGTTGCGTTGCACTGCATTTTGGGGGGGACCAGGTTCATGTTCTTTTGCCAGCATGAACTCCACAGATACCGATTTTAGCGGCAGCAGCTGGGAAGTGGGAGGGAGTGACGACAGTTGCAGAGAAGAATCGGAGATGCAATCAATGCAAGGGAAGATGCTACTCTGCTTGATTGAAGTTTTTGATTGTTCGTCCATATTCAGTACAATCCTTGATCCAGCAATCTGCCTTTCCAACGAGTCGCTACACCAATATCAATCCTGTCGCATACATGCATGGCTGGTCTAGGAAGGGCACGCGAGATAGAGGAACAAAGCCGACGCCTCTTCCGCCCACAAGCCACAAAATCAGCACCGTAATTGATCCCATCCAATAACCCGTAACGTGCCTAGGCCAAAATAGACAAAATATAACTCTCTTTTTTCTTTCAACCCTCCTCCCACCCCCGCGGCGCCCTCGCCCCTGGTTCCATTTTCCATCCTCTGGACCGCCACCGACCATCATTTAGCCCAGGCCCCACCACATTAGGTACGCGAAAGGAAAAAAAAAAATTAGTAGAAGTCGTCGATGTAGAGGTGCTTTATAAGGGCGAGCTCTCCCGCAGATCAATCTCTCCCCTCTTTTCCCTTCCAGAGGACGTATTCGTTCCTTCAGTTCGTTTGCGCACCCTCTCAAACTTCAACTTCAATATCCCAAACAGCCGCAGCCATGGGTTGGATGGATACAGTCAACGGCAAGGTCGCCCGCAGTCCTGTGGGTCGATGGTTCCGGCTGGAGGGCTCTGGTCATGTAAGTCGCCAAAAACTTCTTGCGTTTGAGTCACACCACGAGACCTCTTCTTGCTGCCAAAAAGAGCCTCGAGATGGGCAGAAGCAGCTTCCAATGTCTCAATAAACGTTGATTCCAGTACTCATCATGGTCGTCTTTTAGCCCAAGGAACGAAAGGGATCCCTCTTCTTCACCGAGATCCGCGGCGGCATGGCCACCTTCTTCGCCATGGCCTACATCCTCGCCGTCAACGCTTCCATCGTCTCTGATACCGGCGGAACCTGCGTCTGCAACGGAGGCCCGTCAGATCCCACCTGCAACAACAACGACGAATACGCCTTGTGTGTCCAGGCCATCAAGCGCGACGCCGTCACTGCCACCGCCGCCATCTCGGCCTTTGCCAGCTTCTTCATGGGCCTCTTGGCCAACCTGCCCGTCGGTCTCGCTCCTGGAATGGGCCTGAATGCCTACTTCACTTATACTGTTGTTGGCTTCCACGGCACCGGTCCCGTTCCTTACCAGGTTGCTCTGACTGCCATCTTCGTTGAGGGATTCATCTTCCTGGGTCTCGCCCTTTTCGGTATGCGACAGTGGCTTGCGCGAGCTATCCCGCACTCCATTAAGCTGGCTACCGGTGTTGGTATCGGTCTCTTCTTGACTCTTATCGGTCTCACCTATAGCGAGGGTCTTGGACTCGTCGTTGGCGCCACCGACACTCCCCTCGAGCTTGCCGGTTGCTCGCCCGCCAATCAGCTGGAAGATGGCACATGCCCCAGCTGGGATAAGATGCGTCACCCGGCCATGTGGATTGGCATCTTCTGCGGCGGCATCTTGACCGTCCTCCTCATGATGTACCGCGTCAAGGGCGCCGTCATTGCCGGCATCATCCTCGTCAGCATCATCTCCTGGCCGCGAACCACGCCCATCACCTACTTCCCCCACACTCCCGTTGGCGACGACAGCTTCAACTTCTTCAAAAAGGTCGTAGACTTCCACCGTATCGAGCACACTCTCAACGTGCAGCAGTGGGACGTCAGCGAGTACGGCGGCCAGTTCGGTCTTGCGCTCATCACGTTCCTCTACGTCGACATCCTGGACTGCACTGGTACCCTCTATGGTATGGCTCGCTTTGCCAACCTTATTGATCCCGTCACTCAGGACTTTGAGGGCTCTGCTGTAGCCTACATGGTCGACGCCATCAGCATTTCCATCGGCGCTCTCTTCGGCCTTCCTCCCGTCACGGCTTTTGTCGAGTCAGGTGCTGGTATTTCTGAAGGTGGCAAGACCGGTCTCACATCCGTCGTCACCGGTATCTGCTTCTTCATCAGCATCTTCTTCGCCCCCATCTTCGCCTCCATTCCTCCCTGGGCCACGGGCAGTGTCCTCATCATTGTCGGATCCATGATGGCCACCTCTGTCACCGAGATCAACTGGAGATACATGGGCGACGCCGTTCCCGCTTTCCTCGCCATTGCCATCATGCCCTTCACATACTCCATTGCATACGGCCTCATTGCTGGTGTTATGTCATACATTATCATCAACTCCACTGTCGGCTTGCTGCGATACGTCTCTGGTGGCCGCATCGTCCCCCCTAATCACAACGAAAAGGAGCCCTGGACATGGCGCATTCCTGGCGGCTTCTTCCCTCCTTGGCTTGTTCGTTTATTCCAGGGCAAGAAGGATTTTTGGCGAGGCTCAGAGACGGTCGTTGTTGAGGAGCACGTCGTGGAGAAAGAGCGAGATGCCAACTCTGAAGATCACGATGCCACTGATGTGAGCCGCACCACCGAAACCCCCGAGGTCAAGTTATAGAAGAAAAATAGGAATCTGCTCCTTGCCATAGAGGCAGACTTCTTTTTTTTTTTTTTCCTTCTTGTCGCTTGTTTCAGCTTGCCATGTGCATATAGAAAAGTCGTTCGAACGAAGTCGCGATGTGTCGATAAAGGTGATTTTTTTTGTTCAAATTTTTGAGATGTCGATTTTCAAAATGATTATGTCCCCGATATATAAAGAGATGGATGGTATAGAGGTCTTTGGAAGGGAGAACTCGAGTGGGTATAAACACCTAAACAGAGGGAAAAGAGGTTGGAGTTAGTATTTTTTGTTGTACATTTGCCATGATACCTATATCCTGCATCATAGCAGGAAGAAAATAAAGTAAAAACCTTTTTAATTATATGTCGACTCAGCTTGAAAGGTATGAAACAACGAGCGTGATAAACATCACCAAATGATAGAGATCAAAGTGGCTTCTTCATGATTCATGTATATAGTCATATCTTCATGATCTTCTGGCGGGTATATATCGTAGATCCCAAACATGCCAATTCGCTTTCAAGCGCTCAAGTCATCGGTCTATGCCATCAAAGCAATGTGTTTAAGCTCACTAGAAGCTCTGTCAGTATATCAGAAACCAAAAAAAAAAAAAAAAAAAAAAAAAAAAAAAAAAAAAAAAAAAAAAAAAAAAAAAAACATCCAAGCAGCACTCACTCTTGAACTTGGTATCCAACCTTTGTAGGAGGATACTTTGCCGGCTCGCCCTCGTCTCGTCCCAGCTTCGCCTGCTCCTCGCGCACCTTCTCCGCCCTCTCCGCCAACTTGGGCACAGGCGCCAAGTCAAAGTCCGAGTTGAGATGCCAAAACAGCGTGCTCGAGATCCTCACCAGCGGCCTATCCGGGAACTCGATCTTGCGCCGCTCAATGGTCTCAATGGTGCGCTCGTTGACGACGACCTCGTGGTATCCGGCCTTGATGAGCCCGCCGGTGATGTACTCGATTTGCTTGCCGGCCTGGACGAGGAGATAGTTGCCCTGGGGGATCTTGACGGGGATGCGGGATCCCGTGTTGCGGGCCCAGATATTGAGGCCGGGGTAGCGAGAACGGCCGTGGATGGTGAGGAAGTTGAGGTCGGTGTGGAAGCCGGCGAGGATGGTGTCGAGGGAGGCGTACTTGTTGAGGTCGGAGGCAGTCGGGGCGAGGAGATGGGGGCTATTTTATAAATAGAATCAGTATTGAGAACAGAGTCAGGAAAAGAGGAGACGAGAGATTTAACGAACCCGTAACGGCCGGCGTTGCTGAAGTAGTCGGCTTCGAGACCGAGGCCGAGTGCTGCCATTTCGGAGAGTTTGGAGACGCTGTGTTTTGTTACATAGTCAGATTATTGAGTCCAGCTACTTGGTACCTGTATCTGACTTCCAAAACAGTGAGACTCACGCATTCTTCATGGAGCTTCCCCACAGATTCATCGTCGGAGCCCATCGCTCCTTGATATGCGCCGCATCAGGCGTGATGTTCTCCGCATTCAAGCCGGGGAACTGCGTCTCATACGGCGGCAGCTCCACCATCCTCCAGAAGAACCGAGCCTTGGGATCTGGTGAATGCGCAGAAATGTCCAGCGGCCGCTGGCTCGGGTCCAGTCTCTGGATGATGTCTAGGCACGGCTCGTCGACGGCACATTTCGGCTTCTCGGTGTTTTCGAGCGTGACGCCTATCTGGTAGCTTAGCTCGGGCCGCTCGTCGCGCTTCAGATCTTCTTCAGGCTGGGCGAAGTAGTCTTCGAGGAGGTCGAGGAAGGTTTCGTTGTCGGCTTCGGAGACGCGCGAGTCGTGGAGGAGGAGGGCGCCGTAGGTGATGAGGGACGAGGCGGCGCGGGAGCATTCGGCTTGGACGAGGGGAGAGGTGGGAGGGTTGTTGAGGTAGATGTCGAGGTCGATGATGGGGAGATCCATCGAGAGCTGGGATTGTTGCGATTCGGATGCCATGATGGATGATGTGGTGTTGAGAGGATGATCTACAAGTCGGTAGACAAAGAAGGAGCAGGGAAAAGAAGACAAAAAGACAAAGAGACAAGGGTAAGATAATATTGAACAAGAGAAGGAGAATTTTTTATTTATTTAAGCGAGGCTCGATTCAGTTCTCGTCTAAACAATCTAAAGATCCAAATCTGCAAGCTATTAAAGACCAAAAGATCCAAGATCCATGCTTCTTCACCAAAAGTGGCATGAGGGGGAGGGGCTCCAGCGAGCAGCCGTCGACGCCAAAACTTTTTCAGTGGACCTCAGGCTTCGGAGCCGGCCGAAGTTCGCACGGAGGACGCCTCTGGATCCACGTTGGGAGCGTCTGGGGGAGATTTCGAGACGTAAAAGAAATCCACTCTTTGCCAGGTTAGGAGACTTTTTGGAGATTGTTTGCTGGAAGAAAAGAAGAAGCTTGTGATTTCGAGCTGAAGGGGAAAAAGCAAAGAAAATTTGCCAACAAGGATCCTCTCAGCCTCGCTTGTTGTGGGTGGTTTGTGTGTGCCGATCCTAGGCGAATGCCACCACTTACATGCATACAAGGGACCTTTGCTTGCTTCGGTGCAGCAAGGAGATTTTACGGATATCACATGCATATAAGACTAGCATCGTCATGCAAAAGCCATGGGCCATCACCTCCAACCCTTGCTGGAATACTGCTTTTTCGTCCGGAATCGCGGGCCGACATTCCGGAGAGCTCTCTCCAACCGGATGTCGTTCCTGTGCATTGCATGAATATCAAGTCTTCTGTAACGCGAAAGAGGAGGTTCTGTTCAGGGCTTTGCGTCTTTGGATTGGTAGAGGCCCTGTAGATTCTGGAGGGTGGCGACGGGGAAGAGAGGCGATGCATCCGGTGGCGGTGAGCGACGCAGAAGATCAGGGATTTGGTGAAACTGAGTGCGGAAGAAGTACATATACCTATACATGGAGCACTGTAGAGCTTTAAGTGAAACAAATGCGCTGTGCTTTGGAGCTGTTGGAGACTAAATGCTTTCTGTCGTGCGACCACACCTCCCATCGAGGAGTAGCATCAAGACGAGCTGCAAATATATCCATATCCTCTTATGTAAGGTAACAAAAGAAAAACAAACTAGTAGCATAGGTAGGATTCAAATTCAGCATCTATACTGTAGGGCTGTAAACAGCGTGCTAATGGAACAATATAGCGGATGTGAAGGGTGCATGGGATGAATGAGATCGAGCTCACCAACAGCTGATGCATCGCCAATCCACCACAGCTGGGACAGGCCAATCCATCGTGTACCACAGAACAATAATACACAATAGCTCTATTCATCTGCATTATATCATCAATAGAGCTTCTCGAGCTGCTCTTGTATTTAAATCTATAAATATCTCCTACTTCCTGCTCTAGATGGCTGTAATCGTGTCCTCCATCTAAACCACCCAGCTTGGCGTCCAAAATTGCACATCCAAATTCTTCAAGCGAGGTTCGCAATTTCTATACCGCGGTTTTCATGCACTTATACACTATAAGACTTTCTAATATCGGGGAATCGGTCTCTTATATCGGAATACTGGACGCTTTCTCTGGGTTGCAACCCTCAACTTCGAGCGAGCAACCCTTAAACTCGAGCGATCTCTGGGCAAAACCTTGAGAAATTGCCGTCTCATCAGGGTCAAATCGGAGCATTCTGCTCTCAATTCAGGATTAAGTGATGCCAAATTATCACCAACTCCAGGGTTACGCAGAGCTTTTGTCGAGATTTTGGCGTTGTAACCCTGAATCTTGGTGTTGTAACCCTGAGGCGAGGTGAGATTTGAGATCAAAAGTGCCATGAACAGGCGCCGTAACCCTGGTGGATGGGCTTTTTCGACTCCGATTTGGTCTCCTCTTCAGGGTTATTTTGCTTGATCAGGGCCATTGTGATCTTGAATGTGGATGATTTGAAGGTTGTAACCCTGGCGAAGATATCTTGACCTTGGAATTCTGGTGTTTTCATCCAGCGATTTGCATCTTCTCCGAATATATTTTCTCCAAATCTTCACCAATCTGGGCCTTAGTGATGCGATTTTGGCTACTTCATCTAGCATGTTTGCCCTTATCTTGATACTTTTTTACTCCCAATCATCACAAATAGTGATACCAATCCCTCTCTACTTGGTGTTTTCATTCAGGAATTTCCACCCATCACAAGATAATTTATTCGAGCCGTTATCACTTTTGGCTCTGGTGATGCGATTTTGGCACCCTCATCTAGTGGTTTTGCTTTCATTTTGATCCTTCTTGACTCCCAATCATCGCCAGTTGTGATCTCAATCTCTCTCTTCGTGATACCAGACTCTCTCTTCTTGGTGTTTACATCTGGCAGTTCTTGTCTTTTTGAAGACGATTTCTTCCAGATCATCATGAACTTGGACTCTGGTGATGCGATCTTGACTTTCTCATCTAAGAGGTTTGCCTTCATCCTGATCCTTTTTGGCTATTAATCATCACAAACTGTCACCAGTAGCGATATCAATCTCCCTCTTTTTGGTGTTTTCCGCGATGTATTTTATCACTTCATCCAGCGTTCAGATCCTCATCATGATGAAATCGGATCTCGTCAGCTCAACCTTAGTGGTTGCATCAGACCCTTTTCACATCGTGTTAGATTTGATCTGACTCTTGTCATCACCAATGGTGATACTAATCTCTCTCTTCTTGGTGTTTTCTGCGATGAATTTTATCATGTCATCTAGCGTTCAGATCCTCATCATCGTGGATATGTACCTCGCCAGCTCCAACTTGGTGGTTTCATGCAGCGCTTTTCGCGTCATCATGAACGTATTTTTGCTAGTGAGTATCACCAATTTAATCCTGAAATGTCATTCGATGGTGTTTTCGTCTTTCAGTTTGGTGGCTGCGGCCAGTTTCCCAATCCCAGCTGCCACCGCATTTTGGCCTGCCAGCCGGATCTTTGGTGTTTACCACCACCCGACTGCCGCCACTCCATCCAGCTGCAACAGCCTGATGAAGCCCAAATTTGACCGTTTGATCCCATTTCTTGGTGTTCATTTAAATTTTTCCTACGGCACCTGTCGGTCGCATTGCCACGCGCATCCCCAAATTTTTGGTGTTTTCTTTCGCACTCTGCGCACACACCAGAGCGCCACCCTAGCTGACAACATTGAGTCCAACAACTCCAAGCGCTCTTCAATGCTAATGCACAGAAGAAAGGATTTATTCTGCTCTTATTATTTTCTTTTCCTATTTTCGCTTCTTTTCTTTCCTTCCAAATCTGCCCAAACAAGTAGACTACGTGGCTGATTGTAATCACTTGGAACGATGCGCCACCGTTGATGCGAGCGACTGGGGAATTGAATGCACATGACACCACGAAGAATGAGGATGTATAGCAGCCAGATACATAACATCATGTATTATATTCCATGCAAGCTTTTGATTTCAAAAAACAGGCCATTACGAACTTGTCTTGGGTACCTGATGCGTCATCGGTGTTGTAGTAATATGTGGGCGGGCATTAATGCCCCAAACGTATCGCACATCTTGAGCACACTCTAAATATCCAAAATAAGATTGTTCAATATATCTAACGAAGATAGCATAAGTTTATACTGATAAGTCTTGGACAGACGCTTGTCACCGACTAGTAGAGGGTACGAAAACGTTGCACCGGTTGAAGAAATCTGTTTATGCCTCTGTTCCAGGGAGGCAAAAACGACCAACAGAGACGACCAATGCGGTATTCATTGACTCAGAGAGAGATTGGAAAAGGTTCGTGTTGAACTTAATCCATACTCGCAGCACTGCCCTGTTATAGTACCAAGGCATAGAGCATTGGCTTCTGAATCGCGTCGTCATATGGCTGAAGCATGACTAAATGGTCTGCCGGAAAAGAGCTTCAAGCGCATCTTCAGTTGAGCAGCAATGGCAATCAAGTTTGACCTGCTGGACATAAGGATGCTGCTTGTGGCCTGGCGAGCTATCTCAACGTCGTACATATGCTTTGGAGTATTGGGTCTTGCGGATTCGTGGCAGTAAGTAGTGTCCTTTAGTATGCAATTGATCTCATAAAGTGAGCTAGGCGTGTATCGCAATATAATGAACCTAAAAATTCAAGCATATCCGGGGTATCATGTGTATCTCTAGAGCGCAGCTTCAATTAGCTTGCTTCTCTGCGAACTGGAGACTCTGTCCAAATGCCAATCTCACATTTACCAGCAAAACTCCCAAGTACAGCTGATTGCATCATCTTGTCCCCTGGTTCCTCCAACCAAATTGCTTTATAGCTGTGACAACAACCCACGCAACGGCAACAATGGCTACCGTGATGCGAACTTCCCGCGCCAGCTCTGCGGCCGACTGCGGAAGCTGAAAAGTGTGGGCGTGGCTGATAGACCCGGAGTGCTGGGCCGAAAGGAGGAACTGCTCCATTGCGCTGAGATTGACTGATTTGGCAGTGGAATGGAAGATTTTAACAGGCTTGAAGATGGAAGCTCAGATTTGAGAATGGAATTGGAGCACAAGCGTTTTTTGGTAGAAGCTTTTTTGGGGATGATCGGCGCGGGTAGGAAGAATCGAATTGGAGATAAGCAGCTGGGCTAAGCCTATCGTGGCAGTTCAGCTTGAGATGGCGTCTGCCATTTCGAAGTTCCATCGCCTCTACTCTGCAATTTCACCAAGACAAAACTTTGAATGCAGCCAGATTGTGATAAACAAGATGCGATATAAATCTTGCAGTGCTGTAGGGGCTCTAGATCTGGCTGGAGATGGATGAACTTCAATGGCTGCTTATACCAACCAGCTGCTCGTCGTACTGGAGTCTACCTGTACGGCTATCGCTGTTCAGGACAGATGCACAGCTTGAGCCTGAGCCTGAGCCTGTACGACCTCGAGCCTGGAGTGCCGCATCTGGCAGCGAAAAGGTCCGCGATGCCTGAGAGAGCGGCACCGGAAGGGCCACCAGCACCGTTCCGTATCGGCGCTTGGCGAGAGTCTCAGCACCGGCCGGCGGATAGGAGATGACGAGATGTAATTGCCGGATGTGGACATGTCATCTCTTGCCGGCTCTGGCTTGGCCTAGAATTCCTGAAATAAATACACACATAGGCAATTCTGCCTCCATCTCATCAAGACTAGATAAGAGCGACTTGGTCATGGGCCGTTGGCATGTGCCGTCGAGTCAGTCATCCTCACATATTTTTACTCTTTGCTGTCTATCGTAATTTTAAGCATCAAAAAGACGTTAAGGATCTTGTTTGAACCAGTACTAAGGTTCTGGCTTCGGCCTCTAATACAAGTGCGGAAGTTTGATACGCCACTGTCATTTCTACAACGAGGGTGGCCATGTGTGGATCTCACTCATCCCCTGAAAGCCAGAGAGCTAGGCGGACGAAATATGCACACACTCTACCCGCATGTATACAGCACCTATAGTAAGCTAGGTCGATGAAGCAATGGCTCGTCCTATTTTCTGAATCAGGAAATCATAGCAAGGTAACTACTTCAAAAAGCAGTAAAGAGGTAGATCAAAATAGTAGCACTATATTCAGTGGCATCCCCATCGTGATGGAGGCTAAGCACACGAGCAATCACCACAACCTGCAAAGAGAACAATAGCGAAAGGACGTTTTACCACTCCAAGGTATTTGTCCGGGCCCCCGTATACAATCGTTGTTGGCGACCACCTTCATCGCTAAGCTCGCCAATAAGGTCACGCTAGATGTTCTATCGTCATTGTAAGGCCACCAGCGGCTAGTTTATGGCAGACATAATACCTTAGTATGAGCCACTCTATCGGATCCGATAGCTTACTAACGGAATCCGGGCATAGGTCATCCCAGTAACACTCCGCAGTTCTAATACGTGGACTTGTTTTTACGCCTATGACCGGTTACAAATGTTTGAGTAAGACAATATAGTCGGCGCAAAGGATAAGCACTTGTCCTAGCGAGGTGCCACATAGTCAGGGGCCCCTCCTTTTGGGTTCCTTGTTTATAGTGACAAGAAGGCGTCAACTATCTATCAATCATATTAGTTGATTGTTGGTCCAAGTCATATTGACTACTCTATAGCCGTGGCACGTCGATAAGTTGTTAGTAACAGTAATATAGGCTTGCCTCCATTGCTGCTCGACAACCTCCATCTCCGGCGTTATGCTGTTGTGCGAACCAAACGTCAGCTCCAATCTCTGTAATGATGAAACTTGAGAATTGTCGTAGAGGAAAGAGTGTCATGTTTCTGTGGAAGGGATCATGTATCTCAAGGACGTAATTGCAATGCAAGAACACACATTGTATCCAGCTCCTTGGAGAGCTGTAGCTGGTAAATGCTCTTCTTCCGCGTATACCCGTATACCCCATATATCATCTTCGGCGCATCCACAGTCGTGCTGCAAATCTCGACGCAGCCCTACCCGTCATGCAGTGAGCGAGACTAGTTCATTCACGGAGTTTTGAAATCAAGAAAAGGGGAATTCGAGGAAAAAGGTCTTCTCCGAACACGGTACAAGGGTAAAATATTCCAAAGCAAACTGGCATAATAAATGGTAGAACAAAAGTACAAATAAGGGGGGTATTGTCTCTTTATGGTATCTCAGCTACATAACATGAAACTTCTCTTCCAATTCCTTCTATCCATCATATAATCTCATCATATCCATCACATCTGCATAATTCGATTTAGACCTTGGCCGCCGCAATAATCGGTCCTCCAAGGCCTCCCTCGGTGAGGATAACCGCCGCGCCCTGATCCGGGCCCAGCGCACTTCTCGGCGCAGGCAGAGACCAAGTTGCGTTTCCGCCGATCCAGTCGCCAATCTTGGTCACCGATTCCACCACGTTGCGGTGGGGGATCTTCTTGCCTTTGTTGACACCCTTGGCAGGCTTGATGACCTGGTCCTTTTGCGTGTAGACAATGTACGACACCTCGTGCGGGGGAGCCTCTTGCTTGTCCGTGTCGATGCGGACTTCAGTGTCGTTTGCGTCTAGGTAGACGTGGAAGTCACGAGCCTTGGTGGCATCTCGGCCCTGTTGAATAAGGGCTTGGATCTCCTCCTTCTGTCGTCCACTGCCGTCGACGATACCGTTGACGACGACCTGAGGAGTGAAGAGATTGTTTCGAGCCCACCTCTTCGCATAGGCTCGCTGACGGGAATCGTTGGAGAGGCTGGAGAAGGTGTCCTTCCAGCCCGTGTGGTCAAAGATGGTGACGGGATAGGTCAAGAGCAGCACGTTTGGGTCTGCGGTACCGGCGTGGATGCCGGGCAGGGCCGGAGGGCACGACTGGCAAGATTGCGATTGGAACAGCTCCGCAATTGCAAGAGGCTCAAAGTTGACGAAGCAGGCATCCGTGTGAACGTGGTCAGGATGGTCACCAACAGGGTTTCCTTCGTCATCGAGAGCCACAGAGCAGACCAACGGGGCCGGCTCCTTGCGGCGGAAGAGCTTGCGGATAAGAGAAGCCATTGTGTGATATTGAAAGATGATTATTGGTTCTTGGATATAGAGACTGAGACCCAGCTTTGAGTGTAGAAGCACTTATTATTTGCGAATAGGCTTGCGACGCCAGATTAATGAAAAGCACAATGAGATTGAATTCTCTCCTTCCGAAGAGGGGATGGGCTTCCCTTATTTATGCATGCCCTCCTGTCATAGCCGGTTTGTCTTCCCTTGGCAGTGTTCGTAGGGATACCCAATATCCAAAAACAAGTCATGCCAAATATCCTAACTCCTGATTCCAAGCTATCTTGTTCGCACGCCATACTATGCGCCACAGCCCCCCATGATATTAGCCCCCAACTTTTAGCCCGCTGCAAGGCGCCAAAATAAGCACACAAAATCGACGGACCAGGGGGGAGAAGCAAGCATGGAATCGCACGCGATAGGGCGCAAACCTGGCTTCTGATGATCGCGGGTAAGATATGCAGGCCCGTGGGGCGTGGTTCAGCTGTAAGCGCTTGCAGTTCATGGGGTTTGGAATCATGCACACATTCTTGTTGGGTGGGGATGAGATGCTAAAACACATGAAAGCAGGTTCTCACGTTGTGCTTCTGGCAGGGGAACTCCTGTAATGCTTGTATACTTTAGCATGTGTCTTCCACCAGGACTATTTGGCCAGGTGCCTTGATTGCTCACGCCTCCACAAGGCTGAGCCAGCGTCGGGCAGGAAACATGAAGCCTACAAAACTAGACGTGTGTAATCAGCACATCGCATGCGCACGCGATGGCCCAAGTGACCTATAGATGAGGTCCCCAGACGTTTTCGTCCTGGAGCCAGTTAAGCACATCTCCATCGCCATGTTCATTGCTGCTGGTAATCAGGCCTTTTCTGGGATCTCTGTCTGGGCCCGGATCGTTGAATGCATTGACTTTTCTAGTATTGCCAGCGCCAACCTCCAAGACAGTCCCTCCGACATTCTCATCCTCTTCGATGCATCTGAGCATTGCCTGCGCCACTTCCTGCGGAGTCACCCATGCGTCTTGGGACTGATCCACGTTTCTCAGCTTCTCTGGATGCTCCGTCCAGAGAGGGGTCCGAACAACTCCGGGCGCGACGGCGTTGACACGCACACCAAACAGAGGCTCTAGCCGCGCGACACTGCGAATGAAGCCCGAAAGACCAAACTTGGATGCGGCGTATAGCGGAGCTCTCCAGACGGGTATCTGGGCGGCGACTGAAGAAATGTGGATGACCCTCTTGGGGTTGCTGGGAGACGCCTTGGGCGGCGCTGCGGTGAACTTGGAGCCTTCAATCGGTGGCCGAGGATACAGCCAGTGCGATATCGCCATTTGCGTTACACGAATAGGATGTGTCAAGTTGATGTCTAGCAGCCCATAGTGGCCTTTATCGACCGCATCTCGACTTTCGCTGGAGCCAGGCGGATGCCAAAAGTTTGACCAGTGAGGCTCGTATACACCTGCGCCTGGGCAAACAATGTCGATGTCTCCATGCTTCTCAAGCGCAAAGCTAAACATGTTGGAAAGATCAGTCCATGAAGTTACGTCCGTCTTGATAAACGAAGCTTGGGCTTTGCTTTTGCCCTCGCTTTGGTATCTCGAGATGACATCTTTTGCTTCTGGCCGCAGCTCCAAATCTGCAAATACGACGCTGCAGTCGTGGGAGAGAAGAAGTTGGGCAAACGCGAGATTGATGCCTGATAAAAATCATCTTAGTTTGAAGCTTAACTTTAACACTTCAGGCCCATGTCCAGAAATACACACCTGAGCCGGCGCCAGTTACGATGGCGGTTTTGCCAGAGACCGAAAACGACTTGGTCGATGCCATATTGAACAGAGCCTTGAGCTATGATTCCGCTGGTGGGGGAAGTATATTGACCCTGTTAAACAGTGAGCGAATCGATAGAGAAGTAAAAATGGGCGTTATAATGATTGGATTCTACACGTATATATACATGGTTAAGTGCGGGGATCAAATGGCGCGAATGACATGGTTAGGTAAAATTTGATTATCAATTGTGTATATAATTCTTTGATCTAAGGCTTAGGCCTATTAGAATGTAACCTTTTAATTATCATTTACACTGATTCAATTCGCCTGGTCTTGATCAGTTCGGCCGACTTGACAGCACAAATATGCTCGGAATTCTTTCCTATCTTAGAACCATGAAGACTATTACGGTCGGGCGTGGGAGGTTGTGATGAGCTCGATCCCTTAACGTGGTCTCTACGGATCAGGACATAGGAACTTGTAAAGGGGGAGCAAAAATGTTGTCGTCTCTATCTATGATACGGGCGATCGATCTGCTATATGCGCCAGTTGGGATTTCCTGCCTCCCACCTCTCGGGAATAGCCCCAATTGGCACCTTAAATGCTCGGATTTCCTTCCTATTTTAGAAAATTCAAAATTGTCTACTTGTACATAAACAATCAGCCAGTTTTCTTTAGGAAGTGTTACCAGGCCGCCACGCTAGGGTATAGCCACTGCCAAAGCGGGGGATTTTCAGAGCATCAACGAGTGGCTTACTTTGATATAGCTACTAGTACTACTAGTCTCATGTTCTCAAGCCCTCTCTGTATTAGGCACTCTCTTCTAGCTCTAAGTCTTGCAAGATATATGTACAATGCTCAAAATATTTGGCGATCAAATGAGTTTTCGTAAGCGAAATCAAGAGAAGTAACAATGTTTCACCACACAATATACCAGCTCTCACTGATTCGCTGCTGCGTGCAAACCCAACCGCGTCCATACAAACGCAATGCTTCATCCCGGAGCTCTAGCTTCGCCGCCCTCCGAAAAAGATTCTGCCAGGCCCCACCACACACCGCTCTCGCCTGCCTATATATTTCTCGCCCGCCCGCCGAAAAGCGAAGCTTTTTTCTTTTCTTTTCTTCTTTAGCTCTCTTTGCCTTTTGGCTTAGATCAAGTGTAGTATCTGTTCTTTTCAGTTTAATCTCTGAAAGGTCTCTAAGGAGACCAATCGTGATTATTCTTATTTTTGTCCTTGGGGCGGTTTCCTCTGTGCTTGCACATGATTCTGCCCACAGTGTCCCTGGTATTACACTGCCTCCAGGCGACGCGAACATTCTTTTCATTGCTTTTGCTGGGGCTTGCCCTGGCAGCGAAGAAGGGGTTTTCTCTCAGTAATTGGTGGTGGCAATGCTGTTCGTGCTGTTCTCGAGTCTACGCCCTGAAATTTGTTTTTGGTCATTGTGATGAGCCACGATGGAAATCAGCCACTTGTCTCGAGAGGCTTGCTAACGATGGATGCTCACGTCTTTAGATAGAATACATGATCTATTTACCGCGACAAAGACATTCAATATCAATACGTAGATGCGACGATGCTCAACCGTCCCCCGTCCGTCACCAGCACGCTCCCATCCACGTATCCTCCCGCCTTGCTCGTCAGAAACAGCATCGCTCCCGCAAACTCTTCCTCCGTGCCAAACCGCTCCAGCGGCACAAAGGACGCAGGAAAACTCCCTTCTTGTCGAACATCCGCGGACGAGGCTTTGATATCGCGCTCAGTCATCTCGCTGGGGTATATTCCTGGCGCGATCGAGTTGACTCTGATCTTATGCGGTGCCAGCAGCGTCGCGAGCTGCTTGGCCACCTGCACTGCTGCTGCCTTGCTGGAGCCGTAGGCGAATCCTGCCTTGGGTAGGCGTGCATAGGATGCTACAGAGCCCGTGATGATGGCTTGGGACTTTTGCGGCACGACTGCTCTCTTGTTTCCCTCATCAAGCAGATCCAGGAATGCAAGAACAGTGTAGAAGGCCGCGGTAACGTTAACGTGAAAAGACTGCGTGAAATCTTCCATGTCGTACGCCCAAAGGCCCTCTTGGAGGGACTTGACATCGAGGTTGTTGAAGTTGCTTATGATGCTCGAGTTATCCGTCGTGATCGCTCCGCTATTCGCAAAGACGACATCGCAGTAGCCCAGCTCCTCACGGACTCGATCCGCGGCCGCTTTCAGAGAGTCTTTGGAGGTGACATCGCAGACGACGGGTCTGATAATCTCTGGACTGGGACTCGTGTCTCTCGTTGCTACAAGAGCATCTTCTCGTCGTCCAAGAACGTAGACAGCCTTGGCTCCGTTGGCAGCGAGAGCGTGGGCCGTGATTCTGCCCAAACCAGAGCCTCCGCCAGTGATGATGGCAACGAGGCCATCGACCCGGAAGAGGGATTCGGCGTTGTATGAATGCGAAGTCATGATTTCAAAATCCAATGGCAAGAAGTTACTGCATTGAAACCATCAGGCTCTGTGACATATGGTGCCAGTACTGGAGAAGGGATTATGGCTCCCCATGGAATAAGCTAGCTCAATGCATCGATGGCCGGGGTAATGATGACTAAAGCATGCTTTAATGGTAGTATTTGGCGTGATCTCAAATCTCTAGGATATCTGCGCCAAACGATACAAGCTTCTGACTAAAAAGCAACCATGGCTTCTCTATCTACCACTTCTAGCTATTTAGGAAATAGGCATGGTTGTCGGGGTAGGTCCTTTGCGTAACTGTTGTCTCATGCATACCGCCTTGATCCTACTTATTGTAACTCTGCATATGTAACTTCAAATCGGACTCCAAGAAGAGGCGCTTTTCCTCAAACACTTTACTTGGACCCTGTAGGATGTCAGGGGCTATTTGCCCATCAACAAACTTAGCGAAATGCAGCCGAGCCCTCCGTTCAATTTTCCTATCCTCCTTTTGTAATGCCGTGTTCATGAAAGGAAGCTCAGCGTAGTAGTCTAGGTCTTTGGTTTCGGTCGCATCATATGTGGTACGTTCTCCCAACATCCGACATTGATGGTCTTCGAGATACCTCTTGAATGGGACCAGAACCTCCTTGAACCCGTACTGACAGCCAGTTGTGTCAATAATCCAAGTCTCCCCCACGAATAGTCGGCCAACGATGATTACTGTATGGGGCACGCCGCTGGATTCAGGTGCTGGGTATAGCTTTGCTGGAAACCTTGGCTTGCCCACCTCTAGGTCCACTATTTCGAAAGTCGAAGGAACCCCTACAAGATGTTAGCCGAATGGCGAAATAGGAATGAGGAAATGGGACTAAGAGACCTGAGAGCAACTTGCGAGTCAAACGACCCAACAGTACCATAGCCGTCGTGCATTGATTGACAAGAAGGGCCGCTTCCTTATGCTCGATGTTGTTGGTGAGATGTCCAGGAAACACGCAACGCATGGGTCTTGTTTTGGGCATTTGGTGGAGCCTCAGGATGCCGTCCTTACTTTCGATATGCGTGAGATTGAGGTCATAGACCATCTCCCTGTACGCCAATAACGCAGTTTTGAGGATCTTAGCAGCACGGTGAAGCGCAATCCGCCGGGACAAATTGCGACACCTGTTCTTGTGAGTCTCTCTTGTTTTTATCTGGCAATCCCGATCACAATAAAAAGTGTCTAGAGCATCGCCAGGCAGGTAATCTGGTGCATCTTTGCAACCAGCACACCGCATCGTGGCCGGTTTGTCGCAGGTAGCACAGACACCTAGGGTCTGAGATACCATCTCAACTGTTCCGTCTGGATGGTTGCGTTACGGGAGTTGATACTGAGTAACTGAAATGTGGTTTCCTGGCAACGTGTAAGCGCAGGTATTTTTGCGCCCAACGACCTAGGTCAGGCACGATCCTAGGTCAGGCACGAAACTTTTCAAATTAAGCAAGCGTAATAGCATCACTTCATAGGCGATCTTTTTCTCAAAATGCCCGCTGGCAGTTCGTCCAAGGACGGCTAAAGTCAACGAAGAGCGCTGAGATGAAACTTTAGGGATTACTTTCAGAGGCGGCAAAGCACCGTAGCGGGCTCTGTAGCGGCCACAGGCGCTGGGACAGTTCGTTGCGGCTTAGCAGGTGCAGTATCGGCATAAGCTGAGTCACCGTTCAAGTCGCCGATAACGGTTGACAACACAGCAACTGTTGTCCTCGTCTCTTGGATACGACCTGGAATCCAAATTCTGTTGATGTCTTACTCTCTATCTTTGCATTTCAGCCGTATCTGGGACCACATCTTCATCACCTCATGTTGCCACATCCACTGCATTCCAATCGTGCCTCGGCCAGCATGTCTTGCATGAACAGCTTTGCCAAAAACTCGCCACAAATCGATGGCGTGTCGACACAACAGACCCCTGTCCAGTGTGATGGCCTGCATCAATTCAATCTAAATTTGCTATGGGGCGTCGAATTGGACGTGGGATTCTCTCATTGGTGGCTGATATCGCCGTCCCAGGGGCGTTAATAGCTGGAATCACATGTGAAACTCAATGGGCACTGGGCACTGGGCACCAAGTTGGCAATCAATATTGACTTTTACTAAGGATGACCACCTGCATTGCTGAAGTTTACACGCACTCTAATAATCGGCTCAAGTCTCCCAACATTCGAACCGATGATTGATTCCTCTTAAGGCGGCACCTAAAACATGCCGATATCCAGCAATTTGCCTTGACCAACCTAGTTGAACCAGCATAACGAATCGCTTCGCATATTACAATGACGACAGACGCTGTCACTGCCTCCAAGCAGGGGCCTCAGCATATGCAAGGCCCAACGCTTCTTCCGTCGCCTGTTGCTCAAGCCGTCAGCCTTGCCACCCGATCAACTTCGCTCGCCATTCGCATTGGATCTGTGCTGAGCAATGCTGGCCTCGATGCCGCACGATTCACCACCCTTGGTGGCCTGGGGCTGGCCCGGGGCATGATTGAAGGCGTCATGAGCCGAGCCGCCAAAGATACCCTTGAGCAATCGCAGACCGAGCTGGCCGTCCAAGAAGCAGAGACGGTCCTAGAGCGCAGCCTTGAAAACCTGCATTTTGCCGTCACTCAGGCGGTCTTTTGGACTTCCGTCAGCTTCCGGCTTACGGGCACAACAATCTCTACTGCTTCCGCAGGCTCACAACTCCTCTTATCATCTCTCGACCAGCTCCTCGGCTCAACAGATTCCTCCCGAGCAGTTGCCAGCATCGTCACACTTATTCGCCGCGAATTTGAGAATCCCACGACGGGCCTGCAAGGTGAAAGGGTCGGTGTCATCGACCTGACTCTTGCTCTCAGCACGCTGGCCTATCTACAGCGGGCATGCCGAAAAACGACTGAAGAAGAACGCCGAAGGCAGTCTTATGAAGAGATTATATGGGATGTGGTTGTATTGGAAAACGGAGATCGGGTTGATATTGATGAAAAGGTGTATAATGAGATCCGTGGGGGCTACAACAACCAAACAAAAGGCATCGTTTCCTCGCCTCCCACCAACGGCTCTTCCGTGAACGACACTGAAGACGACGAAGCTGTCATATCCCGCCTCAAGAGCCAGATTATGGCCACTGTGGCTCCGGGCACGGCAGTATCAATCTCCAACTCTGTATCCTCAGTGCAAACAATCACTGTAGACGTTCAAGGATCAAGGCTTCTGTCTCTACCAACTCCACCAGGCGCCGAAATTGTTGAGGCACAGCCCCTCCTCACCTCTGGAAGCGCTCTTTCATACAAGTCCACAGATCCACAAGATCAGTCTACGTCCTATCGGGTGGTATACAGGATAAATCGCAATAAGAAGGAAACAACGTCTTTCCAAGGCGGAGAAGAACCGAAAGAAGAAGCCGTCGAAGTTATTACCGACTATCAGAGTTCCGGGAGCGAAGAGACTCTGACAGAGATGCCTACAATTACCCTCCCTGAAGACGAATCCCCTCCCCCATCCCCTATCACATCACCGTCTTCCGCTTTTGCTTTCGGACCGCCGCCAGTTCCTGCAAAGGATAAGAGAAAAAGCCACAAATCTCAGCCCCATGATTTCTCAAAACCAACCAAATCGAGCTCCCGCAAGCACAATATCGAGTCCGCTAAAGCTGCTTCTCGAACATCTACACCATCAAAAGAGCCAATGTATCTGGAAGATTTGCCTGCCCAAAACCAAAAGAGACAACGCACCCACAAGTCTCAAGATACCAGCAGAAGAAGCCATGGTGGGAAGAAGACCGACGGGGCTTCTTCTAGGACGCCCGACAAAAAGGCTGGACTGAAGCATATTCTTAGAGGAAACGGCCCGTCCGTCTCCCATATCTGGACAAAGGAATCAGACCCATTGGACTATACCGGTGGCAGAGACCTACACGCCAAATCTTCCCTAAGAGATATAGCGAGAGAATTACGATCGGTATCCCCTCCAAACGATGCGGTGCCAAGGTCACCCACCGAACACTACAGCGTCTATCTTAAACCACCTGGTGGTCATCGTCGAAACCGGTCGTATGCAACCAGCATATATAGTGTGGGCACCAATGATTCAGTGTCATCGTTGGTATTGTCGTCTTACTTTCAAAAGAGCGCCTACAACACCTCCGACGCGCTGCATTCTCTCCAAACGCAAGGCTTTGTTGATGGAACTTTCCCTGAAGGCCATCTACTTCCCAATATCACTCGATATATGCGGTTTTCGTCAGCGAGCTATGGCTCGCATTTCCTTAAGCTTACTGGCATCTCCAGTGACACACCGAGTCCTGGTGCTTGGGATGGAATCCATCACGATGTACGGCACTTTGCCCATCACACCGAGTCGCAGACTGACAATATTCTCCTTGCCTCCTTCGTTGACCCGCAGGGTGGCAGCGACGCCACGGGTTCCACCAGATCTGGCGTTCCTCTTGTCCATTACATCTCGCTCGACCACGCAGCCAAGGCCGTTGTGCTTGCTTGCAGGGGCACGCTTGGATTCGAAGACGTGCTGGCAGATCTGACCTGCGAGTACGATAAGCTGGTCTGGAGAGGCAGAGGCTATCGTGTTCACAAGGGCATTCATGCCTCTGCTAGGAGGCTACTATATGGCGATGACGGTCGCGTTTTGGTCACACTCCAACAAGCTCTACGCGAGTTCCCAGATTATGGGCTTGTGTTGTGCGGACACTCCTTGGGAGCTGGCGTTACCTCGCTGCTGGGAATCATGTTGTCTGAGCCTAATCCCTGTGGCCCTGGGTTCGTCACATCCGCCGAGCCATACACAGTTAGGCCTCCACCGAATGAAGCCCTTATCAATGTAAGACTCAGCAAGATTCGCCCTCCGTCTGGTCGCCGCATACACGTATATGCATATGGCCCTCCAGGCGTCATGTCGAATTCTCTGCGCCAAATCACTCGCGGCCTGATTACCACCGTCGTACACGGCAACGACTTGGTGCCTCATCTATCCTTGGGCCTGCTCCATGACTTTCAAGGCGTTGCTCTAGCGTTCAAAAACGACGAAAACAACACAAAGTCTGAAATCCGCCAGCGTATTTGGAATGCCCTCCAAGACAATGTCTCAGAGAGGTGGTACTTTAATCGCAGCGCCAGCAAAGTTGCCAGCAGCGGAGGCGTGAGCGACGAAGAGAGATGGATGCTTCCTGCGCTAGAGAACATGAGGGCCAGCATGAAGGGCAAGAAGCTCCTCCCGCCTGGCGAGGTATTTACCCTTGAGACACAGCGGGTGCTGAGGAGAGATGCGTTTCTTCTGTTGGATGAGGAGCATATTGGACGGCCGGCACAGCGGATTGTGCTCAAGTATGTGAAGGATGTCGAGGGCCGTTTTGGAGAGGTGCGGTTTGGGACGAGCATGTTGACGGATCATAGTCCGGCAAAGTATGAGGATGCTTTGAATAAGCTAAGGCTTGGAGTCTCGACGTGATATACCTAAATTGTAAAATGAGTTTGGAGAGGCCTTGAATCTTTTTTTCAGCTGCAGGGATACGCAAGATGGTATAGAAATTGTGCAAATCTCATGAAATAGATAGTTACAAGATTATTGTTGTTTCTACTTAAACATTACTTCCCATGCTGATACGCCAATGCCGCGCTCTCGCAACGGATATCTTACTGCTCATGAATAAGACGACGTATTCGTTATGCTTCTAGCCCAACAGCTCGCTGTACAACTCCGTAGAGCCTATCTCGGACATCGTTATAGTAACTGTCGCCTGGACCGAACTTAACAATGTCGGAATGGGATCGTGCGATAGGGCGTATGTGAACACTGTCATGTTCCCATGAGCGACAATGAACCGCTGAAGATTCAGTAACAAGGATGGTTGGAGGGCCGCTCATGCTCCATCTACCCTCTTCATCCTATTTAAAAAAGATATTACTCTCTGTACCCTATCTCAATTCTCATCAACAAACTTACCTGCTGCGCCGTCGGCGATTGCTCTGTCTCGTAGAAGCAAGTAACTTCTTTTTCTCCCTGGCCACCCAAAGACGGGTGAAAATTCAGTTCCAAATCATCTAATATAGAAGATGATGCTCCGATTGACTCGACAAGGAGACGGTTAGGCCCATCGCCGACCATGGGTATAAGAGATGCAACGTCCATACCGCCATGTGGAACACCGAAAAATACGATCCCATAAATCGCTCGGAAGAGGTTCTGGTCGTCCTGACTGGGGGACTTGGACAGATTGATCAATGTCTGCGTAAAACGTTAGATCGGAAGAATAACCTTGACCAAAGTAAACGAGACTTACCTTCTTGATGATCAAGCCACCCAAGCTATGGCCCATGAGAATAATTGGCTTTGGCTGTTGAGCTTGAATCAGAGTCAAGAGGCCTGAGTGTAGTGCGGATGATAGGTCGTCGATATCTTGCACACTGTTACTTCCTGGAACAGCCGAATTATGGCCGTATATCATAACACGTGCCATTGGATGATGGCTATCGTCATTAGTGATATCATATGGTAGGGCATCTTGCAGCCACATGTAGTTTCCATTTTTGTCCTTGAAGGACCCATAAGCATGTCCACCAAGGCCAGAGACAGCAACGATACTGGTAAACAAGTCAATATAATGGGTTTCTCTTGGAAATTTGCACTTACTCAACACCATGATCTCCTACCGGAGGCGTAAACAGAGTGGTAATGCCGAGAAAGGCCCCATCTACCCTCAAGGGTAGGGCTGAGACAGAAAAGTCGTCGTCATTGTCCGGTTCCGACAGTGAGATATTCCAAGGCTTGCTGGTTTTCTCCGGAGGCAATGGGCTCTGGAAAATTACGGTAGCGGTTTTGGAGTAGCCATCTATTTCACACGCAAGAGATTTGACAAGTGGTTGCGAATCTGGCTCTTGTTGCTCCAGGTAGACTTGCAATTGTTCTTTAGCCCAGCTTAGAGGTACACCTCGTATCCGGAAAGTTAACCCGCCTTTGGGGCTTCTTCTGACCTGTGAAGCAGAGATTGATTCATGTTGAGGACTGGAAATAGAAGGTGTCATTGTAAGAATTTGATGAACGAATACGATAGTAGAGCCATAATGGAAAGGCGTTCATGGTTTCTATAGAGAAGCTAGCAGATGCTCTGCTGCCATCGGCAGCGGAGAACTCCATAAATAGATACTCATTAAGCGCGATGAGTTTAATCTATTTCGTTTCAGGCTGTTATGGTCGCGGCTTGATTTCGCGATACTGGTGGTCGAATATCCGCCACCCCGCTCCCGATGGAACCATTGCGATGGAGCGAAACTAGGTTGGGCGGCTATTCGGACGCTGCCGCGAAGCTCAATTGCGAAGGCACTACGTGATTCATGTAAGCCGCTGAGTAAAAAGAGTGAAATTAGAGATTGACTTGTCCAGAGATTGAGTTGAGATGTATGATTGAACCACTGAAACGAGTGGTTCAGCGAATAACATGTCTATGAGTAGGTACAAACGCATCAAACACTTTTATAACAGGTATTTGCGGCTCGGTGAGACATGCTCAGACACCGCCGAGAAAGCATGAACCCAACAGAGGGTATCATCGGCGCCAATATCTACCACTGGCCAACCTCTATCAACCGCGGTAGGCCAAGTCTATCCTCTTTTAGGCCGTCATCAAAGTCTAGTCGGCGATTCTACTCTTTCAATTTGTCGCGACCCCGCTGTTAATGGAACTGAATGTGTAGATGAAACGAGGTTCGGCGGCTATTGACGTGCTGCTGTGAAGCTGACTTCTTAAACTGTACTTTTCTAGTTCTATTTGTGATAAAGTATTGAAACGGAAAGCGTGAAAAGGGGAGATCCTTCATCGCAAAGGCTTCGATGTTGATATCCTAGTACGCTTGTTAGTGTCAAACGAGATCGAAAGGTTGTTGAGCATATAACATACTTTGAGATCAACACAAATCAAGCGGATCTATACGATGAGCTTGTCTTTGGAGAACGCAAACCTGGCGCAGGTGAGAAATACAGCTCCGGCCATGAGGACAGCTCCACTAAAAATGATGCCCTGAGAGTAGCCATGGTATGTCTCAATTAGAGCTCCAGTAATTGGTGTGCCGGCCAGACCACCGAATCCAATGAGAAAGGTGGACATCCCTAGATAGGTTCCAATCTATAATCTGTTAGACAGCACTCTGGCATGTTCGAAACAAGTAGCGGCTTACCTTGCTTGGGTGATCTGCCGTTTGCGCAAGGGTAGACATCATCATTGCAATGACAATACCGCTTGAGGCGCCAAACAAGATAGACAAGACAATTAATCCTGCTGATGAAGTGATCTTGAGCCAGCAAAACATCAATATGGCTGAGGCGTAAGCAGCAACAGCAATGACGTTAAACTGGCCGAGTTTCCGAGCAACGGTGCCGGCAAATACTCGACCCACAAACGAACCTGCATTGATTATGGCGAATAAATATGATGCAAGATTTTCAGACATCCCATGGGCCGAACCATAGTCTGCCAGGTAAAAGTACGGCGTCCAAAGTCCCAAGATGACCATGAACATGCCTGCTACTTGTAGAGAGAAAGCAGGAATTTTGAATGCCTCTGGAAGAATCAGAGGCCCCTTTCTCCTCAAGGGCGTTGGCCGGATGGTGACTGCTGCAATACAGAGTAAAAACAGAGTCAAGAATCCACACACGCGCTGACCCCATGGAAATCCAACATTTTTGTTTTTCAGCAGATTTGTCATGATAACCGGATAGATGAGTCCCCCAAGAGGAGAGCCAGTGGTGGCAAAAGCGATGGCTATAGGACGTCTCTTGTGGAAATAATGTCCAACGACTGATATTGCGGGAGTAAATATGAGGCCGGATGAGAAGCCTAGAAAGATTCCTTGACACAGGATAAACTGGTAGAACTCGGTGCAGAGGCTCGTAAGCATCATTGCTACAACGAGGAGAAGGGAGCATGGCCAGATGACGACCTATAATATTTCAAATGTTAGACAAATCAATATTCCAGTTGTCATTCAGCTTCAAGTAAAAGTTGGGTCTTACCATAGCTCCGTGTCGATCGGCGATTGGGCCGCTAACCATGGCTGCTGAGAACTGCGCAAACGCTTGAATTGCGCCGATCCAGGCAACGTCCGACGGAGAGTGGTTGGACAGAAATGTCTGCAGATAGTAGGTTTCATAGACTCTATCAAGGGAACATCTGATTAGCCATGGTCTTGATCCAAATTGATCTGGTTGGCACTCACCCAAAAGAATTGACATAGCCAAAAGATGCGAACGAAGTGCACCAGCATCCAAGAACAACCAGCCAGGCCTTGAGGCCCCCCTCTGGGAACTCGTGGTGGACTGGCTGGTCTTTGTTTTCTATAGGAGTTCCGATGGCCTTTTCATTGGCTCCTTCACCCCCTTCTCCCCCTGAGAAGATTGCCGACTCGATCTCGGTAGTGCTACCCGAAGACATGGTAACAAGATAAAGTTAGCTCTTCAAGTAAAACCGGCTCGATCAGAAAAAGGGATGCCACACCAGCAAGATAGCCGAGCGTGGATCGAGCTTGAAGAAATAATCTATATCCAGCAGCCGTCGGTGTATTTATTTAGCCATGACTGACATGGTAGCGAGTCATCTCCGTATTCACCGAATTGACGATCCACAAAGCTGACGTGAAGAAAACATGGAAGGATCCGTTTCTTATCAGACCATGCATCAAGCTCGATTTACGAGATGCTTTTGGCGGTGTTCTCGGTGTAATGGCGAGGGAGAATCGATTGATAAACTCTTCTAGGAATAGCTTCGGAGAATGGTGTTGAGAATTTTGCCACAATTGGCGATGGTGGAGCAGCAGCGTTCGGAGATGATCGGATCGATTTGCAAGCCACCCAATCATAGCGTGTCAGCAGTTGGCCAGAGCTTCTGCTGCGCATCCTGGACAGCTCTCTTTTCGACTTTAATATGAAGATCGAACGTGAACTTGGATGCAGGGACAGATTCTTGATCCATTGACGATGACTGATGATCCGGAAAGGGTGTACCCGGCTCCGACAATAGCCGATAACGGGTCAGATAAAGAAGCCAGCAGTTTGGGACCTTCAGCTCCAGTTGCAGCTGCCAGCTCTAGGGCCATAGCCGAGGATGGACGCACCAGGAAGAAGCGTCTCCAACTGAGCTGCGGCGAATGCAGAAGAAAAAAGGTATGAAACTCAAAGGCGATATAAATGCTCAAATTGTCTTATGTGGCGGCGGCGTGAATGTTTCTAATCATTGAGTCAACTGCAGCTCTCCTGTGATCGAAACCGGCCTTGCCGCAGGTGCGTGAGGACGGGAAGGGCAGACCAATGCGAGTTTGAAACAAAGCCAAGGCTCGGTCTGCCGCCGGTGGATAACAGCGCGCAATTGGACCAGATCAAATCCAACCATTCCGAGATTCTCAATCTTCGGAGTGAGCTTTTTCAGCTGAGAGAGCTGCTATCACGGCCGGGTCCTCAGCAGGGACGAGATGAGAGCGTCGAAAATGTCCAAGTCGATGAAGTCTCCAAGAGAAGCGCCGAAATTGAGGCCAAAGAAGCCATTTCGAGCAGCCGGAACATCATTAGCACTAACAATGATAGCCCACCTGATCCAAGAGACAAATCCCCGCGGGGATACTATAGACGGCATACTCTCTTGCGATTCTTCTCAGAGGTAATCTCTAGCCAACCCAACCTTTTTTTAAATGTGAGTTGGCGGCTAACATAATGGAATAGATCCCACAACTCTTCCCATTCATCAAGGAAACAGCTGATCAATGGCTTAAACCCTATGGAATCTACATCAAGAAGAACAAATCGGCCAGAGATGATGGCTGGAGAATGAAGATGGTGTCCCAAGAGCAGCCCCTGTTAGCAAATCATTTACCGCCAAAAGGCGACACAGATGCACTCGTCGCGATATATCTCAACAATTTCGAACAGCTTCATCGTATAGTGCATGTTCCAACTTTCAGCAGGGAGTATATGAATTTCTGGACGCCTGGGAGAACGCGATATCCAACAATGGCAGCCATGATTCTCTCCATGCTTGCTGTCTCAATTAGTGCCGCTCCTCAACTTGCTGGTTCTTCGCCAATTCCAACCGTCTATCGACACATGTCTGAACAATGGATTGCTGCGGTTGACGATTGGCTAAGGCTACAGAGCTCAAAGCATCGCAAGCTTGTGCACTATCAAGTGTCCTGCTTGATATATATTGCTAGAAGAATGCACGTGATTAACAAGAAGAGGTTTTGGAAAGATACTGGGTCTCTAATTCAAGATGCCATCACAGATGGGCTGCATCGCAATCCCCCTTTGACGGACACTCTTTTCATAAGGGAGTTGAAGAAGCGGATATGGTTTACCGTTCGCGAAATGGAGCTTCAGAACTCATTCGAATGCGGCCTACTGACTCTTCTCCATAACATTGAGTGCGACGTCGAGGCACCTGTCAATCTTGCAGACGATGATTTTGATGATGCAACCGTGCACTCCCCCATTGAAAGACTGCCAAACTACTACACAGAATCCTCCTATCAGTTCCACAGCTTCCGAAGTTGGTCACTCCGCCTCGAGATCTCACGTCGACTTTTTGGGTCAGGAGCTTTTAGGATTCCCGAGTACGACGAAGTCCTGCGCTACACTCATGAGATAACAAAGGCAATCAATGATCTCCCGCCTTGGGGAAGCTGCAGGGCTGGCGACAAAAGGGACCCATATCTCTTCTTGACGTTTTCAATGTTGGAGTTTCAGCTCAAGGAGTGTCTTTTAGCTCTGCATCGACCGTACATCGATAGGGATGATGGGAAATATCCACTTTCAGAGAATATTTGCTATCAAACATCACGCGAGATACTTCTTTCGAATATCGGACTTGCGAATCTAGGAGTGCAGAGCCTAGCACAGCTTCGGGAAGATTTGTCTATTGCGTCGCTGCATATGACTCGCATCACCCTGCTACAGCCAGAAGGTTCGTTGTATTATTGCCTTCTTTGTCTACCGAAATCTCAAGTGTTGTGTGATTGCAACATAGCTAACTCCCAAGTAGGCTCAGCTAGCATCATCATGTCAAATGCAATGTCGACTATCGACCTGCTCGAGCAATGTCTCCCCATAATAGACGAAAAATATCTTCGCGTCGCTGATCCCTGGATATTTTTCATCATGTGCACGGCCATCATGCTTATCAAGATGCATCTCGGGAAAGAGTCTCGGCAGACAGCCAAGTCGTCTTGCGCACGTAGATTCCTCGATTTGTACTACAAGAATGTGTGGATGCGGCAACCCGCGGATCTTGCTCAGCAGCAGGCGATTACTCAAGACATTGTCAACCAAACAAATGTAAGCTCTGCAGCACATATCGTTCATCTTAACACTCTTCCCCAGGGCTTGTTTTTTTCTCCCTCCTCACGCTCGCAATATTTGCTCATCATCTATTCATTTAGGTTGCCGCCTGTCCGCCACCTTCTGCGGACGGCAGTGCTCTCCCTACATCAGTATGGCTCGACAGTAGCTATCCCGATGTGAGTGTATAGGATCTGATACTGCTGACTGACGCTGTGCTAATCTTGCAACAGATTGGAAATGATCCGTTCGATCTCGCTGTCGGGCTAGACGACGTATGGGACGAATCGGGATTTCCACTGCCGGGGTTTCCAAACTGCTAAGCTGATGGGTTTATTAGCGAACAGCTGGAGAGAGAACATACCAAACAGCAACCAGTCCACGCATATGGTGCTCTTCTTGGCTGGTTGTATACGGGCGAATCCTGATCCTGCCGCTCGTTTTACTCTTTCTCTTTCACTCCATGGTCTTATAGCATTCTCCGCCGACCACCTCCCCAGTTACGTGTGTTGCAGCATATCCAAAATTTCCTACAAAGCTCGCGTAATTCGATACCATAATGTTGATGCATTTTGCGTCCAGTTTGCGATCCCTGTCATATTGCGGACCTGTTACCTGTATAAACCAATCGCCGACACAACCTACAACTAGCATATCCGCATCTGTACAGAAAAGGGCACAAGTATCGGGCATTATTATGATGTCAAGAAGATCACGAGGGAAATTGGACCGAATTGAAAGCATGTGTCGCATCTAGCAGCTCTGCCAGGCGACACGATCCATAATATACACAGTCACAGCTCGGGATTCTAGCCATTTGCAGGCTAGTGAGATCCGCCAGATCGTGAACCCAGCGCTTGTAAGACAGCTTTGCTTGCAGTGTAGTTTCCTGCATTATGAGTGTTATTAACGAGGTATATTAGCTCGGCGTGGATTCCAAGGACCTCTTGGTATGCAGATGAATAATATGAAATCAGCCCTCATCAATGTGCTTGATAAGCTTCGTCAACGTTTACGAAAAGTCCAATCGGATATAATGACATTCTGTTTTTCTACTGGGCTGCTGTAATAGGAATTAAACTTTGGGGTGCTGATGTATATGACCCCATAAATCCCCCAAACAGAGCACCTCGGTAGTCTAAACGTTTACAGCAGTAGCGCAACGTATCTTGTCATGAAATGTGTTCCTCGAAATAGACGTGAGTGCTTCGAAGAGATGGACTACATCAAGTGCATTGGGTATATAAAGGCCCAGAAAGACCATGTCGGCCATTGGAACCATCATTCAATTTAAGACTGCCATCTTTTCTCGTCGCCAATCTCTATATCCATCATGGCCGGTACATTTCGACATGTAGCCAAAGCTACATTCCTAGTCTCCAAGAAAGAGGGATTGAGCGATGAAGAGTTTCGGAAGCATTATACCGAGGTTCACGCCCCCATGGCTCTCGACTTCTGTAAGCGATACGGCGTGCTCGACTATTCAATTGTACGTCTCGAGTTAATCTCTCCTACAGAAAATACGGCTGACCACTAACCATAAAATAGCATTTCAATACCGAGGCTGAAAGAGCAGTTACCCGAGCCGCCTTTGGCAGCAAGACCTCATTCATCAATTGCGACGCCATCACTACCTTTGTCTTCCCGAACATGGCATTGCTTCTTGCGTCATTCGCAGATCCGGAATATGAGACGAAGCTGGGCGCCGACGAAAAAAACTTCGCCAATGACCAAAAGTTACAGTTTGCCGTAAGCGACGAATTCGTGCTGTTGGCAGGCGGTCAGGAGCAAACGAGTTGAAAAGTTTCTTTTTGGGAGACTACCTAAGCCTCGTATCCATTATTTGCCGTATTAGATTGCTGAGATGGTGTGGGGCTGCCTTCAATTATCTGAGGTGGTCAGATAGGAAACTCTGTATAGACACAGGCCGCGTTGATTCGACAGCACTAACCAAGTGCTGATCGACGTATTATATAATACCGATGCTATTCGTTTTATCTTTCCAGGCTTCAGATGGCAGTGCTGATTGCGTACGTAGTCTTTCCCAAAGTTGAGCTGAGTTCAATGTCTCAACTGTCTCTCGCACACGGTTTCCCCCAATTTGACCAGTTGTCGTCGTTGATAAAGCAACCATGATTATCAACGGCAAACATATCGGCAAGAAAAGAATCAAAAAAAAAGCACCGGTGTAATTATGGCGGTGTTTGTGCCTTTCCTTGTTAACAGCCAAACAAAGTTCGGACAACTGGTACCTGTCGTCATCATTCCTACTGATACAGCTTAGTATACACAGTTGACTTGTCCACCCGGTGGCTGAACACTAACACGCAATCTTACCTCTGAACTTGCTGCTGCCATACTAGTCATCTTAGATCAGACTGGCTCTCGAATCTCGAACCGACTCCTGCCGGCAATAACGACAAGTGCATGTGCTCCACGCCCTTGGGGCCCGAATTAATCAGAAAGCTGTGTAAAAGGCGTTTTTGAATCCCGGAAATAACCAATTAATCGCGCTATCCAAGACTATAAAGTGTCTTATTTAAGCCCGGAGTGATCGGTGTGATGGCGATGCATCGGTATAAGGTGGGGGAGGAGGGAGAGGAGGTGTTTCGCTGACCCGACTATCCGCCAAGAGAGCAGAGAGATTTCGAAGGGCGAAAAGTATAATAAGAGCTTGGGATAATGTTTGTAAACTGGATTTGATTCTGCAAATTGTTCGTGGACTATACTGCCCGGTGGTGTATGCTATAGCAGTTGCAGCTGCCATTGACGTGAAGTGCGCCTGACATCTGCCCATCTCAAACTCTTTTGCCTCTGCGCATCGACAACATCATCTTCTTTTCTTTATTTCTTTTGATTTTGCTATCAAATTTCTCTCACGAAGAAAAATACAGTCCCGACATCATGACGAATACAAATGGAGAAGGCCAGGAGCAGATTGACCTGTGCGAGTACATCTTCAAAAGGCTGGTCCAGCTCGGCCTTGGATCTGTTCACGGAGTTCCTGGAGATTACAATCTTACCATTCTCGATTATGTCAAGCCAGCAGGCCTCAATTGGGTTGGGAATGCAAACGAGCTCAACTCGGGCTACGCCTCTGACGGCTATGGAAGAATCAAGGGAATATCGGCCATGGTCACTTCCTACGGCGTTGGCGATCTCTCCGCCATCAACGCCATTGGAGGCGCGTACGGCGAAAGAGCGCCCATTGTGCACCTTGTTGGAACTCCTCCTACGGCCGCGCAAGAAGCCGGCGCTTGTTTGCACCATTCTTTGGGCGACGGCAGGCTCAGGATTTTTGCAGACATGAACAAGTTTGTGACAGCTGCTCAGGCTAATCTGATAGATGTTGACAAGGCACCGGCTCTAGTTGACGCAACCTTGAAAACTTGCGTCTTGGAGAGTCGTCCCGTCTACATCGAGCTTCCCACCAACTTGGTCCATGCCAAGGTGCCCGCCCCTACATCACCCATCGATCTTTCACTGCCCGGATACGATGAAGAGCACGAGACCAAAGTTGTCTCTTCAATCGTAGAGTCGATTCAGAAGTCTAAAAAACCGATGATTTTCATGGGAGGATTGGCTGCTCGCTTCCGAGTGACTGAAGAGATCAATGAGTTTGTAAGGCTGACTGGCATCCCTACGGCTACTATGACGTTTGGGAAGGGTATCATCAACGAAAGTATACCCAACTATCAAGGCGTTTACATGGGAGCTGTTGGAGACACAGTTTTCAAACAGCAAGTCGATGAGGCTGATCTTGTATTGGATTTTGGTCCTATGCATTCCGATGTCAACACCTTTGGGTTTTCGGCCGTTCCCAAGGCGGATGTTACCATAACAATCAACCAATACTCGGCCAAGTTTTTTAGCAAGGACTCCGATACCTCCGGTCGCGTCTACTCCCCCAAGTCGTTCATGGCCAAGCTCCTGAAAAGCATCAGTGCGACAAAGTTGCCTGAATATCCATTCAAGCGGGGCTCGACCTACCCGCCTCATCTGCTTCAGAATCTCAAGCCATCCTCCAAGAACGAAAAGATTGAGCACGATGAGTTTTGGTTATCCATGTCTAATTTCCTTCGATCTGGAGATATCATTCTTGTGGAAGCCGGAACAGCCATTGCTGGCGCTTGTTCAATGGTATTACCAGACAATGTCATCTTTATGAATTCGGGTCTATGGCTGTCCATCGGCTATACGCTCCCAGCGTTGCAAGGAGCCGCTCTAGCTCGTCGAGAGCAGCGCAAGGAAGGTTCTAAAGAGGCTGCCGGGTTTTCAGGCCGGTCCATCCTGTTCATCGGTGACGGAAGCCTTCAGATGTCAGTTCAAGGTATCAGCGATATCATCAGGAACAAACTTGACACGACCATTATCGTCATCAACAATGATGGCTACACGGTCGAGCGATACATCCATGGGTTTGACGAAAGCTACAACGACATCCAGCCATGGAGAAATACACAGGCGGCGAGCTTTTTCGGAGCGCCAATTAATGATTCCGATTACCCCGTGATAGCTGAGCAGGCTCGGAGTTGGGGTGAGCTGCGAAGTCTTTTGGCGCGCCCGGATGTGGAAAAGGGCAAAGGCTTGGCTGTCATAGAGGTCTTTATGGACTTGAAGGATGCTCCACTTCCTCTTAAGAATTTTGCTGGCTTTATGGCTAACAGGAACAAGACGAACGGAAAGAATTAAGTAACTTTTCAATGTCATAGCTATTAAGAGTGTAGCTTGTTCAATTGCTCAAATAATAATTGATGATTCCGTAATATAATCTCGAAGACTCTTCGCATCTCAGTAGTAACAGTTTGTGAAAAAGAATCGCTTTGCTTATGCTGTCTATGGTTACCAAATTCACCGCTCGTTGCCTTCAACTACCCCCAGCCACTTCCATAATTAGACGGTTAAACAAGTCAGAGGGTATATCATCCATATTCTTCTTTGTATAACCACAGCTCAAAACAACCTCAACGTCAATATCCGGATGCGAGATGAGCATCTCAAATATGTCTTTGTGCCCCTTGACGGCTGCTGCGGCTAGAGGCGGCTGACCGTCTTCGGGATTCACGTTGATATCGACTTTGCCGGTCTCGAGGAGCAGCCGCACCATGTCTGTGTGTCCCCGGGCTGCTGCAAAATTGAGCGGCGACCAGCCGCGGTGATTTCGAGCATCTGGATCTGCGCCTCTCTCGAGTATAGTTTTTGCTTCGGAAACCATATTCCTCTCCGAGGCATAATGCAGCGCTGTATGTCTCTCCCACCCAGTCTTCTCATCTACCGACACATCCTTGCAGTTCAACAGCAGCTTCGTGATCTCCGTCGGACACGCCATGGCCGCATGCAACGGTGCCATGCCATGATGTATACTTGTTCGGTTCCAGTCGACGTCGGGAAGAGTCAGCAGATAGCGCACAATATCGATGCTGCTAAATGTCACCGCGGTCATTGCAGGAGTCCGATCGGTAACCACCATGTTAACCGATGCTCCGACTTCCACGAATCGCTTGAATACATCGACTCTATTCTTCCTGGCCGCCCAGAAGAGACCAGAACAGCCGCCGTGCTGGATGCTCCACCTGTAGAGAATCGGGTTGGCAACAGAGTATAGACGCCTACAAGTCCGAGCAATGCGTGAGATTGTCCGAACATTGGCCAAGGTGGCGTAAATGTCGAACGGGTTCTTAATCGTCTTATATACAATCATCTCTAGTATTTCGTTGGGCAAGCCATCGAGATGGTTGTTGGCCTGGACTTTGCGAGAATCAACAGAGGCAGGCATCTTGGGACGGAGATCAAGCGTCAGGAGTATATCATCACGATAGTCGCAGACTTCAATTTCGTGAGAGCCGGAAGAAATCAAGAACTAAAAAGACGGTCAAATCGAAGCGAAAAGTAATGGAAGGGGTATCGACCAAGCTTTGTAATATGACCACGGACGCTGCAGCTTCATGGAGAAGGACAGCGTGCTTTATATATGCATTCTTCCGCTACTCAGGAATCTTTAGCCGAAAAAAAGGCATCTGGAGAATAAAGAGAAAGAAAAGGACAAAGAAAATAGAAAGAGAAAGGAGAGAGAGAAGGAGGATTCGCGTCGTGAAAGACATAGAATCTAGGTTTGACGCACGGCTGAACATGTGACGTTTATGCTATCCACAAAGACAAGTAGGTACATACTCAAACAAAAGAAAAGAGCCACATGTAAAATATTAATAACTTTAGAATAAAAGAAGGGAAGGAGATTATCCGCAAAAGGTCATCCTACTACAACAAAAGAAATAGCCGCGCCTTGCTATCTATGATGCACCACAAGGTATCCAAGAATGAGAGAATTAATCAGGCTTTAATACATCCAGCCACTAGAGAATGTCATTGCCCTCCTCACTGTCATTGTTCTCAAGCCACTCCATTGAGTCTGTAAAATCTTCCGAAAGGTATTGCTGCTCTACAGGCTGGTCATGAAGACAGTCCAGTATCTCTTGCATCGCGTCCTGATGCGAATGCTCTGGTCGATAGGCTTCCAGCGCATCACTATGATTGGGAGCGACCAAAGATTCACTGCACTTGGCAATGGCAGATCCCGCAGTGACATCAGCAGGCTCCGCTGGCGAAGGAGTGGCTTGAACGGCAGGCATATCCATCTGAAGCACCTCGGCCTGACACTGACCAAGAATGGGCAATACAGCGTTGCCTCGGGCAAGCTGAACTTCTCTGCAAGAAACCGATCCCAAAGCAATCGCATTGCGAATCAATGAGCTTGGGCTACCGAGGTGTCTTGTCTCTAGAAGCTTTTGAAGCACGCTGCCAGACCGGGCATCCCACTTGAGCTGAAGATTCTGCTCGTATGACAGTGACGGAGGCGGCCAAATATTGGACAAAGCACTTTGGCTCAGCAGGTTGCGCATCCTAAATGTAAAAGTCCAAGCTCTGGGCTTTTCCAGGGAACTCTGTAAATGGGTGACGACGTGGGCGATATATTTGTCTCTTGCTGGGCTCGCTTCAAATTCCGATACTGCCTCGTAGACTTGGCTACAGCCTTCAAAGCCGCACGCAAAGACAGTTTGGGGACAAAGCGTGATAACCTCGGCGTCGTAAATCCTAACGCGTGCCTTGTGATAATATCTGGCGTGCTCTTTGAAGGCCCCCAGCCACTGAAAGACCCTCCGGCAGTTTTCTTTGGGACAGACCCACAGATTGTTGGTATGGTGCGTGCTTTCCAAGTGACGCTTCAAGTCGCTCGGCCTTGACAGCCTCTTATAGAACCCGTACTCGCTACAGAAGCCGCAAATGTACTCTTTCTGCTTCTTTGTATGTTTGTCTACTTTTAACTCGTCCGTGTTTTCTGCGACGTCATCTTTTGCCAGAGTAGAAAGCGCTTCTTCCGCCGTGAGCTCTTCTTGTCCCCGACAGACAACAGCATTGTCCAAAGATGTAATGCCATTAGCCTCAGGGCTTTCTTCGAGAGCAGTGATTGAAAGAATTGTACTGTTGATGGGTTTGAAAGCTGTTCCAACGGTATCTAAAGATGGCGGCAATGCAATGATCTGGCAAGCCGTGCTAGAAATCGTAGCTTTTGAGGTCGGTTCAGATTCAGGCGATAACGAGTCTGCATCATCTCCAGCGTCATCTTCTTTAGCGATCATTTATTAGCTATGTCGTTCTTACGATATCTTCTTACATCTCGTCGGTACATAAGGGCTTTTAAGGATGTATCGGTATGTAACGAAGAGGGGAGGAAGCACCTACCTTGTAAAGGCGATAACAATAATGGCGATAATGGCAGCGCACATGCTTCTTCTTCAAACAGCTTTTTAATCTGCTCTACGGAATATGTATCCAAGAGATATCGGACCATGGGGCGGCCCACACGGTCTTCATGCGACGAGCCATTGCCGGGGGATTTGTGTCTGAGACTCGACCCAGTTCCTCGAGGCATAACTTTGAGGATATGCAAATGCTAAGCCAGTGTCCCAGTCGTTGCAAAGAGGAATTGGGCTTCAGGAGGAGTGTTTTGCAAGATGCTGTTGGCAGAAAATGCCTTTCTAGAGACTAGCTGCCGCGTTTCGAAAGCAGAACCGGGTGCGTTCAGGGACGTGATAGGATTCTAGGGATGCTGCATCAAATTTTGCAAGGCGCTTAGCGAATGGCCTCAAGTATAACATAAGGATAGTCGCAAATCGAAAGAAACAGCACTCAAATACGTACCGGCTGTCTTGACATATCAAGTCGCAAGGGGGTGAGACGGCTCGAGATGCGAGGACAGGGGGGCTGATAGAGGACGATGCAAGACTAGGCAAAATCCAATGTCTCAGGAGAATGTAAGGGGATAAAGTGCCTCGGATCGCGGGAGCCAACTGAGCTGAAGGCTGCTGGAAGGAGCGGAGGGAAATTGAAAAGTGGCAGCAGGGCGAGGCGAGAAGGTGGAGGAGCAACCAAGTGTAGACAGCTGAACTGACCGAATCCTCCACTTGGCCAAGCCGAGCAAACAAAACGAGATTACCGTATGCTGCTTGGATGTTTGTCTGCTGGATACCACGCAAAGTTTGCTAATGTCTCAGCATCTTTTATTGAATCAAGAAGAGAAATGCCCAGAGCTGAATGAAATGTCAATTTTATTTCACCTGCGCTAAATACGCCATGCATGCGCTCTTGCCAGTAATATTATGCAGACGAGCGTTACACCAGGCGTCAAGATGTCATCCGAGAAAAAGCAAATATGGATTATTCTGGCCATCTTAGTAATATCGCTGCATAGCCACGTAATAGCATTTATACCAGGCGTGCATAAATAAATCACCGAAAATATGGTCCAATGAAGCCATTGGCTCGACCCTGCCTCTATCCTTCATACACCGCGACGCTGCAATAGAGGGAAGCAACACATCACAGCAAACCACACAATCTCAAGCAAAGAGCCAGATTAGGCATCTGGTGCCGCGATCTTGTCTGACGGTCTGATCCACCCTTGATCTACGGCCCGAGATCCAACACTCCGCGGTCTGTGGGGACGGGCCGCTCCCCGTCAAAATTAAGGGCTAACGCATACCCATAGGTCAGCAAACGCACTTTTACCAGTGTCGAGAATCCGTCAACCAGAAGGGTCGTTACATTACATCAGCTGGAGCCGAACGGATATGGGTGTACTACATTTTGCAAGATCGACAGATGATGCAGATCGTACTGCAGGTTGAAGGAACACCGCTGCAGATCTCTCTAGGTGCGCGTGTAGAACCTCGAGCGACACGAGATCTGACGGGCATTTGTGTAATGAACTACGACATATGAGCCATGAGCTCCAACCTCGACATGACTATACTTTCAAGCATCTATATTCCAGTGCCTTTTTATCTACACGTTCGTTTACCCAATTCAGAGTATATGTGCATGGAACAAGTCGTTTACGCGCTTCAAACGCTGCAGTAGCCCATCATCATGTTTTCTCCCTCCTCCCTACCTTTCTTTCGAGTAGTACACGAATGTGCAATCATCGAAAAGCCTTGTAGACCGCTGGATTCTTCTGCACTCATTCCACTTTCCAATCACCACGATATAACCTAATATTTGCAAACCGTGACATCTTCGTTGGACTTTGTAATCATGAGAATCGAAACAATCACTCCATAGAGGCCCAGGACTTCGGCAAAAATGAGAATGAGAACCATGCCAACGTACAGTCGAGGCTGTTGGGAACTCGCTCGCACTACATCAGTCAGTCAGCCAGAATTCGTTGGATTATTGTCGCTGCTAAGAATACGAGAGGGCACGCGACCGTCTCTTCAACAGGGAGTTGCAATGTTGATTGCTCAAGACTTACCACCGGCATCTCCAATAATACCAATTGCAAAACCAGCCGCCAACCCACACAGGCCAACAGCCATTCCGGCACCAAGCTGCATAAAACCTGTGTGGGCGGCCATTTTCTCTTTAACCGAGTTGGACATTATAACTGCGGCGACGAGCCCATATATGGAGAGGATTTGAGCCATAATCGAGCATAGACTGAGTTGTTAGCCTCTCCCATATGATCTCTCGTATCTCGATCGGCCTCTTGAGAAGACGTACGTGTTCTGCATCAATCGATCGGGATGAAGGACACCGCTGGAGAAGATGGCAATGGACGACTTAGCAGTGCCATAGGCTGCGCCGAATGTTGTAAATATGATTGCGAATGCGATTCCCATCGCCGCGAAGAAGGACTACAGATTATCAGCTGCCGTAATGCTTGATACTCGGAAAATACTAACAGAATACATGGGACTGTGCTTATTAGCAATCAGTAAGATCTATTCCAGACAAGAGATACATACCATCGCTCCACCGAGGCAAAAACATCTTGGTCGTACATCTTGTAACGAGACTGAGTGCCACGATGGCAGTGTTTGACCAAAAGCAAGAGTTGGCAAGAAGGAGGAGAACCTACAAAGCGGAGAAATACAGAGAAGCATCAGAAGGATTTTTGGAGTATAATCACGGAGTATTAGTAGCCTGAGGTATTGCTGGAGGCATCCAAACGAAAGCGCAAAGGGTACTCGACCCGTTTGACACTAAATGGCTTATTGGGGGTGTCAGATGAGCTCGGTTGGAGCTTCCACGTCATTTCAGGCTCCAAATAGGCAACGAACAAAATCCTTTTCCCTCATGCTGCATATCTGCCATTTCCAATAAAGCCATGTTAGATACATGTCTTTTGCCAGGCAGTATGAAGAAACTATACTTGCATCCGTATGTACTGGAGTTATATCCATCGGCAGCGCTAGGCTTTTTTCGCAACGACAACAATTCGCCAAGTCTGCGTATTCCTCGCATCGACACGTTTTCCCAGTAGGGCCACGCATGCGACAGGGCTACCCGGTTTGCTTATCGTGCCGGCTATTTGTAGCAGGCTTGGCGCTCTAGCCTCACATGAATCCAGTGACTGGCCGGGACGCACAATATCTAGACGCGGGGGGGGTCACTCACCCGATGTACCTGTTGGATCTCAAAGGTCTCTGGGTTGCGGAGATAGGTGGCAAGTACATATTGGCAGCAATATCGATTTCAAAACGCGGAGCGAAGTCACCAGCCCCGACTGACTCGACCTCTAGAAGAGCAAGCTTCAAGCTTGATCAATACAGTTATTTCCACGATTCCAACTCGGGTACAATTACCGCTCACATTGTTCACGCGAACCGCAGCTCGTTTTCTTAACAAAACCAAAATCTAAAGAGCCGTGCCCAGCACCTTGACGACAGCAATATCTCTAGACAGCCGCTGCTTCAACTCTTGCAGCCAGTTGTCATCGTGTTCATCATGGAGTCTGAGCTGGCGCCCAAGTTTGCTCCCTTCATAGGGATGGTAAGCTGCTCGCACATTGCTCCCGAACCATGAACATTAATCAGGTGCTAATAAAACAACATAGACTGGTATTGCTGCAGCCATGATCTTCGGATGTAAGGCAAACAAGAACTTATCCCCTCTCCGTAGTGCATTTGATGGTTCTAACGCGAATGACTCTAGCTATTGGTGCTGCGTACGGCACCGTAAAATCTGGTATTGGCATCGCTAGTGTTGCAGCTTTTCGGCCAGATCTTATCATCAGGGTTAAATTGTCTCCATTCATATCTCTCCCGCATGCAATTTACTAAGTCGTCTTACGAACAGTGTCTGATTCCCGTTGTTATGTCTGGTATCATTGCCGTTTACTCTCTCGTCATAGCGGTTCTCATCGCTGAGGATATTCGACCTCCTGCCGCAAACAATGAAGCCTATACTTTATTCGCGTATGTGAATAACGTCAAATTCTTGTTGATTACAAACATGAAGCTAACCCGTGTGCACAGCAGCTTTATGCATTTTACGTGCGGCCTGGTGGTTGGCTTGACCGGCCTGGCTGCGGGCTATTGCATCGGAATCGTGGGCGATAACGGCGTCCGCGCATACATGAAGCAATCGAGAGTCTACATTGGCATGATTCTCATTCTGATTTTTGGAGAAGTCCTTGGTCTATACGGGTATGCAAACTGCGGCTAGGAACTTGTATCTGGACGTCATAAACTAAACATCATGTTGGAACAGATTGATTGTCGCCCTATTGCTCAACTCTCGGAGCAGGGGGTAACCGACCGCCTTTCCCTCATCCAACTCAATAACACATAGATTGTTCGCTCGAAGAACTCGGGATTGAAACAATGGACATGGTAACCAAAAAGCCTATTCTGGCTAGTGGAGAAAAAACATCACGAAAGCCAAGATGGCAGCGAAGCACCAAAACACCAACAAAAAAAGAACGACTAGGTTCTAGAGGGAATCGAACCCTCGCTGGCGGAATCAGAATCCGCAGTCATAACCATTAGACCATAGAACCCTAAGAGGCGGTGATCCGCTTCCTATGGACGGAGGCCGACGTTGGTATTAGCGGTTATGAAGCCTGACGATGTGGGCCGCGTCTCCATATTCTTGACTTCCTTCATCTACGGGGCAGATGGAAAACTTGTATCAAAAGTTGAAGCAAGAGAAAACTTTTGAAATGCCTATTCATTCTACTGAATAATCCTGTAACATTGATCACGATACCAACTGGGTGGCCGTACTCCAATCCCATCTTGCTGCCTGTCAGCCTCAGCTTCAAATTGCTTCACTGATTGGACGGCACCAGCTCCACTAGCTCCCCCCTTGCCTCAAGAGTCCACCGAACCCCGGGAATGCGACGAGTACGAGAGATACGGGTGGCGCCAGCTTGTATGGGCGGCGAGTCAAGCTGAGCTGCCCTGCGCTGCCCCCAAAAGCCACGATGAAACAGCTGAAGCTGTTCAGCCTCAGCCATCGCAAGGCGCATATAAAAGAAAGGGCAACCGGCCACAAAAATGCCTCCCAATGCGTATAGTAGCAGCGGCTATAGTATCATGTCATAACAAACAAACAAACAAACAAACAAACAAACAAGACATCGTCGCCACCAAAATACCTACAATGTCTCGGCTATTCCAGATTGTGAGACCCGCCTTCAAGCTCTCCTACCAGATAATCCCCGACGGCGAGGAGGAGCCTCTCTACAAGGTCAAGAACCAGCCGCTGCCCGGGAACCGCCCGGATCTCGCGCTGCACAGCGGGCCTGACCTGGCCACGCCCATCCTGGTTTCGTGCTACATGCCCAAATTCTCGCGGCACTGCAAGATTGGCTTCGGCGATCCCACAAGCGGCGAGCCCATCATCTGGGAAGACTTCTTCAAACCCAAGAAGAGCAGCTGCGAGCGCAACATCTCCGTCTCCTTTTCGAGCGGTGACATCGTCTCCGAGACGGGCAAAGGCGAGCGGGAGCAGTTCACCTGGAAACGCACCCATCATGTCAGTGTGCCTGGCAAGAAGTTCCACGCAGCCACTAAGCGGAATAGAAAGCTCATTGACGAGCGCGGCGAGGTTGTCGCTATTTTCACGCATGATATGAAGGTTGGAGTCGAGGGGTGGCTGCAGATTAATGTTGACCGCGGCCGCGACTTTGATGTGCTGGTCATGATTACTGTTTTGGCGATATGTGAAAAGATACGACGGCAATGACCAGCCTGTGCAAAGACGCGGTGATGATAGGCGGCGATGATACCCTGGTTCGATACGATGGCTTTATTAGAGTTTTAATATCTTTTCTATCTAGGCAGTTTAGCAACTAATATGCGTCTATTATTGTTGTTGGGCTGGACGTCTATGTCAAAGGCGGCTGTTTCAAACCCTTCGCAACCAACAAAGGATTCTGTTTCGTGTCTTATTTGAAGCCCACTCTTTACACTTAACCTATACCGTCTCATAATGCTAACAGGTTTTACCATTGCTATTTACACTCTTATCTTTAATTACCTTTTCAATAAACAATAGCATTATTGTGCCTTAAATACCCACAGTGGAAAATGACAAGGATGCAATTTGCCTGAGTGCCTGAAAATGAATGATAACGAAAGCTCATGTGTATAGATATACAGGCATATGTCTATATTAGTATTGTCGACCTCAACCTACACGTGCTAGTTGGATAACCCGCCAGCGGTCACCGCCTTTTCTTCTTCCTCTTCTTTTGTCTGAAAACTCCCCATCTCCTGGTCTGAAAGGTTCCATCTTTTGCGCTCTCTCATCAGTGCAATCCAAAGTTCCTCGTTTGCAAGCTTGTGAAAGTGTCCCCACGCTGCCCCTCTACAGCCCCCTGTCATATCGCATCGTTCACGGTTAGTATCAGTTATGTCAGCTCCAAAGTTCCAGTTAGACGGTCTCAACTGGATAAGAGGGAAAAACAAAACCCTTCCAGCCCCAGTCAACCATCTTCAGACTAATACTCCGGATTTCGATGGCGGCAATCCTACCTTGGACGAGTAAGGCGCAGCCATTCGGGAATATCCACAGCTGGATAATTTACGCCATCCCTGAACGAAGCCCAGATTACCTTCTCGTTATGGTTATCGCCCGGTAGCGGCAGACTAGCCATTGCTCGGAGAATGGCACCCAATGATACCATCAGAAGACTTGCCTGGCCTTCCTGATATGAAACCACAGAAACACACACTTGGATAGAGGCCCTTTCCCTCCCCTCCATCAACTCTTTTATACCTCCCATTGGACCGGCTTTTTGCACTTTTTGATAAGTAGCCAACCATCTTGTATTATCATCTAATTCATGCCCACCCGTACGGGGACCTCCGTGCGGCATGCCGGCAGGTACCGATTCACGAATCCCGTAGACTGATGATCGTCGCTTTCGCGCGCACGCTTGAGCCCCTCGTTCCACAACGGCAGCCAGATACTAAAATGGAACCTTTGCTGTGCCGTCTTTCCGTCCACTGAGCGCGCTTCCCGCCCAGCCGGCTTCACGGCGCGCAACCGTGCTTCGGTCTCCCAATCAGGGTACCGAGCTCGCTTCAGCATCTAATTCATCCCCAGGGACGTTTGCCCAATGCTGGATCACGGCCACTGATGTCTTCACGTGGAGGGCGAGCGATGGAATGCTAGAACGTGGCTGGGAGGCCACGAGGGCCAATCGAAGAGCATGATTGTGCGCAATAGGGCATGTGGATGAATAAGATCGCATCTTGTCGGGAGAGCTAGAGCCGTGGAGGAGAATGCCGGAGTTGGAGCTTCGAATTTCGACCTGCCCAACATGGGAGGTCCCGGGCCTGATATGGAAAACACTGTTTATCAGCAAATTTGTACGGTAATGGGGCCGGTTAGATAGAAGAACATATAAAGGTAGAAGAGCGTCCATGCGATTCAGGAAGTTGTTCATCATCCTCGTGCAATCAAGCCTACTCTCTCTCTCAGTCTCTTCTTTCTCTCCAGACTCTCCCCTCTCTCAAAATGGTCAGCGTCAAGGTAAGCTATGGAAGTTCAATTCAAGTTCATTCCACAAAGGCCGATCATTGACACGAAATTTAAACACAGATCATCGCCGCCGTTGCCGGCCTCGCTGTCAGCGTCTCTGCTGCCGCTATCGAGAAGCGTGCTTCTTCTTGTGTTTACACTTGCGGCAGCACCTGCTACTGGCAGTCTGATATCACCGCTGCCCTGAACAAGGGATACAGCCTGTACTCTTCTGGCAAAGAGGAGGGTGAGTCTTCTCCCTTGACCCATCATTTGTCTCGTGATAGAGAGACCACCACAAGCTGCGCTGTATGCTGACATCAACTTTCCCAGACTCCTACCCTCACCAGTACAACGACTACGAGGGCTTCAGTTTCCCTACCTCTGGCCCCTGGTACGAGTTCCCCATCCTGAACAGCTTCGACGTCTACACTGGTGGCAGCCCGGGTGCCGACCGTGTCATCTTCGACTCCGATGGCAACTTCGACTCCGTCATCACCCACACTGGTGCTAGCGGCGACGACTTCGTTGCTTGCAAGAAGGACTAAGGGAGTCCTTACTGAAAAATAGGATGGGTATATGGAGAGAAGAGAAGTAGAGAAAAAAAACGGGAAGGAAACAAAAGGATGATTCATGACACTGCACCTTTAGGTGTATTAGCAATATTGTACATTTAGATTGCCTAGGCATGGTATGTACGTATTGCATTTTTAGCAAGCCTGTCTTAGCGGTGCTTTTTATACCAAGCAAAAAAATTGTTGAACCAAAAGCTGCCGTCTCGATAATGGGACATTCGCGCCTAGGCTATGACTTATGAAAACGTAACTGCCGCAACAAAATAGCTGATGGCACACCTTCAGTGGTCAAACGACGGCTTTCGATGCTCCGTAGACCAATCTATTAAACAAGATCTCGATCGATAAGAATCAGCGCGTAAGCTTGCAAGTCCGGTAGCCTTTGCCTGCGTGTATATTAGCTATCTGTTTAGCTTGATCGGCTTTGGGGCTGGACTCTTATCTTGGAAAATCGTATACGTCTCAACTATGTCTCAAGTCCATTTCCAGGGCAGAGCAGCGTCGCGGTTTCGAATGCTTTCAAAGGATGTTGAAATGATCTGGCCAAGCTTGATGGTAGCATGGCGAGGGGCAAGATGAGGTTGATCTGGTACCCCAAAACTTGCCAGTCAGCACGTGAGATTCGGTACATCGATGATGTACCCGCATACAACTCAACCATTTCTCAAGCCTGTCTTTTAATACCAGTCCGCACGACTCACAAATTGATGAACTATACAATACACCAAGCAGGTGCTCGATATAATCGAGATTCAGTTGACAAGGGAGGCCCTGGCGTTTAGATCGAAATTCGCCGGAAGAATCCCCCACCAGTACTCCACTGCTGTGGAGTGACTAACAGTATAAAGCCATTGCCAAGTTTGCCGAGTCAGATCAAGCACCAACGCAAGGCAGGGATAAATTACGAGAAAGGTAGCTGAATAAAGCAGTGATTTTATGTTTCGAATTCTCAGGTGCTCAACTACTGTACATAGTGAAAAGTAGCAGCATAGCAGCAGTAAGTAGTAGTGGTAGCAATAGTAGCAGCAGCAGCCTACGCTTTAACAGAAGCGCTGAATAACAGGACTGGGGTGCGGGATAACCTTTCCTATGTGTATTGTCTGTTAGTGATGAGACTCGGCGATAATAGGTTAAAGCATGAACGCGAATCGGATTCTTTTTGATTGGAAACAATAAAAGAAGTACAAGCTTTAACTACCTTCATCACACAACTCCAATATCCCGTCAACTATATACAAGTATGCTAGGATGTTAATCAAGCTTATATGAGATAATCCGTTCGTGTATCCCGTTGTCACAAATTGAGTATAGAAGTGAGGCCTTCCATCAGTGCATGAATATTTTTCCTACATATCCTCAAGCCACTGGGGGAAAAAGAATTCGGCATCAATTAATCAACGTAGGGTGTTCCGCCAGGCTCGCCCAAAAGTCCATTTCAAGCTCCCAAGATTGTGAATTAATATACGGATCCCAGTTATTGTCCGCTCCATCGGAATTTATCAACTGCTGGGAATCACTAGTCTTTGAAGTTTGCTCCTTTGCCGCAGTCAGCGAGTCGAGTAGGCTCTGTATCGTCCTCGTCGCCTGCGCGAAGAGAGCGTAGTTTGGCTCTCCGGGCTGGATCCATGCGCCGATTGTAATTTCCGCAACGAGGACGCTGAGGTCTTGAATCATCTTTGATCGTGAGAATTGATGCGAGTCGGGGCTTGTCGAACTCAGGAGCGCAAGGCAGATGAAGCCTGCAGCGGGCAGTCCGTATTGAGCAACCTATTCGGTCTAGTAAGAACACTTCTAAAGCCTATATGGAATCACGAAGTAGGGTTATAGTAGATGTCTTACCTTCCAAATAAGGCATGTTCCCGAATTTGCCATCCGATCTCGCAGGATAATTATTTCCACCACAATCGAAAGCATCTCGCTCGCAGTCTTCAGAAGGGCCTCATCGGGTTCAGCTACCTTGCGCTGCGATAAGAATCCGAGCAGAAAGTGCGTGTGAAGGTATTCTAGTCGAGCTCCTGCTAAAAAATCTCTCGAAAAGGGCCCAAGTGGGCAGTCTTTGAGGTTGGTGGTGAGGCGATAATGCGGAGGCAAATCCTGCCATTGTTGATCGATTCTCTTGCGAAGGTCACTAGTAAGAAATAGAAGAAAGCGGTTAGCACGGAATTGGTCTCAGTATCTTATAGAGGAGAGGCTTAGACCAACTTGATAATGTCCGTCTCGCAGAACGCATGGCGTTTGCGAAACAGTTGGAGAACTTCTTCTTTGAGAAGCGCAAAAACAGCCGAACAAACGGTGTCTGACGTGTAATTCAAAGTCTGCTCGTCGTTTGGTTCTCGGCCACTTATTACTTGATAGGATAAAGGGCTGTGGCTGTCTCTTTTCATTGTACCTTCAGCGTCGTTCCAAACACTCGTCATCGTCAGTGGGACCTGGAAATAGCAAAATTCTTTCGTAACCCGCGGGGGTCGACCCAGGAATACAGCCAAGCTCTTGTCCGCTGCAAAGACGCGCGCAAAGCAAGATCTCCGCAGTTCAGCCACAAATAACGGAACGTCTGAAGAGTCTGCTTCAATCTTTTCATGATAGCCGAGTGCAAATAACGAGCTGGCCACATCACCCATCCGTCGCCAAGAGTGGTAACCTAATCGTCAACATGTTAAGTACATTTCGCTTTTCTAACTGTATATCACCCCTGCTGGCATGTATTGGATCCAAAAGAGAAGAAGGGAAAGGAAGGGAAAAGAAAAGGCGTACTCTGATCACCGTCAACTTGCGAGTGTACTATGAGATTTTCATACTGCAACACTAGCTGCAAATCATTGAGGCAGTCCAAAGCAAGGCATGTTTCCAAGCAGCAGTCTCCAATGTACAACAGTGCTTTGATCAACCCACGACGTCGTTCATCGCTGTTGTAGAGTGGAGCAAACGAGGAGGTATCTAACGCAGCTCTGCTCGCAGCTGTGAGGAATATTCCGAGGCTTTCCCATCGAAGGTTCTTTCCAGACATCTGTTGCAGATATTCGGACGGAGTGGAGTTTCTATGGAACATGAGAGACCTGTGCGAGTTCTCCAATAAGTCCCTCGCTCTTTGCGTGGTATCATTGTTACCCACAAGAGGATTCAACAGCTCTCTCCATTCGACGGCAGCATTGACGCACGTCTCAACGAATGGTTCTGCCAGAGCTAGGTTGACCCCCTTTTTGAGCCAAAAGCGCACTAGGGACGCCAGGGCGGAAACTTGCAGCTGATCCAACAGACTCAAAGCATAGTTTGCTTTTTCAAGCGTTGTCTGATCAATGATGAATGTGTCTGATGGAGAACTGGACATGGGTGAATGCACTGCTTCCTCTTGCTGAGCAACGACCATGCCGGTGGGAGCACGGGAAGACACGTGGTTGAAAATGGTTGCATGGCTGGGCACTCCGAGAAAGCCCGGATTTGGATATCGTCGTGGCTGGGACGAAGAAGTGCCCAATACGCCCGAGATTGGAGACGCCTCCAAGGGTGGAGTGGTCAGAGCATCTACACATATCGACCCTCCAATGCTAGAAGCATCAAACACAAGGTCAGCGGATATACGAAAAGGGGTCAATTAGATACCGGGCCATAAGAGACAGCTTTTGACATAGGAACTGACCTATGCTTTCTAATTCGATCATTCTGTATTTTTCTTCTAAACGGCCGATCCCGGTATACACAATGGTCTATCTGATTACGGTTGCGGCATCGGGCGCAGGGCCTTTCATGACCGCAGGCCAGCTTTGCCCGTCGGCAGGGCTCACAGGCAGCGTGTCGGACTCTCATTTCGCAATATCTTACTCGGGGATCATAATGATGGGGAGAAGATATCGTAAGATGAACACCATTTAGTCCGAGAATAAGACGTGCGATATCGCATCTATCAGATGCAGTGAACTCCGTTGAATCTACTCCGAAGATACTACGAGTACATGAGGTTTCGGCGACCTGGGACGCCGATTTCTCCGAAAACCCCACTACACGCCGAAGCCTTCTGTACGCCTTTAAGCCGGCACCCCAGTTCCATCGTCCGGCACTCTACACCTTACCCTACCAGAAGATTGAGGCTACTATTCATGTTGCTACTACTGCTAGCTGCTACTGCTGCTGTTTTGGCAAATTGCCTTTTCAAGCTACAGCAGATTGCATTTCCCAATCCTTTCATGTTGTTGGCTACATGTACAATGCTCCACGACTGATTCACATCAAGTCTGCATTCATGGTTCCCCCTGTCAATTCCCCTTCGACACAAATTCATTGTGCGTACCAGAGCACGAATCATGGCTGACAACCACCGGTGTTGGTTGTAAAGCTGAACATTAGTTAGTCTGTGGAGAAAAAGGCCCAGGCGCATTGACAATGGGAGAATAGCAATTGTTGAATCATAGCTCTTTGTTAGTGCATGCTAGCACTCTACACTTTGCCAATGGTTCAACTCGACGCTTACCCCGGCTCTGAGTCTTGGTGCCATGCGACCTAACAACAAATATCACTGGCGTGTGTACAATATGCTAGTACAATGTGCGTTGAAAGGGGCCCTTTTCCGCCTATAAACCTTCAACCAATCCCCCAGATTGAAATCAGCGTACGAAACATCCATACAGCTTTGGGCTTTTGTTTTATTCGTCCAAGAACAGCAAAGCAAGTCTAACAAGATGGGCAGTCTACCGGTAGAGCTCGACCAATGCTCCGTGGCACCCAATCTCTATCCCAATAGAAAGCCTGTGCCCCCTGCCCAGCGAGGGATAGCTGCACCATGCAGCACCGAGCAGTTCAAGACGAAGAGTTACAAGCATAAGCCGCTCGCCAAACGATGGCATCGTAAGTTTGTTGTTCTTTTGCCAAGAAGCAATTTCTAGGTCGGGCTCATGCCATCATGCTGATGGCTCTTGTAACTATTTAGCCTATATGAGCACCGAATCGGCCAGTCGAACGGGATCATCTCTCAAGGCATCTATGAAACATCTCGCGAATCCAAATGTCATTTCTCTGGGAGGTGGAACTCCTCTCAGCGACTTTATTCCCTTCGACGAGGTAGTTATTCGACCTCCTTCTCTGGAGAATCTCAAGACGGATAAGAAGAGAAACTCGACATCGGTAACGACGCTACATGCCACGAAGCACGACATAGCTGATGGCACCAGCATCTACGACCTCTCTGTGGCCTTGAATTATGGGCAAGGCTATGGGTCGGCACAGTTCATGCGTTGGATCACGGAGCATACAGAAATCTTTCATGATCCGCCATACTCTGACTGGCAATGCTCCTTGACCATTGGCAACACATCGGCCTTTGACATGTGTTTGCGGATGTTGACTGAGCCGGGCGACTGTGTCTTGGCTGACAAGTACACATTTTCAACTGCCATTGAAACCGCCCAGCCTCTGGGCATCAGCTTTGTAGGAGTTGACATGGATCATGAAGGCATGCTCCCAGAAAGCCTTGGCGAAGTGCTTGAGAATTGGGACCCTGCAGCACACAAGAACGCTTGCAAGCCATCTGTGCTTTATGCCATTCCGACAGGCCAAAACCCGACTGGCACCACTCAAAGCCTTGAGCGTCGCAAAGAGATTTACAAGGTAGCCCAGCAGCACGATTTGATCATCTTGGAAGACGATCCATACTACTTCTTGCAGATGGACCCCTATACCTCTTCTAAGAACAGCTCTGATGCTGCCGGGATTCGATCTTCTACCGACTTCCTGAAAAAGCTCATCCCGTCATATCTGAGTATAGACGTTGATGGTCGTGTTATTCGTATGGATTCCTTCAGTAAGGTGATCAGCCCCGGAGCGCGTCTCGGCTGGGTCACGGCTCCTGCGCAACTTATTGAGCGATACAAGTATCACACAGACGTTTCTACCCAGAGCCCTGCTGGCCTGAGCCAGTTGGCCGTGTTCAAGCTCGTAGACGAACATTGGGGACATGCAGGCTATGCCGAGTGGCTAATGCACTTGCGCTCGGAGTACACAAGGAGACGAGACTTTATCATATCCGCCTGCGAGAGGTATTTGCCTAGGAAAATTGTTAGCTGGGAGCCAACCGAAGCAGGCATGTTTGTAAGTAAAGTACACGATTCATACCCTTTACCTCTCTCCGCTATTCTCCGCATCCAATCCATCGTCATCTAGCTAACAACGTGTTGCAGCAATGGCTCAAAGTAGACTGGAAACAGCACCCTGATGCCAAAACTAAGTCGGTTGATGTTCTCGAAGAAGAGATGTGGTTGGAAAGCATCTCGACAGGAGCGCTGGTCGGTCGCGGGAGCTGGTTCCGTGCTTCGGCAGACGTGGCGCATGACGAGGTCTTTTATCGGACGACTTTTGCAGCGGCGCCGCTGCCCAAGATTGAAGAAGCTGTGAAGCGATTTGGCGAAACAATTGAAAAGGTTTTCAAAATTGAGCTCGAGGCCGGAGCTTCAAAAGTGTATGACTAGCATAATAATAAAGTATCTGCGACGCTGACAAATTGAGATATTCTATATGATACCTCGTCACCGTCGAATAAAGATAGGTTCGTATTTGCAACATGAAGATGCTGATTGCTTTCTGACTCCTTCTCATTCTAATTCTTTGTACCGGCACATATTTCTCCGTCGCCCGGCGCAGAGCTGCGCCTGAGATCCATCTGTTAGATCGCCCCTCCCTCAGCAATCCCTTTAATCTTTCCTTCTAACAAAGAAGGGTCCAAAGCTGATACCAGCGCATCTCGACTTCAGTTTTTTTTTTCTTCCTTTCCCTTTATTTCTTTGTTCAACTACTGACACATGATTCAACAAACAGTTGAGCAACAATCACCGCCGTCACAGCATCATCATATCAATTGCGAAGTGTTTAAAATATCTCGATAACAAAGAAATCTGCAGAAATCTATCGCCCATATATTCATACATCATGAGAATTATTCGTCAATCGTCTTCTTCGCCTTCTACTCCATAACAACAACATACTTCTCGTCCGTCGTTCGCTTCATCAGCTTCTCGTACGCCTCCGCTGCCTGGTCAATTGGCACTGGCGTCCACTTGCTCTCCACATTCAGCTTACCAGCCTCAAACAAATCTTTGATGCCCTTGAGCCGCCGGGCCATCTCCTTGGGCGATGGATTCAACGAGTTGCATCCCAGCAAGCTCAAGTCTGCGCGGTAAAAGTCCCGCATGTCGAAGCTAATGTCTCTCGCGCCGGACTTGGGTGCTGAAATGAAAGCAAGGCGGCCGTTTTTTGCCAGCTTCTTGAGCGCGTTAACCGTCAGAATGGGCGATCCAACGGTGTCTAAGACAACATCGACTCCGCGGCCTTTGGTCAGCGTGTCCAAGGCCTTTAGCTCTACATCTTTGTCGGTGTTGATGTCATCTCCTTCGTCTCGTGTGGCCTTGATGATGCTCGCGCCAATGTTTCTGATGAGTTGGACGGCAGAAGATCCAACCGCACCGTTGGCCCCTATCACGAGAACCGTGTCGGATTCTGTAATGAATGCCCTCTCCACCATCTGCGCAGCCGTCGTGAAGGGAACCCCAAGCGTTGCCGCCTGGACAAAGGAAATATTCTTCGGCTTCAGCACAACTTCATCCTCGTGAATGAGGCAGTATTCTGCCTGAAACCCGTCCTTGGTAAAGGCATATGCGTGTCCGCTGGTGCCATACACCTCCTTTCCGACAAGCTCCTCAGGACCTTCTTCAATGACGCCCGCATAGTCTCTCCCAACGATTCGGGGGTATTGGGTGTATGAAAAGAACCCCATAGCGTTGCCGACGTCACTGGGATGGATAGCCGAGGCATGGACTTTGACCAACACATGGTTCGGAACAAGAGCTGGCTTTGGAACCTGGGTGAAGACCAAACGAGGAGACTCCGCAGCAGATTCGCGAAGGAGGCGAAGAGCTTTCATTGTTGTCGAGGTACGTGACGGCATTTTCTCGGCTTTGTTTATTGTTCTTTCTCTTCTTTTCCGAAATATCTATGCTCAGTTGCCACCACGCTCAATTGCCGCTGTTGATCTTTATCAGATCTTCTTTCCGTCTCTACAAGATCCTGATTCGAACCTTGAAGTTGTTGTTTCGAATAATATATGCTGATTGTTTGCAAACGCTCTTTATAGAATTCATGTGATGACTGATGGACTCATTCCCCAAGGGGCCATTCCCGGGTTTTATATCCATCCATCGCTCGACCTTCATGGCAGGTTCCGTGTGCCTTATCCACAAAAAGCTATAGTAAAGATCAAACAACCGCAACAAGCTCTGGTTAACTGCTAGCAAAAATCACTTGTTCGAGCTAAACCAACGCCGTTGAGGCCGCCATTCGGAATCATCGCCCTAATTCCCCAGTTTCCACGTTGTGCCCGGAATGGGCTTTTGCGGCCCTGGCGGTCCCTGCGGTCCCTGCGGCGTTTGCGGCTGCTGCGTGTATTGCGGCTACTGCGGAAAGGATCTGAATGCTGAGCAGATTACTGAGATTGGGTCTGGTGTTGGTAAGCTGCATCTCAGCAATATAGCCAGGCACTGTCCCCATTAAAAAATTGGAATGCAAAGAAAAAGATAACAAACGGGATAACGAAAAGATTCAACAGGAGGTTGACTGCAAACTTCCGCTTGGAGTTAACAATCCATCAATGGCAATTTCACAATTGCACTGACTCTTGTCTCATCTTTGCTATTATACCTATAACTAACTGTTAAGACGGTATTAGCCACTAACGGCTTACACCGCGAGGATGACCTCCCAATCACAGTCTTTAGATGACAGTGATACCATCAATGGGAACAACAACATCAGCAACAATGTCCCAGTATCAGAGTACGAAGAAAAGCAGCGACTACCTGATCTCGAGAGCAATCAACCTCCTCATCATGAGCCAGGACCACCAATTGAAGACGACAAATATGCCTCCCAAGGACGACGCGACGAGGAAGAGGAAGAAAGTGGCGGTCACGGCGACTTGACGGCATCTACTTCACGAACCGCCACAGAAAGGCATCTCTCCCTCGAGCTCACTCCCAGCAACATCCAGCCTCCCCAGTCTCTGGCCGTCGAGCTCCCTTTCATATTCACTCTTTGTATGGCTCAGCTCTTGGCTCAGGCCGGGCTAGGCCAGTGCATTGCGCCGTTACACATCATTGGAAACAGCTTCGGCACTCAAGATGCTGGCCAACTCAGCTGGATGCCCGCTGCTTACAGTCTGACGGTCGGTACCTTCATCCTGATCGCGGGCCGCCTGGGCGATCTCTTCGGCCACAAGATCATCTTCGTCACTGGCTTCTGCTGGTATGCCCTCTGGAGCCTTCTGGCCGGTGTCAGCGTCTGGTCCCGATCCATCATCTTCTTCGACGTCTGCAGAGCCTTCCAGGGCATGGGACCTGCCTTTGCCGTGCCTTCTGCCGTGGCCATCATCGGCCGCACGTATCCTCCTGGCAGGAAGAAGTCGATGATTTTCAGCATGTTTGGCGCCACTGCGCCGGGAGGTTTTGTCGTCGGTGCTGTATTTTCGTCTATATTTGCAGAGCTGGTTTGGTGGCCCTGGGCATATTTTGTCATGGCTATGGTGTGTGTTTTGGTCGCGTTTGCTGGCACAATCACCATCCCGGCAACTCCTGGCGCCGTGAACCTGCGATCTGAGGCTCCGCTATGGAAGATTATCGATGCCCCTGGAGCTGCAGCGGGTGTTACCGGACTAATCCTCGTCAACTTTGCCTGGAATCAAGGTCCTGTCGTGGGCTGGTCGACTGTATATGTCTATGTGCTTCTGATTGTTGGCTTCCTCTTCTTGGGCCTGTTTGGGTGGATCGAGGTGCACTCTGATTTTCCTCTGCTGCCAACAAAATTATTCAGCGGCTCTTTGGGCTTCGTCTTGGCTTGTGTTGGCCTCGGATGGTCCAGCTTCGGTATCTGGCTGCTCTATTTATGGCAAATCCTTGAGCAGATCAGGGGCCATAGTCCTCTTGAAGCCAGCGCGCAGTTCAGCACGGCCGCCGTCTCCGGAGCATGCGCAGCTTTCACTACCGGCCTCATCCTGGGAAAAGTCAGGCCCAGCATGGTGATGATGATGGCAATGACGGCCTTTACAGTCGGAGGAATCTTGATAGCAACAGTGCCTCCTCATCAGATTTACTGGGCTCAGACTTTTGTTGCCATTGTTGTCATGCCGTGGGGAATGTGAGTATACATCATATAATCAAGAATTCTAATCATTCGTCGTCTTACTAACCCGCTCTTTACAGGGACATGTCATTTCCCGCCGCCACGATTATTCTCAGCGAGGCTTTGCCAAAGGAGCACCAGGGCCTTGCTGCCTCCCTCGTCAACACCGTCATCAACTACTCCATCTCCATCGGCCTCGGCATCGCAGGCACTGTGCAATCTCAGATCAGCCCCGGGACCACAGAACAAGAATTGTTAAAGGGCTGTAGAAGTGCGTTTTACGTGGGCATTGGCCTCAGCGGGCTTGGAGTTGCGGTAGCCGCGCTGTTTGTCCTCGACGAAAACAGGAGACATGTCAAGGAGCGTCGTAGGGGAGGGGAGTAAAAGAAACCAGTAGCATTGAGCACTGGTTTGCTTTTATTTTCCTTGCTCTATGTTAATGTATGATCTAGACTTTGTATTCTATTGGGATGGTGTTCTTACGATTGGATTTATGGAATAATATGCATTGGGAGGAAGAAATGGATGCTCTACGCACCATCAAAAGCATTTCGAATTCTAATAGAGATTAATAAATAGTAAGCATATAGACATAGAAACATATATACAAACTTGATATGCCATTAGGTATATCAATTATACCCACCAATGCATTATGCGTTAAATGAGCTGATACCAAGTATTGGCCGTAAAGGAGCTTCCATGTACTGCAGTGCAATTGAAAGAGATCCTCTACCTGCAGCGCAATCAAGTCATTGATAGATAGTCGATTGTTTTACTATTAACGCCTTTTACAGGGCTAGAAACGAAACGACGCCAAAAATGGCTGTGAAGCCTGTCCAATACATCAAGCCCGCCTCGTCGTGCCGTCCAATCGCCGCGGATGAAGTCGTCGCAGCAGCCGCTGTTTGCGAGTTTGCGCTCGTAGCGTGATCAACCTTTGTTCTCGTCCCCGTCAATGCAGGACTATTAGAAGAGCTGCCATCCGATGTCGGTGCTATCGTCACACCTCCAGCAGTTATTGTCGCACCACCTTCATCATCACCAGCAACACCAGTAGCAGTCGCAGTTGCAGACGCACCGCTACCCAGTGGAGGACATCCAACCGGCTTCGTCGTAGTCGGCGACGGAGCGGGAAACGTCCCGGCAAAGGAAATCACCGACCGCACAGGCGCCTTGAACTCGCCGCACGACAGCGCAAACATGAGATACTCGCCGCCCCAGAGCGCATTGCACGAGCCATTGCCATAGTCGCCGTAGAGCGCGTCAGGGATGTAGTTTGCGATGCCGTCCGTGCAGGCGCAATCCTGGAAGAAGAGCAGCGACGGCCTGGTGGTGCCGTCGGCGCAGTAGGGCTTCTGGGAGACGCGGAAGCTCCTCGACAAGGAGCCCAGCGGCGAGGCGGGCATGCAGACGTCGAGGGGGATGGGGGCAGCTTCGGCCTGGATGCGGTCTTGGCATTTGTCGTCGGAGTAGAAGTCGAGATTGCCGCCGTGGGAGCCGGCCGCGGAGACGCGGAGGCTGAAGCCAAGGAAGGCCAAGACGGAGAGTGTCTTGGCGATGGGAGCCATCGTGAAGTAACTTGACAGAAGTTGACTCGATATTTCAAAAGGAGCGTCAAAGGGTCAGTTTAGTCGGGTCTTGCAGGCTTGTGGAAATTGACGTGGGACAGAACAGCAAAGAAACGAGCGTGTTACGATTGCTAAACTATTCAAATATTGGGAAACGCGTCACTCCCATCGTGAACTGGGAAAGGAAATTTTCATCGTCAGTTGGCTTCCATTAACACGGGACTATGGTCTGGACGCAACTGTGGGGCGACTTAATAGAGAAATGGCCGAGCTAGGGAACACTCTCGGCTTACCATGGCATTATGGCAACAAGTCAGGTTTGAGATTAAAATAGACTAGCAAATTGGACGACTCAAAAACCTCTTGGAGGGGGGATTTGCTTGGATCTGAGAACGGCATTTTGAGAAAGGCGCCGCAGCAAAACTCCTGCAGACGACGAGAATTAGTTCTCAATCACACAACGTCAACACAAAGATGAAGGTGTCAATCAGCCTTGGAGCTTACCTGCAACTTTCCAACGGCCCGAAAACCACTCCAAGTTTTCTCGTAGCTGATGAGCATCTTCGGGCGACGCACCCTCGGGGCACATCTCATCCAGATCTACTGCGGCACGGTAGAGGCAGCCCAGCCCAGCGAAGCACAGTCTCTCAAGGCCTTTGTCTCGCGTCCTCATTATGCTGCCCTCAACTCGGCACATTTCAAAGGCAATGTTGTAGGCAAATTTGATGTCGATGTTGAGCTTCGCATCAGCAGTCGACCCAACACGTTGGAGTCTCTTTTTATAAGCGGATACAACGGCGCTGTTCTTTAAATTAATTTTTCGCGTCAAAGAAAGAGACAATGCAGGTATAAGAAACAACAATGCAAAAAGGGTATATAGTTACCTCAGAGCCATGGAAATGCCTTCGCACACAGGATACGACTGCTCCTGTGAAGCCGCATGCTTTCGGACAAGATCGTGGAGCAGTTTCTCGGCTTGGATACAGTTTGCCGACGTTGGATCCCCATTAATAGCTTTTATTGCTTCGCCGACCAACAGAGCGGAGCGAGTTCGCATTCTAAACATGTGCACTCTATCCATGTACGATAGTCCGTCTGCATCCAAATAGGAAACTGCATCAAGTGGTAATATTTCCTTTGTCGGAATGAGAAGAGTGGCAGAGCTATCAGCACAAGAAAGTACAATGGAACTGGCGATCTAGTTAGAATTGTAAATTTTTGCCAAGAAATGGGGATGGAAGACTCAACCGGTCTAGAGAAACTATGCCTGCCCAGCATCTCTTAAGAACAGGTGCAAGAACATCTTCTCGGCGATGTTCAAGCTGCCTGATAATGCCAAAACATGCTCCCAACGTGAATGTAGCCTTATCGGTCATACCATGTCCGCATTCATAGGCAGTTAGGAGCAGGCCGGCTTGCAGCTTTGTGGCCTGCGAGAAGACATCGCCAGATGCCTCGACCAAGGAAAAGACCCGACTTGTGGTCTTATGAAGCGAGCTGTTGGATGTGTGGTTGGGGTGGTAGCAAGGTGCCTGGTTCAGCAAATACATGCATAATAATAGCAATGCAAGAATATCCTTGTGGATATCGGACTCTTGCACGATCAGAACGTTGAAATCGATGTTTGACTCCTCAAGCACGGGCAGCCAGGAGTAGCCTGTAGCAAAGTGTCTATCCCAGACCTGCTGCGCGGAAGTACCGCCGTAGACAAAGATGTCTTCTGTCAAGTTCATCAAACGCTTTGTGTCAGTCTGTTTTGGGTATGACTCCTGACTTTGGCAAGCTGCCCATAAAAGCTGCCTTTCTCCTACTGGAGTAAGCTCAAGGCCGCAGGACTCGCGGAGGACGGCCAGAGGTTCGCTCCACCTGAGCTTAGTAACCGGCTCTGCTTCAAGTGGTCTGTTGTCGCCATATTCGCATCTAGACAGTTTTCTGTTCACGTCAGTTTCCGGCCTCAATCATAACAGGCAAAAGACGGGTCAGACTTACAAGGCGCATCGCGAGCACCTGGGCAGCCGCTTGTCACATCTGCGCTTGTGGAGCTGGCAATGACGACAGGCTTTAGGGGCTTTAATCTCCATTGACGTATCAAGATCGCATACTGGTCGATTGAATATCGGTTTCTCTTTAATGTGAAGCTGAGGATGGGACTTGGGGCACGCTCAATTGATTTCTTGCAATCGGATAAACTTGCAGCTGACAAGACAGACAGGGGGCGGCCGCTTGACTCGCGGATTTCTAAGCCTCAGATCGAATCTGACAGGGGGGCGGCCGCATCCCGGCCATGGAACTATTCCTCATCTAGAGAGGTTACTCGCAGCGGATTGGCCAGCAAGGCGACAAGATGGCGGCCGCTCCCATGAAGGGTGCCACTCACTAGTCCAAGCCAAAACCACGATTGCCGGCTTCCGACTAATCACGGACGTTTGAAGATGGCCAGTATGAATCGTGGGAATTGTATGAGCTGTATAGCCGAGCGATATGAAGAATGGAATGAAACAGATTACGACTCTGTGATTTCTAAGCCTTTGATTGTCGGTTCACCTATATAAGTATGTAGTTGATTGCTGGTGAATGCTCCAGTCCAAAGCATAGAAAAATCAGTTAGTAAATCAGCAATTCATCCCATACACTAGTCAGCAGCTTCGCCTCTAGTTTTTCAAAATGTCAGAATTTGCCGAAATTCCTACATACACCAAAGTGTTCCATCACGAACCCTATGCGGCAATCTTGCCTACTCGCCCCGAGCTGTCTACCAAGGGGAAGCATGTGGTCATTACTGGTGCCGGAACTGGTATCGGAGTGGCGATAGCACTGGCATTTGCTCAGTCTGGCGCTTCAAGTATCGCTCTGCTAGGACGAACTGAGGCTACTCTGCTCAAAACCAAGCAGGCTGTCGACGCTACATACCCTGAGACGGCCGTTCACGTCGTCACCGCAGACGTTGCTAACGAAGCATCTGTGCGGGCCGCGCTGGAGAAGTATGCTTCGAGCGCTGGGAAAAAGCTGGATATTCTCGTGGCCAATGCTGGGGTCTTCCCCGACCCGGGAACGCTGCTGGGCACTGATGCGTCTTTATGGTGGTCAGGATATGAGATCAACGTCAGGGGAAATTTCAATCTCGTTCGGGCTTTCGTGCCTCTGGCAGAGAAGAACGCAACTGTCATCAACGTGACAACTTCAGTGGCCCAGTTTCCCTTTGTGCCGGGATCCAGCGCCTACCACGGCTCAAAGCTAGCAGGCACCAAGCTGTTCGATTATCTGCACTTTGAGAATCCCGAACTGAGGGTGCTACAGTTTCATCCTGGCGTCGTACAGACAAGCATGTCGCAAAAGTCATTTGACAATGGAATTCCGAGGCCTGTGATGGACGACCGTAAGTGACGATGATGATGGACTTTAAGGATCTAGATTTGTATACTAACATGGTGTCAAAAACAGCATCTCTGCCCGGCGCATTTGCGGTTTGGTGTGCAAGTGCAGACTCTGAGAGCCTGAGAGGCAAATTCCTGTGGGCGAATTGGGATGTTGAGGAGCTCAAGGCGAGGGAATCGCAGGGCACTCAGCAGCTGACGATGGGGCTTCTTGGGTGGCCGTGAAAGAATGAGATTTTGTCGAAAGAGACATCATTGGAATTTTAGATGAGAACTGGTGGCGATTCGAGGCAATTGACTGTGATGGACTTTGCCATACCGCTGTACACTTCGCTCGATAGTCGTGAAGTTGAAGTATCGCCGTTGCTCTCGCTGGCTCTTGCTCTTACAAAAGTCCCCGTCCTCAGTCAGTGGCTGACATAACCAAAGGCAAGTTTCAGCGCATTTAGCGATGGCGCCTCGCCCAATCACGCCATCTTCCAGCGCACCACCAGCAACTATAGCACCAGACCCTTCAGCCGCCAAATGCCCCGCACTCCGCGTAGGGCGCCCGCCGTAGCTCTTACTGTACGTTGCAGCAATAGGCCGGAAGGCGTCGCCAAGATGCTGTCAAAGTGATCCCTTGTGTCGATCAGCTCGGCATGATCTGTTCAGATTTGGACGCCGGAACTAATAACACCAATGGCAAGTTACTTCTGCGTTACAATCTCAGCTTGGCAGTATAGCAAAACCAAACAACATGTTCAAGGTACGTGCCTGCAGAACAGAGTCCAGGTGCCTGTAGAAAGCCCTGCTCGGTTCACGCCAGACTCTTCTAAACGACTTCGTGTTGCTATCTGTCATCTATTCGACACGAACCTAGGCAGCTCGTGATTCGGTTACATTGAACTACCATGCATGTCCATCACTTATCCAAGTTTATCTTTCTTTCTAAATTTCACTTCTTGCCCCCTCGATGGTTATCCATTACACACAGCACAGGAGTCAACATCAACCCTTCCTCCACCGCCTCGCAACTTCAACACAACTTTCATACTTCCATCTTCCCCTGCGCCGTCGCGAAAACGAATCCTTTAAACCCCGAACTATCCTCTCGCCCCTATTTTTACCACCTATCAGAAACCATACGACTCCAAATCGGCAACGCGAGTGCCGAAACGATAAACGAAACGCCTTGCACCAAATTGGATCCGAACAAAGAAAAGCGGGGGCGGTCAACTAGAGCTCGCCCAGCTAATAAATTGCTGTGTTCCCAAATCCAATCAATCAATCAATCAATCAATCCCCCAAAACCAAAACCTCGTACCGCATCTTCAACTCAGCCACAACTCGTCTCCAACTCTCTCTTCTCGTACACTCATTTCGCAAAGTCTCGCTCTTTTCTTTCAAACAGCAATTCTCTTTTCTGCCAGTTATTCCACTCAGCCATGGAGCCAGATCCCATCTCCGAGCTCCCTCGCCCCAAAGGCCGTCAACGCGCCAAAAAGGCCTGCACCGAGTGCCGTCGCCGCAAGCGCAAGTGTGACGGCCACTCGCCGTGTCTCATGTGCTCTCAGTACGACTACGTCTGCCGCTACGAGGAAGAGGCCGGCCTGCTGCACAGCCTGCCAAAGCGGCCCTTCGAGGCAGATTCCAAGCGCGGCGATGCCTCCAACGCCTTCCGGGTCTCGTCGCCGTCGCCTGAAGACTCCAGCCGGCAGGATCCGAAAACCCCCACAACGCCCGTCTCGCCTCTCAACCGCGGCGTCATTGAGCCCGCTAAGCGCCGGTACATGAGCCAGAGCTCGGCCGTGGCGTTTCCCAACCAGCTGGGCGTCGAGCTCAAGTCGCCGCATCCGCCACGGCTTCACTCCTTTGGCTGGAACTGCGGCATCCGGCCTGAAGAGCAGGGATCCGTTCACACGCCGTTGACCGAGTTCGTCTCCTGGGATGAGTGCCGGCGCTATGCGGAGGTCTACTTTGCTACTGTCGACGCTCCCTTTCACCTCTTTGACAAGGCCAAGTTCCTGCAGCAGTGTGATGTCTATTACAGCGGGCAGAACCAGCATCTTGTCCTTGGAGCCGTCGTTGGCGGCGTCGTTGCTCTCGGCTCTCTCTTTTCTTTTCGCCAGGGCCATGCGCTCGAGTCCGAGATTGTCAAGCATGTGAAGGATGTTCTGGAGGACTCAGCATTCAGTCGTCTGCCCTCCATCGACCAGGTCAATGCCTGGATTCTGCGGACGCTCTATCTCCGCGCAACTACGCGACCGCATCTCACGTGGCTTGCGTCCTGCAACGTTATGCATCTAGTCGAAGCTGTTGGTCTTCACCGTGACATTGACTCTGATCTTGTCACCCAAACCGTTGAAGCTCCGGCTGTGGAGGACGAAGGGCACAAGAGAACCTTTTGGATTGCTTGGTCCGTCAACACTATGATCGCCTACGAATACGGCCGCTCAAAGATTCACTTTGACGGCGTTGAATCTCGACTAGTCCCGTTCGCCGATGACAGCGATGCAGGCCTCCAAGTTCGCATGGCAAGAGCTTTGCCCAACGAAAGCTCCGGCGGCGATGTTGTCAGCGTCAGTAGGTCGCTTGAAAACGCCATCCAAAAGCTGAGCGAATTGGGGGACATCAAGGGCTTCCCAGCTCTTACTCGAGGCGACCTTTGCTTCTGCCTCTACCGGCGCCTCCGTCTTCTCAAGATCAGCATCGGCAGAGAGACCGTGTCCCATATCCTGGCCATTGGCCATTCTGCTGTTGAAGCAGCCTCTGAGTTTGCGCAGCGGGAGATTCCTTGGTGGAATGTACTCGGCACGACTTTTCAATTCTTTTGTGTGCTCCTCGCCATTGACAACTACGAGAGTCTGGCTCAGGTTTCGTGGGTTCACGCCAAGCTTCGAGAGGTCTATCAGAGATTCGAAACACGCATGGGCTTGGAAGCGCTCGAGGCGGCTGGGACACTGAGGAAAGCGCTGTTGACCAAGAAGCAGCAAGAACTCAACTTGTTGACACCGGAGGATCCAGTCTTTGCTCCCTTCCCAGAGAGGGAGTTTACCCCAGATTGGGACGTTGTGTTGAATCCCTACTACACCACGGGGACCTTTAACTTTACCGATTTTGGTGGAGTGTGATCAACATCATCTAATATGAGTTCACCCACTACAAAGTCATCCCAAGCTCTAATATCAGACTCGGTATGACGGATCAAGACAGTATTCAAGCTCCCCTGTCAAACTTTGATCTGTCAGTGGCTGGCTTGAGCTTTACTCCGGTGGCATATGCCGAGGAGAAGGATGTCTCAAACATGTAATTCACGGAGGATTCATCACAGAGTTAGTCATAACTGCTCGAGCCATTTCCCCCCTATTATCATCTCATGTTACGCTGTACTAACTCGGAACAGATGCAATCATCGAGCATTCCGTCACCAGGCCAAACCATCTCCCGCCATGCCCATCCAATGGGCTCTCTTCGAGGCATGGAAACCCAAAGATGGTTCTGTAGACGTTTACTGTTTACTGATGGCGCCGGGGGTAGCCGAAAACCCACAAACTGCCGGTCAGCCTTAACGGGAAGATAAAAAGAGGAATCTAGGCAGCGTTCGGAACAGTCATGGTATAACAATTTCACGCCCTTTGGCCGGTCATGCCCATGTCACGGTGGCTGTCGTCAAAAAAGTGACTCGTGAAACCACAGCATCGTGAAACAAAATTTGCCAAAAAAAGACTGCTTCCTGCATTCGGCATGTCGCTTACTGCGACAGGGGGTTGAATGTTTCAATCCCAAGTTAATCAATCATGACTTTTTTTTTATGGCACCGGCTTTGGCTTCCGAAGGCGCGCCTGCAACTTGGTCACCATGATACGAGACCCATTGTTCCAGATCTTCTCCAAAATATCCCCAGGAAAGGCAATGGGTTCTCTCTAAGCTCACTCCCCCCTTTCCGTTGGAATAAAATAGAGGAAATAGAAGAAAAAAATAACAGGTGGATCTGGCCGCTAGGCAACTCCAATCAATCAATCCACAAATCTGTCTAGCGAATAGAGAGCAGTATTCCTTGCACAGAGTAAGCAGTTCCTGTAAGTGAGATCGCTAAACCGTACGAAAACCACCAACCACATTCTTCCCGCCATGAGGAGGGGTTCGGTCTGTCTCACTAGAGAGAGATTAGACAAGATCAAAAAAAAGGCGTTTGTTAAGAGCTAGTATTTCCTTTTCCCGATAAGTATTTTCCTAACTCGGAAAGATAAAATAAAGAGAAAAAGCAAGAAGTAAGAAAAAGAGGAACGAGGCATCGCCGCGCTAAGAATGGCTGCCTTGCCGGTGCAGTAGCGCAAACCGTGTTACTCACACACCGCGGCAAGGCAGCGAATGGAGCTTTTCGAACCGAACTGTTGAGTGTTTGCCTAATGGTCCAAGTCAGGTGCCTTGTATGATGATTCAAATGTCGTGCATGGGCGTAATTGAGCGTGATGGAATGAATGTTGCACATTATCTGTGGGCATATGACAGAAGTGATGTAGAAAATATAGAAAGAAGAGGAATGGATGCGTATTAACGCTTTCTGAAGGATGAACCTAGATGCCATAGCCCAAGTAGTGAAGTCATGGACTATGATGCCGCATAAATAGGCGAAGATTATGGTTTTAAAAGATGAATGTGAATTCGTGCAATCTAAAGTATGGCTGCCCAATCTAGTAATCTAAGTGGTGATGTTCTAATGCTGGAAATTACAAGGTATGCTTCTCATTCTGAAAACAGTGTCCAAAGCTTTGCCCTTGACTCGTTCGTAAAAATGAATTGCCAGAAAATGTCAAAACGCCCTTTGCTCTTGTAGAATGTGAATCCTGCTGCCTTTGTCTAATAAAAAAAGAAGTCGCGCCCTTCCAAAAAGTTCAAGTTGCGAAAGAAGGTACAAATCGTCGCGCAATTGTCGGCGGTCTGTAAGTTGTTGATCATCCGTAGCTGAGGCATTGGAAGTTCAGAAGCCAGATCAGAGAGACATCTATGCCATGGAGTAGCGGCAGTTGTCGCAGCGCCAGGCGTGGCACATCGGGCAAGAGGCGTTGATGTCGTAGTTGTACCATCCACCAGAGCATTTGCACTAGATATGATATATGTTAGCCATATCGTGATGGATCAAGAGACAGGAGAGCTGGTTAAACGTACGCACTGCCACAGCTGTGGCCTTCCGGACGAGGCATACATCGGTCGAGAGGACGATGAGCTGTGCGAGCTTCGTTCAGAGCTGCGGTGGCTGCCAGAACATTCGGAGCTAGAGACACGAGTCAGTGTTGGTTCGTCCATACTGGAAGTGTAAGTGGCCGGCACTAACTGTCGGTTGGAAGGCATGGTTGCGAAGTGGATAGTCAAGAAGAACGAATAGATGGATAGTCAAGTAGTAGATGGGACGAGTGTTGGTTGTCTGAGCGAGTCTTGTATGAAGATGAAACGGCCAGTAGAACTGATGAGTGAAGCTCTCTTTCTGAAACACAAAACATCCAGACACCAGGCCTCTCTATATATATGTCGAGAATGATGAGGCAGCACTCTCCTCATGGCGCAGCGACACTCATAATGCTCCAAAGCCCAAAAACAAAAGTCGAAACCCACGATTCTCTCCTGAGTCCTGAGTCACAAGTCCTAGGCCGCCAAAAATGAGTGGGAACACCTTCGCCCTGGGGTTGAAGTTGCCTAGGTGGGAGAGACAAGAAAACGAAACACTGCCCGCCCTCGAAGGCTACCATCAGCAAATATCAATCGTTGTAGCCAATAGGAGCTCGAGAACAGCCTCTTCTTCTGTTTCCCAATGGTAATGTGGCATTTGATTATTCCTTAGAACCACGGCAATGACGTGCAGAGGAAACAGAGTATTTTTCGAATCGACACACCGGGAGTCCAGCCGGGAGTCCAGACCCGCTGATAGGGCGAAACATGGGAAAACGCCTGCAAGGTTGGCCCGCTGATAGGGCGAAAGAGACTCCAAGGGTCCTGTCCTTGGGTCCGGCGAGGCATAGAAGCGGTTCTGTGCAGGTCAGTGCGCTCGCCGGGGGAGTTCCTGTGAGCTTCCATGGACGTTCGTCCGGGGCGCCATTAGCACTCGCTTGGCATGTGTGGCCTGTCAGCAGACCGAGCACTAACACTACTAGCAGTGCTAGCAAATGGTAACGGCAGTAATACCTAGTACTCTCAGCAGTTAGTGCTGGTGGTTGAATATGTGGATGGCTCGTTTCTCAGCGAGGCCTCACCTCTCTCGCCTCGAGTCTCTCGCCTCACACCTTCCAACGCACCACCGCACACCCGGAAAGTCGGTGCGGCGTCCCGCCCTGGAACCGGTCCGTCCAAGACAAAAAAACACATCTCCAGAATCCTCCTCATTTCTCCAGCCAGCCAGTCAAGTCTCGAGGAAGGCAATAGAAAGATCAAAAACGCTCGTCGGTAGGCAGCCGGGCAAGACTCATTGCGCACGGACGATTGCAATTTTGGACTTTCTGGTACGGGGATGATGCTGATGATGCTCTTCGTAACATGAGCCCACAATAGGCGCCTTTAGCCGTGAGAAGGACAGTATGGACGTAAGAGGAAAAAAAGTATCAAAACGGAATCCCTGAAAAAATGGGCTCCATGTTAGCGTTGACGAACCCATAACGAATCTCATTGCAAAGTTTTGAGTTTCAAGCCAGTTGAAAGCCAGAACTGCTGGGGCTGTGTATCAGACCTTACTGCTGGAAACCACAGGCAACAAAATTCAACTCCCAAAACCTCTAGTCACGAGCCTTTCTCAGCGCCCCAGGCCAAAGAAAATGGGCAGTGCCCCAGGCCACGGCCAACGCTCTTCCAAGCGCAACTCCAGAGCCTCAGAGCCTCAAAACCCCCGGCAAGCCTCCAGGCCACACCAAGGCAGCAGCAGCAGCTCCATTTTCCCAAGCAGAGAACAGCCCCGGCTCTGGTTACCAGAGCGAGACCAAAGTGGATCGTCGGAGGTGGCCGCTGGGCCTATAAGCAGCAGCGCTTACTCTGTGCTTTGTATGGTGAGCAGCAGGTAGCCTTACGGTTGACTTTGCCCTTGTAAAGTCCTAGTTGAGAAGTTGCGTCAGGCAAACAAAAGGCCAGCCAAGGCAGAACGCAGAGTCGATAGTATCGTTTGATTTTCGCTAAGAGATGGGACCTAGCAGCTTGCAGTTACACTGCTTCTATAGTAACACTACTACCAGGGCAGTTCCCAGTTTCGTTTCTAGAGCGTCCCCACAGTCACATGTGGCTCCCAAATCCCGCATTCCACGGGCCGGTGCTTGGTGCCCTGGTGGCTCGATTTGGCTGCGGTACCTTGATTTTGTTTATTTTGTTTCACTTGACGTCATGCACGAAGCGCATCACCAGCCAAAATGCAGGTGCAAAGTGGAAGTCGCATTGCGATGCTGCTGCAGAAACCAGGAAGAACCAGGGAGGACTGCGACTATCCGCTGCAGCTCTCCCTCGTCACACTCTCTCGCATTTTCTCCTCCTCACTTACTCACTGACACACACGCACTCACTTTGTGATCAACTGAGGCTGAACGAAGACACTCCTCCCGACTGTCTAATTCTCTGCGCTCACTCCCTCCCGAGAAAGTCGAGGCTGCAAGGGGACTATTGATTGATACGCTGCTGCATCAACCAAAACTTTGCCCAGACTTTGTTTCTTGTGAAAAGTGAGAGAACCAAAACACTCCGTGGGTCCAAGCTCGCTCAATCCTCGCCCTGCTTTCTTTTTTTCGCCCATCGAAGGATTCAAGCCTCGATTTCTCAATTTTATAACCCAAAAACGCAAGTCGCCGAGCGAAGAGACAAAAACAGCCACAGTGATAAACCTGCAGCATGACTCGCTCCAGCCTCTCGGTCAGCTACTTCGCCTTCACGGCGCTTCACCTTGTCTGCTTTGCGCTTGCACTCACCGTCTGTGGCCTTTACGGCACCGACCTGCAGCGGGCGAAGCATTTTGACGAATATACCAACTCCAAATGGGTAAGAGAAAAATCGATGGCGTCACACGAAAGGAACAAAGATGGTGATGGAGCGACAATGCACGAAGCACGCTGTGTTCCCATGGCTCCATAGCTTCATCAAAGGATCATCGCCGAGAACAGAAGCACAGAAGAGTCAAAGGAAGAAGAAATCAACTAACGCCCGTCTTCATCACAGGTCTATGCCGTCGTAGTTGGCGCCTTGTCGGCAGCCACATGCGCTCTCTACTTCATCCCCTTCATCATTGAGGCCGGCACCATCTTTGTTGCCGCCTGGGATGCGATCCTTTTCGTCCTGTGGATCACGCTCTTCGGTGTCTTTGGCAAGGTACGTCCTCATTTTACCCAGCCTCCAAGTAAACATTTGTTGCACAAAAGCATACCCAAGAGGAGGAAAAGGACAGAAGACTGCTGTACTACCGTCAATTTTTCTTTTCTAATACTGACCTGTCAACTCACACCAGCTGTACATTGACGAGAATGCCCACGGCGACGGTAACATCGAGCGCATGAAGCATGCCGTCTGGGTTGACCTCACCAGCGCTCTGCTCTGGCTGGCTGCGACTGTTGCCACGCTCGCCTACTGGTGGAAGCATCGCCAAACTCGTACCGTCTTTACTGGCCGTGCCAAAGTCTAGAGGCCTTTTGGGACCCATGGTCGCCCTGTTCGCCCTGTTAAGCGACGAGGGTGATGAGCACACTTATCATGCCCAATCTTGCCCGCAAACGGCATGAGGGGCGTCCATCTGCGGCAATTTCAGCGATTTTCTCGAGACGGGATATATGATTTGTGTTGAAGATGGTGCAAAATAATGGAAAAGAAAAAAAAATTACTACACTAATGATATGATACCCTGATACCCCTCTTATTCGTTTAGGAGAGTAGGTGGTAGTAGGACGTGGGGAAGGGGATATGGGATATTGAGACAAGGAAGATTCACGAGAGGAACTTTGGCCCCGTCAGTAGTGCGACAGGAGATGCAACATGGACGAACAAATGGAAAGAAAGAAAAAGCCTCATGCCTGGGCTTCTTGCTTTGTCCATAGAATAATCAATTTGTTTTCTCAGCTTGAGGCTCCTGGCAACCTCTCACGAGTGTCTTCATGAGTAGCGTGCTTTCATGGCATGTTACCATCGGTAGTATTAACATGTCCAGACTATGGAGGGTTGAGTGGGGAGATGTATCGGCATCAGTAGCATATCGTCTACTGCAAGTACCCATCACCAATCATCTATCATCTATATCCATCATGGTCGAAATACGCGCAACGGGGATGGCAACGTGGACACACGATATGCCGCCAAGAGTCAAACAGGCAAGATACGATGCCAGACTTTCAGCTCTCTTTGGCCCAGCCAGCTCCAGTCCACGGACAAGGTTGCCGAAGGGACCCCCATCTCCGGGATTTCCCCAGACCGCGGAGGGGACCAAAGCAGGCCTCTGACTCGACCGCTGAGGAAGCACGAGATCCGGTGATGGCGTTGCACCCAAAGTGGTGCCCGACCATATCCCTCAGGTCAACATTGCATTGTGGTGTCGTCGACGACTCGCAGTCGAATACAATTTGTAAACATGAGCAATAACAGACTAGAAGGTGGCTTTATCGAAAAGGGGAGAAAAGAGCATCCTGACGAGCGCTTACGAATCCCAATCAACGATTGCAATTACTCGAGTGAGAAAGATAAAAAGAGGCGTTTCCCTTTCGGAGAAGACGGTCCACACGGGCTTTTGGGGCTTATCCCCCCTTTGGACGTGATAGCTTAGCCATGATCGGCAGCAGGAACACGCTATTACTGCGGTTTTGTCGGATGAGGAAAATAAAGAGACAGACACAAAGGAGGAAGAGAACCAAAAGAAAGGGAAAAGTTCTAGATTGTTTGACAATAAGAAATGTCGCAATCGTCGTGACGTCAAAAGATGCCCAACGAGTTCGGCTCTTTTTTCTCTCTGTCTATCTCTCGTCTTTTTGCTGCTACCCTATTTGTTCGGTCGTTTCTCCAGCATGCAAGCGTTCATTTGTCAATTTCAATTTCACCGGTCTGATACAGAAATTTGGAAACGAATCCCTATTCCCTTGTTCAGCGAATCGAGAACTGAGCACATCTCCACATCCCGGCATCAAACACTGACGCTGCTGTCCTGTGGGGTGACGTGGTGGGCGGCGTTTTGGCGTCACCAGTGCAGCTGCTAGCACCGACCTACAACTACCACGGAGACTGTTCTTTCAGAACCGAAAAGTCCAGACAGCTCTTTTTTTCTCTCTTCCAATTTTAGCTGGCGTTTATCTGCCAAGAGACTAAGAAGCGAGCAAATGTTCGCCGTCCCAGCAGAGCGGAGCCCAAACCTATCTAGTATAGAGTAGTCCATCTGGGTATTTTGTGTTTTGAAAGTCTGTATAGTAATACTACTAGTACGTAGCTAACTGCTGTGGCGCAAATCAAGCTGCAACAGGTCTTAGGGGCTTGCATGGAGTTGTAAACAGCCCCCCGATCCTTATGGATCATTGCAGTCCATCCATGTCAGCGGGGAATTTGAGGAGACCGATGGCTTTTTTTATCAGGGGCATAGATGCGTATCGAAGAGGCAGTTCAAATGGGCATTTACCTACTGTACATACTTCATACTGTAGGTAGCAGATATGGCATGATGCAGAGGCTTGCTCACCGGCCATACGCAGACTTGGGCTAGTAAGAGAGGGAAAAGCCCCTCTGTACTCGCACTTTCGAGTCAGCGGACTTGTAATGGGTGTGCATCTGGTCTCAATTTGTCACACCACCCATGAGGAGAGACAATAACAATTAGGTCAGTAGTACGGGTACGTTTTCGTCTTGTGTAACGAGGAGCCGGCGTGTGTTGGGGACCTGTAGTTGAAGATGGCAAAAGATGAGCACAACCACCAACAAAGTCAGCTAGTAGCTAGCTAGCCATGCACAAGGAAATAGAAGAGGAAAAGAAGAAGAAAAAGATGTGAGTTTGAGACATGGAGCCGATCAGTAGTGCCCATCTTTGTGTTGTTGCGTGCGCCTCAGTGTCTCGCCCATCCCATCTTTGTGACTGCGGCCTGCCGAATCTCGTATGTGCATGCATACTGTGCATCTTAGGTACTTGAGTGTCTCATGGAAGTAAGGGAAAGAGATCCGCGGCTGATCCGTACTGTGAACCCCTCAATTGGATCCAAGCTAATGAAAAGACATCAAAGCATATCGTAAACATCTGAAAACGTGATAAGGGAAGCAAAGGACTAGGAAACTCTGCGTTGTCCTAGGCTTGGCAGCATCACGAGTCGCCGCCGAGTGGCTTGCGGCGACTGCACTGGGTACGGCCTGTATGCGTTGTACCACGCTGCACGCCCGAGATTCTTGCATCGAATACCAACTTTGGAAGCGACAACGGGTTATCAAGCCATGAAGCAATACTCGCCACCAATAACCGAGTCCACGAGATGGGGCCCCCGGTGTTGAAATTTTCCAATTCTTGACGTGCAAGGCGGTGGAGAGACGTATGGGAATCGGCCGGTTTCCGTGCGTCCAGATTCGAGGGAAACCCAATTACAAAGGGGATCAAGCACAAGAGTGGATGAAAACAGACGTGTTCAACGAGCTGAGGGCAAGAAAAGCGAGCCACTCGTTTGCTGTTATCATGTAATATGCTCTGTACGCAGTGGGGGGGAGAAGAGACGCAGTCATTCGCGGTGTAAGCATACGTGCAATTCAAGTACGAGCTTCGTACTCGTACTTGGCCGCCGGTGGGTTTGTACATCGTGATAATCAAACGAAAACAGCGTGCCGAGATGGCAGAGGCACAGGCGTCAAGGCAAGGTACGAGGCTGTACTCGGGAGAGAAATGGCCTCATCTGCGCCATCTTCTGTGCCATTCTCGCATCACAAAACTCCACCTCGGGATTCGAAGCCGGTGCTCCCTTCCTTGCCTTCCTTGCCCCATACAGAGCAGGTACGGCAGCAAAGCTTGCCATTTTTTAAAAATCTGCAGCCATTGTGTTGAATAAGTAGTAGTAATTTCGAGGTGTCGTTGGCCTTGAGTGCCATCGTCCTACTCCTGGTTGAAAGTAGCTTCCTGTGCATCATCATCAGCGTACGTGCGTCCCGGGCTTGTCTTGCGATAAGGCTGCGAGGACAGGCACCAGGATGGTACGAGGAGACACACAACCACGCATGTACCTGTACAGGGGCTGTCCCCGTTTGCATGAATTGAGCATCAAGGTATCTGCCGCTTGTCACTTTTTGAGTCCCATCTACAGGTACCGAAACTTTGCCATCGCTCAGGAGAAACAGACAGACAGGGCGCCTCGTCCATGACAGCTCGGCAGCCAGAGCCAGATTGACTTTTTTTTAAACTGGATCGCGCTCGGAAAGTCTTTTTGGCTTTGCCGACACAGGGGACCGCTTGCTCTGCTTTCCAGTCCACAGAGAGATGCAGTAGGCCGAGATGCTGGAGAATTAAGGGACCTCGATCCCTGGGCCATTGTCAGCTCGCTTAGCCCAAGGGTCCCGAATTCGTTCGTACCTGTACATAACCAACGCAGATGCCGCAGGATTGCCGATCAGCAGCCGCTCTGTCACTTTTTGTTGAGACCGGGCATCCTCTCGGTGAGGTGAGAAAACAAACGGCCGTAGAAAATAAAAATAAAATCAAAGTGCAGCCAATGGCTTTTCCCTTTTCCTCTTGTGTGTTTCGAAAAGAATCCTTTTACCGTGTCGACAGCGACCCCCTGGTCAGCCAATGACGAGGAGGCCATCCGCAGTGCCATCGGAGGCAGAGGCGGTGGACGAACGAGTGCTTGGCGGGATGTACCTACTGCTCTGTAGATACTGCTAACGGCACTAGAGGACGTCAATCGAAACACAAAACGAGAGCAGCAGCAGTGCTGTAGGAATGAACTACTAGACAAGCAGGGATGCAGATGAGACTGGACCCGGGAGGCCGGCTTGGCGATCCAACGCTGGCCGCCCGCAACTAGCAAATAACGGATTTGATGCATCAAAAAAATGATACCTTAACATTCTGTTTAGCCGTCTAGCGGTACATCTTTGGGGGGGGCTCGTCTGTACCTTGTGCCACCTTTTTCTAACTTTTGCCTTGGGGCCAAGAAATAAACGTACATGTAGTGTTAGCCACCTACACACTACACACTGCACTCGCAAGAAACAAACTCAGGCCCACGGGGCTTTTTGTTTTTTGTTTTGCGGTGGTTGTTTCTTCCTCTTAATCTGCTCACTTGGTATAGGAGGCGATCTCATGGTCAAAAGCACTCAAAAGGGACAAAAAAGAAACCCAATCCATCAGAGCCCAAACGCCAGATACCCTCTTTTCCATTCGGCCCCGGGTCCCGAACAGCAAAAACGAAGCTGCAAGTAGCCATGGCGAGAAGCTCCACCGCGCGCAACTCAACTGGCAAACATTTAGTGGTCCTTTTTTTCTGCTCACCTCCCAGCAAATGGCACCTTGAGGGGAGCCATTTTGTACGTTTCACAACAGCAAGGCCCCTCCCCCCCTGTTCGGCTTGTACTGTGTGCTGCTGAGAGTTTGAATTCGTGGACGGCCAGCAGTAAAAGAGGCGCGTGTGAGTGTGTCCGAGTACATGTACGGTGCGGTGGCTTGTCTCTAGCCGTACTGCTGGCTGTTCTCTCTCTCGCTCTCTCTCTTTTCTCTCTCATATGCCCTCCTCTCCCTCCCCCCTCTCTCGTCTCTCTTTATCGTAGTAGTACCTAGTAGTACGGAGTACAAGTGTGCTACTTTACTCCCCAAGGAGAGACGTCAGGTCAAATTGCCAGCATCACACCTTATTGCTCCTGTACTGTGCCCAGTGGGCTCATTTTTTTCTGGCTGAGCCCGTGTGTTTCTGATACTACCTACTTATTTACCGTGCCTTTTGTTTTGTTCTGGCCTTCTTTCCTATCGCTCTGGTCCAACCTATTTATCCCCTCCCCCCCAAGGGCCTCAGGATCTTTGCCGCGCTGGTGCAACCACAAGCTCGCCGCCCTTTTCTCAGCATTTCCCATCCCAGCATCCTTGCCTTGCCTAGGACTTTTCCCTCGTCTTTCAATTCAAAACAAACGACAAGACCGCCACATCCCGAAATCTCGAGTCTCTTCTTCTTTGCTCTCTCTCTCTTACTTTTTCGCTGTCGCTTGCTCATCATTACCTTTGCCACTCATCACCTGGCATCCGGCATTCGGCAGTCTATATCCTCATCTTACTGAAGCTGCTTCTTACCGTCATTTAAATCCGCAGCCACAGCCAACAACCAGTCTCTTGGCTGCCTGTCCTGTGTGACTCCTGACATCTTCTACCGAGTCAATTGCTCATCCGTCCTCTCATCTATTACTTCGTTTCTTCCGACGGCTCTATTTCTTCAATCGCATTTCCTACAATTGCCGGGTCTAGCCCCGCAAAGAGTGTATAGCTAGCAAAGTGCTGCCCTTCCCTAGCGACGAGACAAAGCGTCGCAAGCTTACGGGGCTGGATCCGTATCTTGCCCTCTCTGGCGACAAGAGACGAAACCTGCGCAAACTGATTTGGGGGCTTCCATCCTCTCCAAGCCATCCGCCGTCTGAATGGGAAGCTTGGACAATTGGAGCTCCGACGAGGGCGACGGCCCCAGAGACAAAACTCCCCGGTCCCACAGGCACAGCTACCAGACGCCGCGGCGTAGCATGAACCGCTCAAAGTCCATATTATCCAATCTCTCCGAGATGTCTGCGTCGGTCGCCTTTGGTGCTCCATGGTACCCAAACGCAAACGACTCGGACAGGTACGGCCACCGGTCATCTGACCGCCGAGCGCCGAGGACGAGGACTTCCTCTCGCGAGATTGACGACGACTGGTCCGACGAGCCTTATGGGGACCGCTCTGAGGAGGCCTCGGGCTCCGACAATGACGAGAGCAAGCAAAAGTTCAAGCGGCGACAGCCCACGAGTAAGTGAGAAAACTTGACGATTGTTTTGCCCCATCTCTTTTTCTTCTAGTCGTTCTCTCTATTCCTGAACATCCACTCCCCTCGAAGCCTTTCGTCATTCATCGATACACTCTTCTTTTGGTCACGCTTTTTTGTTTTCGTCCAATTGTTGTCGTGATCTACTCCCGATCCTTTTTTTCACTGTGCTGCCGTACCACGGACTATTCGGAGATTTTTGTTCTCCCCTTCTTCTAGTCATGTCTCGGCTGGCTATACCCGGAACCAACCCAGCACTGGGAGAAAGAAATGACGCCAGCTCAGTCCACAAAAATCTATACCATAGTCGGCGCTTAGACCCGTCTGTCAAAATCCCCACAGGAACCACAGAAGAACCATCGCGGGGTACTCGGAGCGAGTCCATCATCATCTTGCATAAAGCGGCTCCAGCTAGGCGGTTTCCACCAGCATGCGACCATCCCAGCCCGGCTTTATGTGGACTTTTTCAGTTGCCACTATTCCCGTTGTCATATCAGATCTTCTTATAAATTCATGTGAATAGCTTCTTGGGGGGCTCTACAAGTGTCGATCTCCCTTTTTCTTTTCTCCTATTACAATCAATAATTACCCCTCTCCGCTTTTACCAAGCCCTACCGCTATTTATACCGTCCTCTTTCTATTCTTCTTCTTTTTTTCTTTCTAACAGCTCCTTCGATAGACGTTGATGTAGATACTGGTGCTGGATCCAGCTCTTCCGCATCGACTAGGAGCCGCCCTATTGCCATTCCTCGGTCGAGACAAAACAGCGTTGCCTCTACCGTCACGATACCTGAAGCCCTCTCTGCTCGGGGCGAAAGGCAAGGGTGCGTATGACAGGATGATTGTTGTAGTTCTTGTCTTCTAGATCCTAACGTCTTCTTCCATTGCAGTGGCTATTTTCCCTTTCACGAAGATCCCAAAACTCGTGTGCGACACACTCATCCTTTCTACTACGAAATGAAGAATCAGGATATTGCCGCTCCTACGCTAGAGGATGTGGACACGGGCGCGGACGCAGATGTGGATATGCCCAAGCCCAAGTCTCGATATGAGCTGTCCAGCTCTACGCAGGACGATTCATACGGGTTCCTAAGCGACGATGAAGACAGCGAACCCTTCATACCAGCGTCCATGGGCAAATACTACCCTCAAGTCTACGAAAGACGACAGGCCCTGAAGAAGGGAATTACCCTGCCGGCTCTTCCCACGTCGAGCAGCAGCAAGCCGCCTGGAAGCAAATCGACAGCTTCCAAGCCTCACAAGCGGCGACCAAGGCCTCGGACGCCCGTCATTGTGCCTCGACCTATAGCCACCACCGAATTCATTCCACCTTTTCAGCTGGAGTCGGCAGAGTAGCGACATTCAAAAAGCATTTTTGAGGTTGGCTGGAATGACTTAGGAATTCAAATTCGTTGAACCCGCCTGCTCCAGGACAGAGCATGGCAATTACAGACATAGACTTTTGTGACTTTTTTTTTTCTTTCTGTGGAATTTTACTTTCTTTTTTCTGGATATTTTTTTGGATAGAGCCTTTAGCATTGCAGGGAGTGTTTATATTGGAACATCGAGGATTTGGGCAACGACATGACTACATACCTACTTATACACCCAGCTGACTCGGGATTGAACCCGTTGACGAAGTAGCTGACTGATGAATAAATACTTTTAAACAATATTCCCTTTTCACTTTCCATCAAGGCTTGCTCGGTTAGGGTAGTCAAGTTCTTTTATTCCCATATATCCAGCGCCCTGTTGCACAGGAAGCTCGGAAGGGGAAGAGACAATGCAATTTCGCGGCCTAAAAGAAGCTTCGGACAGGTGCTCTTTTATTGTCGTTCATTGACATGTTAATTTCAATAAAGTTTTCTTTTCACGTCAATATACTGATACTTTGCTCTTTCAAACCCATGCGAATCTATGCAAACAGGGCATACAGCAATTCAAATCATTAACTGTCCGCCAAACTCCTTATATCAATACCTAAAATATGCTGATTTTGGCCCTATGGCGCGGCATTGATTAACGGTGGCTGCACAATACAATACAAGTCAATTAAAATTTTACAAACTCATATTGAAAACATGCATGCGTTTGGCTATTGAAGTAAATTAAATATTCTAATTCTTGATATGCGACAGCTTGTGACTGCCGAACCCATAAGAGACTTTTTCCACGACATAGCGCTGCAAGATGCGCTATAATTCAGAGAGCAATCCACTGTGATTTAATGCGATACCTTCCATCTTTTCAGCGTTACAACAGCCCGCTAACCCAAGCTCGCCTACTGTTACAAAAAAAAAAAAGTGCTCTTTCCTAACAACGAAAATCAATCAAGAAGGATCACATGATCACGCGTCGCGCCTTCTTAGCAGCTATCTCTACCTCTCTAAATATCTCGGTCTACGCGTCTATCTCCAGCTTCATGCTTTAACAATCTTTTCTCTCTCTCACACACAATGTATCGCCCGAGAAGAGACGCTGGCCGGGCTGGTCGCTTGGAGATATCTCCGTCTCCAGAACCTCAGCAACCCACCGCAGCCGCTGAATGTCGTGACCTGGAGCTTCCTACGGCTCGCCCACTTAGACGCAATACACGGCCTGGCTTGATTTCTGTATCAGGTCCCCAAGCTGCTCAACCCACCAGTCGTCCACCCAGACCCTTTGTACTACCTGGTATCACTCGCATAACGCCTGATATGCCCCCTGCGAGGCTATCTGATATGCCGCCCACTCGAACTCGAGCTCCCCGAGCTCAGCCTGCAAATCGCACAATTTGGAGCGGTATGCGAAGCGGGGGGCCACCTTCATTATCAAGTTTAAATGCACCAGCCGCTCAGTCTGCTCAGCAACCTCACTCTATACCACGCGAGAGACCTCCTTCGTTAACATCATTGTCATTTACACCAACCGCTCAGCCTGCTCAGCCTGCTCAGCCTGCTCAGCATCCTGTGCCTCACTCATACAGAAGCGTTGGAGTGCAAGTTAACTTGGCCCCTCCTCCAGCCCCTCCGCCGGCCCCTCCGTCAGCGACGAGAGGAAGAAGAGAAAGCAGACCGGACGTCACAACAACGACTAAGCGTGCTCCATGGCATCCTCCAAGAGCAAGTACTCCATTTCGTCATGTGAGAAAAAGTATTCCATCAGGTCATGCCTCTGATACGGCGATAAACAAACCTGAAGCAACAATAACTTCACCTGCTACAGCGACGAATGCGCCTACAACTTCCTCTATCCATGAGTTCATATGCCTTTACAGCCATGATCTCCGCCGCAAGCACAAGAGATGGCAAGATGGCATGCTGAGATTTTATACATTCAATCAGAAATATGTGGTTTATGACCCAAGCTGGATCTATGTCGGGGACGGACACTGGCAGGGAGACGTAGATGACTTCCAAGAGGGCCTCGAGATCGAACTAGATCGACCAAGGGCATGTGTTCAAGTCATAGAGCGCACAATGACAAAGGAGCAAGACCTCTCTCAGGTCTTGGGCAAGCGTGCAAGGGAGGTCGAGGAGAGACGAGCTTCTAGGAAGATACGAAGTGCCCCTGCGGCTCCAATTCAATTGATGCCCCCCAAGATTACGGGAGCATGGAGCAAACACGCGGAGGATTTGTTGGGGAGAGGCCGGCCGATCCGTGGATAATTCTATATAATCATGTATTTGTATATATAACTAATTACATTTGCTCACTCTTGGTTCCGACCCTCTTCTCTCGACTCCTCTCTCGTCACCTCTCGTCTTCTCTCTCGTATTCTCTCTCGTCTTCTCTCTCGTCTTCCCTCTCGACTCCTCTCTCGAATCCTCTCTTTCCGCGGCCCGCGGTGCCTGGTACCATGATTGGTGAATATTCTCTGCGCTCTTGATGAACATTGCCAAGGTATGCGAAGAAAAAGATGATTTTCTCAAAACAAAAATCAGCACACAATTCTTAAGTTCACACACCACAGTGACGCAAGAGTTATCCAGCACTCCAGTTATAGCATAGGCTACTGCTACTATTGCTGTTTTTATATAGTAGCATATCTATATTAATGGAAGATTGCTTAATTTTGTAACTAAGAGCCTTATTAAGCTTCAGCTGGGATACTGGATAATAGAACCAGGGAGCTGGATAACATTTTCTCTATAAAAAAAAATGCTTATTCAACTTACGTGTGTGTTTTTATTTTGCGGTCTCTGTTTTTCTTCGCGGACTTTGCTTGCAAGGGCGCCGCCCAGGATGAATAGAGAGATTACATCGGAAGAGGTAGTACGTACTACATGTATGACTCCTCCGATGCCTCCTACAAATATAGGAGGAGCATGGATTATACGTGTGGAGGGCTTGTTGGGAAGAGGCCGGCCGATTGTAGATAATTTTTTACACTGAATATATGATATCTATGTATAACTTTATGTTCTTATATTTGCTGACTCTCAGTTCGAGTTCTGCTGCTACTGCTGCTACTGCTGCTCTTGAATAGCAATATAGGTATGTTAATTAAAGAATGGTTAGGATTTTTACTAACAGTCTTATTAAGCTATAGCTAGGATGCTGGATAATACCTAGAACAAGGAGCTGGATTGGTGTTTGTATTTTCAACTCGCGCGTTTTTCCATTTTGCGTTCCCTATTTTTTTTTTTTTCGCGGACCTTGGTTGCATATTCGTAATACGCCAGTTGCTAGCGCATGTCGGTCTTTGGTGGGCCAGTCTAAACCATCTCGAGCTCGCCGAAAGAAAAAAACGGACCCTCAGGCCATCTTTGATTATTAACCTCAGCCGCGTGCCGGGATGATTTGATGGGTCTCAATGAATTGGATATGGTTTCTTTCTACTCCAGATGTCTGAATGGTGTCTGATGTGAGATTTGCCTCCTTTGATTCTCTCTGTAAGCACTGATGGCGATAACAGAGCAAATGGGATTCATTGATACTCATGCAAGAGGGTATGATGAGCTAATCTCACTTTAATAATCTGCTGTCAAAGCGGGGTTCCACGAATGAAGTTCATCGTAAGCTGTGCAGTTTATGAAGCAACACTACACGACTTTGACTTACAAAACTTACATTCAGTCAATTGAATTGCTAAAATCCAATGAAAACATCAAAAATCATCAATTGATATTTGACATTTCGCCTCAATCAGGATGCACTTTGAAGCTAGAGCGGCGAGACCCGCTGAATCTCAAAGACCTCAATCTGTTGCAGGGTAACACATATGGCATCTCACCAACCACCAACCAATGCTCTGCCATATGGAACAGGATTCTGCAGTGCATCCTTGCCGCTGTCACGAGGGACATGTAGTAGTGGTACCGCCGAGTCCAAGACAAAAGAGGACTGTACATCCAATCTAAATATTACGAGTGTGTGTGTGGGCGTATCTCAAGATGTATTGCCCTGCAATCCGACAGCCAGAAGCTGCGAAGAAAGGTGACAAAACATACCCGAAAAGACGAGCAAACCAAGCAAACACAATCCCAGAGGAGCGGGAGCCAAGTCAACTTTATCTGCTCGCCGACCAGATCTCGAAAGCCACTTCGCTTCCAGCAATTGGTTGGGTCTGCACCTGGAGGCTGGAGCTGTGCCCTTGTCTGGCTGCATGAGCGTCGCGAATCTCGATAGCAGTTACGGAGTATTAATCCAGACTACCACTTGGCAGCGCCAGCACCGCCCACCTGCACAGACACTAAAATGACTCTTATCTTTTCATGGTTTCATGGAGCACAATCTGGGGTACCTGTGACTCTTCAGACCGCAGGCCCTCACAACCATAAGATGGAGGCGCAGAGACGGCTCGTAGCGGATGGGAGAATATAAAAGTTTGCGTGCCCCGTGGGTTCTTCCCCAAGCCTTCGTGGAGGTCCGCGACCCATTCGCTTGAAATGATACGTGCGTAGAGCTCAACTCGGGCAATTCCATAGATAGTTTGGTTCCTGGGCTGCCACGGACTGAAACGCCTCCGCCACAGGCCCAGTCCCTTGCCCGAAAAGGGAACTTTTTCAAAGCCCCCAGGTTGAGTCACCCGCATCGTTGCAGGCCTCGCCATTGGCCAATCACGGCTGCTAAGCTCTCGCCGAGGCTCCACCCGCGACGGTGCATCAGGTGGGGAGATGCAGCCAATCAGCAGCCGCAATTACTGGATCCCGGCCCTCACGGCACCGCCTGATTGGCTCGCTGAGCCCCCAAAGGCGCCTTGCGCTATTCCTGTTCCAGCACGCCGAAAGAGTCAGGATTCGACCATCCCGCAAGGGCTGAGGAACGGCCACGGGCGCTGCTGGACTCACTGAAATACCGTCATGACTCCCGGCCGGCGACGCCTGAGGAGCTCGTTTTTCCCATCTCGTTCTTCATTTCTCTCTCTCTTGTGAGTTGCCTAGCACTTTGCTATCGTGGAATAGCCTCAGGCTGCCAAGAACAATCAATCAATCTATCAAAGAAGCCCCTTGAAGAATAGGCAGACTGGCATTGTGTCTGATTTTCCTGCCTTCACCAAAGCCTCCAGCGCGCCGGGACCCTCCTCTCCTCTCTCCCGCACCCTTGGCGCTGCTGCGAACTCAGTTTTTAGCCTCAACTAATCTCTCATCTCATTCTCATCTCACCACCATCACTCCTCACTCATTCGTTCAGAACCACAAAAGAAAAAAAAAAGAATTGAATCTTTATCAAACACACTCTCTCAAAACTGGCCTCCAAATTAATTCAGTAAGTACCTAGGCAGAGTCTCTCCAGCATATCCGTGAGCTTACACTCCAATGGCTGGCCAAACAACACCAACGTCCGAACTTTCGCGGTAGTGCACCATAGCGATCCTCACGACGTCCTTTCTGCGTTCAAGCTTATGAATCACCTCCATAACTACTCTAATTCATCGTTCAATCAATCCTCTCCAATGGCTCAATACCGATCTGCCGCCCCTCTCCCCCAGGGCTTCTCAGTCTACCAGCCTCAACTCGGCGCTCAGCTGCAGTTCTTCCCTGCTCTCGGCTCGCAGGAACTCGATGACATGATCAACGCCTACGTTCCTGGATCTGCTGCTCTCAAGGAAAAGCGGGCAACCGTCTCGCTCGACTTTTTGGAGCACACACAGCTTACGGGCCAGACATTCAAGTTCTACCCCGTCTACTCATCCAGCCCCGTCGCTGCCTCTCCAGCCATTTCCACATCTTCCTTTAGCAACACATCTCCCGTCAACTCAACGTGGGACTGGAGTCAAGCCTCCGCATCTCCCGCAGTGTCTTCTCGATCTTCCAGTTCCAAGAGCCGCAAGGCCTCTCAGTACTCTACGCCTGATCTTTCACACCTCCCTGGCATGAAGATCATGACCAAGGACGGCCAGGATGTCACAGATTCTGCCTCTCGAGGATCAAAGACAAAGGAGCAGCGCGATCACGCACACCTGATGCGCATCATAAAGGCCTGCGATAGCTGCAAAAGAAAGAAGATTCGATGCGACCCCAGCCACAAGAAGCGAACAGTCGCTCAGCCTCAATCTGCCGCAAAGCAAGCAAAGAAGGCACGCACAGCAGCAGCAGCGGCTGTCGCAGCAGTGGCAGCGGCACCACCGCAGAAATCAACTTCTGCAGTGGCTTTAGCTAGAGGGCAACACGACAATCCAGACATACCAATGTCCATGTTTGGCATCGATCCAACCTTTACATTTGCTGGCTTAGACAGCGTCGAGTCCCAGACATACGAATCATGGGAAGAGTTTATCCAATACCCCGTGGACATCGCCGATGAGAATTACGACTTCTTCCTTGATCCCGAAGGCTACCTCTCCTCCCAGTCTTCCGCTTCCTCTTCTTCTGCGTCGCCCCCCAAGGCCTTTACGCCAGCGTCACAGCAAGATCTGCAAGTGTCATTTGGCTTGGAGGAACGCGAGGGATTCTCATCCGAGTCGACATCACCAGAGCTACCATTCCTGCAAGACAACCACACTGGCGTCAATAACTACACCGACTTCAGCCTATTCTCGCCCTCATCAAGCTTCTCTGAGGATGACCGCATGCTTTCGATTTCGTCTTCGCGCACTCTGAGCCCGACCCAGCCTTCTGCATCAGAATCTGATTCATTCGTCTATGGCGGCTTCGATGTTGATGGCCAAGGCCTTGCAGCTGGCGGTAGCGGTTCGAGCGAGCTGGTCTCTCCCGCCGGGGAGACTGGCTTAGTCGCGGCCGCCGACACGAGCTTGCCGTGGTATGATCCGGGCTCCGGCCCGAGTGACTCTCGTGCACAAGACTCGCGAGCCGGCATAAGTATAACACGGCCCGCAGGATGGGTAGGTGATGTGCGCATAGCGTACTCGCCGGGTGGCTCGGTACTTGTTACGGCATCATCCGCAAGCGGTACAGAAGTAATTGCGAACCATGCAATTGCGAATAGCGTACGTCTTTTGATTCTCCCTCTTTTGCTTTCTTTCATCTGTAGCTGGACGTCGACTAATTTCCTCGGAAGGCACCACTTGCTCAACTAGATACTTCTCGATCTGGATCAATTGCAATTGCTATTACTGGAAGGGTACGTTACCATAACAATCAGCTCGAATGCAGAGCCGGGACTGACATTCGAAAAAAGGATACATCAGCCGAAATTACTACGAGCCAAGCGACAAGCACTGCACTGCAGTTCGGCGGCGTACGTTTTCTCTCTTTTCCCATTCTGCTAGCCTGCGCAACTTTGCGACTAACTTTGGAAAAAAGGAACCTCAAGATGAGCTCAAATCATACGGCCATTCGCCAACTGAGCGTGGCAGACTCCGAAGTGTACGTCTCCTACTGCACAAGCATTTGTCCCCCCAAGCTAGATTGCAAGAATCCGCGACTAACATTTGAAAAAAGGAAACACCAGTTGGTGATTCAGCTAGGTTGTTTGGCCAACAAGCCGTCTTCCGAACCGTATGTCCAGACGCAGCCACACTCTTCGCCGCTCTCTTGTCGACTGACATGAAGAAACAGGAAACCTCGAGCGCCCAAGCAAACGCCTCGCCCTCTGCGCTGGCGACCGCCGCGAACCATTCAGTCCAGCTTTCGACGGGCTCGGTAGAGTCCTCCTCGATGGTACGCCGTGCTGCAGCATCTGCCAATTGCCTCACATCTCAGCTAACACCATTACTCTTCAAGGCCCAGACCGAGAATTTCGTTGTCGACAGCGGCATCAACCCCGAGGGTCCCCCCGGCGGCTTACAGCTATTATATGGCACCACGCCCGATGCTCTTCTGCTTGGCTCGGCCGCATTTGCGAACGCCAGCGAGGATGCTACGACGGAGAGCCCACAAGCTTCGTTCGCCACTATTCTTGGAGAGTCACGCATACTTGCTACAGAAGCCAATGGCAGTGCGAGTGGCCTAGCTGCTCAGCAGAGCGGCGAAGCCCAGAGCCAGCAGCAAGCAGCAGCATCTGTTGCCGAGGACGGCATCCGACCAGCCTCGCTGTTGCTCCTCCAGACGTCGCCCAAGCGCTATGCTGCAAGCGACGATGGTGCCGACTTTGGCACAGAGAGGAGCTTCAACAGGTGGATCGGTGTTCAAGCGCTGGCACAAGCCACGCTGGTCATTCTGATTGGCATACTGACTGCAACGATGCTGGCCGGCCTCACGGGATCCTCAGCAGCGTTCTGCTTGGCCTCTCTGGCGCCCGCCATGGGAGCTTGCCTCCAACGCTTTGCGGTTCTCGACAGCAACTCCAAGCCTGTTGGAACGATGCCATCGGCAACGTCAAGTCCAAGATCCCAACCTTCAGTACTACGACGAGATGTTTCTCGCTTCTCCTCCCATTTCTTCTCTTCTTCTGTCTCTCCCCTGAGCAGGGGCATGACTATGCGCTTCAGCGCTGCCCCATTGATGGGCTAGGAACGATTGTTGCATCCAGTTGACGAATGTTTCGAGCGAAGATGCATGCTTCTAGATCCAAGTCCACGCATTTTTTTCTATAAGCCGGTTTGGCTAACGATACCCCTTTTGCGTGGAATGTGGTTTGATACAATATTGGAGCAGGATTTTGATTTTTCTTTTACCGATATGGTGTTTTTATAGAATACAGCGTGCGAAGAAGTAGACTTGCCGTTTGGCAGAGTCGTGAAGAATACAATACCGGGTCAAATACGACTTGGAATTTTTTATAACCTCTTTCTGTCCTCTTGCCCTTCTTCATTGCCCCGTGATAATCTTGGATATTGTTGATCCTGTCGTTTCATGTATGCTGAGACTTTGATTTGCTCTGATTCTTTGTCGTCGTAACTACTGGCATCTAGCATTTTTTATCCAAAGTTCGACATCTCTTGATAAGCACTATTACTTGTGGTAAACTAAATCTTGTCGTCCTTCAACCATATCTGCCTTTGCTCTGATTCTTTGTCATCGTGACCACTGCTGGCATTCAGCATCTTTTATCTCAAGTTCGGTATCGTGATTCACTGTCCTACAGCGCATAGACCGCCCTGTAATGGGTTCCTGACTAGTGGCGCACAGCGGAGACAAACAGAGCTGACCGCTTAGTCATCGGATCTGATAGGCGCTAGCGCCTGATCAGTGACAAGGGTGCTACAGAAATTCGACCGCCAAAAAAGCTTGGCCCCAAAACTTCATCACCTCACTGCCAGCCAGCCGTTATTTAAAGCCTTCGTTTCAACCCCGCTCTCGCACTCTTTTCTCTTTCTTCTTTCAACCTGCATTCGAAGCCGAAAGCAATCTTGATTGTCCAACATCGAGATATACCTTTGCGGATTTTCTTTCTCTTGAATCAAAATCCGTTAAGGTGTATCTTGCATCAAGCAGTCAAGATTTCCCAAGGCTCTTCGAGTTTGCATCTTGAATCTCTCTGCAAGGATAAATCATACACGGAGAAGACGAGAGGTGCTGAATACGCTTGAACTATCTGGAGCGAGTGGCAAGGTGGGAGACAAGCCCTTCCTATTACCCTCTTCCTCTCTTCCTCTTACGCTTCTTCCTTTTCTCTTAACTTTTGATGCAAGGAACCTTGACTAACCACCACAACAGGCTTTATTGCAATTTCCCATCAATATCTGGGGTAATGAAGTTCGAACCTACCCTTCCAGATATCGAAGAAGAGTCTAAGGTCCTCCCACTTGATCTTGAAGAGTCAGAGGAGAGACTTTTTGTTGCCATCCTGCTCCTGTCTGTGCTTGAACTTTCACACCTCAACGAGAAGAAGTCATCTTGATTTCCTCTCCGCTTCCTTCTACTCCTTCCTCTGCCATCAAGAAGAGATAGACTAGAGGTTGCGAATTCGGCTACGACTGCGAGCGAGAACATTTACGGTAAGCTGAAGCATCCTCGCTATCTTTGATTTCTTGCTAATTCGACTAGTTTTGATTTATCCTGTTCTACATTTTATCGCCGCTCTTTTTCAAATTAGAAAAACAATCTCCCTAAAACGAGATCTTTCTTGAGGCTATACTGGTGAGCAAAGCTGCCTATCTCTATCTCCAAACTCCCAGAAGAGAATGCAGCCCTTCTAACCCTTACCCATCTCCAGATCTTACCTCATTCCATCTTTGTACAACTTGCGGCTGCACAGCACGTTTCTACGTCATAGATACACGCACTTTACGCTTTCACCGCGTTTTTCACTGCTCTTTCTCTCTTCTAGGCGAACGAGCGGTCTAGCTGCGAGTGTTGTGAGGATTAAGGAAAGAGCCTTCCTTTAGCCTTCTCAAGAGACACACCATCACCCACTTCCCCGCCAGAACAGCTATATCTCTGTTCTTTTTCTTTCTTCTCTATTGCCTTGCTTCCTTTCTTTTCTAAAAAAGAGAAGAGAAGCATTTTTTTCTTTGTAATTAATTTCAAAAGGAAAGGAAATCTCTCTCTGCAGCAAACGAGTTTTTAGCGGCCAATTCACCAGTCGCCCACCATGCCTCGTGCTGCATCTGGAGAGGGCGGCCAGTTAATGCGCCTGGCAGGTGCCAGACAGGCCCTCCGCCGGCTGTTTCCCTTCCGCCGCACCAGGCAGCCTCGCATTGAAGCGGTGCCTGAGGAGCCCTTCTCTGACGGTTCTGAAACTGACGGATTAAATGTCCCCTCCGTGCCGCCGAACACGCCAAGCTCTGACTACGCCGCGTCGCTCGTCCAGGTCGAACTTCCCACGTTGCACATTGGATCGGATAAGAGCCTTACCTACAGCCACTTTGGCGACGACGACGACTTTGAGACCGACGAGTTCAACGATTCGTCTACCCTTGGTGACGGAAACGCCAACATGGCTTCGCGTGCTGGCCCTGCTTCGGGCCCTGCTTCGGGCGCCTCGTCTGCCGTTGGCGAGAACAAGGCCAAGGAGAAGCGTGGCGGCAAGCAGAGACGCGGCGGCAAAGAGAAGCGCGCCGCAAATGAGCAGAATGCTGGCGATATGATGGATGTTGATCAGGAGAAGGACACCGTGGTCGTGGACAGAGTCACCGCCACCACAGTCACCACGTTTGCTGCGGCCGCTGTCGCTGTCATCATCGCCGGCAAGGACAAGCAAAAGGAGAATCAGCAGCCTCGTGCCAACCAGGTCAACGCCGTCGCTGCCGTCGATGACCTTGCCGACAAGGACAAGCCAAAGGAGAAGGAGAACGTGAAGCCTCGTGGCAACCAGATCGACGAGCTCTCTCGCAGGCTGGCCGGCATCGCCGTCGCCCGAGCTCCAGCCGCCCCCGCTGTCGACAAGAAGCTTGAAACCCCATCTGAGGAGATTGACGCCGAGATTATCACCGACCCGAGCACTGTCGACCCGGCCGTGCTGGCTGAACGTGCTGAGCACCAAAAGCATATGCATGGAGCTTTGGACATGGTGAGTCTTGCCCTTGTTTTCTCTCTTTGGTACATCTGCTAACATTCACCCATAGGCTCGCCTTGCGCTCGTGACCAACGAGACTCCCGTCGGCTGCGTCATTGTTTACCAAGGCGAGGTCATCGCCAGAGGCATGAACGCGACCAACGTCACTCGCAACGGCACTCGCCATGCCGAGTTCATGGCCATTTCTGCCCTGTTTTCCGTCCCTCGCAACGGCGGACCTCGCACCACTTGCCTCAAGCCCAAGGTACCCCCCAAGGTGCCCGAGGGCAAGGAAAACGACCCGTCCTACTCGCAGGAGTGGCGCTCCCCTGACGAAGGCAATGAGGATGGCAGCAAGGGCCACCTCTATCCTTATGGCCAGAAGATGATCTCTCTCGAGCGTGTGCCCACCGACATCATGCAGGAGTGCATTCTCTATGTCACTGTTGAGCCGTGCGTCATGTGTGCTTCTCTCCTCCGTCAGCTTCGCATCAAGAAGGTCTATTTCGGCGCCGTCAACGACAAGTTCGGCGGTTGCGGTGGAGTCTTCAACATCCACGCCAATGGTCTTCCTCCTGGCAGCATGGATCGTGTTCACCCTGAGCCTAAGCGCTACCTTTTCCCTGATGGAGGCGGCAGTCTGGGCGTCTCTTACCCTCGTGGCGGTGGCCATGGCAGTAATGTTGAACCAGGCTTTGAGATTGAAGGTGGCTGGAGCCGTGACGAGGCTGTTGGACTTCTCCGACGTTTTTACGTGCAGGAAAATGGTCGAGGTATGTTCCTTCTTTACTGTTTCTCTTCTCTTCGATGCCTATCTCCTCCCTCTGGGCAGATGCTTTATCACATGGACAGCATTCACTGACATATATCCCTTCTAGCCCCTGTCCCTCGCAAGAAAGAAGGCCGAGCTGCACGCTTGGCTGCCATGATGGAGCAGGACGCTACTGGTGCGGCTACCCCTGGCGGCGAGGCTGATGCTGAAAACACCACCGACCCTGCTGATAACGGCTCTGCCGATGCCATGGATGTGGATATGGCCAATGCCCAGTCTTCTCCCATGGACGACGCCATGGACGAAGATGCCACCTAAGACTTCGTTTGAGTCGGCCTCATACGCATTTTCTCATTTTATTTTGGTACTTCATTGAAGCATTCCGACGCCCATGCTTGCCTTTACTGGCAAGCGTTTTCATCCGCTAATTTTAATCTGCAACTCGTTTGCACTTGCTTTCACGCGCAAAACAAAACAGGGCTCGGACATATTGGCGTTTTACAAATACATTGACGGCAGGAAAAGCCGCATAAGGACACGGTTTGGGATCGATACCAAGGCCAGCCACCGAGATGGTTATGGCATATAGTGCGATTATTTCACAGTTCATCTGTTGTTTCTTTTTATCGTCTTTGGTCAAATTTCTGCGCAAATCGAATCTTTTGCGGACGACATGGGTTCATGAATAGCACTCACTGCACACTTCATCTAGCCTTGCATTCTACGTAGAAATCAAAAAGACAATTTAGATGAACTGATTTGCGTGCCCCAGTGAGCATAGCCAACGTAGAAGACACAAAAAGGATGGCAGACATGACAGTTTTGTCATACTGGAGTAGAGAGGACTCACCATATCTTGGCGATAGATGGCACTCAAAACTGCAAAAAGATGTGTTGCTGCGTAATCTGGGAATCGAACCCAGGGCTCCCCGACGTTGCGGATGGCAACGGAGAATTTTACCACTAAACCAATTACGCTTTTGATTGGTGAGAGGGGAGAATGTTGACGTGAAGAAGCATTGCCAGCAAGACAGAGGCTCGTAGTGCTTGGAGATCAATGCTCTCCATTGCACATTATCCTCCCCTTTTCCTCTGTTGGTACCCACGGTTTTGAACCAAGAAACGATAGATATGTCACACTTTGGCCCCCATATAGTAAACCGAGTCTCGTTCAGCCGCAACGCGCTATTGACGGCGGCAGCCAAGAGACGCTTGAATCGCTAGTTGGCCGTCTTAGCTTCACATAACGCGGTACGAATGGGCGGATAGGCAAGGCGGAATTTGTCAATAGTTCTGGAGGAAAAGGGGCCCGATCCAAGGGATAGAAGGTTTTATGCTGCTATTGTTTCGAAACCTGTTAATCATTGCGAAAATATTGAGATTGTTTCATCTTTTGAATACTTGATTTCACAATAGTGGAAAGACATCATGGGCCGTCTTCCTCCTGTCACAAAGTTCTCGCTTGCAGTTCGCAAAAACAGTTTGTAGCACCTCCCATTAATTATCCCTGCTCGATGCTGATTCATTCTTCTAGTCCGCGATGAATGGGAAAATAGGAAAGCAGACTATGAAAACAGGATCTCTGCCGTGCTGGGCGAGTCGTGGAAAATCGACATTGATCTGCGCCAAGTCTGCGCGTATGCTGAGGATGGATATGCGGCCGAAGCTCCTGGTTCCATGATTTCAGCGTATGTTTTATCAGTATTTCCATTTGACAAAGTGTGAAAATTCTTTTGTTTTTTGTATTGGATGATCTAATTTTCTCAATTGCTCTAGATACATTGACGGCGTCTTGTACCAGCTAGATCGCTTCCTCACCAAACATGGAGACAAAGGCAAAGAGGAGCTCAATACCATTGCTTCAGCGCGAACCATCACCATGGACCTGGACGAAGGCCAAAGATTCTCCTACTGTGGCTGCGCCATCTCTGCCACGGGATCGCTCGTCATTCTCTTCAGAGAAGGATATCTGGGCACCAACATCGACGACGCTTGCTCACTAGACAACTTAGAAAATGCCCTCAACGCCGCCCCCAGCACTGCGTTGGCCAGTCACCAGCCCATGAGCTTCATCGCGCGCGCAGCCATTAGAAACGACTGGGATGCGCAGTCAGAAGCAATCAAGCGACAACTCGGCGAGATCCTGGGCAGGGACATTGCCTTGGAGCCGCAGTTCGAGCAGGCCTTTGGCAAGCTCAGCGCCGCCGCCGGAGGTGGAAATGGAGATGCATCGTGGCAGCGAAACCTGGGCGCATATCACAGCATGTACTACGAGAGTCTGGCGTCCTACCTCGTGTACCAGAAATTCGGCGTGGACGACATGCTGCGCGAGGCCTTTCACGAGGGCATCGATAAGAAGACGGTAGCGTTTCGCATTGTTGGCAAGGATGAGCTGAAGCACTCGACTTACAACGAGTGCGCCATTGAGGACGGGACGTTGATTCTGCAGGTACGTGCCAAATCTGAGACACTTCGTAGTTGAACGCTCTGCTGATTAATGCCTTCATTGTTAGACCACCGCTGAGTACTACGGCACAAACATTGCTGAAATTGCCAACAAGCTGATGGAGCTATTGTAGACAGGAGAAGTGAGTCACGCTCCATTGCCTCCGGTGTGCTGGCTCTGCCCCCCCCTGGCCATCAAAATCCATCCGCTGGCACTGACAACTCCCTAGACCGAAAGTGAGTGGAGGCTTGTTTGTTCACCTACAGACGGGCTACACGTGTTGATGCAGGGTGAGGCGGCAGGGCCCAGGCGATTGTGGTTGGCTGGATTCTGGGCGATCTGGAGAGAGTGTAGGGCGGCCCACCGCCTTTGAGGCATGAGATTGATGCGTGACCGGCCGGTTTGCATTGCAGGGGGGAGCAGTAAACGGCTGTGGTTTGGAGTATAAGACACCCTATAGAAAGCTGCAGTAGATGCCTTGTATTGACTTGTTATTTGCATATGCACATGCACCGTCTCCAGCTGCAACCTTTGATTGATTCATTGATCGACTTTGAGCATCTGCTGCAAGGCGTAGTGGCCCAACGCTGGTTGCTGGGCTTCTTGTTTTGGTGTTGCAGCACTCCAGAGGCATACCCCGCGAACATACCCAAGAGAGACTCGACTCGGCGTGTCAGCTTTTGTCGGGACACTGCATCATCTTGAAACTTTTTGACAAATTTTCTTTTCCCTCATTGAGTACTTTCTTGGTTGATTTTCTCTTCTCTCAATTCTCCAAATCGTTGGCATAGAGGTATGTGAGCCATATTGTTGGTGACATGTAATATCTAATATCGACAGCCCGCTAACATCCTCACTAAAAGCAGCGCCCACTCACCGTCTCTTGCTGACTGGAGCCATGCCTGCGCCCAACTCAAAGCCCCTCGCAGACCACAGGGCCGCTGCAAAGCGCCAGGCCGTCACCACCGTCTCGGCCATAGCCCTCGTCTTCATTCTATGGCCAGAGCGCTTCATCATCTGGCGGAATCTCTGCTTCGTGCCCGTGGCGGCGTGGCTGACTGCGCTGGTCTTTGACCTGAAGCATGGCGCTCTCGACGCTTGGGATGGAGTCCCGGCCTGGATGAAGAGATTCATTGGCGCAGATGACAGCAGCAGCAGCAGCAGCAGCAGCAGCAGCAGCAGCTATAACAACAACAGAAGCAGTGGAGCTGGAGCTCGATATGGCTCAAATCGAGCCAAAGCCACGACAATGCCCGAGTATGTGCTCATGCATCTTGGCGATACGGTTTCTCTCGTCAAGAAAGAAGCTGCACGGATGTGGGAAATTGCCAGACCAATTCTGACCGAATGGATTCGCCAAGTCATCCATTTCCTCACCTCCCAAAGTCCGTACAAGTTCAGTTCCTCATACCTCTTATTGCATCGTCTCTAACTGTTTTGATTCTTGCAGCATCAGCAAACCGAATGCCATCACCAACATCATCCTCACCTCGCAAGCCAAGCCCAGAGTTCACTCAGTACTACGGCATCTTGGTCAAGCTTCCCCGCGGTCCCAACGTCACAGCTCCTTTCGCGCCCCCGTTTAGGATGCGAGAATCAGACAGGACTATTCCGCGGGAAAGCAAAGATGCCTCGGCCGTTCCTTCAGTGCTCAGCTCTTGGGATGTTGATTCTCGCATCTCGTTTCTTCTTGTCGAAAAGACGACATGGGATGATCGAGACCTGACGCTAAGAAGCAAGTTGGCGGCCGGAACCTATTGGAATATGTCGGCGCAGAGTCGTGGCAATCTTCGCAAGGAAATGGACAGAACAGAAGTGGCACAGATCAGCGGCATCGAGGTGATTGGCCTCGGAGACGGGGAGTATGATGCGTTGAAGAAATGTCGTCAGTGTAAGTACAGCTCTCTACGACTCAAGCAGCACATTTCTATCGACAATGGCTAAACAATCCGCAATAGGTTTCCGGGTCTTGTGCCAGGACTGGAAATACATGAGGATGCTCTGGGACGACGTCGACTTCGCCGCCATCCTCGCATTCTTGGTGATGGGACCATCCACAGCCGCAAAATCAGCGCAGATCTATCGAGCACTCTGCATGCTCAGAGCAGATCAGGCTGCGGTCCCAAAACGAGGCGGCCCAAACATTGAGTCGTTGCTGGTAGCAGCAGCAACAGGCGGGCTTGCGGCACCTTTTGTGCTACCGCTCATGGCAGGCGGCCTAGCTGCTGCTGCCATGAGGAGTCGCAATGCTGCACTGCCGGAGCAGAGAAGAAAGGCATACAAAAGCCTGATGATGCAATTCCCTGAGCTCAAGGCCCTCTTTGACGCTGAAGAGAGGGAACATAAAGAAGAGGCCATCATGAAGGACTGCGACGAGGACGAAGAGTGGAAGGACGAGGGCGAGGATTACTATAACGACGCCTTGAATCCATTTGATTGGTGAGGGGCAGAACAATCATGAATTTGCGCGAAAGAGTCTGAAGACCCGCGCTTTTGCAAGCATATAGACTGAATTTGAACTTCTTTTCCCTTTTCTTCTTTGGATATGAATGCCACTATGTCAGAGAAGTACAGAATAGCACTGAGTCATCACCTTCCACGATGCATACACGTATCTTACGCGACTTATAGAGCGTACATGACCTATGACGATGGATGCTCCATTACAACTTGAACGGGGCTAGAAATCCATCCAGAACGTGTTTCCCGCAGCCTAAAAAGCCAGCCAGCTCCATCGACACGGACTTATTTTTCCTTGGCCAGAATGCGGGCTGTGGCGCCCTCCCCCACGCAGCCAAAAGTTCAAAAGCCGCGCTCCCATTAAGCCAGCCGAGAGCTTGGCCAAGGAACGCCGCCGTCGACAGCCTATTTGGGAAGCGAGATCGGGGGGTGAGAGGAGCTTTTGTTGTTCTTTGGAGGGTTTTGAACAAGGATGATGCGACGTTGGAGGGGTTGCATGTGCTATAAATTGTTGAACGGGCGGAGGAATGGATTTGCTTGTTAAGTCGTTACATGTACTTGGTTGCAGGCAACGGAGTTATTCTCTCACATACAAATCTTTCGACTCGGCGTGATTTTTTAGAGCAGAAGAATACAAAATTATCACAATGGTTACGACTTCGTTCAAACTCAACAATGGCCTGCAGATGCCGGCTGTTGGTCTCGGTATGTCTCTCTCATTACCCGATTCACTCATTGAAATTTGCAGAGGGGCCAATCTCTTCCATGGCGGGGGAGGGGCAATCTGAACCAGTGCGACCAAAAAGAGAGCAGAAGAGCAGAAGGGAAAAAGAGGACAAAATGCTGACGAAAACTTCCAAAATCTTGTAGGCACATGGCAATCCCAAGCTGGTGAGGTCAAGACTGCCGTTTCCTACGCGCTGCAGAACGGCTACAAGCTCATCGACGGCGCCTACTGCTACGGCAACGAGGACGAGGTTGGCGAGGGCCTCAAGGAGGCTTTCGCGGCGGGAGTCAAGCGCGAGGACGTCTTTGTCGTGACGAAAGTGTGGGCGACTTACAACACTCGCGTTGCGGAGGCGCTGGACAAGAGCTTGAAGAGCCTGGGGCTGGAGTATGTTGATTTACTGCTGGTGGTGAGTAATTGGGTTTCCACTTGTCACTACTGCATGTTTGCTAACGAATTCATCAGCACTGGCCTCTTCTGCTAAACCCCAATGGTGAGAGCAAAAAGCTTGAGTAATCAAGATGGATTCAGATGTTCTAATTCAGAACAGGCAACCACGATAAGTTCCCTACTCTACCGGGCGGCAAGCGAGATGTGATCCACGACTACAACCACGTCGACGGCTGGAAGCAAATGGAGGCCGCTCTCGCGTCTGGCAAGACCAAGTCTATCGGCGTTAGCAACGTACGTTTATCTGATCTCCCTTTTATACACTTTCCTTTTTGTAACATTGAAAAAACAGTACAGCAAGCGATATCTCGAGCAGCTCCTCCCCAACGCCACCGTAGTCCCCGCCGTCAACCAGATTGAGAACCACCCCAGCCTCCCCCAGCAGGAGATTGTCGACTTTTGCAAAGAAAAGGGCATCCACGTCATGGCATACAGTCCTCTGGGCAGCACGGGCAGCCCTCTCATGACCGCAGAGCCGGTGGTCAAGATTTCCGAGAAGAAGGGCGTTTCCGCAGGAACAGTCTTGCTAAGCTACCACGGTATATTTCTTCGTTCAGTACCAGTGAAGTAATATTTTGCTAACTCATAAACACAGTCAACCGTGGCAGCACAGTTCTCGCAAAGTCTGTTACGCCATCGCGCATCAAGTCCAACTTGGAGATTGTCACTCTCGACGACGAGGACATGAAGCTGTTGAACGACTATTCAGACGACCTGACCAAGAAGGGCGAGCTGAAGCGCTACGTCTACCCGCCGTTTGGCGTTGACTTTGGCTTCCCCGATAAATCACAAAGTAGAGCATAGTATAGATGAGAAGAGTATATTTGCAGTATTAGAATTGGCTCCCAATCTATCCAATCACCATGATACATTTCCAATCACAGCTTTCTTCCCCCCTCTTTATTGCAGTGCTTTTTTTTTTTTTTTGGTTCATAAGGTCATCTCATATCTTTGATTCTCGAATTTGAAGCATCTATCCAATCATTTCTTCGTGTCTATCACAACCTTGAGAACTAGTTTACCCTCACCATCCTTGACTTTCCCCGCCAAGCTAAACGCCTCTTGGACTGCATCAAGCCCCTTGACTCGATGTGTGATGAGCTTTTCCAGGTCGGGGAATACGGGGTCCTTTTTGTGCAGCATCTCAATGGCGTCGGCATATGTATTAGCATATCTGAAAACGCCAACAATGTCGACCTCGCGAAGGGCAGCCGCAGACAGGGGCAGAGTGAGAATGGGGGTGCCCATGCCAATGATGAGAATTTTTCCGCCTGGTCTTGTAGCCTATTACAGTCTCATGGTTAGCTAAAATGAAGAATAATTAAAATTGAAGAGGAAAAATGAACTTACGTAGATGGCACTCTGCACGCAAGATTCCACACCGGTGCACTCAAACACAGCCCCAACCTGGCCGACCGGCACGCCTCCAATCTCAACGTTGCCAGCCAAATCCGCAACCTGCTGCGCATAGGCCAGCTTCTCGTCAATGGTCTGCGGCCTGGCCAAGGGCACAACGAAGCCTGCATCAGCAAACCCGTTGTTGACGGCAAAGTCCACGCGGTCTTTTTGAATGTCGGCAATGATGACAGCTGGTGAGCCCATGGCCTTGCTGACGGCCGCTGAGAGAAGGCCAACGGCTCCTGCGCCAAAGATGAGGACTGGAGTTGAGGCGGGGAGAGCAGCGCGGCGATAGGCGTGTAAGGCGACGGAGAGAGGCTCAATCAGGGCGCCGAGATCACTGGAGACGCCGTCGGGGAGCCTGTTTGCACATATAATATCCCATGGTCAGCTCATCATACCACGCTATTTTCAATACATATGTAGATGTGTGTATATCAAAGATGGGGAGGCACATACTTGTGAACCCATCGAGCAGGGTGGTTAATCCTCTCCTGCAGCGTCCCCTGCATGTGTGGAAACGCCTTGGCCGAGCTGCGAAACTTCATGCCTTTGCAGATGTTGTATCTGCCGCTCTTGCAGTAATCGCAAGACTCGCATGGCAGGCCAACCTCGAGCGCGACACGATCGCCTGGCCGGAGGTTCGTTACGGCGGATCCTACAGCGACGACTGTGCCGCTGGATTCGTGGCCCAGCGTCAGCGGCTCGCGGACGAGGATGTCGCCATTGCGGTAGTGGTTGTAGTAGTGCAGATCTGAGCCGCAGAGGCCCGTTGAGTCGACAGAGACTTGGACCTCGTCTGCACCGGGAGATTCTAGAGAGCGTTCAATCTGTGAGGGTGAAGCTGTTAGCAGAGTGGAAGCTCCCTTTTTTAGGTCTCAAGGCCTTCTCGTCCGGAGGCTTCTTGCATACAAATTGAAGGTCTTTCTCGCCAAATAAGACGGAGGCTTTGACTGATTCAATAGACATGATGATAGGATAAGAAGAAGTAGACTGGTATCCAGCAGCTGAGAAGAGACACAGGCAATAAGAGTTGGTAGGAAAGAGGAGATGTTGTGATGAGATGAGGAACCGACTGCCTGTCTTTACTAGGCTCTGCTCTCTATAGATGGGTATTTTGTATCACTCGAAGATGATATTCTAAGAATCAAGATGAGAGAGAAGATGCCTAAATAAATCTCATGACATAACAAAATGGTTCCCAAGCTCCGATATCGAACCAAAGTCAGCAAACTAGATTCTCCGTGTTACTGACATCAAACGATGCAGCCCAGACCCCAATTGCCTCGCTTCGCCGACAGGCCCAAAGCAAGCCCGCCGAATCCACCAGTCTAAGCCGCAATGACCCGGGCCGAAAAACCAGGGAAACACAGGCCTGGAAAACACGCAGAGACGTGGAGATTGCTGGCCTAGGCGCTCTAACAGCAGCTAATTGTAACAGCAGTGGCCTGTGGCGCATCGGCACCAGTTGCCGGAATAGGTGGTGCGCTTATTCAACCTTCTCCAAATCGCGGGGCAATAGCCGATGCCCCTCCAAGTTCCATCCCTGGAGACGTTGAGCTAGACGGATTTATTCATGCCGTTGCGTGTTTTCGGGATTTGGTCTTCTTCTTGCATTTATTCAAATACTAATCGCTCTAGTTTTCTTAGGATTAGGATATTTTGGATTGATTTACTCCTCTTGACTTCAGCATCATCAAGGAAACAACACAATGGCATCCTTCTTCTCACTCGAGGGCTCTACAGCCGTTGTCACCGGTGCCACAAGGGGCATTGGACAGGCCGTTGCCATTGGGCTTGCCGAAGCCGGCGCAGACATTATTCTCATCCAGGTGATTCAATTGCCGACTTGCCTGGTTGCTGGGCTGACATGGAGGGTTTCCCTGGGACTTAGAGAGACACCACATCGACGACGACAAAAGAGGCCGTTGAAAAGACAGGCCGCAAAGCATGGGTCTTCACAGCTGATCTTGGTGTCCAAGAGCAAGTCGCAAACATTGCCAAGGATGTCACCGCCGCGGGCCACAAGGTAGACATTTTGGTCAATTGCGCCGGCATTCAGAGGAGACACCCTTGCGAGGAGTTTCCCGACAATGACTGGAACGATGTGCGTATATATCCATCTCTCATATATATATGGCTGGTCATTACGTGTAAATGTATTGTGACTAACACAGGGCAAAATCTCACTTATTAGGTCATCCAAGTCAACCTCAACACCGTCTTCACGCTCTGCCGCGACTTTGGCCGCGAGATGCTCTCCCTCCCCGTCTCCCCCGTCACCGGCCGTCGCGGCAGCATCATCAACTTCGCCTCGCTGCTCACCTTCCAGGGCGGCTTCACAGTCCCCGCCTACGCCGCGTCCAAGGGCGCCGTGGGTCAGGTCACAAAGTCGTTTGCCAATGAGTGGACGGCCAAGGGCATCACGGTCAACGCCATTGCGCCGGGATACATTGAGACGGACATGAACACGGCGCTGCTGAATAACCCGGAGAGGCTGGCGGGCATCAGCGCGAGAATTCCCGCGGGCAGATGGGGGTCGCCCGAGGACTTTAAGGGAACGTCGGTGTATCTGGCGAGCAAGGCGAGTGGATATGTAAGTGGACATACGCTGGTGGTGGACGGTGGATGGATGGGCCGGTAAAGAGCCTGTCTTTTTTTTGGTTATTGGGTACTGGAAACTGGGCTGTGTATATAGTAGGCATGGATGATACCTAGCATGGAGATAATTACTTCTTAACAACGATCAAGATACCAATGCAATCTTGGCAAACTAGCACTTGGATGGGACTGTTTAGCAAAGAGGGAGGCCCATGGCTTAGGCAAGTAGTCGTGCTTTAAAAATTAACGAATTTCTATTACATGTCCAGCGATTTCATCCCACCCATCCATCTCTTTATCGTGTCGGTGACGTCTAATATGTAGTCATCTAGAACCCTTCTAGATTTTACTGCCTGCGCCGGAGGAAAAAGCAACAAAAAAACCAATCAGCTGCTATGCAACGTAAAACAAAACAGAAAAAAAAAAAGGCATGAATTCTCTACCCCAGAGAAGAAAAGGGGACATCATTATTACACATGTTCTCTCATTTCCACTTCTCTCTTCCTCATATCGTGATTGTGGAAAAAAAAAGGGGGGGTTGGGGGTCTTAGTGTTTACTTTTGCCTCCCTCGTAGTAGTGGGCCATCTGAAGGCCAGCTCGTCGGAATCCGCACTTGACGTAGAAGCCTTCGTTGGCGTCGCTGCAGTCGAGGATGCTCTTGTAGCAGCCAATCTTCTCAGCGACGTGATCGAGGGCCTGGATCAGGCGGAGGCCGAGCTTCTTGCCCTGCTGGTCCTTGGCGACGGCGATGTCTTCGATGTGGCCGACTTTGCCCAGGCTGTGGATGCTGTAGAACAATCAAGGTTAGCTGCTGGTTGTCTTGAGTGCGAGGTGGCAGAAGCCTCAGGGGTCAGGGGCTATCGGGTACACGCAGTTCCCCAGAGGACTTTTTTCGCTTTTCCGACTTACAATTTGTGCTCGACGATCAAGGCGCCGGTAGCTACGACAGAGTTCTTCTCTCGGGAAGTGTCCTCGATGCATATGATGTAGTAGCTGTCCTGAGCCAGCATGTTGTCGAACTGCTTCTGGAACTTCTCCTCGCTGACATCGCCGACCGTGGTCAGCACGCGGAGGCAGTCGAGGAAGCCAGAGTTGTAATCGGTGCGACGAAGGGCTCGCAGCTTATAGCCCTCCGGTAGGGTGGCCGAGACAACCTCGGAGATGAGGTCTTGAGAGAAGAGGCCATCCTGGTCGGCGTCGGTGATGGTGATGGGAGGGATTGTAGCGGCGGGAGACATTGTGAGGTTGGATTGATTTTTTTGTATTAACGAATGAAGTAACGAGCGATCGAGCGAGCGAGCGGTCGAGAGAGCTTCAGGGACGAAAAGGAGGAGGCGTAGGAGCGCAGCTGTTGTCGATCTTTGAGAGTTGGCCCTGTGGCTTTGTGCTAGCGTCGGACAAGGAGAGAGGCGGTTTCAGTTGAAAGTCAATCAGTCAAGCAAACAAAAAATCAATGACGCGGATTGAGATCGCTGTATAGGAGAGAGAGAGAGAGAAGGAGAAAGACGCGTTAGAAATGAGCGAGACGACGTTGCAACAAAGAGCTGACGGGAGAAGAGGTGAGATGAGAGAAGCAGAATCGAAAGCAAGAGAGGGATTTGGGAGACGATTCTGGCTTTGGAATTTAAAACCAGTCAAAAACCAGAGCGGCACAAGGCCCCAAAAGCTAAACTGTGGACAGGGCGAGGCTGACACTGACGCCGCTTTCGGGGTGTGCGAATAGGATCCCCAAGATGAGATACGAATGGCATAAAAATAGCAGGCGCTAGGCTGGTTAGAGAACCCTCTTACTCGCAGTATCTGATGATTTATATCTTGCACTTGATTGCCTTCAGAGCTGTATATTCGATGTTATATGTATGCTCTTTTCCTGTATTCCTCTTGCATGTCACATGCCATTACAAAAAGTAAACCGCGCTTCCCCTCCATTAAAGACAACAATACGTCGTTCAAACCAGCACTTTGTCAAGCAAGCTTCCCTCAATCTTGTCCATTGGTCCTATTAGCACTTTAGCACCATTGGTGGGTGCAATGCCCTGGAACTGCGTGCCCTGATGGCCCGCTGCTAGTGGCTGTCGCGGGACCTGGTCGCCAAGGCGGAGGCGCAGCGGCAGCACAAGCCAGGAAAGACTTGGACGATTCAACGTGCTGAGAAACTAAAATACAAAGATGGTGCTCCATAGAAAAGGAACGGCTTATCGTACCGCTGATATGGAGAGGCTCAGATGATATTTCATGCTATCCTCGGTATGATATTTTCAAACGCATCATGAGCATAACCCCGAGTCCAAGATCCGCATCCCCTATTTTTGGCTGCAGGAGCTGAGTGGTACGCCCATACCCGAGCGACAGAACCCCACTGCGCTGGCAGCACTAAATACAGCGGTTGAGCACCCCAAGCATAGCAGCCGCAGCGCTTTAGCAGCTCAGCTCAGGGGCAGCATCAACCCCGAAACCCTTCATGTTCCCTGAAGCGTCGGTTAGACCGCGCCCCTACGCGTTTTATCTCCACCCCCATGCTTAGTACGGCTGCATCCAGTTCAGACGGAATATGTGCGACATAATCATATGAAGATCGCTGGAAACGTATGGCAGCAATATACATACATGTAGCCTCAGGCTGATAGTAATCTGCTGGCTGCAGAAGAACGAAATAAACCACATAAAGGTGACATGAGAATAACATAACATAAAACTTCAAAAGAAAAAAAAAAGTCCCCCAATGCCAACAACGCCGTCCTTTATTCTTTGCCACACCTCCCTTGATTACTGTCTCTGCTCCCTCTAGTTTTTACAACTCCAACTTCAACTGATAGAAATGAAATTGACAGGAAGACCGTCCTGAATGATATCCGTACAGCCGCGTCTATAAGAATAAATCGCATTTGCCATTCTTCTTAGCCCGAAACCAGAACCCATAGCCTGTTTCCCAAATTAGTACATGTATCAAGTGAAAAGGGCATAGATAGCAGCCCGACTTACAAGAAGAAAATCATCAAAACTCCAAACATCTTGGCAATCAGCCATCGGTTGCTCGATACTCGCGACCAGTACTTCATCAGCTCGCGCTGCGCTCCCTCCACATTGTCCACAATGTCCTCCGTGTTGGCGTCGATTCGCTCGATCATCTCACTCTGCTCAGCAACCATGGTGGCCAGCTGGCCGAAGATGCCGCCCAGTTCGTTGATTGTCCTCTCGATGGCCTCGATGGCCTCGCCACGCTGCTGGATATACGAGTTGGTCGGGTTCGCCTCTTCCATCATCATCAGCTGCTGGTCGCCCATGGGGCCGGGGTTTAGCGATAGGGTGTCGTTGCCGGGCGCAGGCGATGCTCGGTTCGGGGTCCCGTATAGCGGCGATGCGGATTGCTGCAGAGACGGCTGAGAGTGTTGCGCATGCTGAGACACGGAAGATATAAAGTTCTCGGTGCGTGACCGCGACGCTTGAATGTTCTTTGTTCGGGCCTCCAGCACGTCCTTGAAATTCACTGAGACATCCGTCAATTTGCCCTGCAGCAGGTAAACCACGTTTTTGTTGTGTTCGCCTTCCTGGTCTGCTTTTGGGTGCTGCTGTTTCGACATTGTCTGCAGGGCGCCGATCTGCTGGTTCAGAGAAGACAGATCTTGCTTGATGACGAATGTGAGCTCGTTGATTTCCACAGGTCGATCGTCAAAGAGGGTGCGGCGCTTTGCGACTGCTCAAAGTGTCAGTTTGGCTATGTCTTTGAAATTCAAGGCCTCGCAACATCCCCAATCATATCCAATCATTCGAAATCCAGCGAGTGAACCTTCATCTTTCAATATACAGGTACTTACGTTGCGCCAGCTTTTCCAACTTGCCCATGGTGGCCGAGATGCCTCGTCCAATCTCCGCCGCCTTCCTGGCAAAATCTGATCTCCTCACTCGCCCATCTCCATTTGCGGCTGACTTTTGCGCGTCGTTGAGCAGCGATTTCCTTTGCGCGCTCGCCTTGTTTGCATTCTGACGGCGTTGCGCCTGGGCGAGGACCGACTTGAACTCGGCGGTTCGGTCCTGGATCGAAGCGACGGCCATCTTGTGATACTCTACTGTGCTGTATCCCGGACTGCGACCCGCGCGTCTGGAGTGTGGTGCCGACAGAGGAGATTCGAGGCCCTATTTGGTTTCCCTGTTGCTGGGCAGCCTCGTGGCCGAATTATCAAAGCCGCTAGCCGGGGGTAGGCTGATGGAGCAGCGGCCTCTCGTCGATTAGTCGTTGTAGAGTATGGAGAATAGAGTGTGATATTAAGAATGGAGTAGAGCTCTCGGCCGGCAACCGAGGAACCAGGAGTCGAGGCTGAACTGTAGGTAGTAGGCAATCTGAGAATATAGTCGTGCTATCGCGGTCGCTTCGGAAATGGCAGATTCAGGCGGGCTGATGGCGCGGCAAGGATAGGTTAATTAAAAACAAAAGTAAGTAAGACGTAAACTCGAAAAAGGTATAAGGAGCGAAGTCCCTGCTGAGGGTCGAAATGATGGGGTTGAACAACAGACGATGGTTTCGTTCGTAACGGCGGCTCTAGCGCACCAGGGAGATTTGATGAATCCACGTTGTTCGAATTGCAAGGTCGCCACACGTGCGTACTCATTGGACCGAAGCCCGACAAAGTACCGGCATAGAGCCCGCAGTAGGACGAGATACTTGGGCAAATCGTATTCGACAAAGGCCAAAGCCGGTAGTGGATAGCGGGCGCCGGGGTGGGCATAGCCACCAGAGGTCGTAAGGAGGATCCCGTCTAGTTCACGGCCTGGGCTGAGTAGCGTCTACCTCGTTTGATTATGGTTCGTGGGGATGACTCTGTATCGACTCCGGTACCCAGTACCTGGGTTGATGCGGTTCTAGGCCGTCGCCCTTGAAGCCCTGGAGCCTGTGCCGTGCCATCATCGATCCCCATCACCAGCCACAGGCGCTGCGACGCGCCAGCCTTTTCGCTTTCCCCCAGTACAATCTGATGTATTTTGTAGCGCATAACGCTGGGCAAGTGGTAAGAGCCAGTGCAAGAGCACCATCTCCTGCCTCAAAAGTGCCACCAGCGGTTCACGCCTTCCTCCTCTCCGCATCTCCGCATCCTCGCCAGATCGCAACAAATCTCTGATTGCGGCGCTTTTGTTTGATTCTTCTGTAATAACACATCAATATTATTTGTCGGCGTCTTCTATTCATTTTCAGTTTCTCGGCTGTTTTCTCCCGTGTAGCCCTTGCCGACGACTTACTCCGCTCGAACTGATATTTTCGCAAAATCGCAAATAAATCAAGTTACTCGTCTTGTTTCTGTATCATCTGCGGGCTTCAAAAGGACGGCGAGCAGCTGGCCACAGTATCACTCCTACCAGCTGTACGCTTGGAGGAGGGAGCAATTCCCATCTGACGGTCCTCTGCAGCTCTTTTTCCAAGCTCGAAGAAGCATGCTTAGAGCTTAGGTCCAGACAGTAGGAACGCTTTCGCATCCTGTCCCAAGACACAATGGAGGGCTCGCACAACCAAGTGAGGCGAGCTCAGACTTCTCTGTACGAGCAAGCTCCCAATTTCCTCGCATCGCAGCTTTCAAAACTGACCCTTCGTCTTCCTCCTCTAGAAACCAAGACTCTCAGTCAACAAGCTACCAGGTCAATGTTAAGCGCAACAAGACACGAAAATGGGTTGAGGCCAAGGTCCAAAACTATGACGGCGACGACTGGGGAGCTGACGAGTACGACGAAGAGTCTGATCACGACGAGTCGGCCACGCCTCCGCCCATCAACCCCTCGCTGCGCACCTTTACCGGCACCGACCTGCTACACTCTCGCCACAACACGCCCAGCCCGGCCTCGAGCTTGAGTGCGCTGCCGTCGCTGCGATCCCAGGTTCCGCAGCCTCCCGCCGTGCCACCCAGCGAGTCTCCGCGCATTGCAGTGGCGTCGCCTGATGTGTCGGACCTATCGATCCGCAGCGCCTCGGACTCGATTGCCAACGACCATGTGGTATCACCCCAGTCTGTGCCGGCGCGCGACGACGGCAACGGCAGCAATCAGTCGTTGGCCGGCATAGCTCAGCTGCCCTCGCAGGCCCAACAGCTTCAGCAAGGCCCAAGCGGCTTCAACGTGTCGCGCACTTCCAGCTTTGAACAGGCCGTGAAGCCCTCGTCCACTCCTCCCGTTGCTGGTGATCGTTTCATGACGCCGCCGCAGAATCCCGCCACATCCCCACCGCCCGCAGACCAACCGCCTCCCGTCATCTATTCCCCCGATAACTACAGTCGTCTTGCGGACGATAGTGAAGACCAGGCGGCTTTAGCGCTTGCTCCGACTGCCACCGCTGGAAGCGATCAAGGTGCATTTGTGCCGGCACCTTTGGCTAGAGAAGATACACGTGATACCTGGGAAAGAGACGAGGAGCCTTCATCTTATGCTGACCAGCCCGGCGGCCTGGGAATCCATCCAGACGTTGTTGAGTCTCAAATTGACCGTGGGCGAATGTCTGTCAGCCCCAAGCTGCCGGACCTTTCACGTATGTCTGCCTTTGGAACAGACCTCTTCTCATCGTCTACGAGCAACAATATTCCAAAAGAACCCGTTATTAATGAAGTGCGCGGGGATACAGGTGAAGAACCGACTGCCAGCTCAGCAGCTGCCCTTCCAGCCATTGACTACAATCAAACCAGTCTATCGGCTGAAGGCCAAGACCATTCAGAGATAGCGGGCGGTGCGCCTTTCTCTCAATCCGCCGATCTATTTCCCGGCAGAAATATTCCTTCTGTCCCCCCTTTGCGAACGCCTAGCCCCCACGAGCCACGAACCGCCGGTCCCATGTTTGACTCACAAGGCACGAAAATCACTCCTACAGAGCCTCTTCAGCCGGGCAGGACAGCATCTTTGGCAGAGGTTGAGAATCCTCAGCTGTTCCAAACAATGCAGGCTTACAGCGCCAGCACATCGTCTCCCGTTAAAGATAGCCCCCTGAAAGAGAACGACGTGCTTAGTGATGAGATCATGCGGACTCTCAGCCCTTCGGGTGTAATTGCTGCTGAAGCCAAGCCCTTTAGCGATGGCCCTCAGCTGCATCCAGCGGGAGATGGAAGTGCCGTCAGAGAGAGCAGCTACACTCTTGGAGATTACGATAGCTACTGGGCAGATGCTGCAGGAAGCGTAGATGAGGCGCCGGCACCGCCATCTGAGACTCTCGCCACTCCACAGCCGCCTCAGCAATCGGCACAGGAACAGCAGCAAGGAGAGGGAGCAGAGGAATCACTGGAGCCTCATTCTTCACTCAGACGGAGGTTTTCTTGGGAGGACGAGCAGCGCACTCCAACCAACCAGGCGCAGACTCCCACTCCCCTTGCAGCCCCGCCAACAGACGATGGATCTTCTGCTCCTGCGCTTCACCTTACTGCGCCGTCTGGCCAGCAACTTGAGCCATCCGTGACGAACCTGAGTAACGAGTCTCGTAGCCATAGCCCTGTATCCCAGCTGTCGCAGGCACTGCCGGCGGGATCGGGCGTGGGTGCACCGCTGTCGCTTCAGACATCCCTCCCGGGGCAGGACTCGTCACTTCCAGAGCCTCCCTCTCCGGTGTCTGTGTCTGTCCTCAGTGACAAGCCTTCTACCACGGCCCATGAACAGGCGCGCCAATCCATTGTGGATGAAAAGCCTTTGGCGGACCGGGGATCCGTCAGTCTGGAGACGGGAACTCCACCTCCTGCAGAATCTCACCCGGCCGTATCTTCACCGACTTCTGCAGCGTCGGTACCCGCTCCACAGACCCCTGTTCACAATGCGGCACTCCTCCAGGCCAAAGCAATGAATTTCAAGGACATCATGGCATTGTCGACGCCTGTGGAGAGGATAGGCAAGTATGGCGAAGCGCGCCAGATCTTGGCTGCCAGAGACTCTGGCCTGGACACTTGGCTGGTGCACATGACGGCCGAGCATCCCGATCTCCCGGCCTCCAAGTCTGTTCCGGGCCTGACGTCTCCGTTGACTAACAATGCTGCTCTGCCGGCGGGATCCCAGGCCTCCGGTCAACAGCCCTATTACCAGCAGTCGCCGAGCACAGCCGGGCCCCAGAGCGGCGGCGGAGGTGGCGGCGCTCGCTCCAGGTTGGGTGGATTGTCGATGCCATCTCAGATGTCCGGCAGCGCGCTGAGCCACTCGGGCAAAGAGATTGGCAACAAGAGCAAGGAGTTCATGCATTCAGCTGGAAAGATGGGCAAGGGACTGTTGAGCAAGGGCAAAAGCAAGCTGCGCGGAAGCGGGGACAAGGTATTTCATTGATTGATTTTTCTCTCTTAAGACCCTACTCGCAGTGAGTGGGCCCGATCTATCGTCTTTCCTCTTCATTTTCTTCCCTTGACAGGAATAATATTCTTCTTCTCACTCTCACTCACGTCTGCCACTCTCTCTTACTGCTTTCTGGATACAATGTCGGCTATCTTGAATGATGCTCTGAGACTAGAATTCTTTGTATCCGCCCTTCCCGTTATATATGGGGCTAGAAAAAGACAAACAATTGGGGGCATCATGATGTGTGAATCGTGGGCAAATGAGATAGGAATATCACGGCAAATGATCATTTGCCTCCTTTTTTTTTCTTCTTATACCGAAAGCAGCAGCTTCTTCTTCACACCAACATTCCCCATAGAATTCTCCTCCCCGTCACACCCTCCCGCCACTCCCCACATGAACAGCCCTGTTTCGACTTCTCATAGTGTGGTGAATGAAGTATTAATGTTTTCTTTTCTTCTCTACAGGCCGATACTACCGTTCCTCCGGACCATCCCGTCCCCCACAAACCGCATCGACGCTCGACATGGCGCTTCAGCCTCGAGCCAAGACCGCAGGACGATCCCGCCCCACATACCAGCAGCGTCGAGATTAAAGAGACGACTCCGCCACAGCTGCCCGACCCGTCCCCGATCTCACCCTTGAACGCCGCATCGGGGCCTGGATCGGCCTTTCCGTGGGCCGTCGACAACGACATCCAGCACCAGGACGTGTCGCCCGTCAAAGAATCCATCGACGACGACGAACACGTCAGACTGGGCGAATTAGTAATCGCCAGTTCCTTCCTGCCCGGGGCTTATGCGTCAGCAGAGCACGAGGCAGGCGCAGGCTTCTTCCCCGCCGGCCAGCCGGGGGCGTCGGACGTGAACTTGGACATGGTGACACCGGACGACTGGGTCATGGTGCAACACCAAGGCGAGCAGAGCCAGGCCCAGCGAATGTCCATGTCGCACCGAGCAATGGCGACGCAGGCGGCCGCGGGTCCTGGAGCTGGAGCTGGAGCTGGAGCTGGAGCTGCTGTCGGAGCTGCTGTCGGGGCTGCAGCCGGAGCTAATGCGCCCCAACATCAAGCCTGGCAGCCACCAACCCAATCCCAAACTCAAAACCAGCCCCAGAGCGGCCCGGATACGCCCCAGCGCAACTCGTCCTTCATCGGCCTGCCGCCCATCAGGCGAGGCTCGACGTTTGGCCCCAAGCCCAAGGCTCGACGGGCCACGGAGCGCTTCTCTCTGGACGAGGAGGATGACGACGACAACAATAACGCCGACGACGCCAATGGCTGGGCTGTTGCCGGCACCGACGGCAACAATGGCGTAGGTCCTGGCGGCTTCGACAGGCCGGTAGCAGCTTCTACAGACGCCTTGATCAATACGAACAAAGCCCTTCCCCCTCAGCCAATGCAAGGGGTACCGCTGCCGACGGCAGTCAACTTTAGTCAGGGGCAGCCCCCTAATGCGGGTCACCAGTATCAGCAACCACAGCAGCAACAATATCCTGGAGGACCTCATCCTCAATTCGCCCAGGGCGGCCCCCAAAATGTGCCTTCGGGAATGCCTGCGCCGATATTGAGTAGCTTAGTCCAAAAACCTCCGCCATCAGGTTGGGTACTGGAAGAAAGCCATCTAGCTGCGCCACTTCAAGTCACCAAGAAGCGTTCTGGCACAGATATTGCACAGCAGTTTGCCTACAGCGCATACGATAAAGAGCTTGGTCTAGAATACCCAGCTCCTCCAATGCCTCCTACTCAGGCCCCTCTAGGGCGATTCAGGAGCGATGTGCCTCCGTCATCTGCTCGGCGCTATCCAGACTTGTTTTCTCTCTCTCCCGCGCAAGACCCGCGGCAGCAGCACGTTCGAGGCCAAGGAATTCCCCCTCCCCAGATGCAACAAGGCCGCCCGCCTAGAGACGGAGCAGCTGGCCCACGACAGCAACAACAACAACAACAACAACAACAACAACAACAACAGATGCAGCAGCAGGGTGGACCAGACAGCCCCGCGAGTGGTGTGACAACTGATGACCGTGGCCGTAGGAGGAATTCTGGCATATTCAGAGACATTGGAACACGACTTGCGAGAGCCACCTCAAGAGAACGCCGAAGCTCTGTTTCAGACGCTAGACCGCGAGGAGACGAAATGTCCGAAGCCAGCGTGGCAACGGAAGACGCCTCGGATCGAAAGAAAAAGCGAGCCAGCTTTTTCGGACTCGCTGGCCGCCCTATATCGGCAGATCAGGCTCCTCGAAATCAAGCTGGAGGTGTGGAGGTGCCCACTGACTCTCACGAAGAGCGGAAGCGCTCTCTGTTCAGTGGCAAGATTGGCCCTGGTAATTTTTCTCGCTCGTCTACCTCAAATTCCGCGTTTGAGCAAGCTGCTGGTCCTGGTAGCGAAGCAAATCCTCAAAAGAGGAGGATATCCGATATCGCCAAGGTATCCGGCATTGTTGGCCTGTTTGGTCGCTCCCGTCAAGATCGAGATCGGACTTCAATGGGCCCAATGCCCACGTCCCAACAGAGCGATGACCAAAGACAGGTCTCTCAAGCGACGATCCAGGCACCACCTATGCAACTGCCGTCTTTGGACTTTGCATCTGACCCGCTGGATTCAATGTCTAGCTTAGGATTCGAGGAATCACTCCAAGATTACCGCCAGGAAGAGCAGCCTCCTCAGAAGCATCTTACTGACTCTCACCTTCACTCTGCTCCTCTTGACAACTCTATCAATTTTCAAGCCAGAGCAGTCTCTCCGCTGTCCAATATTGTGAGCACCCAAGAAGAGGCAGTTCCTGCAGCGGTGGCATCGCCTCCGATTAATCAATTAGCACAAGGAATGGGTCAGGACAATTCTCAAGTCGGCCAAGATCTTGCGGGCGGCGAGGGTTTGGAAGCGCCGCTTGGGCTCAAAGCCGATTCGACGACGGACGAAAAGACTCCCAAGCTTCAGGATTTCATGTTCCAAGAAAAGATGGCCGCTCTTCAACTCAAGGGATTGGACGATGACGTGAGCGAAGAAGAGATTTCACGATCACAAACAGTGTCTCCAGACATTTCCATATCGTCCAACCTCAAGGCGGAGGAGCATATCCTGGAGCGAAATGAGATTTTAGTTACGCCGCCTCCTGAGGCGTCTCTTCCTGCACCTGCACCTGCTGATTTTGATGCTATCAATCAGTCTGCTGCTACAAAGGATCTACCTCCATCGATCCATTCTTTCCCATCCGTCTCTTCGCTTCGTGAAAAGTCGGATGCCAAGTCTGTTCAGCAGGAAGAATTCTCTTTGCACCAAGCCAAAGAAGAGGAAGCGGCAATTTCTCGTGAGGCCTCGCCACAGATGACAAAGTCGGAGGTATCTAGCAAAGCTGTAACGCCGGCGTCTGAGCACCAGCAGCTGCACTCGCCAGCTTTGGCCGTTGTGAAGCTGCCAGAGGCGCAGAATGCCGATCCTCTAGCCACTCTCCAGTCTCAGGTTCGGCCTGAATCCCAGCAAAGTCCGGAGACTCAACAGAGATCCGAGCCTCAGCAAGGACCTGAGCCTCAACAGGGATCTGAAACTCAGCAGCGACCTATATCTCAGCAACGACTTGAGTCTGAGCAACAGCTTATATCTCAGCAGCGGCCGACATCTCAGCAGCGACTTGAACCTGAGCAACGTCCCGAGCCTCAACAACGACCCGAATCTCAGCAACGGCCTATAATTCAGCAGCGGCTTCCACTGGCATCAAACCAGAGACAGCAATTTCAGGATTTCTCTCAGCTATCAACTGTTCCCATTGATAAAAACCAACCAGCGCTGCAGCAGCGGTCTCAATATCCGCCCTCCGTGAGCGTTTCCAATGCCTCTGTCGCTTCAGAGGCGTCGACCCCAGTCTACAGCCACCGGCAATCTGGATCACAAAATCTCTTCTCAGGACTTCCTGTTCTATCTGGGCGAGCATTTACTCAACCCCCAGATGGTTCACCTCAACAGAAAGAAAACCAGGGATCGCGATGGAAGGGATTTAGGAACCGAGTGACGGAGCAAATTTCCCAAAAGGCGCAGCCGCAGCAACAGCAGCCGCCTCAGTTGCAGCAGCAACAGAGCCAGGGCAAGACTCCAGTGGGAGAGAAGATCAAGGCCAATAAGCTGCTGGGAGCTCTCAGACGAACCTCGAAGCAGCAAGAGCTTGTCCAAACTCAAGGCCCCGAGCCGTCTCCCAGCGCTAGACAGCTTCCACACCCGAACCCAAACCCACAGCCTCGTCCGCAGGGATATCAGCCGCAGCCTGGACAAGTGCAGAGGCAGGGGCAGGGGCAACGGCCTGTTGTAAATCAATACTCGCAGCCGTCTATGCAACAACCTATGCAGCAACCTATGCAGCCACCCAATCTTCCCCGAGCAAAGACTATGCCCCCTGGGGCTCTGCAGCAACAGGGCGCGCCGCCGCAAGGCCAAACTCGTTCATCAGAGCCGCGTTATGAAAGCGTCCCGATTCCCAGAGGCTATGCAGCGGTGCACGGCGAGGGTAGAATCGTGCTGTCACCATATCAACCAAATCCTCGTCAACAGATGTCACATGGTCAGTTTGCTCCTGTACCATCACACATGCAGCAGCAGCAGCCGCAGCCGCAGCATCTGCATCTTCACCCTCAACAACATCCGCAACAACATCCGCAACAACATCCGCAACAACATCCGCAACGACAATGGCAGGGAGCTCACCCTCCACCCATGAGTTATCAGCATCAGCATCATCAGCCTCAGCCGGCCCAATATCACGGAGCCCAGCAGTCACCTCCAATGGTTCAAGGCCCGGTTTCGGCACCTTTGCCTCATGAGAGATCTTTGCATATGAGATTTCCATCCGATCCTCGATCTGACTACTTTAACTCTCAGAGCCCCAGCTCGCTGAATGCGCAGCACAATAGGCATCATTCTCAAAGCAGCCAGAATAGCAGAGCTGGACTGCCGCGACCATCCAGTGATTTGGGTGGCAATCTGGCAAAATCGCAATCGGCCAGCCCGAAGCCGTCTGAAAGAGAAAACCTACCTGTCGCGAATGGTCTCCGATCTGCCTCACGAAGTCCAGCTGTGTCGGTTGGGGCCGATCAGAAGCCAAATTTGAATGAAACAAAATCAGACAAGGCTGACGAATCGACTCGAGCTTCAAGCCTCGGCATCGATATAGAAAAGGCTCAACAGCTGGAAGAGGACGATCTTTATTCTGCTACGCCTAGAAAGCTGGAGGATGGCGTGCAACCCACTGTATCTCGAACCATGTCGAACGAGCAGGCAGAAACTTCGACAGCTGGAGCCGCACAGACAAACGTGAAGCGATCTAATACTGTGGTGGCTGAATTAGAGGACACCGAAGAAGCACGCAAGCGAGCCATTAGACTGGCATCACAAGAGGAGAAGATATTCTACGAGCCGGAGGACGAGACGCCCAAAATGAGTGCGACTAGCTATCCCGGTCAAGAATGGAACCCATTTGGCGAGCAAGAATTTGCAGACTGGAGAGAAGAATGAACCATTTAGTTTGCGGTACATACGACAAATTGCTATTTATTTTCTTTCACATTTTCTTTTCTTTTTTTTTCCCCCTTATATATTTAATCCAGCTCTGTAGTTTCTCCCCTAGAGAAGGACATATGTGTCGTTTCAGATACCCAATTCAGTTTCATTTGTACAAATGGCATGGATCAGAAAGATGGAAGAGAGAGGATCAACTTTGACGAAAGAGAGAGATTGCTTGCTACAGTGGGAAATTGATTTGCGATCATGTAGCTATACACAGATACAACTTGACTAGAACGAGCGCCTGTCAGTTGATGTAACAATATTTGTTTTAAGCATGGTTTGTTTATATTTGCTATAAGAGGCCTGTACAGGTACAAGGAAATTCCAACACAGCCATGATTACGCGATTGCTTCGAAGCCTCTTTCCAGTCAGATTGCAAGAAGAGTATCCAAAATAGAAATATTAATAATACTTGTCCCTCGCTGAAGCACCTTTCTTCCAATGCTTCATTAATCTCTGCCTCTCTCCTTTCTTCATTAGTGAGCAAAGTACTCCGTAGGCTGTTGATATTCACATGGCTCGTCGCGGTGTCCATTTAGTAATCCTGCCCTGCCTTAGGTAACGTAGCGGCTCTTCCGGCGATGGAGATGAAACGATGACGGAATCGGTCGGTTTAGCAAGGCTAGCACAAGCCTCACGTCACGAAAAGAGAAACAGTCATCAAGTGTGCTCCGCATGAGGTACGGAAATGGTAATATAATTTGGGGACTAGACTGGTTTGCGCTCAATCTTCGTTTTTGGCTGCATGGAGTTTAATGCCTTTTCTCTTCTCCCCTCTCCCTAAACGCTGAGGATACGCTTGTATACAGTAAAGCGAGTAGATGGCTACGATGACGCGTTTACACTACGTTGAGTCTATTCTGTACCTGTCTGCTGTGCGAAATATCACCCTCCAGGTACTTTTTAAGTAGAACTGGGGAACATCGCTTTTTGGCTGTGCCTGTCCGTTGAAGTTCTTGAAAGCGACTAGCTTGGACGCAAGGTAGGCGATTGGGAGCTGCTCTTTCTTGCAACTTGTACGGGTAATGAACGCGTTGTTTGACGAACTGGTGTTAGCAATAGTCTGCCCCATATATCTCAATGCAGAGGACATCTGATGGGATTTTGGTTACGAGCGCTCGTATGCAATGGATTGGCAAGTGTGATACGAGGCCGCAGAGATGGGGCGCGCGCAAATTGTGCCTGATGATCCTCGTCAGTTTCAGGTAGTGGATTTGCAAATGGCGTAGTAGATAGAGCAGTGAGAGTAAGAATCGCCCTAAACAAGGCACTCGTTCACTCGGCAGTTTTTTTTCTTTCTCCCCTTGGAAATACGAGCGATAGGCAGTGATACCACCTGCTGCTAGCGGATGAATGAACGGGATACGGGAGGATTTTGCGGAGTATAGCAGGTGGCTCTATCGATGGATTTGCTTCGTAGATGCATTGGACTTTTGCTCTTCTGAGGGGGGGCCAATAGTTGGGCCTGTGGCGAGGGCGCGGGGGCCAGCTATTGATTGATGCTTGTGATAGGTAGGTATTGATCGATGTGACGAAGATGGTGATTCGAAATCAATTGGCCGGGTTGGTGATGTGATGGTGATTTGTTGGCAGACAAAACGTGTTAAGTGTTGTTTCATGCGCTGTTCTTGTCTTTTGTTGTGCTCACAGACTCCAAGCAAGGAGTAGTAGTAGGTCTCCAAGAAAGCCTCGGAAATAGATTGAAAGGCTCAATTGGCTCTTTTATCAAAAGCGAGGATGAGGATCCATACAAAGAGGCCAAAGATGCTGCTGCTGACTGGCATGGAGGCGAGAGGCTAACGGCACAGGCTACATGCTATGGATCACTCTAGGCGCTCCAAGCAGCGAGATACCCCTGCATCTGAGAACACCTGACGCGCCTTTGCAGGGCCTGGATGCGCTGTAGGCGCTGTAGGGGCAGCAAGGCAGCTGGGCCGTTTTCTGCACGGCGATGGAGCCTCGTCCCTGGTACGAGGCCCGGAGTTTAGACATGTATCGAGCAGCTGCATGCGAGCGAGAGGCTCCTGGTTTAATGGCTGCAGGTGAGGAACCTTCTTGTGCAGTAGCACGGCGCAGAACCTTTGTAGTATCGGAAGAAGGCACAGCAAATGTCACCCAGGTGGTAGCCGTCGTTGCTTTTCCGAATAGTATTTCAAATTGGGAGAATACGACAATGCGTACATTCGTCGGGAGGTAGCTGAGCTGGTTTCTCTTCCAACGATGCCGGCTATTGGGAGCTCTGGCCTCTTTAGCCGCCAGAATAATCAATCATTAACGGTGACATGCAAAATCGAAAAATGGAAATAGGAAAATAAAAAGGATCGAGACCAGCGCCAGGACACCGCGCACTGACCGGGTACAGGATACATGCGCATTTAAAGATCGCTGCCGCCTAAAGGCAAGATACCAGATACCTACAAGATGCTACCCCAAGTACCCAGTACGGGCCCTTGCGTGTTGATGATAGCGTCGCAGCGTCAGGCCTCCGTCATTCATTGGCTGAGTTTGCATGCAGCACTGTGCTTTGGTTGGCCGTGATGCAGCTGTTGCTTCGGATCTTGGGCAACAGAAGAACCGAGCACTCAGGAAAGTGCCTGCTTGACAAAGTGTCTTAGAATCGAGACCGAGCTGAGAAACAAGAGTCTAGAGAGTCAGGTCAAGTGAGAAGAAAAAAAAGTCTCAGCCGCTGGAAACGCTGCGTTGCCGCCTCCAGGAAAAAAAAGTATTGCCTAATCAGGGTTAGGGTTATTGGACGGGCAGCAGCGAAAAGGCGCTAGCGGCTGCAGGTACCTTTGGATGTCACTCCTGCTCCTTCCTCAGGTATCGGCCATCACCAACTGCTCTTTTTCTTCTTTACGCTGGCGATGGCTTCATGTTGTGGAATTCCAGCCACTGTACGACATATACCACTAACAGCATCCATACAATATATACATGCGCCTTTACAGCTGTCACGTCACAGGCCACAAAAGCTGGGGGCCCTGCTCCAGCCGCGATCCCTTGACTCGCCTTTTTGTTCCACCTGCCCCGGCTATCTATGTACGACGCCCATCCATGTGCCTCGTGGAGCTGTGCTGCTGCATCCAGTTCTCCACCGGCTAGGCCAAAAGTGCCCTTGGCGATACAAGAACCGCGCAGGGCAAAGAGGTTAGAGAGAGGCCAACCAAGTTTCAGTGACGAGGGAGCCTCCAGATCGGCTGGGCCGCCTGATTCCATTTGACGTAGTACGTATGCACGAGCATGGCATCAACCAACCCGTTCGATTCATACCAAGCCAGCCAAGCCAGCCATCATCCTCATGGCAGACTACTGACTGCTTCACGCCTTTGTCCCCAGCTAACTAACGAGTCACCTTGGTCAATACCAGAACTACAGTGTTGTTTGGTCAAATCTCCCCTCTCCATCTCACATCATCAGCACCCCAGTTCCCTCTCCTCACTTTCGGCACGGCATCAACAGACACGCAAGAGAGTCGAGCCGGGGCATCGAATTCTGCCGAGTGACGCTCCGCCACCAGGCCTGGCCCAGAGCCCGCTCCAGTGGGTGAAAACGAGGCTTGAGCGTGGCGCTGCCGCTCTCCTTGCTTCTCGACTGGCACCATCGCAGGAGCTAGCACCTTGCTTGTACTTCTCCAGACTAGGTACGGCTAGTACCTGCAAAGTAGCCCAGTGCGGCTTGCGCGAGAAGGCCAAGTTTGGGGCCGTCTTTTTGCCTCCCGCGCAAGGAAAAAGACGCCATTTGACAACGGGCAGAGCAAAGCAGAGGCTATTCGTCGCCCGCTTCCCTCCCTCATAGGCCAAGCACACGGCACCCCTCACAAGAGACTTGCCTATACGCTTCCCATCCCATCCAGCTATCAATCAATAGTCGATCTTACTCCTCCCATCTACCATTACTCCTCCTCCTCCTACACCACGATCCGAGTGCGGCTCAACAAATCCAGTATCAACCTCTCGCGATACAGCAAACAAAGACCTCGCTCAGCAAATATCAAAGACGCGGCGACAAGGACGAGAAACGTTGCAGCTGCAGCAAGCAAACGGCGGCGTCGTACTCGTATACGCGCCCTAGACCCTTTTTTCGGCACCCTTTCCCTCGCCCGTTTTTTATTGCACATCCTTGGCTTGTGCGCTGCCAAATCTTCTCTACCGTGTGCCGCGCTTCCTTTTTCCGACCGACCTCCTTTATTACCAGCTCCGTAGTCCGGCATCCGACAACGCCGTCTTAGCTCTCTTTGTTCCTGGATTTTTTTTCTTTCTGGTTTTCCCAGTCTCAGAATCCCTCCGTCACTCTCTGTTCGACGCTCTGTTAGGTCTCTCTATCAGATCAGCCTCTCGCTTTCCAGTTTTTCCCCATTCGGGTATCCGCAAAATCGTTCTGCGCGCGTTCAGCGCCACATACGCTTGGCGCCCTCTTCCCTGCGAACTTTCTTTGTCTTCCCTTTTAGCACTCCTTTTGGCTTCTTTTTCTTTTCGATACCTGCATAGTACGTCCTTTTACTTTCAGGACTACTACTAGTACACTTATTCGCCATACGATACTTCGCAACCCTTACAGCTTTTTATTTAATCCCGATTGCGGCCAGCGGCAAGCCAGTGCTGGACTCTTCGCTTGCTGCTTTCTCAGCCGTACTCTACTTTACTTTTACTTCTTTATTTCCCAACTCCTCCTCAACATCCTCCAACACCTAACCTCCCTTCCACCATCCTCTACCAGAGGGCATTTGGAGTTTCTCTTTCATTCTCTTCTGCGATCAGGCGACAGCGACGACAAATCGAACCCGCATACGGAAAACACCGACAGCGATTTACACCAGTGACGGCATCGCTCGCAAAGTAGCGGCGATTGAGTGAGGAAAAGGAACCACCCGGCTCACTCAGCCTTTGCTTCGAGGAAGCTGCAACTATGGATTCGTACGTCATACCTGCATGCATGTTCCCTCTTTCCCGCACCTCCACTCTTGTTCCCGCCTGCGTCGCTTGATTCCGACGTCCCGGCCGGTATCTGAATTTAATTTTTATTTCCTCTTTTTTGAGTTTGATTTCATTTCACTTTATTATGCTTTCACATTCCCACCGCGTCCTGAATCTTGAGCTTATCTCGCCTGCGCTTCGGCGGCACAAATGACTCGTCCATAAGGCAACGCGAAGAAACCATGGAGTCGCCCACTAACTTATCCTTCAGCTTTATCCACGTCGCCGGCTGGTCACAGCATTTTCCTTCCTCAGCCCGATCTCTCAGCCATCTGCGGTCAATATCAACAACGCCCGGATCTGTCGACGATTCGTCGTCATCATACAGGCCTCGCCCACCGCCTAAATCACCCTCAGTTTCGCAGCTGCCCATCATCTCACTCGCGTCAAAAGCTTCATCCTACTTCTCCAGCAGCGAGATGAGCACCCTACCCGATCCCCGAATGCGAACCGCCAGCTCGTCCATCAACGGAGCCAGGCCTTCGACTTCCCACTTGGGCATCGGTCACGACAACGACGATAGCTTCTCCACTACCTCCCAGCATCCCGGCCTCAGCGACGAAGTTGCCACGCTCAGCACGAAACTCATCCACGCCATCAACCATTCAACTACGCTTGATGACACATTATCAGCAACCCGCCATGATCTGGACACTGCCCACGGGCGCATTCGCGAACTGGAGGCTCAGGTGGCCTCTCAGCGCGAAATGATGGCCGGGGATGTCTGGATTCGCAAAACTACGTTGGAGAGTGAACGCAGGGACTGGCTTGCCGAGAAGAAAGTCCTCCAACAGAAGCTTTCTGAAGAGACCAAGGGCCGGTTAGATACAGAAAAGGAGAAGCGAAAGATTGAGCAAGAGCTAGAAAACCTCACAACAGCCCTTTTCGAAGAGGCAAACAAAATGGTCATTACCGTCAAGGAAGACGCTCAATTTCAGCAAAACATGCTACAGAAGAAGAACGACCAGCTCAAGTCTCAGCTCACCGATTCCGAGAGCCTTCTAAAGTCGCAACAGGAGCAGCTATCTGAGCTGAAGCAGGTCATGGAGGCCATGATGATGGAACGTGACGACCAGACCAACAACACGACGCCCTCCACTCCCGGCTTCGAGTCCAAGGACGAAGACCACATGATCCCCGACAAACCGACACCATCTCCTGCTAGACACTCTACTGATGTTCAACATTCACCGGCCCCTCCGACCAGCTACATCCATCTGATTCAGCCAGTCATGCGAACCGATCTCGCCGCATATGAAGACTTCGTTGCACTTGCTCACCTTACTCGTCCGCGTCCGGGAAACCGCACTTCTGGTGGCTCTGTTGGCGGCCTCATTGGACTTGGCGGCTCGACTTCTAGCGTGCATGTTTCCAACGGGTCTACCTCATCATTGGGTGGCTTTTCAAGCAACAACAATAGCACCCCGCAATCTCCCAATGCGAATAACTCGACGAATACAACGATCCCTCATCTCAAGGAAACCCGCTTCTACAAGCGCACCTTGACCGAAGATATCGAGCCAACACTGCGCCTCGATGCCGCACCGGGACTGTCATGGCTAGCCCGTCGTACTGTCCTGGCCGCCGTGGCCGATGGTTCGCTGGTAGTAGAGCCTATCCCAGTGCCGTCAACGACATCAAGCTTCCTTCCTGTTCCCAAACCACAGTTTTACCCTTGTGCGCTATGCGGCGAGTCTCGCAAGGATGCAGAGCACCTGCGCAACTACCGTTTCCGGGTGAGCGAAGCTGATTCTGCTCAACGGTATCCTCTTTGCAGCTACTGCACCGTTCGTGTACGATCCACCTGCCAGTTTCTGGGATTCCTTCGCATGATCAAGGATGGACATTGGCGAGCTGATGACGAGGAGAACGAGAGGGCGGCGTGGGAAGAAAGCGTGCGTTTGAGAGAGCAGATGTTCTGGTCACGCCTTGGAGGCGGCGTTGTCCCGGTCCCCCACGGAGAGGTACATGTAGAAGCATCTCATAGCCGTCATCCAAGCATGGCTCAGATTATCGACACTCCCGCCAAGGTGCCAACGGAGATTGATGCTCTCCAGGAGATTGATGCTCCCAAGGAGGTTGATGCTTCCAAGGAGGCTGATGCTCCCAAGAAGACCGATGAGCCCAAGGAGATTGATGAGCCCGAGGAGGTTGATGAGTCCAAGGAGATTGATGATGCTCCAGAGGAAGTTGATGCATCTACCGAAAAGGGTGTGCCAATGGATGGCGGAGTGCCTTTAGAAAAGGAAGAGGACGCATCAGTTGCCGATACGAGCTTCGATACAGCTCCTCCTTCCGAGGTCGATGACGATGGCAGCGAATTCGAGCCGGTTGGCCGTGAGTCTACCGACGAGCCTCACACGCCCCAGGACCAGGAGGACGGAACCAAACCGCTCCGCTACTCGGTGCAATCCTTGACTCTGGAGACTATGAGCAGCTCGGGGTCTGAGGCTACCAAGCGTCTTTCTACGACCACCATCATCGAGAACTAGAAGGCAAAGACGAAAACGAAACTACGATACACAAGGCGGCTTCTGAGAGATTCATTCCCCCAATTTTTTAAATTACATCTTTTAATACTTCTTCGTGGCCCCTTTTGGCTATTAATGTATATTGTGTATAATAATCAACGACGAGGTGGCAATACGGCCCTGCACCAACAAGTCCGACGATTTGAACGGGATAGGCGGGGCAGATGAGGGGAACAGCTAGATTGGCGAGCATATTTTGGTTTATGGCTGGAAGCAAACGATTTCAATGCTGAGAAGGGAACAAAAGAAAACCATTGCTCAAAGGTTGACGGCGTTTTTGGTTTGGACACGATGGATACAGGGCATTTTGGAACAACCAGCAGAAATGGGCTGTCAAAGCATCATTAAGGCGGGACTTGATTCTTCGTTGTTCTATTTTTCTTTCTTTTCTTTTCTTTTCTTCCAAATATTTCTTTGTCTGGCTCTGGATTGGCCCTTTTCTCAGTTTTGCAGCTCTATTTTTTCTTTTTTATATTTCTTGACAGTCTTTTTCTTTACCGGTTGACTTTATTGCTTTTAACTGAAATCATATTCGAGCGGGCGCACCATGGAAAACATTTTGGGAATGCGCATGTTTGGGCAGCTTGCCGATTCATTTGCAATTTACTAGAACAAGGGCCAGGAAGGATTTGTTTCGTTCTCAGACGAAGAAGGGGGATTGCCGTTGATAGCGGCGTCTTTGCGATAACACATATACCTAATGAGATAGATGTATTAGAATTAAACATGGTATCTTGATGCTTCTTGCTCATCTTTGATGTTTCTGCTGCTTAAAAATGAAATTGTGACGGGAGGCGACGACATAGCATGTCCACTCTTCGCTGTTATTGTTACTTCAAAGTCTCGACAACGTTGGAGACGTCATATCCACTCTTCGCTACTGCTGTTACTTCAAAAAATCAAGAATGTTAGAGACAACGGTGTCGGGAACCTGTTCTGGAATATAATGTCCAGCGTCAATGTGCTCGACCTCAACCGGCACGCCATCCGCAGTGACGTTTCGCCATTCCTTTTCCACATCAAACAGACGGCTGACAACGCCCTTCTTGCCCACCAGGACTCTGATGGGCGATTGAATTAGCCTTCCTTTATCGAGATCCTCTCTCGCCTCATCGAGGTCGTGTGTGGCACTCGCACGGTAGTCCTGGCACGTAGCGTGGACATAGTCCTTATCCTCCATGCATTTGACGTACTCTTCCAGAGCGTCTTTGTGGAAGATTGGATGCTTCCCGACTCCCAGGAACATCTCGATGAGCTGGCGCGGAGCCCCATTGATAAGCGTCTCAGGAAGAGGATATGGCTGGATGAGGAAATACCAATGGAAGTAGGCTTTGGGAAATTCGGGATCTGGCGAGTTGTACATGGCCAGGGTGGGACATATATCAAGGAGAATGGCCTTGCGAACACGGGTAGGATGATCAACGAGAAGCTTGTGAGCGACACGGGCTCCACGATCATGAGCGCAGACATAAAATGGTCGGTTGGCATATCCGAGGCTGTCCATGACTGCAATGCAATCTTGGGCCATGTGACTCTTGGCGTAGAGCTCCGTGTTGTTGGCGGGCTTGGAAGAAGCACCGTAGCCGCGAAGATCCATGATAACAACAGAGTAATGGGAAGTCAGTTTGGGGGCGATAAGATGCCAAATAATGTGCGATTCTGGGTATCCATGGAGCAGGAGAAGAGGGGGAAGCGATGAAGACGAGTCGGACGATTTGATGCCGTAGATTGAAACGGGAGGAGAGGACTGTGTTTGAACCGTAAATGGCGTAAAAGAAGAGGGAAAGAGAGCGATGGGAGTGGCCATTTTGGCCACAGGTGATGGATAGCAATTATGGCAGTCTTGGGTTCAAGAAAGAGGCTGATTGGGAAGAATAGTTACACATATACTGGTATTTGGGGTCACTCAAGTTGATATAGGAGGCCGCCTGATGGGCATGATATATGTAGCACATGGAGGGGCACACCCCTACAGATGGATGGAGCTGGACGCCATGAATCCACTGGATCCTGGTGCCGAGCTTGAGGAGGGGGATCAGTAGCTCAGCATAGCGCCTCAGCATAGCGTATGGAAATAGCCGTCCCATCCGTTGTCTGCACCTCTTGCATTGACGCAAAGCTTGATTTCATGGAGAACGACGGAGGCGACAATGCCGAGCCTATAAGAGAGGAGCAACAGTTAGCAGCGGTACGTAATCAGTGGGCAGATATGCATGCTGTCAGGAGATATGCAACCACTTACCTGGAGTTTTCATCGATGCAGATGGAGATTAGGAATCTGTAGTGCTTTAGTAGGCGTTGAAAAGGCGTTTTGTAGTCTCTGCGTTTATAGACAATCAATCAAGGACAAAAGAGACCCCGCGGTGGAATCTTTGCTGCAAGCATTGCGAGACTGAGACAGACAGAGTCTTCTCTGCGAATATGAGTAAAAGGCAGATGAAAGATGAAAGATGACAAGTTTGGTTTTTTTTCTTCCCTCTTCAGGCACAGTTGCCCGAGCATCTGGTCATCTTGTAGAAATTGTCGCTCCTTCCCTTATGACTTGCAGCCAAAAAGTAAAGCCACAGTCGCGATGATGTAACTCTTTCGGTGCCGGCTTCAGGCCATCGGCACATCTTTTAGCCGCCCCTCCGGGTTTCAATCCAATCGAATGCTTTTCATTCTCAACCTCAAATCTCACACCCTTCTTATCTCTTATATTCCTTCAGGAAATTAAAAGACAAAAAAGAAACGGATCCATCTCAGCTCCGCATACCGGCCCCCGCTTCACCTTCCGCGGCTGGAAATTCCAAAGACGACGAATCCGCTGACGGGGAGATCATGAGTTGAAGCAAAGAGCCCATCGTTGCAACTTTCGGCCCCACCTACGGCAAACGACTCTCATATGGCTCCGGTCCGTGGCCGCGCAGCCTGCGACGGGTGCAGATCTCGAAAGCAGAAGGTGAGGCAGCAGGGAGAAGAAGGATGGAGGTATTATTTTGAATATGGGAGTTGCTAATGCAGAATCGAAATAAACTACAGTGCGATGAGAAAAGGTACGAGTGAAGATTCTCGTTCATCAGGACGAATAATGGAGACGATGATTTCCTTATGTCACATGTCCATTCATTCATTGGCTGACCGAGATTTTCTGCAGGCCTACCTGTTCACGATGTCGTGACATGAAACGGGAATGCGTGTGGCCGAAGCTATACAAGCGGTAAGATGCAGCATTCGTCTTCTCCAGCCACCAACTCTCCTTGGGCAAAGAATCACAAACTGATCTATTGGTTGATTCTCAGCGGCCCGGCAAAGGGTTATATCGAAGCGCTCGAACAGCGTCTCGCAGTTACCGAGGCCGTGCTTCTTCAGCTGCTCCAAGTGTCAGGTGACAACGTTTTGCAAGATGCCTTCAAGCATGAACCCAGCAGAAGAACGGATGTTTCAAACATTTCATCCGCAGCAACTACAACAACTGACGCGGCAGGCCGAATAGAGGCCAAGAAGACGGGCACAATCGCCCATTGGGACAACTTTCCCCTGAATACGGCAGACGATGTGAAGCGCTGGGCAGGCGAAGTCCTCGGGCACAACACTGGTAACCAAGCTGGCAATCGTACCGGCAGCATCGCCATAAACGGCACGGCCCTTGAAGAAGCGAATCCGACGACGTCGTTTGAATCATATCCTGCCCCATCAGATCCGTTGCCAAAGAGCCTAGCCGAGGCGGGCTCGAGAGCCAGCGCCGAAGCATTTCCGCCTCGATCGTTGGAGCCGGTAGCGACAGCCCTACCAACTGCCGCAGAGTCGGTGTTGGGTTCTGGCACGATGTTTGCGAGGGATATGGCGCCACAAGGCGAAGTGTTTGACTTGTCTCAAGATTTCAGACGGCAGTTTGTATGGTAACGTAGGCAGGTGTTTGTTTTCAATAGAAATGTACCACTATTCAACCTTGTACTGCGTGGCCATCATTCATATATACAGACATGTGTGCTTTTCAGAGTGTGCGTCATCGTGCTCGTTAAATGAGACTTTTGCCAGCAACGAAATATGTACCTGTGCTTGGATAAAGTTACCTACGTAGTAATACTGCGAGTCCCATCTCCAATTTCATATTCATACCGTAATCGGTGTATCGTAGAGATGGTATGAAAAGAATAATGGTAAAAATAATACAGATAAGTAATGAAAAATCACATCACTTACACATTTAACCTGTCCTCCAAATTTTGCACATAGTTGTCCCACCCAACGTTATTAAACAGCAGCCCCGACGATTCCGGGTTCATATTCTCGCTCAAGAACCGCTCCCACTCTCCCTGCTGGGAGAACTGATCTGCGTCGAATCCGAAATCCGGTCCCGTGTACTCCAGCACAGGCTGGAAGCTCGGATAGTCCCAGAGGGTGTCGCCGCCCATGAAGGCCGTGTCTGGGCCTATGAAATGGCTGGCGGGATACCCGCTCAAGGAGTTTCCCATGAAATTATTGTTACTGCCATTATTCACGTTGGCGCCATTGTTGCTGTTGTTGTTGTTGGCATTTTGCTGCTCCACACGTCTTCGCTTGCTGCGGCTTCCCTCGAGGAGATTCTGGTATGTCGAGAATACAGGTTGGCTCCAATCAGTCAACATGCTGAGTGATGGGTCGGCCGATAGGGCTGGGTTAATCTTGTCCATGAATGGCTTCGACGTTAACCTATCGAGCAGCATCTTCAGCGTCACTCGGCAGTGATGAGCACTACTCCAGTTTCGACTCATCATACCAAGGAGCCGTATAGCGCAGTTGAGGTCCCTAATGACAATCAGAATTAGTGTAAAATAGACATAGCCATCTTTTTAGATGAGTTAATCAGCGGCAAAAGTATTAGACATACAGAACCGTCTTCTCCATTGGATAGAGCTTCAACAACCCGGCGTAGGCAATGGTCAGCCCAGCCATCCACGCCGCCGACAGCATTCCCGGCCAAGCCACCAGAGGAGAATCTCCCTGCCGTAATTTGAGCTTCTTAACGATTGCTCGGCTGGCATTCACCGCAGTTTGTAGACTAAACTGAAAATCCGTTCTGTTGGTCGGGAGCGATAAAAATGGACGATTCATGATGAGAATAAGTTGGTGATATAAAATCGCAAAGGGAGGGCCGTCATGACCCTGCGGCTCTACAAAGATGGATGTAAGCCCCTCTCCCTGGAACGAGGGCGGAAGCGTGTTCCACCAAGCATGGATCCTCGAAGTCATCTCCAGCACCTTGTCCCATGTTATAGATCGGCTGTGTATGGATTTGTGGAAGAGGTCGAGAGCCTGCCCGAGCAGTCGCGAATAGGTTACCAAGAAGCCAAGGATGGATTCGCCCAAGCTTTGTGGTCTATACACAAGTTGGTCTGTATTAAAATTGCCTTCCTGCGTTCCAACAGTGCTGCCATCAGTGAGGTCCCCGGCAGAAGACATGGATGCAAAGGTCGGATGATCCACTGGCGCGTAAGCTTGAACATCTTCTTGTGGTGGCGAGGGGCGCGACGGCGGGATATTCTGAAAGGGTTTGGCCGGATTATGGACTTCTGGCGCACCAGGCAAGCAGACATCAATCTCTTCGTCGTTGAGAGCCAAGGGGTGTCCAAGTACCTGACTCAGGTGGCGATCAATCACATACGCAGACCAAAAGATTCTCTTTCTCATGTCGCAGATGTCGCGTGGCAGCTGGACGTATCGAAAGGGGCATCTGTGCAGACCGCAGTGATATAGAATGCGTGTCATCGCTCCGTGAACTGTCGAGGCCGCTCGTAGAGACATCTGAGTCATTAGATACAATTCCACTGCCAGGAGCGCCTGTAATGAGGGGATATCATGGCCGCTGGAAAGGACGCCGAGCAGGCTCGTAAGCGCAACAGCAGATTTAATGCGAGATTCTTCGGGGAGTTCTCGCTCTTCCTTTTGATTGTGATTGGAGTCTGCAATGTTGAAGACGCACTGGAAGATGATGGCCTGGTACACCTTGTTGCGTCGGCTCATCGGCTCTGCCGGAGAACCCCCTGGCTCGTAGAACTGGTTCACCTTTTCAAAGAACGTAGGTCCATGAAGAAAAGGAAGAAATGGATGCCATCGTCTGAAGTATTCCACCAGGAGTCGCTTCGCAACGGCCGGAGGAGGAGGGATTCCTAATCCAGGAGCTGCAATGCCGTAGGATCGTGCCCCTGGGCTCTTGTTCGCATCTTCTGCGCCCACGGCACCGTCCCCCAGGCCGTCATCTCCAGCGGCCTCCTCCTGGGCCTTCTCCTCTGCCATGACATACTCATGAGCAGACCCAGGGTCTGGGGTCGCTGAGGCCCCGAGGCCATTTACATCCCCCTGAGGGCGCTTGGCTGCAGAGCCACCAGAGCCCGTCGTTGCTGTTGCAAAGGCCCGGAAGACGGTATTGGCAAAGAAGACACCGCTGGCACTTCCGATAAACTCGCTCTTATCGGGCCGTAGGGCAATAAATGAGCCGATCTCGATGGGCGGGATCTGCTGCGAGTCTGCGTCCGGAGTCTGGCACATTGTTGCCTGTCGGTTGTGAGAATTGTTCGCCGGCTGGTGTTGTGCAGATGTCTATCAATCAATCGATCGATCAATCAGCCAGTCAGCAGCCGATCAACCAATGTTCCATCAGCTTATTCAAATCGATCCAATTGAAGATGGGGAAATGACGTCTTTACGAGCCGGTTGACTGAGACTGAGAGAATCCGAGTCAATTCCACAAGTTTGAATGGCCTAGACAAAAGATGAGAGGGTCAGGTGCGTGCGGCTATACTTTCTACCGGCCAACCGAAGCGTTTAGCACTCAGGTAAGAACGTCTAAAGCATCACCAAAATCAATGCAAGGAAGTGTACTGTGTTTCTAACATGGGTAGAAGTTGCTTCTTTACTCGAAAAAATGAATTAGGATTATTGATCTTTTGTGGTTAATTGTATTTGGTTATCTGATACACCCTATAAGTTGACAGCGGCACTCGGCGTAGAAATGTGGCTTGTCATGACAAAAGACGTTACATATTTTTTGAAACAAGGAGACTATTCTGCAGAAGAATTGGTGTACATCAGACGCTACATGATAGATGGTATCATATCACTGCCTGCAACTTCTCTCTTTCTCTCTCTCTTTCTCCTTCATACTCGCTCCGATTCGATTCCCCCCCTCTCTCCTCTCCCTTTTTCTATTGCTTTTTAGAGTGCTTTTCTTCTCATACGAACCCAGATGAGTATATCTCTCCTTAACCACCCAAAGAAACTCTCCATAGCGCCTCATCATCCTTGGAGCTGTATTTCGCACCTACCTTACCGTAAGGCTGGAGTATTCGAGGGTACCTGTAAACAGACGCCACCCCCAAGATAGTTGATCTCGTAAGGATAAATAACAATGCCACGCATAATTAGAAAATATTGGTTGAGACGCCGTCTCTGAATCTTAAAATCGTTTTTTTTCCTTTTCCGCTCGTAAAATTTCAAATAGTCAATGACCCATAGTCAAACAACAACAACAACAACAACACCACTTTCTCTTCCTCATAGCTCCTCCATAACAGTGGCCTCTTGTCCTTCGCTGGCGGGCTTAGCCTTTAGTTGTTCGGCTTCCTTCTCGCCATCGCGGCTGGCAGCGGCGTCCTCGTCCTTGGGGGCCTCGACGGCCTCGGCGGTCTCGGCCTTGGCTGTCTCCTTGTCAACACCCTCGACATCAGGATGAGGTGGGGCGACAGCTCCGGCGATCTCACTGGGCCAGCCGCCTTCGGGCATGGCAATCTCGTTACCGTGCTCGTCAACGACGCGCGTCTTGGTCGCATACTTGGTTTCGAACTCAACTTTGCCTTCCAAAGCCTTGACTTGCTCTTCATTCAGCAAATTTCCGTCCTGATCCCGATATTCGATCTTTTCCTCTTGGGAGAGGACCTTCACATCCTGTTGGACGACGGCTGCCTGAGAAATAACAGGCTCTGCCAGAGGCTTTTGGGCCTGGTCGACAACCGGATCGGCAACTGACACTGAAGGAGCAGCGCTTGAAGGGGGGAGTTCGGTCAGAGTATAGCTTTGGTACTAGATAACAAAACAAGTCAGTCATGGTTGCTCATACATACAATAAACGTCAATCTATCAATCTTTCATCGGATGGGAGAAACTTACGTCATCAAGGAAGGAATTGCAGTCAAAGTCCCACTTGTCGAAGAGCTTGACGCGAACGCACTCGGCCTTGGTCCAAGGTGAGCCATAGGCCAGAGGGGCAAAGAGGGTGAAGACGGCAGCCGTGAGGACGAGGAAGGAAACGGTGGCAACGCGGTTGATGAGGGTTCCACGGTAACCAAGGGCAGCCGGAATTCTTGCCGTTACAAAGTCAAACATTTGAGCGAGGGCAATGATGGCAAAGTACAGAGCGGGGAAATAGTGGTGCAAAAAGAGCTGGCGCTCCATCAGGTAAAATGGGAAGTAGTGCAGAGCCCAGCCGAGGACTGAAGTACCAATCTCGTAATCGAAACGCTTGTAAGTGCTGCTCTCGTAGTCATCGCATCCACGCTGCCATCGGAGGATGGCTACGCCCTTGAAAATGGCCCAGATCACAACGACGGCCGTGCTAGACCACCAGATGATGGGGTTGCCAAGGAGATAGACCTGCATGTGGTGCTTGCCCCAGAAGTTGATACCACGGCGAAGAATAGGCCAAGATTCGGGTCGGGAGTCCCAGGCATGAGAATCAGTCAAGCCGGCATTTGTCCTCCACATGACTTTGTGAAGCTCCCAGAACTTGCCAAAGAAGCCAGGGTTGGCGTAGTTGGCCTTTTCGACGTCATCACCAAGCAGGGGGTGCTCGTTGTGCTCGACATACCAAACACTGTTGGGCATGCTGCCACCGCGGGCGCAAGTGACTTCCTGCTGCTCAGAGGCCCATTCGGGCAGCTTGACCTTGTGGGAGAAGAGGGCGCATCCAGTCATGACGTGAATCAGTCGGAACTTGGTCTCGATTGTTCGGAGGCGCTCCTTGGCCAGGGCTCCCTTGGACTGCTTCTTAACAATCTCAACACGGAAGTAATCGTTGGCATCGCCCTCGAAGCCCTCATAGCCGTAGGCGGACACCTCGTTTTGCCATTCGGCTTCGGAGACCGGGGGGCGCACATCGTGTGAGTGAAGGCGTCGGAAAGTAGGCTGGTGGTAGAGGCGGAGGACAGTGCCATCGACGATGTAGTGTGGCTCTGACAGCTTGTCCCATGCGTCAGTTCCGTTGATGGGCTGGCCGTCAATTCCAAGGGGCTGCGTCTGGTTCTCCATGACCCAAACGTTGTTGTCGTCCTTGTGGGGATACAGAGTAATCTGTTGCTGCAAGCTTCCAGTAGGGTACATGAGAGGGTGCGAGTGAAGGTAGCCACCTTGAGTATTGACATGGCGGATGGTGACTCGGCTTCCCATGATGACATCGGCGGGAACATCCCTCATGCCCTTGCTGTTAAGAGTAGCCTGGAACTCGGAGCTCATGAATCCGTCACCCTCACCAGGGTTGGTCAAGCAGAGGAAGTGAATGGCAAACATGGCGAGATAGAAGGTGGCGGGGATGATGATGAGGCAGAAGACTCTGGCCATGAAGTGCTTGAACCAAAGACGCTGCGTGCGAGAGTTGGATTAGTCAATGTTCCAGTGCCAATAGCAATGCCAATTGGAGTGAGAAAGAGTGTAGAAAGTGCTAGAAATACGTACAACAGAGACATTCTTGCTGTCGCCGAGGAGAACCCACAGCTGCACAAGAGTCAAAGAGCCGACCCAGGCAATGGTGAACAGGCCAACCCATTTGATGCTTGCGGTGATGCCCAGGCCAAGACCAGACATGGCAAGCCAGAACCACCAGCTGAGCTGGAAAGCCTTGTCGGGTCCTTGTTCGTGCTGGTTAGTGAAGCAAGAGAAGGACATGGCAGTGAAGGCAGTGGCGAAAACCAGGGGGGAATCCAGAAGAATCAAGCGGGCCTGAGTCAGAAGGCCGTTTTCTATATACAAAACTCAGTCAGTATTGGCTCTTCTTCTTACTCTTTAGCTGCCTGGCAAAGCAGCAGCAGAAGTAGCAGCAAAAAGAGGGAGAAATCTTGGAAATGCTCACCAAAAATGATGAAACCAGCACCAAGTACGGCAGTCGTCGTCCGGCAGCCAACAGCCTTCAAGGTCATGAACATGATGGGGGCGAGGAGAATGCCACAGATGGCGGGGAAGAGACGCATGGCGACATAGGGGACGCCAGGCTCCAGGTAGTCTTTGCCAATATCCTTGAAATCGAAGTCGCCGTCGAAACCCGCGAGCCAGCCGGTGAGAGCAATGAGCATCTTGGCCAACGGAGGGTGCACGTCCATGAAGAACCTGCCCTTGATGTACTTGGAAGCGAAGCCGCCAAAGCTAGAGAGAGAAGACGCCTGTGTTAGCCCAGCACCAACCCCACAACCAATTGAGCTGGTTTGGACGAAAGAGAAGCAGAGTAACTCACTGGACTTCATCAAAGACGACGCTGGTGGGCATGTAGATCTTGTACAGGCGCACAATGGTAGCCAGCACGGTCACTCCCAGGGCCGCCACATAGTCGGGCCCGGGCAGCAGGAAGACGTCATTGTCCTCGACACCGTCCGACTTGTACGAGGCGTTCTTCTTGGCCTTTTTCGACTTGTTCGATCCAGCGACGGGCGCCCCAAAGGGCTGCTTCTCGGCGACAAGCGGAGGTTGAGGGCTGCGGCCCCGCGCACTCGCTTTCGCCATGGCGAAGGAGATGAGGTCGGCGGGGTGAGACGTGCGATTCTGCGGCGATTGGAAGAAGAGAGCAGCAGAGCAGAGGGACCAGACTGCTGGACGCTGAGTAAAATGTCACTTGGGACCGGTAAATGAGCGTATCGAACGAAGGAGAGGAGGCGAGGTGGTGGTGGAAGAAAATTAATAAAGATGCCTCATGGAGAGAAGCTGACAAAGGGAATCAAGGAAGGAGAAGACGCAAGAACCAATTCGGCCGATCAGAGCAGCCGCCGGTCGCAGGTCGCAGCGCGCAGAAGAGAATAAAAAGGGAGGAAAAGGGAGAAACCGCAAAGAGGTCGTCGTGATTGATGGACGAGACCAAGAGTCAGGGGTGCGAGGAGGAGCTGCGCAACCAGCGTGTGCTTCAGTTTAGCTTCGCGTGTCGTCTCCAGCACTCAATTGTAGCTACAGTGGCCTTAAGCAGCGCTTCGTTCAGCCTTGGCGCCACTGCTGCACAGCCATAGCAAGTAGCGTGTACCGGCGCCTACTGCTCCGGCGCCATACAAAGGGCGAGTAGGCATACATGCCACTGGTTAAAATGAGCCACTCAATTGCAGAAAAGGCCCCGTTGCGGGCTATAGCCTCGTGTTTTTTGCTCGCCCCTTGCCTCTAGGATTGTACTATTGGCTACTAGCACTGAAACAATACAAATCCCATCGTATTCTAGATGAGGTTCGAGTTTTGGTCTATTTACCCACGGTATCTGTTCAATATTCAGTGTTAGGGTTGAATATGTGCAACACACGTACGTGGCATGTTCCCTAAATGAAGCATTATATCTACCTTGTCTCTGTATCAACTGAGAACCTAGCCCGTGTGTCATTTCCGCTGCTCGTAATCGAACATCTGGACGAACCCTTTTCAGCCGCACTAAGATGCAAAGGGAGCTCAATTCGGTTCGCGGGCAAAGGCCCTGTCGCGCTCTCCCTTTGTATCGCCAAGGTACAGCTTCAGCTGTTTGCAGCCTCTGACTACCTGCTGGGTACTGGAAGCGCCATACCATTCCTTGTCGGTCTGACCCAAATTGACATGTGCTCTGCTGTCCAAGATTGCCAATACTACCAGCACAAAGATGCTACTCGTGGGCAAAGTGGTGGCAAATGCAGAATTCAGGCAAGGCAAGGCACATCATGCGAGATTGACGATGTCGCACAATCTGCAGCGGTAGCTTCTAGGTAGTAGATATTCCTCCTACAAGGTGCGATATCCATGCCATTTACAGCATATGACCCTCGTTAAATTAAGCATTCCCTCAAAGCAGCCTTTGAGACATGGATGGGAGTCTTCGCTATGGCCAGGGTTCTTCCAGGGTCCAGGGCCTCGCCATAGGCACTTTGCACTACCCCAGACCTAGCGCCACAGACAGACGGTACCTGAAGCACCGAGCATGTGGCGCAACATCGACAGCGGCACGGACTAACCTGGCTCCGGCTTCCGATCCAATTCGCAGTTGAGTTCTGTTTGCATGGCGCCCAGGAAATTTCCAGCAGAGTGAAGCTGCATTGCCGACGCCAGCTTATTTCGAATCATCATATCTCCAACGCCATTCCTCCTTCCTAAATTCTCAGGAGAAGCAACAGCAGCAGCAAATTTGGATCATTCTCGGGGTTAATTATCCAATCATCGAAAATGGCTGCGGAAGCGGCAAATGGAGCGTCAAACGCGCTTGACGACATCAAAGCTCCTGCTGGCGTCGTGCTACCGCCGCGCGAGATTCGGAATATCCTCGAAAAGACGGCCGGATATGTCGCGCGAAACGGCTCGGTATTCGAAGACCGCATCAGAGAAAAGGAGCGCCAGAATCCCAAGTTCAGCTTCCTAAGTGCCGACGATGCGTACCATGCCTACTACCAGTGGCGACTGAGCGAGATCAGAGCTGGTCGCGGCACCGATATCGCGGCCGGTCGAGTTGGTGAAAGCATCACGCCCGTTCCCGAGAAGCCCAAGGGCCCGCCGAAGCCCCCCGATTTCCAATTCTGTGCTCGAATGCCTCACATCAACCAGAAAGATTTGGATGTGATACGGCTGACGGCGCTTTTCGTCGCCAAGAATGGACGGCAGTTCATGACACAGCTGGCGCAGCGCGAAACCGGCAACCCTCAATTTCAATTCTTAATCCCCAACCACACCTTTCACAACTTTTTCCAACATATAGTCGACCAATATACACTGCTTCTGCGGGCGAGCGGACTCGACGGCGAGGGTGGTAAGCTGCAAGAAGAGCAAACTGCGGAGTTGGAGCTGAATATCAAGGACAAGTTTCATGTGCTTCAACGAGCGAAGGAAAGGGCCGAATATCTCAAATATCAGGAGACTGAGAGAAAGAACAAAGAGGCTGAGGAAGAGGTTGAAAAGGCCGAGTTTGCTCGCATCGACTGGGGAGACTTTGTCATTGTCGAGACCATCGCCTTTTCAGACGAAGACGACAACACCAATCTTCCTCCACCCACCACTCTGGGTGAATTACAGTACGCTTCATTGGAAGACAGGAATAAGGCATCCATCAGTGCCAATTTGCGAATCGAGGAAGCCATGCCTGACGACGAGGATCTTGCACAGAACGGAGCTGCTGAGGTTCGGCCAGCCTCCTTTCCCCTGCCCGTGCATACCGGTTACGCACCGCAGCAGCAGGCACAGACAACACAGCATGTGCCTTCAGCAGTACCGGTTTACGGTGCCGCGGCACCACAACAATCTGCTCAGGAAGAGGAAGAGCTGCGGAGAATCCAAGAGAGATCTGCAGCGCAAGCTCGTATGCAGCAGGCACAGTCAGAGGCCAGGGGTGGTCTTGGCCCAATGAAGATTCGGGAGAATTACGTGCCCCGAGCAGCACAAAAGGCGGCAAGCAAGCAAGGCACGCAGATGGCGCTGTGTCCCAACTGCAAGCAGCAGATTCCTCTAAACGAGCTGGAAGCGCACATGAGAAGTAAGTTTCAAAATCCCCTAATGACATGGTTCAACAGTTAGCTAATCGATATTCTCCTTTTCTTCTTCTTCTGCAGTCGAGCTTTTGGATCCTAGCTGGAAAGAACAAAAAGCCAAGGCGGAATCGCGCTATGCCACGTCCAACATGGCTCATATTGACGTTGCCAACAACTTGAAGCGACTTGCTAGTCAGCGAAGCGATGTCTTTGACCCTGCAACAGGAAATGCTCTCTCAGAAGACGAACAAGCCAGGAGAAAGAAGGCGGCCGTTCAAACTTTTGACGGTCATCTAGAGGGAAAGAGCCAAGCTCATCTCAACCACCTTCAGAATGTCAATGTCGACGAGCAGATTCGTGCTATCCATCAGAAGTTTGCAACCAAGAAGTAAATCATGGCAGACAATGAGTTTAATAACTTTGGCTAGTAGCTATACTTGAAAAAGGGTATAGCAAAGGAGGGTAGTTCCAGCCAACTCATTCATTTCGAAGGTACAGCACCTCCAGCGATCTCGTACATTACAGAGATGCCACAAACGGTCCGGTTTTTTCCAATGAAATATTGTGCTTTATACAAAAAGATGGGTATTCATGGGATTTTTGTTAATTATGGAGTTTGAAACCACAAGGTGAGGCGATTTTTATCGTTCTTTTTTTTTTTTAATATGATTTCAGGAGCTCATTTACCAATAGCTGCTTTAAGAGGGCATGCAGTGTACAAGTTTCACAGCATGAAGATTGATGAAGAAATATCAAACCGTGTGTCGAGTAATACAAAGGCTATTCGAAGCACATGGCTTTTGTTATTAATACTTGTTTTGAGTATATACCCTCGATTTTTTGCCTACCATCAGTCGGAGGAGGCATTAGCTACAGCGCACTTGGCATGCAGATAGTAGCAACTGTTGAAAGCAAATAAGAAAGGAAACAATTGGAAATAATAAGACGGCAACATCTTTTATAGCCAATTTAGTGTGCAAGCCCAATACTAGCAATACAAAAGAGCAAAGGATTATTTATTCTGCTTTTCAACACATGGGGCGTTTTGCGCAGTAACGTGTAATATAAAGTGATTTTGTCTTTCTTTTCAATATGTAAACAAGTATCTAGCATCTTGATGGATACTTCTAAGCCTTCTATATTTTATTTACGCTACAACTTGTTCGAAAATGGAAAACGAATTCAAGTTATGCTGTCATCGCTGCTAGTAAAGCTGATTGCTCGCGAAAGCTGAAAGCTGAGAGTCCTCCCTTTAGAACTGGTGGGGAAGGCAGCTTGGCAGCTTCCTCCCCCACGTGAACAGCAGCAACTGCAAAAACCCCACCTTAAGTCAGCTTGCCTGTGCCGCGATTGTGCAACAGCCCAGGTAGGGAAAGGCATTATTTATCTCGTCAGTCTCCACCTTTTCACTCCAAAGGCTGGTGATCACACGAGCGAGCGCATTTTCCCAGCAGAATCCGACAGGCTTCCAAGGGGGAGGAAAACTAAAGGCTAGCCCATCCTCTCTCTGCCTTTGTCTTGTTTTTACCAACCTGCATACACGTCATACCTAGGTCCTCTGAGCTCCTCAGCCTCGCCCAAGGCTGATCCTCGCAAAAGCGGCAACCACACCTCCCCTTTGAAACCTCATAGCCCGTCGACTTTGATACCACCGCCAAACTGTCGGACTCTCAGGACGCCGGGCAGGCGGCCCGCAAATCGCCGGATCTGCATCGGCCCATTATGCAGTCCATGCCAGACACGCGGCAGCAGAGCTTTGACGAGATTTATGGGCCGCCAGAGAACTTTCTCGAGATAGAGGTAGGCAGCGCATGCATGCAGATATGAATTGCTGCTTGAAATTACAAGCTTGAGGAGGTGTCGAGGGAACGGGAAAAAAAAAGAATAAGGAGAGGAAGTAGAATGAAAGGGCAAAATGGCAAAACTACTGTCCGAGGCATGGCTAATACCTTCTTCTCCATCTTCCTCGAATAGGTACGGAATCCTCGAACACACGGCATGGGACGCTCCATGTACACCGACTACGAGATCCTCTGCCGCACAAACATCCCCGCCTTCAAGCTCCGCCAGAGCAGCGTCCGCAGGCGTTACTCCGACTTTGAATATTTCCGCGACATCCTCGAGCGCGAAAGTGCCCGCGTGACGATCCCGCCGCTGCCCGGCAAGGTCTTCACCAACCGCTTCAGCGACGATGTCATTGAGAACCGGCGGGCAGGGCTGGAGAAGTTTCTGAAGATTGTGGTTGGGCACCCGCTGCTGCAGACTGGGAGCAAGGTGCTGGCGGCGTTTGTTCAGGGTATGTCCATCCTATGCTGAAATTTAAAAGCAAACTGATTTTCTTTTGTCAAGGAATAATAACTAACTGGAGATGTAATCACAGACCCCAACTGGGATCGTAATGCGTGGTGAGGCAAGTTCTTTGGCTGAGATGGCTTAAATGTTTTAGGGGAGGGAGAAGACCGAAACTACCCGTTTATATATATCCCAAGCCAAAAGGAAGGCAGTGCGTCGAATTAAGCGAAGTTTCCATTGTGCTTTATCAGCTATTCTAGGCCGTGAAAACATGTAATGTTTGGAAACTTTAAAAGCTGATATGGCGCTTGTAAGATGGGGGAGGCCAATCACACCTGGGGCAATTCTACATTGCCCTGTTTTGCTCAGCCTGAGATAATCTCGCTGCGCTTTTCTTTCTCCTCGACTCGAGTTACTGTCCTTCCTTTAGTTCATTGTTAGTATAGTTATCAACGTATCAGGCCGCGACTTTTTATATTGAAATAGCAAATTCGGTTCCTTATTTTTGTTGCTTGAGCAAGCAGGAATCGAGACTTCCATTAACAGCAAGAAAAGCAAGGGATTCCCTGGCCAGCAGCATCCATTATACATATCAACAAGTTGAAAATAAGCGTATTTACTTGTTTTAAGACCCTCTCGCCAATGGGTATACCCATGTTGTTTTATTTGAAATGGATTTATTCTTGTTTTCGCAAGGTGTCCAGGGTAGGACGACTGCAGGTTGTATGCAGCGCTACCTCAGCGCTACCTCACGATAGGCAAACTTCAACATCACCTCGCTTTATCAAGATACCGACATCCACGCCCAATCAGAGCACATCCTTCTCTCTTCAGTAAAAGATTGTCGGCCCCGATATTCGGTCCCGGAGTATTTGTGGATTAGAGGGCCCTGCTCGAGACAGCGATTCCTGTTAGGCAGGCCACTTTGGTGTAGAGATCCACAACGATGTCATACTCTTGGCGCTATGGCAACTAAACCTTTCAGTCTCTTTTTCTTCCCCTTGCGCGAGCGGAAGAGGGCAAAGATTCGGCCAATGACAGGTGATTCTCTCCAAGCGATGGGCGGCAAAAAGGAGAAGATTATCGTGAAAACTTTTTTTCTTTGTCTTTTGTGAAAAATTCCTGGCGGTGAGTTGGCATAAGTGGCGTGAGTAAGGTGGATAGGTGATACATAATTTTTCAAGGTTAGAGAACTGCCAAGAAACTGAGGCTCAGGAACCAGCATGTGAAAAACATTCAGTTTACAGAAATACGAAAACAATGACAAAAGTAGCTGTATAACAATCATCATCCGTAAAAAGTCTCGAATTTCAAGGCTTATTTGGCAGTGACATGCTGTGTAGTTGACAGATGCATGGAGAAGGGTCAGAGGGTCTCCCTTCTCCGCCTCCCTCAACCCCATGGGCATAATCTAGACTTACTGTACTGTTAATCTCCAGTAAACTCAAAGCTCGCCTTTGCCAGTAGCCACGTGCTGCAAAGGCCTCACAGTATCAACGCCCTTTACAAACACAGCGGGGAGGAAGCCCGCAGCCTCACCTATCCCTTCCAATCTCGGGGTTTGCAGCCCGAGCTTGCATGTGCTGATCGACAGTGATACCTCCTCTCCTGGGCAGTCGCACGAATCAATCCAGCGGGGGAAGACGTTTTCTAGTATGCATATTCGGGTTCCATCGCGAATGACTCGGTCTTTCAGAAACGGGCCACAAGTGCTGACCTGAGGGAACATGAAAACTGGAACCGCTGGGCCATCAGTCTGGCGCAACGGACCGGTGTGCTGCCCGGCCGAGAGGTGAGAGCTTGGTGGCAAGCCCAGATACAGTAGATACGTGTATATCGTAACCGCGCCGGAGTATTTTGAAGCTATAGTAGGTACCTGTATTTGCCGCATCTAGTATCAAGCCAAGCTGAAAATCGCCGCAGGGACCAGGTAGTTTAGAACCTTTTCTCTTTTCTTTTCGGGATAAGAATTCATCAATTAGCAGCTAATCGGAAGCCTCTGATGCAAAGAACCTTGGCGATTGTGCATAGATGTGCGTTCCGCATCCAACCGACAGCGGTCTCCATCACACCGCGGGCTGAAAACGGAAAACCACTCAACATGGCTTGACAATCTCCATCTGCGCGCAAAAGGCGTGAAACATATTGTGAAGATCTTTGTTCAAAAGAGAGGGAAAAAAAAAAGCTGCTTTCCGCTGGCCGCTGCATCTCAGACTTTCATCCCTCTGTGGCTCCAATTTCGATCGTCATGGTGACCCACCTCTCGTGGGTTTCTCAGGCCTCTTCTCCTCGTAAATCTGGTTCAATACGACGATCAGCTCGGCTCTGTGCAGGGAAAATGATGTCATGTGGATAAGACGTTGTACACTGTATAACAGATCAAGGATCATGTCCGAGTTTTGATGGAGATTTTGTCACAGTTCGCCGCGAGCAAACGGTTTCCTGGCGGTTAACGGTATAGTATGTGTAGTCGAGTAGTTAGTTGTATGTATCAGTGTGTCTGCAACCGAGGGTCATTTGAATATTTAAATCAATGGTTGACCCCATGTTTCCTCCAGATATCTCTCTGGATCCTTTAATCTTTCTATGCCTCTTTTCCCCCTCTGCGTGCCATAAGACATACCTTGTGTTTGGTTGTCTTGAGATAATTCATCATGGCGCCTCCTAAATTCGCTGGCCTTTCAGGCCGGCCACTCTCCCTAACCGTCTCGACTGTTGCTACCATGGCTTTCCTTCTCTTTGGATATGACCAGGGAGTCATGAGCGGTATCATCTCGTCTCCAGTATTCAACGACTATTTCCCCGAGACAAAAGACTCAACCATGCAGGGTCTGGTAACAGCCATCTATGAGATTGGTTGTCTGATTGGTGCCATGTTTATCCTTGCCGTGGGAGATTTGCTCGGTCGCCGAAAAGCCATCATCCTTGGTGGCATCGTCATGATCTTTGGAACCATTATCCAAGTCACTTGCATGCGTGGCCATGCCCAGCTTGCGCAGCTGATCATTGGCCGTATCATCACCGGTGTTGGCAACGGCATCAACACTTCAACCGTCCCAACCTACCAGGCTGAATGCAGTAAGACGTCCAACCGAGGTCTGCTCATCTGTATCGAAGGTGGCATCATTGCCTTTGGCTCGCTCATTGCCTACTGGATCGACTATGGCGCTTCATACGGACCTGACGACCTGGTCTGGCGATTCCCCATTGCTTTCCAGATTGTCTTTGCCCTCTTCTTCTGCACAGCCATGATCTGGCTCCCCGACAGCCCCAGATGGCTCCTCACACACGAGCGTTATGAGGAGGCAGAAGTCACCATTGCTGCCCTCCGTGGATATGAAGTCGACAGCGAAGAGACCAAGACCGAGCGAGACATTATTCTCGACTCCATCAGAGCCTCAGGCTTCGCGGGCCAGAAGAGCACTCCCATCAAGGCCCTCTTCACCAACGGCAAGACTCAGCACTTCCGACGCATGTTGCTCGGCGCCTCATCCCAGTTTATGCAGCAGATTGGTGGCTGCAATGCCGTCATCTACTACTTCCCCATTCTGTTCCAAAACTCCATCGGCGAGACTCACAACATGGCCATGCTGCTCGGCGGCATCAACATGGTTGTCTACTCTGCCTTTGCCACCGTCTCTTGGTTCCTCATCGAGCGAGTGGGCCGTCGAAAGCTGTTCCTCTACGGCACTGCTGGCCAGATGCTTTCCATGATCCTGACGTTTGCGTGTCTGATCCCGGGCAATCCCTCTGCTGCTAAAGGAGCAGCCGTCGGTCTCTTCACCTACATCGCGTCCTTTGGAGCCACCTGGCTCCCGCTCCCATGGCTCTACCCTGCCGAGATCAGCCCCATCAAGACCCGTGCGAAGGCAAACGCTGTTTCGACATGCTCAAACTGGCTCTTTAACTTTTTCATTGTCATGATCACTCCCATCATGATTACCAACATTGGTTGGGGAACTTATCTGTTCTTTGCCATTGTCAACGCCTGCTTCTTCCCCATTCTGTATTTCTTCTACCCAGAGGTATGTAGCTCTCCAGACTGCCAGAAGTACCATTGCATTCTCGCTAACAGTCCAATTCATAGACCGCAAACCGATCTCTGGAAGAGATTGACATCATCTTTGCCAAGGGCTACTCTGAGAACATTTCGTATGTCAAGGCCGCCAAGGAGCTGCCTTTTCTGTCTCACGACGAAGTCGAGGAATATGCTCTTCGATACGGCCTGGTCAACAGCGCAAGCCAAGGTGCTGCAGGCAAGGAGGAGGACAAGACCAGCGAGAGGGGGAGCTCCAGCGAAAAGGGAAGCTCAAACGAGAAGGAAATCGGCACAGGAACCGAATCCGAGAAATGATTTATGAGATGATACCCAAAAGAAGGGACAAAAGTGAATACCCATAGAGGATAGAAAAAGCTAGAAGATAGATTGCCAAGCTAGACTTGGCTCATCTTGGCAACATAGACATTCGGCTGCTGGAATACCAACCAGGCCGTGAATCAAATTATGCTTGCAACGTACTGGACAAGTGGTGGTGTAGATTGATAACGAAGCCAACTTGGTGAAATGGTGAAATGATAATCAGCCAGACTGGAAGACAACCAACGTCTTGAAGGAAACTCGCTGGCTGCTGCTGTCAATTGGTTAGCGCACCTCAAGCTTACATACAGCCAGAGGGGGTATGGTTTGCGGAGAGGAATGGTAATATAGTCATCTTTAGGAAAGATAAACTTGTTCAAAGTCCTAACAAATGTGTTCAACAAAAACCACCTCCATCATCAACGAGACCGCTAATAATAGACCAGTTGCAAAAGAAAAGAGAAAAGAAAAAAAAAAACAGGTCCTGGAGGGAATCGAACCCTCGCTGCTGGAATCAAAATCCAAAGTCCTAACCATTAGACCACAGGACCATTAAAGTATGCGCTAGTTAAAATAAACTATATAGTAATGGACAGCCTTTTTCCAAGATACCGCAATTCTACTCTGCATCTTTGTTGCTGAAACATAGCTTCAGATAATAGAGCTTGGTGTTTGTCTTAGACCACAGAACCCTTATAATGACGCTAGTTAAAGTAAATTATATAGTCAAAATGCTAGTGTATATACTTCATTTTCAAGATACTGTTACTTTCCCTGCTTCAATGCACTTCTAAACCGAGATGTAGCTTTCAATTGATTTTATTTTAGATCTTAGAACCCTTATAGGACACCGCTAGTTGAAGTGAATTATATAATACAGGTGCTAGCACTGAGCTCTTTTATACACTTTAACTCGAGAATCGCATCTTTCTTCTCTACAACGCATCTGCTCGACCGAAATATGTAGCTTTAAATTTGCAAAACGTGATTTAGCAAGTCATAGAACCGAACCCTTACACGGCACGCTTTTGAGCAAGTGATGTAATGGAAGTGGTAGCGCTAGGCTCTATGTTTATACACTTTGTTTCAAGAATTGCGACAATCGCATCTTTCTTAGCATCTCACTTGGCCGAAATGTGTGGCTTCATGTGGCTTCAAGTTTGTAAAACTTGGATTTGATTTTTAGAGATTATCATATAGGAACCGACCTATAAGTATTACTACCTAGCTACCAATATATCATCCATTCAAACCCGATCTCTCTCTTCTCTATCCACCCCACACCATATCCAAACACCAAAACCCGTCCAGATATGATAATCATAATAGTACACAATTGGGACTCATAAATAATAGCAAAAACACCACAATAAGTAATGAACAACGCCAGTCAACCCCCCAATTACACAAACTCCATCCGCAATCCAGGATTCTCCCGGCGAAGCACCGACTCCACCACGTTCGACAGCAACGTCACGAAATTCGGCACGTCAGCGGCCTCGGTCTTGATCTCATGCGCGGCCAGTCGGTGCCTGGCCATGTTCTCAGATGCACAGCGTTGTGAGCAGAACAGCGTCAGGCGTCCCGAGTTGACGCACTGCTTGCACACAAACACCTCCAGGGCAAATGCATCATCCATGATGATGTCTTCCTCGCTGCCAGTGCGGCGCTTCTGAATACAGCCGTCCCCGCCGTCACATTGGTGTGCTTCGTCGACATGTTTGCCCTAGAGAATTGAAATTAGTTGGACAGCCTGTTGATATTTTGAAGAAATACATACGTGTCCAGCGTCGAAGCACTCTTCTGAGCAGTAGACAGTGAGCCTCTGGCTGCCGCCCATCTGTGTGATTGTCTGGCATACAGTGCAGGAAAAGACATCGTTTGCAGGCACGACTTTGCCGCACGTCGAACAAGGAGGTAAATCGTAGAGTTCATCGCCTGCTACCTGCTCTTGAGCCGTTTGAGCCTGGCTCTTAGCCTGCTGCTTCTTGTTCAGCTCATCGGCCATCCTGGCCCTCCGGAGGTCGTCAAGTCGTGCCTGGAAGAACTCTCGCTGGGGCCGCATCGTCTTGTTCTCCTGCGCATCCTTGACCATCTTGCCGATAATCCCTTCTATGCTCATGTCTTCGTTGGAAGAAAACTCGTCCAGATACGGCTTCGAGTCCTGCACCGGCTCACCCGTCTCTCGATTCATGAAGAATTCCTCAACATAGAGCTTCCGGAGGGCAGCTGCATTCCCCTCGGCAGCCTCAACGCTGGCCACAAACGAATCGACCCGTTCGGCCCAGTCGGGCGGCTTGCCAATCCCTCGCCAAATCATGCTCACCACCTCGTCGCGTGATCGATCCGGGTCGTCCAGCATGCCTCTCAGCTCGTCCTGAATGAATGGGTCGTCGCACACAACGAGGAACTCGGGGTGTTTTCGCAGTATCCATCGATACCAGGCCTCCTTCTCCGACTCTATCCGCGCCTCGATCTTCTTGAGGCCAATCTTGCGGTCCTTCGCGTCTGCAAAGAGTTCTTCCAGCTCCTGGTGAAACGCTTTCCTATACGTGAACCATTCGCGATCCTGACTCCCGCTGTACCTCTGGCGCATCCTCTCCAGCACCCGGATGTAGCATCCTGTGCAGTCTGAAACGTGTTTCTTGCCACATCCGCTGGCGCACGAGGGCCTGAACTCCTCGATTTGTGCCGAACAGAGCCGCCTCTGTTTCCTGGCCGCGATGAGCTCCGTCCAGTGTTCCGGAGCGACTGGCTGAGCCATGGCTGTGATTCCTGGCTCCCACACACGTAGAGGAGATTCCTGCTCCTCTAATTTATGTCCAAGAACCGTTCAAAAGAAGTATATATATAAAAGAATAAAAATAGGCCTTGAAGAAAAGGAAAGATGTGTTTTGAAGATGCCGTTTCTCTCTCCCGGTTGACGCGCCAAGGTTCACTCTCAGTACCTTCAGAGAACCAAGCGCAAAAGTGTCGACTGAGTAAGCTGAAAAGAGACACAGCTAACCCAGTTCAAGAGACCCTAGGAAAACTCCCCAGAACCAAGCCGTCCAGCGTTGAAAGAAGGAAAAGAAGGGGTATAAAAACACGTCGATGCGCCAAGAAAAGAAGAATGAGAAGGTCGGTTCGGTATAAAGATGGGATTTTCCGTTGCTGCGAAGAGGTACCTTGGTAGGTCGACCTGCACAACAACATTGAGTGCGTCAACACGCTCGCTGACCTCATCTTGCAGGAAAATGCAGGCTGCCGATATTTTACCGAGTTTTAAGCACAGATGCTCCGGCATAATCTCGTCTAAACTCAGCTGCGGCTGACTGTACCTGCTTTAATACGCCTCTTCAAGTAAGCCTTGATAGTTGCGACGCCAATTTTCGCTTCATTCTTGTCCAAAAATCTTTGAAAACGTGTTTCATCTTCAATCAATATCAGATTCTCCAATAAAGCCATCTAACCTTTACAATGGTAAGAACCAGATTCGCAATCCTATTCACGGAACCCTCAACCGCGTGCATAGCCGCTGCTAATTCTGCTCTCTTCAACACCAGGCCGACAAGCTTCGCAACCAACAAGAGCTCGAACGCCTCCAGGCCAAATACATCGGAACCGGCCATCCAGACACTTCCAGCTGGGAGTGGCGGACAAACATCCACCGAGACACGTACGCCTCGATTGTCGGCCACCGACCTCTTCTCTCCTACATCTCGCTGGCAGAAAACGAGCCACTGACCAAGACGCGGGCTCAGTTGATACGGGTGTGTAGTTGCTACGCCAATCCGCAGTTGAAAACCTCGTTATTTGCTAATACTTAATGTTTGACGTGCAGAAAATGGTTCAGCCAAGCGGACCTCCACCGCCGCGAGAAGATTGATTTCGAGTAACGACTCCTAAAGCACTCGACGATCATTAAAGATGTAGCTAAGATTTGAGTCTACCCAAAAGATGTATGTACAATCGAGCATCTTGTGTATGATTTGCAGATCAGATTGGCGCCATAGAACGGCGGATTCGCACGACAAGATACCCCCTTTCATAATTAAGCAGCAACTATAGTAGCCCAGGCAGGGTTAATAGAAGACATTGGCATGAAACACAAGAAAAGAAGAAGAAATAATAAAGAGGCAGAGAAAAAGCAGAAGACAAAGATGAAAAGAACAAACAGAAGACAGGGTATTATGGGTTCTAAGAATCATCACAAGCACCAAACACGGCGCTACCATCATGGCGTCTGCTATGCGCCGTTCGTCATGCTCACATCGTTACCATCCTCCCCTTCGCCATCTCCGAGCTGTCTGCTCTTCAGCCCCAGGCTCGACCGCAGTTTCTTATCAAAGGCCGCGTCTTCGGGATGGCCATACACCTCGCGCACCAATCCCATGACGCCGTCCAGGCCGATTTCTTCCTTTGCTCGAGGCCCGACATGCCATGTGATGGTCTGGTCGCCCTCGTAACCGACTGGCGGCCGGTCCACCTTCTTGATCACATATCCTTGCCTCTCCAGCCTCTTGAGAACCACCTCGGTCCGCTCGCTGGCCAGCATTCGATCCGCGTTGAGGCGCATCAGGGACCGCTGCAACTTCTGCTCGCTGATTTCTCCGCCGTTCAGCCATATCAGCGACACGAGCAGCGTGTAGAATCCCATATATGTTGCTTCTTGTTCTGCGTTTGGGGTTTTCGATGGTCTGAGGATCGATGCGCTTCGGTATTCTTCTGGCAACGCGGAAGAGAGGACATAGGCACCGGAGCCAGACCTTGACTGCGTGTTTGATTTCATAGCTGTCGATTATTGCAGGATTAGCCTCAGCCGTTTCAGAAGACAACTCAATAGATCACAAAACAGCTTCGAAATTACCTTGTCTCTTCTCATGCAGCGTCATTTTCTCTCGGACAGGCAGCTCGCGCAGCTCCATCCCCCAGACCGCTCTCAGTTGGGTTTGCGCCAGCTCGAATATTCTCCTGAATGAACGACTTTGCTTTCCGAGGACTATCGTCACGGCTCAGTCAGTTGACGACTTTCTCCCTTCTTTGCGCATCCTTACCTCGCTCCTTGATGCCATCTCTCCGTATCGGCGTTCTCGAGTACTCGCAGGCAATCACATATCGAATCAGCTTCTTGGCCAACTGCTCGTCGACTCTCGAGGTTGCGCCGTTCATTTCCGCATCCTCGTCTGACGGTTCCTCTTCCTGCTCCGTCTCTGAGGCCTCGATATGCGGGCGCTGCCTTGGTCGAGCATCTTCGTCGGATTCACCGTCGTCTTCCACCTAATCAATCACATGCGCTTGTCAAAAAAGGATGAACGTGGAAACGGCGAAACAGGCTGTCGACTGCGGACCCACCGGACGGCGTCTCCTCTGTGAAGGCGGCATGGCTGGACGTTCAATTGATGTCGACTGGGCCTCCTAATCTCAGATCTGGCGATGTGAATCGCAAATGAACCAGGAATTGCGTGAGTGAACGTGGGGCTTGGGTGTAACCAACGCGCTACTGAGGGCAGCGCGTCTGATTAATTGCGTACCTCTAGGCGGGTAAAGTGGCCGCAGCGAAAGCTTTTATCGGCTATCGATAACGGCTTATCTGCAAAATTCCATATCGCATCGCAATGTACCTGCATCGTATCATATCGTATCGTCTCTTTACTGTCAACTCTGTGAGCTCTTCCCAAGAATATCCGCCGCATCGCATTTCATGTAGCCTCGTCCTTGATGCTGCAATTTGCATCTGCTTTGTCGCATCAATGCTTTCCCGAGCGGCAAAGGCTCCGCGCGTCTATTGGGCCAACCGACTGGCCTCGTCTATCTTGCGTGAGAGAACAACGCTAAGCCATTTCTACGGCCGTGAAGATTGGCTGCAGCAGCGATGCTACAGCTCCGATCCCGTCATCCACAGCAAAGAAAGCGTGGAGGCGCTGATATCGGGCCGAATCAGCACAAAGGAGTTTCATAAATCACTTAACAAAGCATCCAAGAAGCCGTCTCGAAGAGGGTCTCTTCGCCACGGGAAGGGCGCAAGCAACAGACGCCGTAATAGAGACGAGGAGATACCCGACTGGGGGCTTGCGACGGCTCCAAACGATACGAATATCAAAATAGACGCAAAAGCAGAAGTTGTACAAGAGCGTTCAAAGGGGAAAGAGATTGCAGAAAGGCTTTCAGAAGCTCAAGAAGAAGCTCATGAAGAAAAAGATGAAGAAGCTCATGAAGGAAAAGAGGAAGAAGCTCAAGATGCGCTTGCAAAAGCACTGGCAGAGGAGGCGGATCGATTGGAGCGAGCTGAAGCTGAAGCACAGGATTATTCTTCTGCTTCAGATTTTATCCCCCTTTCTATGGATTTTGACCAATCTAGGCCAGAAGAAGAAAGGAGCAAGCTTAACCCAAGTTTCCAAGACGAGCGCATCCAATCCAGGAGCGTCTCTGTTGCGGCTCTTGGGAAGCAGATTGAGGCAATCATGTTGAAGAACCCCAACGAAATGAAGAAACCAAAGAGGCCCGCGCGGAGGATCCAGGACAAGGCGCCAGAAGCCAAAGTAAAGCTCGATGCCGAACGGGACCTCATGATGGAGGAAGTCGAAGAGAGCAACGAAGAAGCACTGGAAGCTGCGTTGAAGCACATTGGCGACCTGCGGCCTGTTGATCGGACAATCCTACCCATGAAAGATTTTGATGCTCTGGCGAATTCTCTGTTGGATGGCTTCAAGTCCAGCCAACTCACCAGATACTATAACCGGGAACGCCTGACAGCTCACAACCAAAGCTTGCAGAAGTTGCCTTCATATTCTTGGATTGACAATCTAAGCTCCTGGGAGCCCGCCAAACCCGACCACTGGGGGCCACTTAGGCCTAAGCAGCGCCTGGTGATTCTGATTATGCAAACCATCTGGAATCTCGAGGTCAAGGAGCAAGTCGAAGGCCTTGGCAGGACTCTTGTCTGGCTGGAGCCTCGCATCTTCCAGCTGATTGCTCGTAAGTCATGTATATCAAAGAGCTAGTTTTCTTTACCACATCCACATCAGACCAGACTTGCTTACCCTCCTCATCCTTTTAGCTCCCAGTAGCTCCATTCTAGAGCAAGTTTCGAAAGACTTCCTGTACGAGTCCAACAAGGAGAAGATTACTGCAAGCTTCGATGATAGCCGGATCAACATTTATGCTCAAAAATCGACCGTCCCCGTCATTCTCTCCCATCTTGATGAGATTGTCAAATCGACCCGCCACCAGAAGATTTCTTCCAACCACGTTGAAGGCAATGATCTGGACGAGCAGCTACTCAAAGAGCTAGAACAAATTACAAAGACACATATCCAGTTTAACAAGAGCGATAAAGTATGCTTTGAATCTGCCACCCTCATCTCTGTCCTTGCAGAGCTAACAAAACCAAATAGGAGCTCGAAATCTCATGGCTTGAAAGTCAAACCCCATCATCATCGCCCGAAAGCAACAAAAACATAGAAACCCCCGCTGATATCGCTCTGCGGCTACTACTGGAGCAGCCGAGCAAAGACGAAAACAGCGTGCATATTATAACGCCATCGGAAGTTGACAAGGCAAAGGATGGATCTTTTATTAGCCACCACAGAGAACGCAGGAGTATGCGCTGGAAGGATAAGCTGAAGCCGTGGTCCAGATATGTCCATCCCGTCGGCCAAACCACCACTGCAAGAGACGATATCTCAGAACACCTGCTTGAGGCAACCTCTTTACCCGCTTCATCACACTTCAAAGCTAAGAAAGAAGCTGAATTGTTACTTACGACGGCATCATTCGGACATGTCCTCCACGGCAAGGGTTCCCGTACAACGACTTCCATGGCCAAACACCGCCGACTTCTCTCTCCAGTCCTCCCTCACCCTGCATCCTTTACCTCCATTGTGGACGAAAATCAACCTGTGACACAGCGCACAACTATCACCCTCAACTTTTCTCCCGACCCCCAGCATCATTCTAATGACACGAGCTCAAAGCTCCCCAGTGTCCAGCTGCAGCTGCCTGTTGATCCTGTCACCGACATTGCCGACTCTTCCCTCCCCTCTGGTTCGACTCTCTTTGGCATTGCCGCACATTCCGTTAGCGACATCCTGCTGCCCACCGAAAGCGTAGACATTCGCCTGACGCAGCAGCGTCTCCTGCCGCTCGACGCGAGCCAAGAACCCATCAAAGAGTTCCTATCTCACTGCGAGTTCGATCTCCCAAAAGGCATACTGAGAACACCCAGTAAAATCACATTTTCAATCCCCAAGGCCTGGGCCGCCGACCCAAAGGCAAAGCGCAAGCCTTCCAAAACAGCCATCATCAACGCCCCGTACATCTTTATGGGACTGGAGACGCATCAAATCGTCGAAATCGAATTCCATGGCCACAATCTACGCTGCGAAAGCATCGATGCGGGTCGCCACGGTGGTCAAAGACAAGAGCTGTCTCTCCAAGCCGGTCCTCCTATACGAGGAAGCGATGGAGAGCAAGACAAGGCACCGTTTGAGCTCAACGAGGAAGAAGCGTCTGCGTTCATATCTCTAGTTGGAGAGATAGCCACAGGCAAGTACTTCTCGTGGCACAACGGCTCTGAGCTGGTGCGAGAGCTTTCAGACGAGTCACTTGGGTTTGATGAGCTGGAAGTGCTTGATGACGAAGCAATCGATGAGCTGTCGTCATTAGAAGCTGGATATTCTGAAGATGCCCAGAGCTCAGAATCCGAGCTTTTGTAATTATCTGAGCAGGATGAAAACTCCTTCACGATGACTGAGACAGCATCTAAAGATTCATCATAGGTACCGCCAATGAATCAACGCATACCTCTGAAGCTCTCAACCCTGCCGATACCAAAGATTCATAAAATCGCATAAGCACAATTTTCCCATGATATTTAGCAATCCATTCATCACAACAATTTGCACTTCTATGCAGGTCAAAGGTAAAAGATAATTATTTGGATGCGTCAACAAAAAAAAAATAAAGCAGGACATAGGGATGGCGGCTATTCCCCAGGCGTTTTGGATGAAGCGATTCCCCTCTTACGATGTACATGTACACATAAAACACTACTAGTATATACACAGGATACACAGGCATGCAGATGATGAAACTTGACAGATTTTCAAGCATATTGTACAAATAGGATAAAGACCAAAGATACCTCATGGATATTGAATCTATGATGTTGTCACGTACTCTAGTAAGCTCTGGCGACCTTGTACCTTTTCTTCAGCCTCGTCATCAAAAGCGTCAGCCGCGCGTGCTTATAGCGTATTCAGCGGATGCAGTCACCTATCAGTAGCGCTAACAGCGCTGAGACCCCTGAGACTACAGGGGCCCAACTCACTTTCAGGGAGCAGCAGCACGGGACAACTAGGGAGGAGCTACAGGGGCGCGTATGAGTCGGATACATCACCACAAATTTCATAGCATCACGGACAATCAGACAGGCACACGTAGCATGGTTGTTGAAGTCAGTCAATTTAACTTCTATCTAATTTTTTTTTCCCTTTGTTTTGCATTCCCGGAGAAGTTTTGATGGAACCCTTATTCCCAGCCTCTCAATTAACGTGCCTCGATTCATAGTCGAGAACTCATATGCATAGCAACATTGATCGTTTCGTCGTAGAAGTGAGCGCATGGTGCCCCGCTGGGAGAAACCTCACGAGGGACCCCAGAACATCAGGTTTTGATGATGGTGGGTATCGCTTATTTCTTGGCGGCCTTGGCGGCGGACTTGGTGACCTTGCCGGTAGCACCAGTGGACTTCTCGACGGACTTGATGACACCGACGGCGACGGTCTGGCGCATGTCACGGACGGCGAAACGACCCAGGGGAGGGTAGTCGGTGAAAGCCTCAACGCACATGGGCTTGGAGGGAACCATCTTGACGATGGCGGAGTCACCAGACTTGATGAACTTGGGGGAGGCCTCAGTAGCCTTACCGGTACGGCGGTCGATCTTCTCGAGGAGCTCAGAGAACTTGCAGGCAATGTGGGCGGTGTGGCAATCGAGGACGGGAGCGTATCCGGCACCGACCTGGCCAGGGTGGTTCATGACGATGACCTGGGCGTTGAAAGAAGCGGCACCCATGGGGGGGTCGTTCTTGGAGTCACCGGCAACGTTACCACGGCGGATATCCTTGACGGAGACGTTCTTGACGTTGAAACCAACGTTGTCACCGGGGACACCCTCAACGAGCTGCTCGTGGTGCATCTCAACGGACTTGACTTCAGTGGTGACGTTGGAGGGAGCGAAGGTAACGACCATACCGGGCTTGAGGATACCAGTCTCGATACGGCCGACAGGGACTGTTCCGATACCACCGATCTTGTAAACATCCTGAAGGGGCAGACGAAGGGGCTTGTCTGTGGGACGCTTGGGGGGCTCAATGGCGTCAATGGCCTCGAGAAGGGTCTTGCCGGTGGACTTGCCAGCCTTGGTCTCCTTCTCCCAGCCCTTGTACCAGGGGCAGTTGGTGGAGGCGGCCAACATGTTGTCACCGTTGAAGCCGGAGATGGGGACGAAGGCAACGGTCTTGGGGTTGAAGCCGACCTTCTTGATGAAGTTGGAGGTCTCCTTGATGATCTCAAGGTAACGAGCCTCAGCCCAGTTGGCAGTGTCCATCTTGTTGATGGCAACGATGAGCTGCTTGACACCCAGGGTGTAGGCGAGAAGAGCGTGCTCACGGGTCTGGCCATCCTTGGAGATACCAGCCTCGAACTCACCAGTACCGGCAGCGATAATCAGGATAGCGCAGTCAGCCTGGGAGGTACCAGTGATCATGTTCTTGATGAAATCACGGTGGCCGGGAGCGTCTGTAGAGTGGCACGTTAGTATCATGATTTTGAAATGCCAATGAGGATACTAAAACATACCAATGACGGTGACATAGTACTTGGGAGTCTCGAACTTCCAGAGGGCAATGTCGATGGTGATACCACGCTCACGCTCGGCCTTGAGCTTGTCAAGAACCCACGCATACTTGAAAGAACCCTTGCCGAGTTCGGCGGCTTCCTATTGATTGAATCATGATCAGCACATTGAACCACAGAGAAAATGAGATGCGATTGAGTGAACAAATTGTTAAGACGATGGATGAGGGACAGAGGCGATTAGCGGGGTTGCCAGAAAAAAAAGCTGGCACCCCACTAAAAACCAAAGGCAGCCAGAAAATTTTTGCTGTGCCAAAGGAGGGGTAAAGACAGGTAGAGCGGGGTGTGACGATGCGAGAGAAAAATTGACAAGACTGAGAACAGGATTGTCGGACACACGACTGTGCCAACAAAGCGTAGTGATAAAAGTAGTGAAATTAGCTTACCTTCTCGAACTTCTCGATGGTACGCTTGTCAATACCACCGCACTGGTAGATCAAGTGACCAGTCTATTGGAATGTCAGCCGGATGCATTCATGAAGAGATACCCCGCGCCGACCGACAGAGTCGATGGCAACTGGGCTCGAGGAATTGGGAGTTACTCACGGTGGTAGACTTGCCGGAGTCGACGTGGCTGTTGTAGCAAGTCAGTATTTGAGTCGATCGAAAGCTGTCTGATGGAGAAATACGAACCCCTAGACGATGACTGTTAGCAAAATGTCATACACATCAGGACCATCGGCAGAGAGAATGCCGCTGACAAGAAGAATGAGGATTGCAAACTTACGATGACGACGACGTTGATGTGAGTCTTCTCCTCCTTACCCATTTTGGCGGTTTGTGAAGTGTTTTGTGGGAGTTTTTCAAAAGTTATTGACTAGAACGTCTGCAGAGAGAAGAGTCAGCTGGTGATGTTCCACAAACGACGAAGACGACGAAGACGATGGCGATGAAGCTTCCCGATGATGGAAGACTGAATCACCGTCGTCAGAGGGCAAAAGAGAGGCGGCACATACAAATTCGCAGATCGGATGCTTGAACCGGGTATGCGAGACGAAGAGCAGAAGAAGAGAAAAATTCGAAAGCAGATGGTGGGAGGAGGAGACTTAAAAGGTGGTGGGCGGAGAGGGGTGCAGGCGCTAAGACTGCTCTTTTTTTTTTTCTGCCACGCGGGGCAGCCAGCGAGAAAAAAAAAAGCCTGAGGAGGGGCAAAAAAAGCGGCGCCCGCCTTCGTGGCCTAGCCCTAACGAGCGAGCCCCAGCCAATCACGTTGCGGCTCATCTTTTTTTCTGCTGCACACCCGCTAGTTTTTTTTTTTTCCTTGGCCTGAGCGCCTCTAGTGGCTTTGGGACCCGCAGGCCAATGGGCTGCTGTGACGAGGAGCTCTAGGCATGCGATCTGGTATGATCACGGTGGGAACAAGTACAGTACTGTAAGTTTTGTTGACTCGAGGCTAGAGTTTTTTTTTCCTTCTACGGCAATACGGACAGGATTTGTTGTTGAGCCTAGGCGGTTCTATCAGATGGGTGGCCCAGTGTGTTCAGGAGAGAGCCGATAGATGCAGTGCACATGGCCTCAATCCGGCCAGTGGACGTGCTGCTGTGGCTACAGCGCATGCATACAGCACTGCCATGAAGCCCAAGTAACGGGTACATCACCACACCCACCATCGATCCTCATCCTGGAGAGGTACCGCTCTTGTTTGCCTCAGTTATAGTAGAGTCATCGGCATCTCTTGATCCTTTGCCTCGTATTGCCTACCGTCATCCTGTCTTTCGATACAGTTTCGGTATGACACAGAGCAAGCAACAAGAGACAAGAAACAATTCAAGACTTTCGGGCCTAAAGCGTCTCAGCAGCGAAAAAGCTGAGACCATTGAGACTCTTGCGGCTGACCTCTCACTGCCCAATCCACCCACACTCAGGCTGCTGGCGCGCGCCTGTTTTTGCCCAACTCGCCGCTGAGCTTTTTTAGGTTTGCTCGTCGTTGAAGTACTGGTACTTGCTATCTCTTGTTACTTGCTATCTCTCTATCTTTCTCTGTGTGTGTCTCTTTTCTTCTATCTCTTTCTGCTTTGTTACACCAAAGGAGCATCAAGTGAGTCAACGGCGGTGAGAGCCTGTGGGAGGTGAGAATTGAGAATCCGCATCCGATTCTTTGCAGCAAATGCGTATCACGACTGAGAGGAGAAAAGGGTAAATCAAGACATCAGGGTGTCAAACAATCAGCCATCTTCTGTATCCGTCTTGCCGTCTGAGCAACAGCAACTCGTATCATCCTCATGTATGATATCCATTCTGTCCTCCATCTTGGCTCCGCTATGCAGCAGCTCCTGATACTGCGACCCCTGTAACAAATCTCGCCAGAGCCTTTTGCCTCTTCAACTTCATTTTTTTCTTCTCGACTCTTCCCGCTATTACCCCTCCATATCGTCTCAGCCCCTCCATTCATCCTCACCCAAGCCCACTATGAAACGCCAACCACCCCACTTCATGCGGTTCCATCCCTTCCATCCATCACCTGCGCATCGCCACCGCAGCAAATTTTCATATGCTTCTTTCATCAAGGTGTCATCAAACATGTCCATCTTCCTCTTGTGTAAACTCCGAGCCGAATACGCAGCCAGAATGGAGCTCGTATCTCAATGAAAAGCTGTGGGAGAGGCGATACAAGATGTGGGTACATGTACGCCGCTCCAGGCAGCTCTCATGCGTGATCTCCATATCGATAGCTTCCCAACTCCCTCCCTGTCACCACATGCATTCAACCATGAAAATCAGATTCACGATGCCTTAGCTCAAGAGGCATCCTCGGCCGTAGTACCGGTACACTGTCCCGGCCTCTGGAGGCCAATTGAGCGCCCCATTTGCAGTAGCTTGTAGCGGTTTAGCACCGGTCTCTTAGCTGAGGTGGAGCCATCCGTCCCGTCGTCGTTGGCATAGCTGAAGCTTAAGTTGAGCTACCAGCAAGGAGCAGCTCGGCGTGACTCTTCATTACTATTTTCAAGTTGGAGCAGAAAGCCAGTTGAGGCTGAGCATCTGTCTGTGCCAAACATTGCTATCAAAGAACTAGAGGTCAATCACACCCATACTCTTCCGAATATATGCGAGATCTGCCTAGGTAGTGTAGGGTGGCAACTTGACGAGTGAAAAACAAGGACGGAGACTATAACTGAAGCCCACTTAACAGGACGAATCCCTGTATCTCAAAATAAGTTTGCCGTATATCTTCTAATGTATGTAATGAAGAATGTCACAAGAAAGGCTCCTTTGTAGGAAGCTTGCTTTGAGAAGTTCGCTTTGTCTCTTCTTGCTTACATCCAGCTCTGGCAGAATCCGTCTGTCTCCTACCATTAGTACAGAGCACATGCCCGGCGTCCAAGGGGAACCCAACAGCGACTTCCGGTGGTACTATCTCCAATGGAAACCTGAACATGTGTTTCTGTTCTCCGTGTAAGTCGACTATATGGCCATTTCTGAAGCACCCCCCCCCCCCCCCCCACCAAAATGCTCATCAGTTGACATTGACAAAGCTGAGTCACCCAGGTTCTTCCTCGCGAAATTGAGTACATATACCTATCCAGCTGAGACTGCTATTTGCGTCAAACGACGGTGAAATGAGTCTCTCGAATATGGCAAATGGATAGTCTATAGCTGCATGACCAATTATTCAGGGCAACCTGGAGATGAGCAGCCATATCAGCATTCTACCATCTCCCAATGGCCACCAGGTTAAAGAACCACCACCTTCAAGGCCGCGCAGCAATAAAGGCTCTTGAGAGGAGTACAAGATTTTTCTTATATGCCTACCTAGGAGCAACAGCGAGATTGGGTCTGTCTATATGCGTAGTCTTGGCCATGATGGCCCCCCGGATACGGCGTTGGCAGCGCTGAAAAGCACCTGTTGGGCCACAGCCGACCCCAAAAGCAAAGTCGTGTCACCGGTGTCACCTCCAAGCTCCAGACAGCTGCCAGCTGCCGTCTTTTTCGCCCTGCCCGTTATATATCCAAATACAGGACTCCCCTTCCAACAAAAGAGCTGCTATTCCGAATGGTCTAGCGGTTCCAGCCATCGCCCGTATAGAGTAAGAGCAACTCGTTGGACTCCTATTCTCCCAGCGTAGGTGACAGCCAAGGATCCTGGTGCAAATCCGGGTGCGGGCATGCGACTGTTCGACTTTTCGTTGAGCCTTCTTTTTTCCCCCTTCTGCTCCGTCTACTCCCCTTTTTTTTTTCTGCGCCCACGTGTGAATGAAACTAGAGGCCTTGGAGATGTTGTATTTTTGCCTGTCCTCTTTGATATTTACCTCTAGATATGTGCTTACATGGTCATGATAACAGGAACCCGGTCCCCGTTACAAGTGCGATTTAAGTGCAAGTACCTTCCTCGTACAACTGTACGAATACACTCAGATTGCGTACCTGAGGCCTCGGGCTTTCACGATGGCACGCACGCTCAGCCTTTTTGAAATTTGCAAAATGACTCTCTGCCTGTATTGAGTAGGTAGCTATATGTAATTACATCTATATATCGAGAAACTTATCTCTTCATTCATCATTTCTATCCATCCCTATATTTATTTACATCCTGCGCGGTATTGAACATCTGTATGTGCTCTGTCGTCTCATCATTTCGACAATTTCCCCATCTTGCTTGCTACTTCCCTTTCTCAACCATGTCTCATGAGAAGCGAGCCACCATCAGTGGATCTAGGAAAGAGAGGAGCAGAGAGAAGGAGAGAGAAATAAAGGAAAAGGAAAAGAAATTTGACCTTTATTGGCCCTTCTTCTCGCTCGGCTTCGCTCGAACCAATCCCTTGGGAGTCTTTAATCCTGCAAAAGCAATAGTGACAACCACCAAAGCGCCCATCGCACCCATAGTATACGCATATTCTCTGCCAGCCCACCAGTACACGCTAGTGCAAAGAATTGGTCCCAGCCCACGTCCCAGCTGTCCCCAGCTTCGCATGATGCCCAGCTTGACGCCGTGCTCGTGGTCGCGAGTCTCGAAGCTGCTGAGAGCATTGAGGCCCGTGACAACCGTCGCCGATGTGACAGCAAGGCATGTCGCTGCAGCGTATAAACCGCCGATGGTGGATAGACGACCGAGCAGGACAAAGGCTGCGAAGCAGGCGATGGTGCCAATACGGACAGACAAGAGGGGGGAGAGCCTGCGGGTGACGCCTCCCTGGAGGACAGAGGCCACCAGACCGATATAGCCAAGAAGCCGTCCATTTCTCCCAGAGGTAAACTGGAACAGGTCATAGGTCATAAACGACAGCGACGTCTCCATTCCAGAGAAGAACAGGAGAAAGACGAAATGCGTAGCGTAGAGCAAGACGCGTGAGTTTGTCCGCTCCACCTCTTTGGATTCTACATTGCTCTTGCTAGGCTGCTTCTCCTGAGTCTTCTCCTTACCGGCCAAAGACGGAAGAGTTTCCGGCAGACAAAAGTACAGGTACACCGTCTCCGTAGTAATCAGGAACAAGCTGAATCCTGCTGCCACAGCAAATGGATTTGCGCTTGTCATCGGAATCTTGCTCAGCCACGCCCCAAGGCCGGGCCCAAAAGTAAAGGCCACCGAGAAGCATGCGCCGATGATTGCCATTGTTGATCCTCGTGACTGTTCGTCCGATATGTCGCTGGCCATGGCGGTGGCAATCTGCACATTGCCTTCAGAAAGACCACCCACGACTCGGCTGGCCAGAAAGGTACGGAAATCGACTGCCATGACCCAGAGCAGCACAGACAAAACATTTCCGCACATGGATGCCAAAAGAGCATAGCGGCGACCGTAGCGATCAGAGAAACGACCGATAATGGGAGAGGCGATGGCCTGCAGGATGCTGTAACCGCATTCTATTGTCAGTAGCCCCCTCGAAATACCTACATGTAGATATATAGGTTGAGCACTCACGAGAACAGAGACCCCAGCGCTCCACCAAGAAGAACAATGTCATATCGGGAATCGATGGGTCGCGAAAAGGACGCCTTGTACGCATTCAGTCCGCCGAGCACCTGCTGCAGGAGGGTGTTTGGTTTGCCATGGACGATCAGGTCAGGAGCCTCGCGATCTCGGTAGAACTCGAGAAGTTTCGGGAACAAGGGCAGGATGAATGTGAAGGATATCTGGGTTCCTCATAAATTAGCAATCTGCCCTGCAGGTATGGCTGGTGCCCGAGAAGAGGCCTCAGTTTGCGCTGTTGCGACTGACCAGATCTAGAAGAAGAGAAACGATGATAACCCGGAGCACACGCTTCCGCGTGGCAGGGTCGACGGCTACCATTGCGTCGCTGCGACACGGCCAACCAACACGTTATGAGTCTGTACAACCACGGAGACGAGCAGCGAGAGAAGATATGTGGACAACGAAACACAAGAATCAAAGAGTGCCTACTACTCCTGATATTAGTAGTAGTAGTAGTAGTAGTAGTAGTAGTAGTAGTAGTAGTAGTAGTAGTAGTAGTAGTAGTAGTAGTAGTAGTAGTAGTAGTAGTGGTAAGTAGCAGTGGCCAGCAAGTTGAGCTCTCAGGTCAAGACCCACCACCCTGGAAAGGTCGATCCGCCAGCGGAAGCCAAAAGAGCCAAGAATAAACACGGCCAAGTCTAGCGCAACTCTCTCTCACTCTCTCGAGTTTCGTCCCGGCAGTCCAGCAAGTGCCACTCCATTCTTCCCGCGCTTCCCGTGCTTGCATGCACAGAGCAAGAGGCCAGAAGTCCATTCCGGACCCCACACTGAATCCGACGCTGCTGGCGAGCGTGTTGGTCGTGCGACTCGGGCCCTGGAGGAAACAGATGATATGATTAGTTGAAACTTGACGGCCGCTCTAAGCTTACTGTAATACCAACAAGGGACGCTTGCTTGGAGGTGCGACCCCCTGCTCCGCAGCGTCGCAGCAGTACCTCGCGCTAAGCACGTAACGGCAGCTTTGATCGCGCCGCCTGGTATGAGTTGCCCCGAATTGCTGGAATCCATACGGCTTGTATGGAGATGGAGCAATATCGCAGCAGATGCTCCTCCGGCCGATGGCCCGCCTTGGGCAGGAACCCGGGGACATGGTTCTCAGCTACTGCTGGCCAGTATTGCTTGCGGCTTACGATAGCATAGCCATGTTGTGGAGGAATACGCAATGCAATGCAATGCTACAAATACGCCAATACGACGGTGAGAGAGGCCGTTCTCCTGTGGCGCTTTGACACATGCGGCTGATCTCAAGTGATCCATCCGACAAGCCGGCCCACCATCTTTGTGTTCCTTGGCTTGAATATACTACGACTACTACTACTACTACTACGACTACTACTACTACTACTACGACTACTACTACTACTACTACTACTACTACTACTACTACATACTGCTAGTTGTTTCTGCGAGGCTGTCCTAGGACGCTTAGGAGCTCAGGCTGCGGGAGCTTGCGTCTCACTACCCGTCCGTTCACTTTCTGCGGCTGTCCTCCGCCTCTCAGTCTTGCCAACCAGTTCGAGACTGCGATATCCTGGTACATGTACTTACCCACCAACGCAATGAACGAGCCTAGGCCTGCTGTCGTAAGGCCCCAAGATGCGGGTAGATGCCGCCAGCAATCTCCGTGCCTCGGCCTGCAAGATCACGCCCCGAAGAAGAGGCCACAGCCTACCCCCCATCCACGGATGAAAACATGAAAAGATGAAAGGATGCAAAACGCACAGACGCGTGCCCGTGCAATACATCGTGTTGAATTATACAGACTTCATCACACAGAAGGGATGATTGTCCTCCCTCATACAGCTACTAGTACCTGAATACCACACGCGGCTCAGTACTCTACCATCCATAGCCGTCCTGTATTGGATGCAAGGTATCTAGAACAACATGGGACACACAATTCAGCCCCCATCAATGGAACAAGACAATGCCATTGTGACTTCGACTATCCCCCGCGTTGATCTTGAGAGAGGCCTATCAACCAAACAATATCGGTCAAGCTGGCCGCAGTTACGGCCGATGAGGAGGTTTGAATTTTCCCGTCTAGATGACGCAGTGGCAGCTCGACGACGGGCCGCACTATTACTGCGGTACAATGGCTTCTCGGGCACTTTCACAGGAAGTTTGCATAGTCCCGGAGACTTTGGCAGTGTATCATTTCACTCACAAGCCTCATGCAATGGCCTTCGGTCGGATTCTGAGACCTGCATTGATCCACACGACATTTGAGAGGGACGAGTTGAACCACATGTCTCTCACCATTTTTGATATCATGACGCTCGATGTTCGGCTCGACATGCCTCCCCACAGCAAGCCACAATGGTATCATGTCTGTGCTTTGTCAAAAATGCCATTTCAGAGCTGAGGGCGGCTTCTGCCTCTCTGACTCGTTGATGAGGCTAAGGACATTATCGGAAAGCTAAAGCCAGCCGAGAGGACACACTAGAACGATACATACAATAGCCACGAACTCAGCTTCCGGCCTGTGGCAGGATATATCAACTACACCGGGCAAATCACCCCTGGATCAATGGCCTGGGCTCTTCATCTAATTCGCAGACTTATGAGCCGTAGCGAGGGCCCTAGACTCGCCTCGACCGCGTGGGTGCTTATTACGACCCTGGCATTGGCAAAAATCTTTGCTGCCTTGATTCACGGCAGTACCTGGAATCCTAACTCCATGGTTCCTAGCAACAACTGTCTAGTGCGGCTAATCCAAGCTGAAAATGCATCTGCGGAGGGCATTCGAAGGTGGAGGTGGAGCACTACGCCAAATGACATGCTGATACTCTCACACCCATACATGCTCAGGCATCCAGCAACGGCTCCGGTAACCAGACGACATCGTTCCACTCCGCGGGTCCTTGCCAGCCATCCAATATACCGTGCCGCATGCAAACATTGTTCCACGACAACTAATAGCGGACAGCGCCACTGCAGCAACCTTGTTCGCTATGCTACTCTAAGCGCTCTAAAAGCTGCAAAGAGGCCTCAGTATGCACCCATCCTAGCTGGATTCGACTAATACGAGCATCATTTCGGCTTAGACAAAGGATTGTGGCATCCAGCTCGCATTGACAACTCCCCATCCTCTATGCGATACATGAAGGTACGATCAACACAAGTAACACGCCTCGAATCTTGACCACGCCTCCCTCAAACGCAAGTATCTCAAAACAAAGCGGCCGGGGCTCGCCAAACTCCATCAAGGCATAGCTGCGAGAGCTTTCGGGTACCTTGTGCATGCCAATTTCCGATCTCCGAATATGGAGAACCCACGGATCGTATCCCGGCTGAGAACCCTATTTTTGTGGTCTGAATAGCGTGCCACCTTCCAAGGCTTGGTGTAGGATCAATACATGTACCTATTGAGACGATGGGAAACATGCTATACAGGTCTTTCTACACCAGACTCGACTAACAAGGAGGAGGATGGAGAGAGACAACCAGCAAGACCTACAACATCTTATGAGAGTCCTGCTCTGAGCAAAAAGCAAGGGCTCGTTTATTCTGCTCCAAGGGAGGCACACTCTCTTCCGCAAGGCAAGACGGTGTACGGGCTGCCCGAAAGCTGTTCGCACAAACGCAGAGGCAGCCGCAAGGGCCCGTGCCCGACGGTTGATTTCATGGATAGCTGCGGGCCGCGGACAGCTCCAGCCGAGATTTGCAACTATTGCGATTCCAGCCCACGGCTCTGCGTGGTGGTGGCGTGGTGGCGGCGTGGTGGTGCTGGGAGCCAATGATAATGACGGCAGGGCCAATGATTTGATATTAGCTTGGGCTATTACCCTTGTCCGATGGCCGAAATGCTTGGCTCCCATTTAGATCGGAGACTGCTCTGGACCAAGGACTACATGATGCCACAATTGTTTGCTTTATCCTTGCTCTGAAGAACGGCCAGAAAAGTATTAGCGCGTACCAACGGGAGCGGGAATCAGATCTCAGCGGAGGATTTCTCACCCCCCGTATGGTGTGCTAGGCAGGGACATGTATTTGTCGAAACGATAGCCAGCTAGAACCCCACAAAGCTGAGCTGGATGATGGACATGATTGCGACTGCTGCTTCTGACTATGCCGTTGAATTCGAAGTTATGAAAACCTCTATCATGGCTACTATTTTTTCCCCTTACATATGAAACCAATAGAGGCTGAGAGACGGGCAAAGAAATATGAGAAATGACTACCTTGGACTGGGATAATGCAAAGGAATCATCCGGTGTGCGAGGTGCAGCATCTGAGTGGCCCAAGACAATACTACTTGCTTTGGGGGGGAGGGAAAGGGAGGGAGGGAGCCTGAATTAGGTCTCCAAACCCCCACAGGCTTGTGTCTCCAAGCTCACATATCATAAAAGAGATTAAAGAGCTCGTTAAGAGCGAAGGCCGAAGAATGCGTGTGGCGTTTATTCCCCCCTCTGTGGTCCTGGCCCATGGCCAGCGATGTACTTGCGAATGATACAATCAAGCGTGGGGTATGGTTTCAGAATAGGCCTTTCTTCCTCCTCCTATCCTCTTTGTCTCTGGCTATGCTGTTGACATCCCAGCACACCGGTGCGGGCCTGGGGATGGCCGCCTCACCAGTCTCCACCGCCATTCACGCATCCTCACTTATACGAGGATGGGCACCTGTTCCTCTCTTACGAATAGTACTAGTACCTATGCTTTTCTTCCGGACAAGTACGTCCGAGTTGCAGGCATGCAAGCAGGCAGCATCATGCAAGCAGCATCCCCTGTTCAGGCTTGCTCGCTCTGTCTGTGCGTGAACCATCTAATAGTAGATCAACTCAACTGAATCACATGAGGAGAGAGACCCCGAAGAGGTGGGCAGCTTCTCCAGGGGTGCTTCGCCCCCAAGCAGGGCCCAGGGCCAGTAAGAGTCTCAAAAGCCTCACCCATACCATGTGGCTTGCATTGGATAGTCACTGCTTAGAGGTTTGCTCGAACGGATGGCTCGCCTTTCCTTTGAAAGCTCGCCTACGTCACCGTACTTGGCGGGTTGCTCCTCTCTCAAGACTGCTTCCATCTCTAGCCGCTCAGTCGAGGCGTAGTATCTATATGGTATATAGGTAGATGGAGTTTAGTGTTATGCCTGTCATATTAGCCATGGCCTCCATTCAGTGCAGAGGCAGCATGGTGGTCTTGTTTCTACCTCCTTGTAAGCCGCACTATTAGGCAGAAGCGCCGAGCTTTTCGTCCTCCCCTGGATCTCCTTGTCATGTACTGTAGTCTTCCTTTCACACCGGTCGGATGAAGGTGGTGGGAAGAGGGCCATAGTCAGAAGCTTTTACCGACCTTGGGGCAGGTTGCATTGCATGACTCTGGGGCGGGGGGGCTCTCAACAACCAAATGAGAGCCCATATATCTGATTTCTAACACGCCATTATGCGCTGCTTGTGCGACGCCGGGAGAGGGACTGGAGCAAAGCAGAGCAAAGCAGAGCAAAGCAGAGCAAAGCAGAGCAAAGCAGAGCAAAGCAAAGCAAAAATAACATGCTGCTGCCGTCTACTCAGCCACCGGCGTAGTCTAGATCCTCTACGGTGGGCCACTGCTTGAGCTTTTGCGAGAGTCACCGCCGCCTTGGATGGCACCGCATAAGTCTGGTGGAGTATGTAACTGACTTCTCAGCTCAACATGTCATGCCAGCCTCTCTACCAGCCTTTGATTTTGTTTGCTCACTAGAATATTGTGTGTGCGCGCACCGACACAGTCCCTAGGTACCTATGTAGGTAGTGGTGAGGTTGCTGGCGGGCCAAGAAAATCTTTTGACATAACAAATCTCTTTGCGGGCATATTCCATAGTGCTATTAAGAGCTTCGAGTGACCTTGTTGTTTCTTCCACTCGACAGCAAGTCGTTACTCGGCAACACATAGATCGTAATCTGCCTTGCAGGCAAATCAGATGCTGCTGAATGTAAACGACGCCTGCGTACGCTGTTACATGGCGGTTGCGTCGTAGGCCTGCTTAGACAGGGACTGCCTCCCTCACCGGTATGATTTAGGCGGTGGAGGCGCTGTGGTAACACAAACAATATGCGAGTTGCAGGTGTATTATGGTCGCACGGCACTAGTAGGTAATATAACGAGACGGCAGACAGGCGGCTCAGGGTGTGCAACCCATGTCTTTGATAAACGGCGAGGTGGCCTTGACCATGTCCAGTGAGTACATCGGATGTTGACTTGCACGCGAAGCTGGGTAGGAGGGCATGATAAGAAGAGGGAGAGAAAAAAAAGAAACGAAATAAACAGCTCCTCAGACTCTGTGCTCCAATATCCGAACCATAAATACCGGTCAACCATCTTCACATTGCGCTTGCTTTTCTTCGCCAGTCCACTCGACTTCTATTTCCTCTTCTCCAGATTCTCAATCCATCCATTGCAGCCTCCAAGGAAACTTGCCTTCAATCTCAGCCAGATCTTCTTATTGTCTCGCACAAGCCTCTCTTGCTCGTCACCTCCAACCATAAGACTTGCCCGCTGCGTCTAGCCACTTCAACAGAAAAGAATAATAAATAGGTAAATGGTGAATGAAAATGAGTGCGCCGATATACTCAAATCCTATTCTTCCACCAGGCGTCAAGCCCATCATTTTCGTGCTCACTCTTGCCGACGAAACAACCCAAAACAACTTCCAGAGTTCTCACGCACGACTTCTCAACGAGTTTTTCGAAAGAGCAACAATTAGGCACGCCAACACGGCTGAGAAAGCATTCAGTCTCTTCACCCAGTGCAGTCAGCCACACGCGGTGTTTATAGCCGACGGCGGCATCGCTCGCCCCAACAGCGAGATAATCAACCAGAGGCTAACGGTTTATGCTGCTTGCGGCGGCATCGTCCTCTTTGGCGGCCTGTTTGCCGCCTCAAGGGTAGATGATTTGAAGAAGACCTTCAAGCAAACCTGGGACCTCCCCTGGGAACCCGGCTCCTTCCACCGCACCACGTTGAGTCTGAACGAAGGAGCAATTACTTCGACTCTCAAGCCTGGACTTCTGACCTCGTATAGCCAGAAGGCTCTTCATCTGTATGGGGTGCAAAAGAATGAGTCGTGGTATCTGCCCTCGCAGGATTCGGTTATCGAGGAGTGGGTGCCTCGTCCAGGACCAATCACCGACTTCAGCGAGTCGCCCATTATTTATGCTTGTTACGGAAGTGGCCACGTTGGGTTCATCGGCGACACTGATGCTGAGGAGGGCACTGTGCTTTGCATTCTTGCCATGTTGGGCATCTTGATCCGATAAATGGCTGAAGTTTCCTAGAAGAGGAGGGGGATGGGGGTTATTTGTGTGCTGCCCAAAGGAATATGGCAAGCCTGGTATCAATGTGGGAAGACACTTGGTTTTAAGCTGCTTGGCATCTTGTGTTGTAAATGGGAGCACTGCATCAGCAGCTCGAAGGAGAATGGAACGAGAGGGAAATCTGAAGAAGAAAGAGAGAAAAGACGGGAAAAAAAATGTTTGTTCGTTTGTCTGTCTGTGTCTTTCTCTCTGTCAGTTTGTCTGTGTGTATAGACGTCTGTATTGCCTCGCAGCGTTGTTGTGTTACAGTCTCGGCGTGTCATGAAGCATAGGAGGAATGAAGCTTGTTGGCAGCAGGTCCAACAAATTTTGTTCTTGTTCGCAGTGATGTCGATTGTAGATGGGAAATTCAACAGAAGATGGATGTTAAGCAGTTCTTTTTCTTGTCCATCAGCTCCCAAGATGCACTTGTTTCCTGGTGTTGACAAGAGACATTGAGAGCGCCCGTCCGTCTGTTTGTTTGTCAACCGCTTTGGCCGCAATCCATCAGGCACACGCTGTTGTGTATCCCAAACAAGGCCGTTCTGTGTTCAAGGGCAGGATTTCCAACGGCCGAGGCAGGGCCAAGTCACGGCGGCAGGTCGTTGGTGTGACAGACAGCGGCAAGCCGCCGAATTGTGTGCGGATTCTATTCGCTGGCACAGCGGAGCACGGCCATCTGGCAGGCAGCGTTATTGCAGAAGCGGCATGTTCACCACCCCTATTCGGAACGGGCTGCGTTTAAGGCCAGGCAGGGGGTTTGCGGCGGCCGTCGGGCTGGTTTTGCAAAGAGACCAAAGGCAAGGATGCGAGGAGAGGCCGGCGGGATGATGCAGAAACCAGCATGAACATCTGTCTGTGTCTGTCTGGATGTGCCTGCTCAGATGCTGCAAAGATCTGCTTGCTGTATTTCAGCCAAGTTGCTGTTGGTGGCGTCCGGATCAAGTCCAATCCAGTCCAGTCCATCCAGCTCAGTTCAGTAGCAAAGACCAATCACCGAGGCATCGCAAAAACGGCGGCACCCAATACTGATGCGCCATGGCAGTAGCACGCACTTGTGTACACACACGCCATGCCTCTGGACTTAATCACATTTTTTTTCTGCAGCAGAACCGCCAGCCAAGGTGACGGGCAAATCAGCTGATGATTGCTGAATGAGGAGGCGTGGCCACGCGCAAAGTGACGTGGGAGGCATTTTGGACCGCAATGCAGGTACCGGGGATTGTCTGCAGAGAATGGCAGCAGGGATCAGGAGCGTTGGAGTGCATTCGATCGTCGCTGAGAAAGGAGGGAAAATCAAACAAAAAAAAATTAATTAAAAATATACCCCATTATGGCCAGCCCCTCCAGCCAAGGTTGTATCGCAGCTCGTAGCACCTCGTACTTGGGAAGGTCTAGAACACGAAAAACACCGGACACGACGGCAAATATTTTCGCGAGCCAAGAAGAGCAAGAGGAAGGTGTTTCTAAAGGAATGACGGCATGAAAGTCTTTGTTCCTTGATTTGCCTTGCATCGTCTCGCGTTCTCTATTTGCTTTCCTGCAGAGACGTCGAAAAAGGTAGGCGAGGGCAAGATGAGGGGCTTATAAGCGAGGGAGGAAGGTGCGGACTTGCCTGGGATGCATTGCATGAAGATGGGCTTCTTCTTTCTCTTCTGCTTCCATTCCTTTTCCTCTCCTCTTCCTCTTACTCTTCCTCTTACTCTTGACCCTCGATCCTCTTTTCTGCATGCCAAATCACAACCCCGCCCCCACCACCTCTTCGCATGACGGGATTCCCAAATGGATTTCCAATGGATACTACCGATCTGGATTGGAGGGATGGCCCGAAAACCCCACCATCAGATGCCATCTGCTCACAGCCAACAAGAGCGTTTTGGTGCCCGGGATGAACATCACGGAACGGGAAAAGTCACCTCAGCAGTGGCCCGGAATCATGCCGCAATTTTGCGAGCCATCACAATTGCAGCCCAAGGAGAGAGACAAAGAAAAGGGGAGGGGGAGGAGGGCTTTTACGGTATAAAAGGACGCATCATCCGCTGAAGCTGAGCCCAGAGCCCGTCTGCCAAACTCGCCTGGCCTGTGTTTTCTCATCCTCGTCCATTCTTCTTCTCTGCTCGCCCCCTTTGCTCTCAGTTTTCAACGGCATGGCCCCGGACGGTGCAGCAAAGCCAGGATAGGACAGGCTAGGTAAGAATCATGTGTTTGTCTTCACCACTCCCTACCAAGCACAAGTGCTGCTGCCACCTCGCCTCATGTTGCAAGACATACATACATATACACACGCAGCTGACGGCCATGCAGCAGGGGAGTAGACACAAGACGCACGCGGATGGACACACGGCGATGGGATGGGCGTACAGAGATGGATGCACGCCAGGCCAAATCCAAAGCTTCGTCCCGGCTTCTAGTGCGCGTGTCAAAGATCTAGACGTGCGCCGTCCCGCATTCCGCACTTACAGCATTGGTGCAGACAAGTCCACAACATCCACCAACATCCACATTGCCCATGCCACTGTTGCAGTAGTAGGCCCGGGCCACCGAGATGGGCAAATCCGGCCAAGCCAAGCGCAGCCAGATCCAGAAGTGATGGGTGCAAAGGGACGGATGGATGGCCAGCGCTTGCAGCCCCCCAGTTTCTCCAGCCTCTGCCCATGTAACACCATGCGGCAGGCCCATGCGCCCCCCATACTTGCCCATCTCATGGACCGGTGGGCAGCAATCACCACGTTCCAAGGGCCCAGCATGTCACGCCCCGGTGCCCTACTGGAAGAGGCTCCGATGCCGACCCGGCAGCATCAAGTCCCACTTCGCCGGAAGCCATGTTTCCCCACTCACGGCCGCTGACGACGTCTCCGTTTCCACTGGTCACAGCTCGGCTCTCTTTCTCTCTCTTTCTCTCTCTCGCTCTCTCCGTGTCTGTGTCTTCACTTGTCCTCTCCCCGCCTGCGATACTCTATACTCTGTGCTATGCACTCTGTACATTGTACACGCTGCTTTTGTGTTTTGCCCAACGAGGGGCGAGCCAACAGGAGCAGCCTCAACGTCGTCTGGGGCCAACCATGGCCACACCAACATCACCAACGCCAATTGAGTGAGGTATGCGCTCAAGACAAGCCACAGAGGTGCAGCCTTTGGGCTTATTCAAACAGGTAGGACTCAAAGTTATCGTTCCCCATTCTTCTTGTCTGTTGCTATTCGTCATATCACATCACACAAGGTTCCTGACACGAGAATATTCAACAGATAGACATTAACATTGCATGTGGCGACGGTGGCGCCCGTTATTTAACAAAAAGAATTATTACCCAGTTCATGGGGGGCTCATGTGGATGAGTATATCTCTAATATCGCGGCGTTGCCTTTTCGTCCGCAGGGTGAATAACGGATAGCTCCCGACCCTTTTTTCCCAGTCTATTTTCCCTCTCTTGTTCTCATTATACCCAATTCATTATCCGAAAAAAAAAAACCCCCTCCCCAAATATTATATCAAGAGTCGAAAGGAGATTGCCGCAGTTGCCAAGAAGCGCCGAGTTCTTCAAGCTTGATGAGTATCGAAAGCTTGGCCCGGTCGACGTATTACTATTATTAAAAACAGACACCTAGAAAGAGGGGCCGTCAGCAAACATTGATTATCAACAATGCGGACAGGGAGGGGGATTGTTACCTGACTGGTACAGCGTGTCATGAAGCGAAACATAGGGAAAAGCAATCAAAAAAAGAAAGTGCCCGGCCCAAGAATCGAAGTCATTATTTGGGCTTTGGTGGCTGAGGAGAGTTGGGCTTGATGATGCCAGTGGTGTCGTATGGTCCACGCATTTTGATTTGTGAGAAGGAGAGAAGAAGAAGATGGTGTTGTTGTTGATGCTGTTGATGGTAGCAGCGAGGTGAAGAAAACAAAAAGAGACTGGATAGAGACGTCGGAAGCTCGGAAAACGGAAGGAGAGGTCTGATTATGAACGACTGCTGGATAGCACCGTTTCTTTGTTGGATGAAGGAAGGAAAAAGTGGACGGAGTTGCGGGAACGGTCTGTTATTTTAAACAGTTTCCACACCGAACCGGTGAGAGGCCTTTTGCACAGCTCGCCGCCTGTTTGCAGGGATCTCGCGTGGCTTTTTAGCTGTCTGGGCTTGATTCTTGCTGTGTCTGCTGGGGCGATTTTGCGGTCTATCCAAGGCGGTCAGTCTACCCCCTGAAAGCACTCTGTTGGCCCCTGCAGGAAATTTTTCTTGTCTTTACCTGGGTGTGAGATCGACAGGGGTGGCTGTCTCTTTTCTTTTGTTTTCCCTCCTAGTGTTTGCCTTGCTTGTATCGGCGAGGATGCGGCTGGCGGGATGGGTGTGAGACTGCGAGGCTTCTCGGGGACGCTAGCAAGCGGTACGCGGGACGAGAAACGAGACGGCGGAAGCCTTGCGGAAGCCTTTCGAGAAGGGTTGAGCGAAGGGTGCAAGGTTTATCGGAAAAGGGCAAAGTCTCTGCCTTGCCGAGCCGAAGACGATGCGACTACAAAGTACCCAGGATATAAGGACGGCGAGAAAGGCGTGGTACTGTCTGCTTGGTGTTGAGAGCGAACCTAATGGTTTTTTAGGGTTGGCCCAACGTGCAACAACTTGGGCGTCGTCGTCGTGGGCTAAGGCGGTGGGGACCAAGGCGACAGGGTCTTGTGCAAGTGCAAGGGTAGGGGATGAGCTGGAGACCATGGCCATGCAGGACAGCCCATCGTCTTTCTAGAAGGCCACACGTTGGGTTGGAAGATGCGTTGGGCTGCCGGCTGGGGACTGGGGACTGCCAGCAAAGGCCATAAAGACTGTGGAGCAGAGCCAAATGGCAAACTGGACGAGGGCCAGCAGCAGCTTGCAAACACATCATACTGCCGCTGCTGCTCGGCACGGCATTCCAGAAGCGATACACGGGCTTCCGAACGACACTCTGCAGCTTCTCTGGGAAGGAATCTGACAGTTCACACGCGCATATCACACGGGCACACGCCCATCAACCCACACACAGATGGGGGCAATATGCACTTGTACGAGTGCGGTACGGGGGCATCTACTCGCACACATTCGCACGCACTCGCACGCACACACTCGCACACACATACACACACAACACGCACACACAACACACACACAACACACTCGCTCATAGCGCGCATGGAACCCGTGGCTAGCTTCAGACTTCCCTGCTTTGTTTGAAACCGTTGAGCGGCAAGATAGAGAGAGCGAGAGACAAGAAGAGGCGAGTTGATGACGTGCACGGCCCGGGTCCCGAGAAGAGCCTCAACCCCTGCTGTCCGCTTTCCCCCCCTATTCGGTTGTTAGCCGGGGAGTAGGTATACAAGCACTATCGAGAGAGCGCGAAGCAACAAGAGGCGACGTTTCATTACTTCTTGGGACCATCGCAGTGCCAGCGAGCGGGCAATTGCCATGACCGCGCGAGTGGGGAGGGGCGTGGGCAGAGTTTGAATCCTACGCTGGACGAAGTGGCCCTTTCTAGCTCAGGAACGGGCGGCCCCGTGGAATGGGGGGCGTCTCCTCAGAACGACGTTCCAGGACTTGTTCGATGCGGGTTTCCACCTTCCATTGAGCTTCGTGCAGCACAATGCTCGCCCTAAACTTACTCCGTACTCTTACTCGTACAGCACTACAAGTATGCTAGTGCTACCAGCTAGTATTACTCGTACGCAGTGGGCAGCAATGTTTGCATCATTGCTCTGGACGGAGTAGCATTCTATACGGAGAAGAGGACGGACCCTCCCATCCATCTTCTGTGTCTTTTCTCTCCCCCCCTGGCTGTCATTGTGGACTAGCCTTTAGCTGTCACCCAAAAGAAGGCAAAAAGGACACTAACGATTAACGCACTGGCGCGAGGCCGGGAGAAAGAGAGAAAATTCCCCGAATTGAGCGCCTATTACTACTACGCTCTGTCTGCGGCAAGTGGCTGCAGTTTTGTTGCAGCCGCTCTTCTTTTCTTTTTCCCTCTCCTTCTGTTTTCGATAATACGACTTGCTTTTACCGCTCAACAAGATGAAAAAGGGACGACAGGCATTCAGTGAGTTGAAACCTGGCGACACACAACACAGACAAGGGAGATGGAGACGGAGACAAGGGTGGGCGGTGCGAAAGGGAGCCGCCGATAAGCTAACACTAGTCGTGCTCCGTAGCTGGAGAAGACATCGCGGCCCATCAGTCTGGTGGCGAGAGGAGCGGGCCTGGACGGGGAGAAGGGTCGCTGCTTACAGTACACGCTGAACAACGCACTCCTGTCTAGCAAGTGGTTCGTCTGGAATGGGGGCAGAAGCAAGACAATGACATGAAGGCGAATCTCGGGAATCCACCCTTGGACGAGCATGCGGCGTTCTGGTTCGACACTTGAGCAGAGATCTTGGCACAGACACAGGAACAGCGCAGCACAGCATGGCATGGCATGGCATGGTATGGCCTAGCAGGGCATGGCAGATGCAAGCTGTAAAAGCATTCATGCCTGGATGGCTCCTTTTTGCCTTGCCTGTACATCGGAATGGGGCCGGGGACAACGACTCAGCTGCTGGCACGTTTTCTTGATACCACATTTGGGCATCCCGGTGGTCCTCCTGGAGAGACGCGAGATCACGAGGCAGCTTACGGAGCCCTTGGTACATGCTCGTACATGTAAGAAAAGCCACATGGAGCGCCGCCGTCGTTCCGCTTCATGGCCTGCGGTGGGGCCGGGGTCCGATCCGCCGGGACGATGGAGTCCGTGATAGGCTCGATTCGCGTCTCAGCCGCTCAGGCTTATTCTTCTTCTCCTTCTGGGACCTACTGCACCGTTGGGTTCTACCGTTTCTGGGCTGTGATGGGGATGGAGAGCAAGACTCGGCAAGCGTTGTTTGGCCTGACCACATGAGACGGGGGACAACTCATCAGGGACTGCATGCTTTGCTTCATTCTCACCGCAATCGGACGAGTCCATTGGCCCCAGAGTGTGCCTCGACGTGTTGTTGGTGTGAGTGAGCGCGCTGCGTTGTCGTGGCGCTGCAGCCATCCATGTCCGTTTTGCTCTTGTTTTTGGGCCAGCGATCCTTCCAGATGACGAAAGGGCTTTAACCGTTCAAGCAGAGCGACTGATCCAGACTGGACGAGACCGTGGCTTGTTACGGGAAGCGAATGGAGGTGGTGATGGAGGTGGTGTTAGTGGTGTTGGTATCGTCTTGCTGTCATCATGGAGGTGGACGACGAGAATGCGATTGGACACCCGGACTGGATCCCAAGGACCAGGCACGCAGGCAACCGGGGCCGAAAAAGAAGAACAAGCAGCAATAAAATCAAAGCAAGGCGGGTAGGGCAAGGCAGCAGGGGCAAGGCAGGAGGCAGACAGCCAGGGCATGGCAAGCAAGCATTGCACTGACAGCGTCCTCTGACCGCCTTGCCATGAGAATTGACGCCATGCGCCATAAACAGCTCATGCATGGGCGATTTTGTTGCTGCGGAGCCCATTTGTTGACCGCCAAAAGGCAAGGCGGTGCAGATGATTAATGGAAACGGTGGAATCCGGGAGGGTAGGGAATACGTGGCAAGACTCGAGTTCAGGCTCTGCTCTATTTTTGTCCCGGGAGGACGCCTCTCAAATGGTGTCGTGACGCGGAATGGGCTTCAGAGAGACGTCCTGGAATTTGGGGTAAAGAAAAAAAAAAAAAAGATGAGGAGTAAAGAGAGAAAAAGAGAGAGACAGCCTCCCTCATCAGCATGCATACACACCAAGAGCCAGCCAGCCTTGGGAGTGGACGATGCTACCACAAGGGGATCAACCGAGATAACGGGATCCCTATCTTTGGAAACAAAAAGAAAAAAAAGAAGTATCTGATATGACAGCACATACATACATACAGCATACATACATACAGGTTACAGCCGTGTGTATGCAAGGCAAGGCACCAGAGTGTGCGATATCGAGGGGCCGGCCGAGCTACGTCAAAGTGGCATCATTTTCTGGAACTTTTTCTTTGGTTCTTTTCCCCCAATGATGCTTCAAAGGCTAAAGGGTTGTTTAGGGAGTGGGAATGCGTGACGAGATTAGAAAACATCAAAAAGGGACAGAGTCGAAGGAAGGGGATGATTGTGGTTGTGGGCGGCAAACATCGACTCGAGAGGCGGTGTCGAGGAACAGGTTCTTTTTTCCTTTTTTTTTCCTTTTTTTCCTCTTCCCCTAGTTTGTGTCACCGACAACTCGAGAACAGCTCTAACCTTGTGGAAGCAAGGGAGGGTGAGTCTGCAGGGCAGCCTTTGGACTCTGCCGCGGTTTCGCACTGTACGTAGAACGCGATCACAGCAGGCTTCACGGGATGCTACACGAGATTCTCCGCGGCCTGCCTCGAGATCCAGCAGTCTCGCGTGAAACGGGCACAGTGCCGAGGGCAGCACGCCGTACGGTCGGATTGGGACACCACTACCGCCCTTTTGTGTCGTAGTCCAGGGCCGAAAAGCCATTGGCACTGGACTAGCGAGTGACTAATGAGGCAGGGGGCCAGAGCATGGGCGGCTGAATCGAACGGCTGCTGCTAGCACGGAAGAATGCTTCCTAGCTGGAAAAAAAAAAAAAAGCCCGAAGCTGCGGCAGAAAGAATTCGCGGCCCGCCAAGAAGCATCCAAAACCTGCGAACAAGATCGAAGCACAGCGTCATACCCCTTGCTTGCTTGTTGCCGAGCAGTCTGAAACCCACCTGCTCGCTCAAGCCTTCGTTCCGGGGAAAGGACTGAACGGTAGAACGAGAGAGGAAGAGGGAAAAGGAAGAGGAAGAAAGAAGAAGAGCTCGAAGAAGGCGAGCGAAAACAAAATCAAAAGAGCAGAGAGCAGAGGGCAGAAGAAATACCTATCCGTAACTACTACTCCTACCATCACCACCAAGGTACGACGTGCCGTTTCTTGGAGTGTACAAAGTGCTCTCTACCTATCTACCTACCTGCCTGCCATCCTCATCATCGTACTATTTCTCTTTCTTTGTGTGTTTCCCGTAGGCTGATGTATATCGTGTTTCTCTAAAGCAAAAAGGATGCACTTTCGCCCGGTCGACCAATCGATGGATGACGAGTATCTCGGGCATGGAGGCGGAGGCGGAGGCGGTTCTGTCGATGCGACGGCGATGGCACCGGAAGCTGAAGTTCGCTCTGGCTCTGGCGGCATGTATTCTTCTCTCGACGACGTGTTTGGCTCTGAACCCGAATCATTCCCGGCGTCTGGCGATGGCAATGCCGCTGCTGTCGTCACATCTCTCGACAGGCCTGGAAGCCCTCGTCATCCATCTGATATGCGGCGGCTGGAGACAGAACACGCAACTGCGGGGTACCGCGAGGGCATCTCGACGGCAAAGGAACAGACCGTCCAAGCTGGCTTCGACGAGGGCTTCAGTCTCGGGGCCACGATTGGCCTGGCTGCAGGTCAGCTGCTCGGTATGCTGGAAGGCATCGACGACGCTCTGAAAAGCAGGCTGGGCGGCCAAGCCGGCAGCCAAGATGGACAAGGCACAGCATCTGCAACGGCCACCTCCGAGTTGCTGGCAGAGGCGAGACAAGAGTTGAGCGTGGTCAAGATTTTCAGCCCGGATTACTGGGCCCCTGATGGAAACTGGAGCTACGACGTCGAGTCCCATGGCGACGGCGACGGCGACGGGATCCTGTTCCCTGATGTGGCAAAAGCCCACCCCTTGATAAGGAAGTGGACCGCCATCGTTGACGAGCAGGCCAGGCTGTGGAAGATTGACCGGTCTGTGCTGGATGGCGATGCGAGCATGGAGGCTGCAGCAGACGACGCAACCACTGCTGGCACCAGCACTACCACGATTCCGCTCCCTCCGCCTGCATCCAGGCAGCCTTTGGATTGGTGAAAAGGCAAAGGATACGACAAGACACGCGCAAGGCGCAAATTGGCCTTCGCCTTGACCGAGCAAAAGGCCCCTGGCTCCTGGCTCCTCTCCGGCCACGCCATTGCCATGCCATGCCTTGCCTTGCCTTGCCTTGCCTTGCCTTGCCTTGCCTTGACCTACTTTTTCCCTTTCGCTTGCTTGCTTCAGCATGCAGCTTCTGGCTCTTTACTTGCTCACCCTTGGAGGTTACCCGGCATTGCTGGGGAAGACTAGATACTATTTTTGAAGAGGCGATGGCAATAACCCACGTCCTAATCTTGCCGAAACGAGGCAGCCATGGTACATTACACAAAGGAAAAAAGGCAAGTCATAAAAATAAATTATGCCATTTTATGCCATGGCTGAAGAAGGGTTACCGAGATTCCGATCATCGGAGTGGAGATTCGACCTTTGATTCAGATGGGCACAACAGGCGTATGTGCAGCATACGAGCAGACAATGAAAACTCTAGCCGACCTTGATTCGTCATCCCTATGAGGATCGAAAGGAGAATTTCTCCAGCGGAGAGACTGATTGTATACTTTATAATGAGGATTGAGACGATCAAGGTATCATCGCTACTCGGCATTGGTCTACTACTTACATAACCTGGATTTGATGTTCCACATCCAGATTCCATTTTCACGAGGTTTCTCTATAAAGTATATCAATTTATTACATGAGTCACTCCATCATTTGGCATGAATACTCTTTGAACATTTGCATCCTTACGTACTGGACCTAGCACTCAACTCCTTTCGATGCTGTCAACCATCTCCTATACTCATCTTGCCTGCCAGGAAACAAAACGACCAACAACGGCCTGTTTGGGAAACTTCTTGCGGATACACTAGCATGAATTGAGCCGGCACAGACCAACTTTCACCCACAATGGGTGGAGATGTCTGGGGGCACCCTTGGATGTCGATGCTTCTTTCGCTTCCTTCTCTTTACGCTCTGGCCCTCACGTTCAAACGCATTTGGTTCTTTTTCCCCAGACTAGGACGAAGTATCCTCTGCTGCCGTTTTTGGCCTGCTCAAACAAGTGATAGCCGCGTTGCATTAGAAGATTAGAAGCCAGCTCCGGCATGGGACGGTTAATCCATGTGCGGAAATTAACTGGCCTCTTGGGCGTGTGGGCCTACTGGGTAGTAGTTGTTCGATTGACAGTTGCCACAGCGTTTCGTGAATGGGCTGGCTGTACGGAGTAGCAAGGGTCCAATTGTTACAGCAACAGCCAAGCAGGCGCAAAGAAGAACAAGAGAGCAATTCAAGCCACAAGCGACAGCCACAAGCGACGACTTGCAATCTGAGACCGCCACAAGCATACAGAGTGCTTCTTATCTCAATTATTGTGCAACGAACCAACAGACGACAACACCACGCCACGATGTTGAATAGCTCTGGTTAAACAAGCTTAACGAGGTTTGTGCTTCCAAGCCGCCGCTGGTGGCGGCCGGGAGCTGTTCTAAAGCCGGGCCTAGCCCACCCCGCGTGGAACCACATTTCATTAAGAGTCCAGCGAAGAGGGGCTTTGTTGGCGACAAGTTGAGAGATTGAAGACATGCTTGAAGCAGGACAAAGATAGCTTGTTTCTTCTACCCAAACTAGGTGCTCGCTCATGCCGTATCCAGAAAAAATCAAACAAAGCGAGAACCGCTTGCAATTCGATGTTGATTTTGGCATCTCTCAAACCATACCCAGAAAAGGGGCAGAGAAAAAGCAGGGAGGACTCATGCTATAGAGTGATGTGCAGTGCTGCTCAAGCGAGCCTCTTTTTCCCCTTCCACTAGCGCAGGTACAGAGCGTCCGATCTGCACGACCACGGGGCAGACGTCTCTCATGGGCATGGTTCATGCAAGGGCTTCAGTGGCCGGCCTTTGTCTTTTGCTGCTATCTTGAGTCCAAATCTTCGTCTCCCCGCTTGGAATCTCTGTGGCTGTTTTCATAACCAAGACTGGTGATACCGCCGTCAACAAGAGTAGAAGCACAGAAACCACTATTGATTTTGATACCGCATGTGCTTCCAAGACCTTTTTTTTTTACTTTTTTTTATTTTTTATTTTTTTTTTCTTTTCCAAAACGAGACACAGCCCTGATGTTATCGCCGCTCGCCATGTCATGCTCCGCTCATATACGGGGTACTGCGTCAGGATCGGCTACTGCTGTTATTACCGTGTATCTGATCTTCACTCGCTAGGACCCATGGAGGAGGATGCAACGCTGCTCGCTCTCTGCGGTGTTACTGTCACTGTCTCTGTTTCCAATTTCCTGACGGCCCAGTTCACTCCACGCGCATGTTTGCAACAATGGGGGCGCCGATTTGTGAGGCCGGGGGGGCAAAGTGACTTGACTGCCGAGGACGAAAGATGGGGGGTTGTGTTTGTAAACGGTGGACGAAGACAAGCGAGAGGCAGACGTGATTATCCTGATGGACCCAGGCTGGGTTTGAGTGGGATATTTAAGACGAGTGGTTCATCTCCCAGATGTCGGACTCTTCTTTTGCCCTTTCTTTCTTCAGCAAGCCTTTGGTTGCAACAGTGTTTCTCACCCATACATTCTTTCTCAGTTTGACATTTTGGGCTCTTTTGACCCGTCCACTCACTCCAAGCCAAGTTCATTTCTACAATCACTATTCACAATGAAGTCCTTTATTCTCGCTGCCTCGGCTGTCACTGCCGTTGCTGGCCACAGCCTGCTTGACCTGGGCATCGACGTCCAGGTTGGCGACCTCATCAACCTCGGAGTTGGCCTCGACCTCCACCTGCCCGAGGGCCTTGCTCTTCCCGAGGCTGCTGCGGACAAGCCCTCTGCTGGCCCTCCCGCTGGCCGCGTCAACGTCTGGCACCCGCCTCACGTCGGAGTTCAGATTGATTCTTGCCAAGACGAGAGCGCCGGTAGCTGGCACTATGTTGAGCCTTGCGGCGATGGCTGCAAGACCGACCAGCCCTCGCAGGTCTGGACCACGAGCACCGTCAGCGTCACCTCGATGCACACCGTCATCAGCTGTGCTCCCACCGTCACCAACTGCCCTGCCAACGGCCACCACACCACCGTCACCACCGTCGTCATCCCCGAGACCACCACCATCTGCCCGGTCGAGGCTTCCAAGACAAAGACTGCTGGCGCCACCGCGACCCCCTCCGGCGGTGCCTACCCCCCTCCGGCAGCTTCTTCCCCGGCCTACTCTGGTTCCGTGCCGACCAACACCGCCGTCGTCACCCTGAGCACCCAGACCGCCCCGGCTTACACTGCCCCGGCCTCCTCCGGTCCTGCTGGCGGCGTTCCCACTGGCCCTGCCGGCTCCTCGGCCCCTGCCAACTCGGCCCCGGCTGAGTCGTCTCCCGCCGCTGGCACCACTGCTCCGGCTTCTGCTCCGGCTTCTGCCCCCTACTCTCCTCCTGCTGCCTCTTCCGTCCCGGCTTATCCCGTGCCTGGCAACAGCTCTGCTCCCGTCTACACGGCTCCCTCCACCTCGGTCTATACTCCTCCCGTCCAGTCTGCTCCCGCTCAGTCTGCGCCCGCTCCCGTCTACTCTGCTCCCGCTGGCTCTTCTCCCTCCAGCCCTGCTGGTGGCTGCACTGAGGCCTACTGCGTTGCTCCCGTTGGAACTGCCCCTGCTGCTCCCCCCCCAGTTCCTACCAGCAACAGCACCGTTCCCCCAGTCAGCGGTGCTGTCGGCCGCACTGAGGGCGTCAGCTTGGCCCTGTTCGGCGGTGTCATTGCTGCCTTGTTCTTGTAAAGTTTCAAGTATTATTAGTACGATGCGGGGCGGCCGTTAGTCGCAGTTGTATTCTCTAACGGTCCAGGGACTGCATATATCTTGATGAGTTTATGGCACGCCTGGTGGAAGGGAAAATAAGCCTACCGCCTGACCTTTTTTTGAACTTTTTCTTTTTTCTTGTTTCCATTGTCGAGCATACATACTTAATATTCGATTCTCATCAGATGGTTATGGCGGTGGAGTTGAGAGAAGTAAGGAGTTGTAGGTTGGAGAGCGCGCAGGAGGTAATAAGTGATTGGACGATCTTCAATTGGTACAAGATAGTGATTGAATTGATTCTTGTCCGTATACTGCTACTTGGAAATTGATACACGATGAGCTTTGAAAGTCTTTGAGTCGTAGTGCTCTCAATCTTGACGATTGATTGTTTATAACTTTATTCATTATCTTAGAACAATGAGGTATAATATATATGCTGAGTCCTCTGAACCCGAGCGCCATGCTGAACCTTGAACTGCCTCCTTTCCAAAACGCCCCTGTTCCGAGTTTGATGTACATGATGAAGGGTATGATTTTACATTTACAACAACTCAATCACACTGTCCCCGACGCATACTCTTCCAACATCTTGGCAACATCCTCGACCCGCCCCTGGCTGTCCCCGAGCTGCCTCGTCGTCTCCCAGTCCCTACCGTCGGTGGCGCCGAAAACCACAAACTTGACCACTTTGCCGTCGTCGTCCATGACCAAGCGGCCGTTGCGCTCGTCGGCCCACGTCAGGCGGATCTGCTTCGCTTCCGTGTCGGCGATGCTGACGTCGATGATGGCGTTATTTTGTGTTGCCGTCTTGTTACTGTCTTTGTTGCTGTGTGCGCCTAGGCTACGCCGCAGGTCTGCTGAGACGCCGAGTCTGTTGTGGTAGCGCATGATTTCTCGTCGGAGTGATTTGACGAATCGTTCGAGGTCTTGCTTGAGATGGTACGAAAGGGGTGATGGAGAGTTGCTGTCTCCTTCGGCTTGCTGCTCCTCTTGCTCTTCCTGCTGCTGCTGCTTTTTCGGTCCGGGCAGATACCGCGCCGCCAGCCCCGACAGAGGAATTGCCGGCGGCACAGTATGTCGGTGCACGCGCAAAAACTGGCGATGGTCCGCATACGGCCGGTTCAGCATCACATAGTACGGCTGCAAGAACTGGCCGCGTGTCATGGCCTCGAAGCGCAGGCCCAGCACGTGGCCCCCGTCCACGGCGTGCGGATCCGGGTCGCGCACCTTGAACGCCGTGACGGAGGCGGCGATGCGGTAGAGGCATTGCTGGTCGTAGGCCTCTTGCTGCTTAGAGCGGGTGAGAAGGCGCTGCTCGTCGCGGTCGCGGTTGGATGGTGTCCGTTTGGGCTTTCGGGGTCGCAGCGTGGTTGGCGATTGCTTTTGCTTGCTGGGGCTGAGGGAGGAGAGGAGGACGTCGCGGATGGAAGGGTTGGAGATGATGGTGGAACATTCAATTTTGAGCGTTTTGCGGAGGTTTGCGGCTGTTTTTTTTTTTTTTTTGCGAAGCTGGTTAGCTTTTTTCTTTTTGTTTATGTTGTCTGCTAGGTAGTGATCGCGCTTCTTACCTTGTTTTTTGAGAGAGGTAATTTCTTTGTCTAGAGGGCTGACATTCTCTTTATCCTCTGCGCCCTCCATTTTTTTTTCTCTCCCTCTGTGTGGAGGAGAGAGATTGAGTGGGTGTGGTCGCGCGCGCCCGGAGATGCGCCTTTGTTGTTTTGATGCAGACGAAGCTTCGGCACAGTGACGACGACAGCCTCGCCCGATAAGATAAGATGAGCGACGTGCCGGAAGTTTGCGCCTACAAATCAGCAGCAGCCCCTCCCCGCAAATTGGCACTGAAAGGGCGTCCCCGGCAGGCCTAAAGCAGGCACCGGAGCATCTCATTCGCTCCGCCCACTGCACTTTTTTTTCCTTTTTTCCCCACGGCGCTGGATCATAGCGGTCCAATACGAAAGGATACGAGGTCTGACTGGTGGCCTAAAATGCGACTTCAGCGTCTACTGTATGCGGCCAGCCACTGACGGAGATGCGCTAAGAGGGACTCCTGCATCTATTTCTGGAGGGTGCGCCGCTAGAACCTCTTTTTGAGCGATTCATTTCAGATTTGGAGGTCCCAGCCCAGTGGCAACGGCTTTTTTGCCTGTGTAAGCCGCGCCGGACCAAAAAAAAAAGTGACTGGACCCTTGAGGCCACGGTAAGCTGCAAATTCACAGACCAAACCAGCATTCAACTTCATCCATTCACTGGCGTTCCAAAGTCGCTTTTTCAGTTTGTTCCTCCCATCGCTTGCCACAAGCAACGGTATCTCTAATGCTTCGTTAGCAAATTGCCGATTGTGTGTGGTCTTTGGCTGGTCCGCTTGTACTCTCCTTTCAAAGGGCCTCTTTTTTTTCTTCTACTACCTCGTTTTCTACTAGTCGGTCAACGCGCTTCACGTTCATCGCAACTTTTTTTTGTTCGTTTCGACAGCCACTCTTTTGGTTACTGGAGCCTCGACTGCCTCTATCATCTATATGCGACTCCAAACAAAGCTGGTTTGAATCCCAGAATACTGAATTAGAAGCATCAGCGACAGCCAGCTCCTTGCACGTTCCTCAACGCTCGCTATCGTGTGCTCTTGAACGGCGCCGACGACCCGAGACGCGCAGATTACACAAGCAAGACTCTCCCTTGAATCCCCCCTGTGTGCCACCGACCCGATACGAGCGACCTCGACCGCCTCCTATATGGGTACCCGCCAAAGACTAGCCAAGTCGCCCTCGACATCAAAGCGGCCTCCCTCCCTCGCGATCCCGCGGGAAGCGAACGGCCACGGCGACGGCAACGGCAACGGCAACGGCAAGATGAGCAACGGCGTCGAGATGCGGCGCAAGACCGCCACAAATCAGGATTCCGACAGCATCACGGCCAACCACATTTCGCGCGAGGCCTTCAGCCTGGATGACCCCGTGCCCAAGACGCCCACGGCCAATGATGTCGGCTTCTTCGAGCTTCCTGTGCAGGACCAGAAGAGCTTTTTGCTGCTCGTCCTGCTCTACTTCCTGCAGGGCATTCCCATGGGCCTTGCCATGGGCTCCGTACCGTTTCTACTCAAAAACCACATGTCATATGGCGAAATAGGCACCTTTAGTCTGGCGTCGTACCCTTACTCTCTCAAGCTGTTCTGGAGTCCCTTTGTCGACGCCGTCTGGAGCTCCAAGATTGGTCGACGGAAGACGTGGATCGTGCCTATCCAGTTCCTGTCCGGCTTCGGCATGCTCTGGCTGGGATCCAACGTGGAGGACATGATGGAGAAGATTGGCAAGCCTGACGGTCCCACCGTCTGGACCTTTATGCTCTGGTGGTTCTTCCTGGTGCTCATGTGCGCCACGCAGGACATTGCCGTCGATGGCTGGGCACTCACGCTGCTGACTCCCGGAAACGTGTCGTATGCCTCGACAGCGCAGACAGTGGGCCTCACGGCCGGACACTTCATGTCGTATACCGTCTTCCTCGCCCTCAACGCCTCCGACTTTGCCAACAAGTACTTCCGCTCGACTCCTTCCGACGATGGACTCGTTTCTCTCGGCGGCTACCTGACATTTTGGGGATGGAGCTACATCATCGTCACCATTGGCTTGGGCCTGCTGAAGCGCGAGGAGAAGTCGCAAAACGAGGACGGCGTCTGGGATGTATACCGTATCATGTGGGGCATTCTCAAGCTGCGCAACGTCCAGACCATCATCATTGTCCACCTGATTGCCAAGATTGGCTTCCAGGCCAACGACGGCGTCACCAATCTCAAGCTGCTCGACCTGGGCTTCGGCAAGGAGAACATGGCCCTTACCGTCCTCATCGATTTCCCCTTTGAGATTGGTGTTGGATACTACGCTGGTATTTGGTCTCAAAAGTACTCCCCTATGCGCCTGTGGTGCTGGGGTTTTGCCGGTCGCTTGCTGGCCGCGCTGATTGCGCAGGTGACGGTGGCCATTTTCCCTGCCGAGGGCGTGACGACGTGGTACCTCTTGGTCGTTATTCTGGAGCATGTGTTTTCGACGTTTACAAACACCATCATGTTTGTGGCTGTCTCGGCGTTTCATGCAAAGGTTTCGGATCCGGTCATTGGAGGCACTTATATGACACTCCTTGCAACGTGAGTTTTTGACCTTTCCCTTTGCTTTAAGCTTGCTAACAAAACCTTGCTTTTACAGTGTTTCCAACCTGGGCGGTACGTTCCCTAGATACTTTGTTCTGAAACTTGTAGATTCTTTCACCGTTGCTACTTGCCATCCTGGCTCAACGACGTCAAAGAACCTTAAAGGCCCACTCGTGACAGAGGCATTCTCATGCGCCATCCAGAGCGAAAAAGAGCGGTGCGTCAACGGCGGCGGAACCTGCGAGATGGTACGCGATGGATATTACACTGTTAACATCCTCTGCGTCCTGTTTGGCATCGCCACCTTTATATGGTACATCAAGCCAAAGGTGCTGCACTTGCAGAGCCTGCCGCTGAGAGCATGGAGATTGGCCGATAGTAGTAGAAATAGCAAATAGAGAAAGAAAGGAGGAGGAGGGAATAGGACAAGGGAATGCGATGAGATCTGGACATATGGTTAATACATTTTTGATGAATATTGGGTGTATATGATTAGCACTTGGACGTGCGTGTCTACTATAGTTGGTTTCCTCCCATTTTTGTATTTCTATTTCATGCAAATCATAGCGGAATAAAGGGAGTCATATCTAAGGAGTGTGTTTGTACGGTGGCGAGCTCGGAGGTCTGGGTGACTTTGGCAAATCCATCTCAGACTCTGTGAATATTGATGAAGAAATGAAACAGATAGTTGTTGAAATCCAAATTATGTAGTGTAAGATTCAAGCATTCAAACTGTTGTGAGCAGCCATATCTTGTGTCATGGTGACAGGTTCTCACAGCATGTTACGTACGACAACAGACTCTTCCTCTTCCATTGCCCCGAATCTTGTCGTTCTACTGCGTGTAATGCGATTGGCCCGTCAATTGTAACCTGTCTCGGCCGGGATGGGAGCTGCTTCGTAATTGTGAGCACAGCGTCAAAAATATTGCTTAAAAGAAGCAGCTGACGAGTTTGCTGATTTCCATTTCCATCTTGATTCTTTCTCTTCTTCTCATCTCTATTCGCTTAAATTACAAAATAGACTTATCAATGCAGCGCGACTGCTGCCCGCTGTACTAAGAGCCAGCGTTTCTTGCCTTCTAAGTTATAGCACCTGCCAGCGCCTACAACCGAGCTTCTACGGGCCTGCCTTCCCTTATCAGATAAACCCCGCCATCCGCTGTCTCTCATCCCACCTACCCACCTTGGAAAGCGACTGATTCATTCAACTTCCAGCTCTAAATCTCATTTCATTTCATCTCATTCTTCAAATCACCGCCAACTGCCAACACAAGCCAATCATGTCCGCAGCCGAGTTCCTCCAGGCTGAGGATGCGTACTTCTCCACCAATCCTCCTCCAAAGCAATTGGCTGCTCACACGGCACTGGCCGAGGCCTTCATAACGCAGCATGTGGCGGCAAATCGACGGGTTGTGCTCGTCACTTCGGGAGGAACGACGGTTCCGCTGGAGAAGAACACTGTGAGGTTCATTGACGTATGTGACCTTTCCGTTTCAAATCCACGAATCAAGCAGTAAACCCCTATACCAGCTGTGTGCCTCTGCTAACTAGACAAAAACTTAGAACTTCTCTGCCGGAACTCGTGGTGCTACCAGTGCCGAGTATTTCCTCTCTGCTGGATACGCCGTCATCTTCCTCCACCGCCAGTTCAGCCTGCTCCCCTATTCACGCCATTACTCTCACTCAACCGACTGTCTCCTTGATCTCCTCAGTGAGGATGCTGATGGTCGCGTTGCCGTCCGGCCCGACGATTCTGATAGAATCCTTGAGGTTCTACGCAAGTATCAGAGTGCTCGTCGCAACAACACTCTTCTCTTGTTGCCCTTTGTCACCATTGGAGATTATCTGCACGAACTCCGCGCTGTGGCCCGGCTTATGGCGCCGCTTGGCTCATCCGGACTGCTCTATCTCGCTGCAGCGGTATCTGACTTCTTTGTTCCGCCAGAGCGTCTCTCCGAGCACAAGATACAGTCTACCAACATTATTGAAAAGCTCTACCCCAAGGACAAGGATTCAAAGACACCTTCACCACCCATAGAAGATGAGGAAACTTTTGACAATTTTGATGCCTCCCCTCGTGTGCCCCGGTCCAAGCGCCTCATTATTGATCTGGATCCCGTCCCAAAGTTCCTCAAAACTCTTGTTGAAGGCTGGGCTCCCTTGGGCATGATTGTCAGCTTTAAGCTCGAGACGGATCCCCGCATTCTCGTTCACAAGGCGCGCTACAGCCTTGAGCGGTACCAGCATCATCTCGTTGTGGGAAATCTACTCTCAACGCGCAAATGGGAAGTCGTCTTTGTTGCTCCAGGCCGAGAAGATCAATGGCTTCGCGTACCTCGGCACGGTGGCTGGGGTGATGCCGAGGGAAGGCCGCTGCGGCCCGACGAGGCACCAGAAGGAGACCCAGAAGAAGAGATTGAGGCTCTGATTATCCCGGCTGTGGCAGAACTTCACGACGCGCACATTGCAAAGTCAAACAGCATCGAAAAGAAATAGAACTGACAAGGGCTATCGTTTGAAGAAAACTATAAGAGAGGGAGAAGGAGAAGAATCTACTCGGCAATTAGGTCAATTTTGCATGAACAAATTGGATTTAAAGCAACACAGGAATGCTGACAAAAACGACAAAAATATCGAAAGTCGAATAGTATATAACAAGAGTCTATAAAGGAGTCATAGGCACCATGATACCATCGAAAAACTGGGGAGCAATGCAACCATCAACAATCATATCTTGAGTATTTTTGCTTTTTTTATTCGGTTCTCTTTCCATTTCGTTTCGAATTTTCCTATACTGTTTCTATATGCGGCCTAGATGACCTTGAAAACTTTTCTGTTACATAACCGATACGCATTGAAAGTGAAGCGGTAGCTTATTGCGTCAAGCGCTCCTTTGCTCTCCGTCATTTCTCTCATTAACTTATAAAAGAAGCGCTGAACCATTTGGATATCTATCAATATACTGAGTCATGACGACTGTTGCTAAATAAAGCAGAACTTGGAAAGGAGGGTGGTGGGAAGGAAACGAAATTGTTCCTGATATATGCGCTTGCAGTGAGAATATCCACCATATAACGGCACTGCCAAAAAAAAAATGATTTGCTTTTTTTTTTTCTTTTCTTTTTCACTTCTTTTTCTCTTTCATGTTCAATACGCAGCAAGCCAATTCTTCCAGCCGAGCTTCCATGTTTTGGCAAGGACGAGTATGACTGCCGCACCAATGTAGATGCAGCTGGTGAGGATGATGAGCCCTGTATAAGAGCCGTTATTCGCTTGCACAACGCTTCCGGCAATAGGAATGCCTATCAAGCATGCAAATGACACGACAGTGTATGTTGTGGCATAGTAACGACCGTATTCTTGTGTCTTGCACATCCGCCCAATACATACGGGTGCAATGGCAATGCTGTTACCACTTCCAAAGCCAAACAGGAAAGAGAAGATGATGATGCCCGGCTTGGTGTGGCCCAGCGGCAGCCACACGCACAGACATGATATGAAGGAGAAGACCACAGAAAAGATACACACGTTGAAAGCCCCGACGACATCAGCATAATATCCTGGGAGTGCTCGGCCTATCACCGAGCCGGCATTCATGATGGGCAGGAGGTGGTAGGCAAACGTGCTATCAAAGCCCTTGTACTGTGCATACGTTGTGATGTATGTCAGAGGAATAAAGAGCGAGAACTCCACGAGGAAGACACCAATGGTGGTTAGCAGGAACGGAATCTGTCGGAAGATGCGAAAGTCGGGATGAGCCGTTGCATTCTTGGCCGGTGGAAGACGAGATCGGACCAGACTTATGCCCACAAGACCGCACACCAAGCATATCAGAGCAAGGACTCGTGTGGCCCAGCCAAAGCTGATGCGCTCGAACAAAGCAGTGAGCATGAGGGGGAAGATGATGCCTCCGATACCACCCGCCGTCGATGCAAGCCCGGTGGCAAAGCCACGCCTCGCTTTGAACCAATGGCCAACTGCTGCGATGCAGGGAGTGAAGGTGAGCGACGTGCCCAGGCCGCCGAGGACGCCAAACGACAGAATAAATTGGTACAACTCTGGGGGCCAAGAGTTAGCATGGGTCACACACATACACACACATACACACACGTACACACACAGACGATAAGGATAAGTGATGGTGTATGCGTCAGGACGGGATAGAACGGGATGCTGCATCAGGATCGAAGTGTAACCAAGAACAACCACCATCAAACTACTTACCGGTGCAAAAGCTCATGCCAACCAAGGCCCCAACAGTACAGACGCAACCAGCAATAATCAGCCACTTTGGCCCGTACTTGTCAAAGACGGGGCCGATATAAACGCCCCCAAAAAATGCCAGCCAGGTGTATATGGAGAAAATCCAACCAACGGTGCTCTCGCTCGTGCCCTTGAGTTGGTGGCTAAGTGTATAGGCCTGGAAGACGGCAATACTGTTCATCAATCCCATGGAGGCGATCATGGCGAACCAGGATCCTGCTACCACGAGCCATGCCTGGAGTCCGCCCTCGGGATATGTTTCTTGGTAAGATGCCGCGGATCTCGTCGTTTGTTGCCGCTCCAAGTCATTGTTCATTTGCGGCTGAGGCTGTTGCTTTTCATCTTGGAGTTCCGAGTTCCCCTTTTCCCCATTGTCCCTCGTGTCGTTTTCATCGCTCGAAGTTTCAGAGTGGTCAAACTCGACATCGATCTCGTCATGAATTGCTATTGAATTGACCTGCTGGGCGTCCATCTTTTTCTGATTTCGACTGGCTCTTCAGAGTGTAAGCAACGGTCAAGAGGCGGAATGACTGGCAATTGCCAACCGACAACCAGCTTGAACTTGAACAATGCGGAATTGAAAGAAGTTATGATGTTTTGACTTGAAGAGAGAGAGAAAAGAGGAGGAAAATGGAAAAGACGAAGTCGAAAAGGAGATGGGGAAAGGGTCATATTTGATGACCGTCACGCAACATGTAAACGGCGCCCTAGGCTATATAATGACTGCTTTTTTTTTCTCCCAGTGTATTTTCAATACCCCGTACTCGGGCGTGGGGCGGGCAACCATCGTCGGAGTGGAAACCTCGCGCCCCGGAGATCCATGGCAAATGGAGCCGAGCCAGTGGACTGTGTAGGTAATGGAAACCTGCCATTTGCTGGCCACCGAGTTCCACATCGGTTCACGCAAAGGGCCCCCCGTTTTGCCTTTTGCCCTGGCCGGAGATGCTCGGTTTTTCCTACTTGCCGGGCTCGTTGCCATGTGTGGTTTCAATGTGCTTACTTTACAGATTGAAAGTCATTCATGATTACCATTAAGATGAGATTCGTTGTGGGATTTCAGCCTCTTTAAGATGGGATAAGGCCTTTACAACTTTCGCCCTAACAGTAAATTGACAGACGCTTGGGATTGTCTGCGATTTCAAAATCAAAGACTCATCTTCCTTTGCAAACCTCCCATCACGACTCACACAGTCCACGACGCTGCAAATAAGCACCTTTTTCATGCTTCCCGTTTCAAAATAAAGATTTGACTAATTTCGAGCTGAGGAGATCCGCCCGCCTAGCCGAGAGAGCTGGTAAGTGGCTTACTGGGGAGGATTTTCGACGGGCGACGGAGGACTCCGGGCTGCTCCACCTATCGGAAGTCTCCATTGCGGAGACGAAAAAGAAAGAAAAAGATAAAATTATATTGGGAAAACTTGGTTTGGTCAATGCTATGACCAAAGGATATTACATGAAGTCGACAAGTTGGTGAGAAAATTTTGTTAGTGGTGACCTTTATTTGTCCTCAGGGGTGATGATGACCGGCATGAGAAGATGCGTGCTCGGAGCTTTGTTGAGATTGGGATACTACCCAATCACCTGGCCGCTTCATCCACTCATGTGCCGAATCTGGCTTTAAGACTAACAGAAGCATCTCATCACGATGCTGTGTTCGTGCTATGACTGAGGAGCTTGGTCAGTGACATGCTTACGGGGCCTATGACAGATACTACTGCTATGGCTTATGATAGCTCTCGGCCACTGCAGTTCATCAAAGTTGGAGCTAAAGCTGCACATGCTCTGTTGCTCATTCCCTCGTGATGCTCAACTCGTGAGCTCACAGCTATCTAACCGCACTAATCATCTCAAGAAACTCCGTTTGATATGCCGTGGACCTTACCCAGATACGCCAATGCCATGCAAAGAACAAGAAAGTGCTGCAAAATGATGCCGATCCTCACGCTTCTTCATCATCCACCTCCTCCATCATGACATTCCGAGAAGACGAAGCCACGCGCTCTGCATCGGCTTTTTCATCATCTTCAGCTTCGTCCTGTTCGTTGCCCGAGGCCAGCTTCAGGTAGCCCTCCTTCTCCAGCCGATCTGCCTCTTCTGGCTCCAACAGTCCGCCTTGGCCTTTGCCCTTATTCATCTTCATCTGCACCGAGGTGGGAACAAAGGCAGACACGGCTTCCTGGCGCAGATTTCTTACTACTGGCTTCGCTTCGTATACCGTCTTGGACTCCACCGCCGGCTTCTGGGCTTCTCTATCCCTGCCCTTGCCCTTGAAGTCTCTATCTTGACCATCTCCAGCTTCATTGTCGTGCGCGTTATCATCACGTCGTCGAGCTGCGTTTTCGGCCTCCCTCTTTGCTCTTCGCTTCGCGTACCACTTGTCCATCTCGGCCGTTGGTATAGGCGGCGGCGTGTCTCGGGGCATGGGAATACTCTTGACATCATCGGGGACATCTTCATCGCTGCTGGAACCATCGTCTCCGCGCCTCCGTTTACCAAGCGCTCCTGATCTCGAGCCATCGCCATCTCTTCTCCAGCGGCCAAACTCGGGCGCCTTGTCACCAAGCGTATCTCTGGCTTTCCGCACTGCTTTGAGTTCTTTTTCCAAGCCTTCGAGGACTTGCTCTTCATGACGCGTCAGCTTTCCTCCTCCGGACACCACAGCCTTGAGGTCGTCGATTTGTTTCTGGATTCGATCTGGGTTCTTGCGCGCTAGCTTTTCATCTCGGCGCCCTTGCGCTTCGGCCTTTCCTGCAGGAAGAAGACTGTTAACAAAAAACGGCCTTGAACATGGCGTTTGCTTTCGTTCCGCAAACTTACCTTTTCTGATTTCGCGAGCCTTGTCGGCTTTGCGCTGCGCCTGGACCGGATTGTAGTTTTTCTCTTTCGGCATTGTCTGGGACTTTTACACTGTAGGTGTAGCTGCTTTGGTTGGTTTTTCGCGATTGTTGTTTTGTTGCTGCAATTGGTCTGATACTTGTCGACTTATTCAAGAAAGGAGAAGTATATAACAACTCTTTCAAGGGTACCAATTCCTTCGGATCGTTTAAGATGGTAACCGAATAGGCGACAGTTTTGTTTGGCGTTGAAATTATTTTGAAGTTGAAGCTTTCCAAGTTAGGGGAGGCTAAAGAATCAAGCAGAGGCCATAGCGGGGCTGTTGGGAAGCCTCGCTGATGACTAACACGCCACAGGTTGCTGTTGCGACTTGTACAATCCACTTGCCAGAAACAATCGAGCAATTCCGGGCAAGCAACTCTCTTCTCGCTATTTTACACTAGGACATTCGATATAAATCAAAAGTTTCAAATATGGGGCATTTTCACAACACCCTTCTGCAACATCCATCGCCCTAGAGATACCTACAGGATTCCACTTATACGAGTTCAGTCTGGCACTTTGGAATGTCGTGACCTTACGGGTATGCGAATACGTCTCCCAAATAACGAGTCTATCTATATGCTTTATGTATGTACAGGCTTTTCAAAGGACAAGAGAAGAATGAGATGGAACTACTATGCAAATCGTTCACAAAAATGACACTAACACCGGTCATATTATACGCCGTCCTCACATGTGCGTCAACACAAACAATGAAACCAGCAGCATCAGCAACGGCATGTTTGTGCCGAGATGCATAGCAAAACTATCCTGCCTCTTGGGATCATCCCCAACAGGCTCTGTTATCCAGCCCTGTGGAATCTGCGTGACAAAGTCATACCAATAATGCCCAACCACCTGATATCCTTGATTCGTCGGATGAATGCAATCTCTCAAATTGCTCGGGGCAAAGGTCGAAAAGTCCACCGGCAGCACGTGCTTCCCTGCGTGAAATCTTGACATTACCACGCCGGGGACTAGCGACTGAAATCTTTCTGTCTGGGGAGCCTGGTCGGCGTGGCAGGTCCCTATGATCATGGCGACGAGAATGACTGCGTCCGGGCATGAGTCGACGATCTTGTCAATCAAACCTCCGAGCCGCAGAGATGCAGCTACAGGATCGTTGCCTTCCGTGGAAATGGAGCTGTCAGGATTCATATCGTTGGTCCCAGCGTGAAGCAGAATGATGTTTGGGCGCTGATTGAGCGATGGACCGACGTTGTTCTCGATATACTGTATTGTTCTGCCGTTCCAAGCAGCCTGTTGAATGATGCGGCGAGAATCCAATCAGCTACGACTCAAATCGATCGGGGGAAAGAAATGTCTATTTTTCTTACAAAATAGCCGTCGGTCATGTTGCCCACTGGAGAAGTTATGGTGCCAGCGAATACAACTGTGTCGTCTAAGCGCATTTTTTAGCAAGCAAACAAAAGACGTATACATACCAATGACTCTTACTCGAAAGGTTCTCTCGAAGCTGCAATCGGTATCCATTTCCATCGCCGCCATCCTGGTCACTCAGAAATCCATATGTAATGGAGTCTCCGACTGGAAGGATTCGGAGCTCTGTCCCAGGCCTGATGGCTTTCCCTGGTGGTGTGTTTTTGAAAATCAACGGGAAAGGAGGTGCCAAAGTTGCTTGGACATTATCCTTCATTACGAGTTGGCTTGTTATGTGCTGTGATATGCTGGTTTGTCCCACAGACGCATCAGCCGTCTGTAGGCGCAACGCCATTATCGTGATCAAGCAGAGCTTCCTCACAGAGATGAATCTCCCAGCTTGATAAGAGCAACTAGCTCGAGGGGAAGACGTCGTGGCGCTCCATCTCTTGATATGCATATCATGAGTTTCTCTCTTGCTTCTACCTCACAACGACTACCTCTTTCTCTTCTCATGAGCCACAGGTCTCTCTTTGTGGCCTTGGAAGAAACCTTTCTGAGTTGCTTGTGAAAGACTCGGAGTTGAAGAAAATGAAGCCACGCTAGTTGCTTGTTTCATCAAAGTTGTTAAAGCAAATCACATCTCCACCGACAGAAGGAGCAAGGATCGACTTCGGCTAGGCAGCCGTTGAGTATTGACCAAACATACCGACTGCCTGTCATATGCCAAACTGGGGGAAAACAGTAACAGTTGTGTGTAACGGCAAACTGTGTCGTTGTCAGCTGCGAGAGCGCTAATTAGACGCCCTCGCGTCAGCTTCCTAGTAGTCAAAACGACAGAATCTTCTTGATGAATATGATGCAAGCCATGGCGGCATGAAATACAACAAGACAGTGCGAAACAAAATGCTTTCCATTTTCTTCACATTATACCTTATTATTTGGTTAAATGGTTGTGGCTAAGGCAAATATATACAGAGCCTGCAACTCTCCTGCTACCTGGTTTGAGAAAACGGGAACTACGGGTACTAGTAATTGCTAACACCTGCAAGGGCTCTGATTTTATGCGTCCAGTTTCCAAGTACAGTGGCTAGAAATGCTCCATGCACTGCTACTATCTACTACCACATGCAAATCGTGGCTGATCATCAAGCTGGCCTTGGGATAGTCGAGATGGATATTCTATATTCCACCGCTCGCTAAACATGGCGCTGTCTCCTGTTCCGACCATCCGATCTGATGGATCACTCGATCTGTGTAGGTATTAGTGGCTGTGTAACTCTATCTCGGGGAGATAAAGCGTTGAAGCATATGGCAACCGGCGGCTAAGGGCAACAGGGCAGATAACGCTTACGTCGGTAAGCCAAACCGAGTGCTACTGTACAGCAGATTCGAGTCTGTAGCGGCAAAGCAGCTCGACCCAAATCAAGCAACTCGAGGGTTCTTTCGCTAGAGCTTATGCGTCGACGAAGACGCCGGCAACTGGATCGACTAGTAGTTGGTGGCGCTAGACTATGGCCGGGCTGTCAGGTTATTGGAACTTGGTCCAGTTCTTGTCGGCTGAGCTATTTAGCCCCAAGGGCCAAATAACGGGTTCTGTGGCTCTTCGTGAGACGTCGTGAGGCGCCAAACGGTCAGCCTCCAATCTAATCCGGAAGCCCTGGCTAACGGCCAGTTGGCTGCTGAGTCCCTCTTGTACCTACAATGCCAACCAGTACTTGGTGGCTTTGATCAGATGGTGGCTGAGACATCCAACGTTGACAGCTTTGGCCACGATGCGTGTTGGTAGAGAAGAGATGAGACATGGTTAATCGCCTGATGCCGATATGCATGCAGGGCCCGATACGGCCATTGGAAGGATGAGACACGGCGAGAGACACGGCGAGAGACATCGTCACGGCAGCGTGCTATTAATTAGATGGATGGGCTAGCCAGGCAGCCAGGATATATCGGGCCTAATAATAACGGAACGAAGCGCGATTCGCAGGTTCCTCAGCTTCCAGACTTTGTACGGATGTACTGGCAGAGAGCAGGAGACTACGAGCAGGAGACTACAGATCGCCACAAGCAGACCCGTCAATCATTACCAAGCCAGCTGAGAATGGCCGAACTTCGGGTCATGGTGTGATCCAAGCAGCATCTAACAATGGAATCCCGGGCCGCAAAAGGGCAGCAGCCTCCCTCTCTTTCTCTCATACGTTACACAGGACAGGACAAGAATAAACTGCGTTGAGCGATATCAATGCAGCGTCCCAGATCGTACCTGTCTCTCGGTGCCCGGTTTTTTTTTTTTTTTTTTTTCGTTCGTGCAAAACGAGCTGGGTCTGGTGATGTTGATTGGCCATGAGCCATGGCACGTAGAGTAGCAGCAGCCATCACGCTGCATCATGCAACTGCGCACCGGCCAATCTATTGAAATGCAGGCAGCCTTCTCTTGCATCCAATCCGTGGCCTCGGGCGGGGAGTTTCCCGGTGGGAACGGCCGCTGACAGGGTCTGGACACATCCGCCCAAAGAGCCTAAATGGCAGGTTTGCAGCACTCAGCGAGTAAAAATAAAACAAAAACGAGGCACAAGCGGATGGCGGAATGACGAACCGGGCAAAGGAAGGGGTTGTTGGGTTGGGTCTTCGGGGTTAAGACTCCGAGACTAACAAGATGCGATGCACGCAATATAGCCTGTAGAGGAGTCGTTCCTTCAGGCACTTGCAGACTCGGTGGCAATACTGTGGACAAGTTGTGGACAAGCAATGGATACTGCTCATCGTTTTCTTGGAGCACTTGGCACAGCGTTATGGAACCCTGGAGACCTGGAGTCTAGGGACATCATCCCTTGCCTGGCTGATTGGCCAAAGCAGCTGTTAATGCCCGCCCGCCCGTCCGAGACCCTGCCCATAGCGGAAGCGTTATGGAGCAGGTTCTCTAGCTTGACGGTCAGAACGTGGGAAGAAGCAGGGGAGGGCTGTTCAGACAGAGAGCAGAGCGAAAAGAGCCCACGAGCAGCTCGTCGTCGTCATAGCTGCTTGTGTCGACAGCGGATGAGCAGAACGAGGTACCGACGGCTTGCCTCTCTCAGCTAGCATCGGCCGTGTTCCACCAATGGCAGCGCCGAGATGCGCGGAGGGGCGGCCTCGCAGCCTTTTTGCCGGGTCTGAGTGCTGCGCTGCCCATGATTTCAACCAGGGTCCGAGAGCTGGCCGTCCGTTCGATGCAGAAAAGGGCTGGGTGGTTCCGATGCACGAGAACGAACCGGCTCAGGCGCGTGGCCCGCTGCCAGCTTGAGAGTGGGGGGGGACGGCCAAGCAGAAAGGATTCGGGGAGAGTCTTGGTGAATAGCGAGCGCGGCAAATGGAGGGGCAGCTGTTTTCTGTCTCAGAAGAGCTGTTTTGGGGAGCAGGGAGGAGAATGAGACGGTGGAGATGGGGGGTCCACAAGCACATGTCAGAGGTTTTGGTCAGGCCAACTCGATAAAGCTTCCGCCGCGACAGAGCAAGGAGCAGTGGCTGCGATAAGAAACGGGAATGGCAACGCACAGGACGAGATCAAGTGTACTGCAGACGTGAGGGTGCTCCAACAGCTTGGCTCGCTGCTCGGCTTCATGAGATCACAGCATCACGGGCCGCCAAACGCTCAAA